AAAAATATAGATTAATAAAAATATAGATTAATAAAAATATAGATTAATAAAAATATAGACTTATATTTAGACTAAGAAAAATATAGATTAAGAAAAATATAGATTAATAAAAATATAGATTAATAAAAATATAGACTAATAAAAATATAGATTAATAAAAATATAGATTAATAACAATATAGATTAGTAAAAATATAGATTAATAATATAGATTAATAATGTAGATTAATAATGTAGATTAATAATGTAGATTAACCCGTCTTCCTTAAATGGGTAACGGGAGGCAGAGTGCTGCCAAATTACCACAAGACGCCACTGCGTGGCGCGAGAGTGATGAGCACATCCTCCCGCTCTGTTGAGCGTGATGCGAGAAAGATCTTCCGTAGAGGTGAGCGCGTCCCTACCTTCTGTTGAGCATGGCGCGCACTGGCCGCGGCGCACGAGAGATCTTCTGTTGAGCATGACCCGCGAGAAATGGGGCAATCCCTCCCTTCTGTTGCGTTTGCCGCGCGCGAGCTGCGTGCAGGCTCTCTATCTGTTTAGTGAGGCTCCCCTACTGTCTTGATACACTGACAAGGTTGCGCAGGTAGAGACACTTCGGTCCGTGGTGACAATCTGCGGCGAGGGAACTGGTCAGGTCCTTTGAGAGGCTCTTCTTAGCTGTAGAGCACTCAGCCGCGAAGTAAAGCGTCTGCTCCGCCAAAGCTCCGCGCTCCTCAGTCCCTCGGCTCCTGACTCGCTTCCGCCTTGGCAACTCTTCACCGCCATCATCCTAGACTTGGTCGCCTTCGAACGGCGCGCCTTTTGAGAGTCTCGCACATACTCCCGCAGAAGCAGTAGCGCTGCATCCTTAAACCGGCCCTCTGAGTGAGACGTAGCTTTCCGTCTTGGCCCGGATGCCGCGCCCTTTTGGTCCCTGTTGGGTCGCGACTGTCCTGGGCGAGCTCGCCGCTGCATCGCGTTCCCGTGTTATGGCTACGAATCTCGACCATACTAACACCTGCGGACTGATCGGGCCCCGCATACGACTCTCGGGCTGCATGATGTTGGAGTACCACCAGGCTTCCTATAGTAACTAACTAACTAATGTAGATTAATAATGTAGATTAATAATATAGATTAATAATATAGATTAATAATATAGATTAATAATATAGATTAATAATATAGATTAATAATATAGATTAATAATATAGATTAATAATATAGATTAATAATATAGATTAATAATATAGATTAATAATATAGATTAATAATATAGATTAATAATATAGATTAATAATATAGATTAATAATATAGATTAATAATATAGATTAATAATATAGATTAATAATATAGATTAATAATATAGATTAATAATATAGATTAATAATATAGATTAATAATATAGATTAATAATATAGATTAATAATATAGATTAATAATATAGATTAATAATATAGATTAATAATATAGATTAATAATATAGATTAATAATATAGATTAATAATATAGATTAATAATATAGATTAATAATATAGATTAATAATATAGATTAATAATATAGATTAATAATATAGATTAATAATATAGATTAATAATATAGATTAATAATATAGATTAATAATATAGATTAATAATATAGATTAATAATATAGATTAATAATATAGATTAATAATATAGATTAATAATATAGATTAATAATATAGATTAATAATATAGATTAATAATATAGATTAATAATATAGATTAATAATATAGATTAATAATATAGATTAATAATATAGATTAATAATATAGATTAATAATATAGATTAATAATATAGATTAATAATATAGATTAATAATATAGATTAATAATATAGATTAATAATATAGATTAATAATATAGATTAATAATATAGATTAATAATATAGATTAATAATATAGATTAATAATATAGATTAATAATATAGATTAATAATATAGATTAATAATATAGATTAATAATATAGATTAATAATATAGATTAATAATATAGATTAATAATATAGATTAATAATATAGATTAATAATATAGATTAATAATATAGATTAATAATATAGATTAATAATATAGATTAATAATATAGATTAATAATATAGATTAATAATATAGATTAATAATATAGATTAATAATATAGATTAATAATATAGATTAATAATATAGATTAATAATATAGATTAATAATATAGATTAATAATATAGATTAATAATATAGATTAATAATATAGATTAATAATATAGATTAATAATATAGATTAATAATATAGATTAATAATATAGATTAATAATATAGATTAATAATATAGATTAATAATATAGATTAATAATATAGATTAATAATATAGATTAATAATGTAGATTAATAATGTAGATTATTTTTTTGTTATGTTTTTTATCTATCAACTTATAAGAATTTTTTTGTTATGTTTTTTATCTATCAACTTATAAGAATTATCAATCTGTTCCTGTTGGCCTTGTCGCGTAGCAGTTTTGCATTCTCTTTGTCTGCTGTCTGTGAAATCCGCGTTCCCTATGCCCAGCCGTTCTGGAGCCATGGCCCCTGCAAGTCTACTGCTCTTGGGCGCATTTCTAGTCGTTCCTTCCATCTGAATCTGACAGCTAGGAGTGCTTCAGATGACGAGACGAGTAGATCAAAGCTTGCGCTTGCCCTTGTCTTTTGTTCGCTTTTTAGGATTCGAGGGCGACCGCTTTTTCCTTCATCGATTTTGTGCTGCCGCTGCAACATGACAAACTACTACATTTCCGTGCTCTCCTGCATGGTTTTCTTTTGCTGCAAGATCTCGGCGCTTTTTTCTGTGCCGCCTTAACAGGTCCTCCTGTTGTACTTGTCCGCATTTTCCGTCTTCCCCGTATTTTGTTATTTTCGATTTTTTTGCGATCGATCAGACGGCGATCGGGATCGTGCGATTGGTGGAGCTTACTGCAGCAGAAGAAGCTTGGGCGTCTGTCGCTGTGGGACGTGGAAAGCATGCGTGGAAAGCGATGAAAACGAGCCTTTGCCCGTAGAGAGAAGAAAATCAGCGTAGTGTCGCTTTACCGATATGACTCAAAACATAGCATGTTCGTGGGTACTTATGGTCTTAGACTAAGAAAAAATTGACTAGCCGATTGTTTACTTTCAGCAATGGCTGAGCGCGTCGATGTGGGTAGAAGAAGTAGGTGGCACCTTTCTCGCCCCGGCCTGTGCGTCTGCGCTATGAGTGGGGCTATCGGTAAATCGCTGGCAATTTTGGTTTAGTCATTCCCTCAACACCCTAGATTGATCCTCGATCATGTATTGTTGTAAGATGGGTCTGAATTGAAATGCTCGCAGTAAGAAAATCTGCAGCAGTCTGCTCCTTTGTTCCCCGGTCGAATCAAATAGACCAACACAGAAACAAAACGCACCAAGATCAACCTGAACCCTCTGGATTTTGTGCATGATAAAAACCAAAAACCTAACACATGCGCAAGCATGTGATAACAAGCTTTAACTTCCCCTGCATACTGATGCCAGTATAATTTTGTATGCTCCTTATCCATACAGGACACTGCTAAGGAGCCTCAATGGCTCTTCTATTGGTATTCTTTTGGCTGATATTCAACAAATTCAAAAGTCGCGGATTAATACTCTTCAACTTTTTCCTGTGTTCTCTTTCTTAAATACGGACGAGAAAGAAGGAGAAACATAGCCAGCGCCTCCTAAAGCTCTTCCTTCGGTTTTCTTGCTCTAACTCTTCGGTCATGAATTTGCTCGACGTTTATGATCGGCAGGCTCGTAGGGCGCAGTATCTTTGGTAGCAGAGTCATATGCCCCGCTTGCTGCCGGTTTGCGAACTGGATAAAGGTCAGGAGATTCTTTCAATCTACCTGGCATTCCAACAAAACAGTTGCAATGAGTAAGTTCTTCAATGAATAGGTCTTCTTGACCTTAACATGATTACAAGTTGCCGCGCTATTGCTTACAGAAAATTAGTTGCTTGGGTTTTCTCACAGAAGACAGTAGATTGATTCATGTTCCATTGGTTTGTAGAATCCTGTTCAAAAAATAAACATGTTCTCGCGTTCCTCGAGCTTTGCAGGAGGCGCTTCGCGGTGCTCCACCTGGGGACCATCAGGTTCTGCAAGGACCCTGGTGGCGAAGTGCAGGCTCGGCACTGCGTGCACGTCTGCTTCTTCGCGAAGTTTTTCGTCCATGGGTGTAGTAGGCGCTGGACAAATGGGTACTGGTATCGCGCTCGTTGCCGCACGCGAGAAAGTAGCCGATAAAGTGTTTCTGCTTGATGCCTACGCGCCAGCCTTGGAGCAGAGTAAAAAGTTCGCGGCAAGCTGGGTGAGCAAGGAGGTAGCGAAGGGCCGCATTTCGGATGCAGACGGGCAGGAACTACTGCAGTCGAGGCTCATGTACCAAAAGGCCACTAGCAGTGGCAATCCACCAGAGGAGAAGGAGCTGGTGGGTGCCTGGACAGAATGTATATGCGGGTCATCGTCGGGACCGGCAGATTTCGTCATAGAAGCGGTATCAGAAGACCTAGGAGTAAAGCAGAACGTTTACAGAATGCTGGAGGCAGCGGGACTGCCGGAGAGTGCGGTGTTAGCGAGTAATACCAGCAGTATTAGTATAACGAAGCTTGCAGCAAAATTGCAGAGGCTACCGCCTGAAAATTTCATTGTTAAGCAGGATCGATGAACTATACTAGTTTTTCAGTTTTTTTCTGATCATTCTAAATGACTCGTTGTGTCGCGGTTCGGAAGAATCAGAAGCCCTCACAGTTATATATTTTATAGGAAACTAAAACGGATTAGAAAACAAGTTGCGTCACAGGATAGTGAAAAACTTGTATGTACCTCTAAGGCTGGAATGCACTTTATGAACCCCGTTCCAGTAATGACGTTGGTAGAGCTCATCAGGGGTTTGCAAACCTCAGACACAACGCACGCGAAGACAATGGATATGGTTCGGCGCATGAAAAAGGATCCTGCGACGAGTGAGGACCGACCAGGGTTCATAGGTACGCCAATTTTTGATACTTCGATTGATGGTTCTTGCAAGTGTACTGGTTAAATACAAAGGAACTCTTTGATGAACGATCTCACCTCTGGCATAATGCATCAAATCAACAAGAACCTCTGATTTCGTATAACCAGCACATTTGAAAATAAACAAACTCTACTGAATTTGTAACCTTCAGCCAACCGCATATTGATGCCATACATCAACGAAGCGTGTACGTGCTTGCAAGAACGGATCGGGACGCGAGAAGACATTGACAAGATCATGAAGTTGGGGACCAACGTCCCGATGGGACCGCTTACTCTGGCCGACTTCATCGGTCTTGACACCTGCTTGGCGATAATGAGAGTTTTGCACCAAGACCTAGGCGACAGTAAGTATCGGCCGAGTCCGTTGCTCGTGAATTATGTGGAAGCGGGTTGGCTGGGAAAAAAAGTGTTGAGAGGATTTTACGAATATGATAAATAGTTCATAGTAACGCAGGAGGAATGGGAAAGAAGTAGTAGAGAAGAAATAGAAATAATAGGCGAGATATAATGTTGTTGAATAAATACAAAAGTGTAAATCTTATCACATCTTGTACAGTCCCCAACAAAGGTTGGTGGAACAGTGTTGCGTCGCATTTATTACCATTGGATGGCTTGGCTGTAGGGCTCGTAATTTCTGGACTGTTCTCTGTGCTTCAAAGCTTCCTGCTATTTGTGTTGCCATCTGATAAGTATTCTGAGCATGATTTTCGTGTAGTGTACCATAGTGGTTTGAGGTCCTCGATTACTACAACGATAAAGATCTGAGTGCTAGTGCAGCACATTGGAGGATAATGTGAATCGGGCTGACACCAGGCAAGGAATTTCTAGACATCCTCTGGAGGTTGCGTAAAATCGCTTGAGAAGACACAATAAAATTTTTTCAAATCGATGCGACTAGACGAATTAGGACAGCCACAGTCACACAAAGCTGCCAGCAGCAGACTTGCTTCTACTCACAAGAGCTGTGTTTTCCTCTATGCTCCTCCATTGATAGGAGATGTTACAAGCAGCACGATAAGTACAAGCACGTTGATTCTACGCACGCGCACCGAAGAAGTTGAGGCATTATTTGTAGAACTCGTAATCAAACAGTAATGGTAATACGATCCGAATCCGCACAGAAATTAGTCGGCAAAAACTGCACCAAACTTCCCTCCTCACTTTGAGACGCTCATCATCACAAGCTTTTTTGATCCGACCAAGATGAGGAGAGTTTATCTGCGTTCTCGTACTTCTGGTTCATCTTCATCGCCTGCTGGATTGCACTGCAAGAGGCTAGCACGGACCGCATCTTTACAGGAGCAGCAAGTCCGGAGCATTGGAACATCTTCAAGCTCAAGTAGTAGCGACTGGAGACAGCGACACGGTCGTGGATCTTATCATGCGTCCGACAGAGGAGAATTTCAGGCGAGAGGTCGACGACAGCGTCCATGGGAACGTGACGGGGGAGGATTTGGCGGCACGCCGGGACGCGCAAGTGATCAGGCGTGGTCTACGAGGCAAGAGCCTGAAGAAGCGGAGCCAGAGCCGATCAACTGGCGTGAAAAACAAGCCGAGAGCGCAAAGCATGCAACGAGTAGCATTGCTTCACTTAGCGACTACACTAGCCTGCCGGGAAGCAACTACTCGCTTACCTCTGAGTTTTAAGAAAGCAGGCTCTGTAGTATCGTTCTGCAACCTTATTCGCGTGCAGTGAGAATCCGAATCGATAAATCCTGCTTGTTTATTGTTCTAAGATGGAGCTGACCTGATTGGCCTGGGTAACGCCGAAAAATTAAAAGCGCAACTTGTGCGATGCAAAGAAGCCAAATTTGACGAGAACGCGAGAAAAGACATCAAAAAGTTAAGGCTCATTGGTCACTGAGAGTGGTCACTGACACTGAAGAGGAGCTCCCTTGAGAGAACAGGGGAATACGAAGGGAAAATAACAGGAGAGGCATGTTGGGGCCCTTTTCTTTCAGCATCATTGGCCACTGACTGCCGACCTTTAAAAAAGGGCCAGGAAAAGCTACCCCCACTGCTTGGGCCCAACGATCAGAAGTTGGGCGTGAAGATACGCGACGGTGCGACCGTAATGCACGACACGCTCACTCCTTACACGGTTAAGGCAATAATGCCTAATGATTCAGTGATTGAAGGGAAAATAATTACTATTTCATTGAAAGAGCAAAACTACGATTCTTAGCCCGCTAGAACTTCATTTAGATCGACGTAAGTACGTAAATTAAAAAGATGGGCGTAACCTAAATGATGTCGACTAAAATCAATGGTCTCAAACCTACTACATTTAGCATCTACATCGATCTATATCATCTATCCCTGTGTCCTCCAGCAATTTTTTAGAACTGTTCAATCAGGAGGAGGTATGCATCTAGATGCTTGTTGTAGTGCTTCTAATCCCGATTTCGCAGGGAATCGTTTTCCGACCCTGAGTACGGCGAAGAATTGGCGTTACCTCGAGTCACGTGGTTTGAACCAGCTGCAACCGCGAAAGTTTCCGATCCATGTAGAGTCTCACCTGCGACTGGACCCTTACTTAAGGCTCAACTTTCATTGGTCACTGGGAGTTGTCACTGAGATCGAAAAGGGGCGCCCGCGACAGACAGGGGAAAACTAAGAGAAAACAAGTAGAGAGATGTGTATTGTAGATAGGTATCGGGCCCTTCCCGTAATGATCAGTGACCAATGAGAGTCGACCTTTAACGTACCTTCGGGAGTATATCTTCTTCCTGCATTCGTGGGACCCCCAACGCTTCACGATTCCACGGATTGCAGAGCGCTATCGACTCAAGGAGAAAACTGTCGTTCGCGTAGTCAAGGAATTCGGTCTTAACTATTTTTTTTATGGATGTTGGGCTCACTAGTTGTACAAGTTGTTGTATGATTTCTCGCACTGTCGTGTGCTCTCTGTCATCTCAAAGCCTATTCATGTTTTGAGCAAGAAAATTCAAATCAAAGTTGTTAAAGTGAGGAAATATTCTTCATGCTTTGCGTGCCTCGGGGATGACTAGTACGCGACGGCGGCAGATTCAACGAAGCGCCCGGATGGCGGAGAAGAAGGCGCAGGCTTTCGCTGTGGCCGTAGGTTTTGACCAAATGGGTGATGGGGAAGAAGACGTGCACGCCCAATCGGACGACTTTCAGGGTTGGAAAGGTACCCAGGATTGGGTCCGGCGTCAGAACACTGAGGTGGAGATGATGTCTGCCTTTCCTCTGCGGGAAAAACGAAATCCAATCCCTAAGCGCGTCGACGTGGACTTAGTCGTGGGGCAAACGCCCGAAGCAAAAATCATAAACTGGATTGATCCACATGACAGGGTTGTCTTCTAAAAAATGCCTGAAGAAGAGTCGATCTTGTTTGATGAGCAGATAGTGATCTTGAGATACTCGCGAATATAATCTTCACACGCAGGAGGAGGTATTCGTATCAAAGATAGTTTGATGTGAATGTAAAAGTAAATCTCCAAAATAGAAGAAAGAGATTGCTATGTTCGGATTGGTAGTACTGCTGCTGCCGCAACGTACATCCTCGGATGCTGAAATGTTCTCCTATTTTTCTGCAGCACTTCTTGAGAACATGAAACTAGCAACGATGCAGCTAGTGGGCAGATAATAATGCTAAACTAGAGTACATCAATACAAGAAGGAGCAAATAGAGTATTGATGAATTTCAAGAACGCTTTCAAATTGTCGATCCTGCAGTTTCATAATCTGAATCGTTTTTGTCTTCAACTTCAGAAGCGAAAAAGATTTTCGTTTCTTTAATGTGAGCGGGAATACAAAAAGAGCAAGACGACCAGAGAGGGCTTTTCACAGTTCATAGATGCGAAGGTTGCACCACCATATTGAGATTAATTTTGAAATTGTGATGTTTTCATTACCAGGAACCATGATGAATGACATTGACATTCACAATTCGAATATGAAGCCTTGAGTCAATTTTCCTATCGAGGTTAACTTCGGAATGATTACTATTTATTACTAGGTTCTATCTACCTATCATACATCACCAGGTCATTGAGTGTAAGTTGAAGTTTAGTAGAAGTACTACGTAGTTGTTTTCTCCCACAACTTACACTTAGTATCTGAATTTTCCCTTATCTTCTAAGCAGACTGTCTTCGTTAGTAGACAACCAAGGCACTATTTGTAGCACAGCAAGATGTCGGACCAGTGGTGCCTCATCGAGAGTGACCCTGGGGTCTTTACGGAGCTGGTCGACAAGGTTGGCGTGAAGGGGATTCAGTTTGAGGAGGTTTACGACTTAGACATGGTCCCCAAGGACGGATGCCATGGCTTGATATTCCTCTTCAAGTGTAACTCGAAGGAGCCTCGGGAGGTATGCACGCATCCTCCGGCAGGGCTTTTTTTCGCCAAACAAGTGATACACAACGCCTGCGCTACGCAAGCGATTCTTGCGGTTCTACTTAATTCCAAAATCAAGGAACTTGGAACGCAGCTGTCCGACTTCAAATCCTTTACAGAAGCGTACTCTTTTCATTTTCTCCGTCATAATTTTTCTGACCTGATGATTGAATATGATGCCTATTAATTTGATGAACTAGAAGGAAGTAGTAGTGTAGTGGTCTTCTTTACCTCTGGAGTGGTTACATTCATTCACTCACTCAAGCAACTAGCCTCTGACTGAAAATTTGGAGTTGGAGGCTGAAAGCAACTAGCTCCTTCATAATTCATGTTGTGGCGCTTGTACTAAAAAAGTAAAATAATTTATTTTGTTGTACTTAAACTACTTGCTCGATTATGTTGCTCCTTCATTTGTTTGTTTCTCATCCACCACCATGCAGGCTGGACCCGGAATCTAAGGGCTTGGCGATTGGGAATCAGAACGTGATTCGAACGGTCCACAATAGCTTCGCGCGACAGAGCTCCTTCGATTTTGTCCACGACAAGAACGATCCGAGTGATGATAGCTTTCATTTTGTCGGCTACGTCCCGTACAACGGGAAGGTCTACGAATTAGACGGGTTGCAAGACGGCCCGATTGAAATCGGCAAAGTGGATGAAACTTTAGGACTGGAGAAATGTTGAACTAGAAATTGAAATTGTTTTAATAGTACTGGACCTAAAGTGACAGAGATGGATGTGAGCGCGTTCTCGTCACAATCTAATGTCTTGTGGGTCTGTCTTCCTAACTTTTGGTTGTGTGCGGGAACCAGGAGTAGAAAGGCGTGTCAGCAGTATCAAGCGGACTATGATATGGATAATTATTTTTCTCATCCTCTAATAGCGACAAAAGATTGGATTGCCACCGTGAAGCCGGAAATTCAGCGACGAATGGACAAGTATCAGAACGAAGGCAAGGGTGAAATCCGTTTTAACCTTTTAGCGATAACCGATGATCCGTCTTATTCTGTTGAAAAGGAAATCACGAAGCTGCGCCATCAGCGACAACGCGCGAATATCAAGATGGTCTCCTTCGGTGAAGACATCTTTCTTTTTATGAATGGCAGAACAATGCTTCAGCGTTGTCAATTCATAAATGCCGGTTCATATCCCTTTTTTACCACAAGCACAGAACAATAGAAGATTGAAGTTTTTCGTTTGCTTTTTCTTAGACTGGGAACCACCTGGTCTTATTCTTGGCTGATTGATTTGTCAGTCCCTCCAGTTCCACTCCCATGCAAATCCATTTTTCATATGTTCCGACGAGGTGGACGATGATGAGGCTCCAGATGGCGTGTTAACGTTTGAGGAATTACCGGATGACGTGGAGGAGCTGAAGAAAATGACTCGTGAAGCCACGGAGAAGATCGCTTCATTGGAGAGCAGCATCGCGGACGCCTTAAAGCGGAAGGAGCAGTACCAGCGGGAGAACACCCGCCGAAGGCACGACTACGTCCCCTTCCTGCTGTGCGCCTTGAAGCATCTGGCGCGCAAGGGAAAGCTGATGGACGCGTACACGGCTGGAAAAGCGGAAGCACAAGCTGAATTTGAGCGCAAGCGTGACGCGGCGAAACAAGAGAAGGCTGCAGCGTAATGTGTCTGCGAATTTTGAGCTAGTTGTTACTTGATGAAATCATTCCCATCCCTTTCCCTCCGTAAGACTAGGTAGATGAAGATCATAGGAGCAGCGTTTTCAGCAACAGCCATGAGAGATGGTGATTCAACGAGGAGCTTTGCTACAAGCTCGGAACCCCATTGTGCGAGTGCTTAGTTGACTAACACGACGACTTTGTTTCTCCGGAATCTTTTTGATCTGGTTGATTGAAGTTGTCTCTTTTACATAAGGAGAAACTGGAATTAGTACAACGAACAGGACAAAGCGATCCTTGAGACTGCTGGACAATAACGTTGGTCCAGTGTTGAATCTATGGATGAGGCAGACATCAAATAGTATCTGCCTACAGCAGAAACTTCTCATCGTGTGAAGCAATCCTGAATTAAACCCCGACAGTTGCAGCTTGAATTTGTCCCGCCCCCGGAAGAAACGGCTTGTTGTTGCATAATAAATAGATATGCAGAGCTGGCGTTTGTTAAGATTCGAACGGGACTTGAATGCGCAAGCAATTTTTAAAACAAAATCAAAAAGAAGAGTAATATCTGCAGTCGTGTGGTGCGGCGATATTTGATTGTGTCCAAGAGCAAGCAAGAATCTTGATGCTGGTTCGACGCACAGGAGGTACTCATACTTGCTCCTGTTGTGTAGTAGTTCATGTACTGGTCCAGCAAGAGCAGGCGAAGACATGAATCGGTTTGCGTATCAATTATAGTAAAATGTCCGAGAACAAAACCAAAAGGTCTTCACAACTAGCACTACATCTTATTCCTCAACACGCGCCCAGTGCGTTGGGGTGCTCTTTCGTGAATCATGGATCACCAAGAAAAGATGTCGACTTTTTTTTCCGAGAACGGTCTCAGTCATTTTCTCGCATAAACGTTTTGCTCTCACATTGTCGAACGCTAGCGCTACGTTCAATTGATTCCTATGAATGTTTAGTAAAGCCTCGCACAATAATATCATTCAGCCGTCGATTTTAATTACTGTCAATTACAACGAATTATATGATACGCAGTAGTGGATACTCCCTCGTCCTTCATCACTCCCTTGGTTGCCTCTTACTTTCAAATTAAGCAGTAGCAAAACCAAAAGGATGGCGGTAACTACTTTGTATTCGTTCAGTGGTATGAAGGACATCGGAGGTGCAGCGGTGGACTTTTCCAAGACCTTGGGTGGTAAGTTGGCGCTTCTGGTGAACGTTGCAAGTCGCTGAGGGAAGACTGACAACCACTACAAGCAGCTGCGCGATCTGCAAGCTGAGTACGGATCGAGGGGTGTCCAGGTAGTTGCAAAGGAACTACTGACGACTCGTCGATTTCATTATCATGGTCGCATTACTTACATATATGCCCGAAACCAAATCTTCGTATCTTCTATCTTGACGGTTGTTTATTGTTCTGGACAATGTCCTCGGTAGCATTTGATGTTTTTAGAGCTTGCATTTATGTCTTGCATGCTTGCCAAAAGAATAGGTGATCATTTTTCTCTTCACTTTCACTCAGGTCGTGTGCTTTCCATGCAACCAGTTCGGATCGCAGGAAAGCAAGCCCTGCGCTGATATTAGTAAGTTCGTCAGCGACAAGCTGGGGGAAAGTCATGGATTGCTCATGATGGACAAAATCGAAGTCAACGGTGATGGAGCAGAGCCGCTCTACAAATGGCTGAAGCAACAGGCGCAAATCGATGCGATTAAGTGGAACTTCGGAACCTACTTTCTCATCGGACGCCAGGGCGAGTACCTCGAAGCGCTGTACTAAATCTGTGTAACACCATGATCTGTCTTTTCTACAGAAGAAAGTAAAGAATTTCAATTTTCGCTTTTGGTATTTAAGAACATCATAGATACTAATTTACGCCGTTGCTGTATGAAGATAGCCATAGCTTACCCTCCATTTAGCCTCATCAACAATGCTGGCGGTGACAGCAGGTCACGGCAAAGTCCGGCGGATTTTACTGAGAAAATTCGGTCAAGATTATAATAGGTCCGGGGTGCCGCGGAAGTTTTCGGATTCTTTGGACGGACATCTCGGGGGTGGCTCTCCTTTAAAGTCCGGAGTATCTGCATCGTCAGAGGAAGCCGGGACAGCAGGTGCAGGAAAGAGCACTCCTTCTATGAAGAAAGCGCCGGCAATGAAAAAGGCTGCATCGCCGAAGGCGAAAGTCATGAAAAGTAGCGCCGCGGTGATGAAATCGGTGATGAAGAAAACAAAGTAAGGAATTTGGGTTTGGGATGAGAAACTACCGAAATAAATGAATTGGGTCGGGAGCTCGGAAACGAAATGTATGTGTATGAGTTGTATGAGCAGACGCAAACGCAAGTGGCAGCACCCACGGATGATAAGACGCAATAAGCTGTGATGATACCATAACTATTTCATGGCGAGGATGGAGCAGATTGAAATCGATCCGCGAGTTTCGATCGACATGCGTAATAATTTCGTGACGGATTTCCCCTAGGTCACGCACGACCTTGTGGAGTCCTGATTTGCTGTAAGAAAAATTGATCAAATGAAGACCACGTTGTTGTTTTAAAACGGTCAAGGTCCATTATAATCTACGCATGCGATTGAACAATGCGGGTCAACAAAGACAAGAATACATCAACACTGATTGGTTTTTTGGAAAATGAAAAAGAAAGTTCGATTCTCGACTTACAATATATTCTCAAAGAAAAATATATCATCAAAGAACAAAAGAACCGAAACGCAATCGCAAAGGCTAATCAATAATTTTTTGAAAAATTTCTGTTGTCCAGCAACGCGCAGTTCTTCAGATAGTGTTTTATGTGAAATATATAAGAAAGTGTTATGATGCCCCCTCGCAGAGGAGAATTTCTAGATGTATTTCAAAACACGACCTTTCACGAAAAAATGAGAGAAAGGAGGTGTTGTGTGAAAACTGCCGTTGATGGTGTGTTCCTACAGTCACCGCGGTGGAGTAGTTGTTGAGTTGTTTGAGTCAGATTAACTAGAGTTGACGAGGTTGGTAATCACTATGAACATTCGGTTGTCTTCTGCTCTGTTTTTTTGTTTCCTTATCGCTGACTCTGCCCGACGTCTGACGAGAGACTGACGTATTATAGGTTGTTCTGCTTCTGTGAGGGATAATTTAACGAGCAGTGAGTTGATCTGATGACATCACGAGGCGAACGCAGGTCGGTTGTGTGACTTTGATGTTTGATTTTTACTATGATGGACTGCATATGTACTGCTAACCGAAATGTAACATTGTATTCGATCCCTTTGGCGTCAAAAATAGATACAAGATTCAGGTCGGCGGAGCAATCTTCAGGTTGTTCCACTTACCACTTCTTGGTTTTGATCCCAAATTTTTTCGTCCTTTTGGATTCAAAAAAGCTCTTATAAAGTTCAAGTTTTGTTGGAAAAAGGTATTTTTGTTTTTGTTGGATACATTCGAACACAGACTGTTAAGTCGCGTCTAGTTTCTCGGTGAGAAACACTTGAGAGTGATACTGTTTGCACAATTTGCACTCACAGCCTGAGACTAATGATCTCTGGTTGGTCATTTCTCCGGGGCGAGCACAGGACGGGCCGGGCCCTTCCTCTGGGTCGCCGTGTCTTACCTCGTACACAGGCCTTGCCCGGCGGCTTCGCGGCATGGATGCCGTTCCTTAGCCCTCCCAGTGACGGGTGTGCCGAATTCTGACATCAGTCGGATTCGAACCCTGCGTCATTCAGATCCGGAGAAACTGAACTGAGACACTTGACCACTAGGCGAAATGATCCCTGTGGATATTCATTGGGGTTGCAAGGAGGAAGTCTCAGCTTCATCATTGGGATATCATGTTGCATGGGGAAACTTTCATATGGAAACGCTTATGCTATCATCATTGATTCATACGATCATCCTATGTTGATTCTCATCATTGATCAGAACTGACAGTACGTTATGAACCTGATTACAGCTATGAAACATTCATCATTTCTTCTATCTGAATACGTTGAAGGTCCTTTGCCTGATGATCACTGTTTTTGGAACTATATGCATTTAGGTCTGTAGGTTATCTTTGAGATCATTCCGGTGCTGTTTTGTCCTTGACTGTATTGGGAGGCTTGAGCCACAAACGAGAGAGAGAGGAGAAGCCAGAGACACCCGCGCGACGGTAAACCCGTCGGGCGTTTGGATGGTGCTCCGGTAACCTTTTGCCTGGCGATCTTGGTCATTTTGCTGATCTTCATCCTTGTGATCTTTGTGACATTTCGAGGATTATGACCTTGACCAACACCTCTCCTCAATCGTTGCGTGTCGAAGTCCCTAGTCTCTGGACTACCACGGAAGTCATATCTCCTAGCTGCTCTTCTATGGCTACGGTATACTCGGCTAGAAACCAAAATAAACCGAATATACTACACTATAGTAAGCTAAATCATCCCCATTCGTTTCATCGTCTGAGGAATCACAATCATCATGCTCAACTTTAGTTATCGGGTTATCTATATGGTGAAGTAGTAGTCTACGTTGAGACGAACTACATTCTAACTTAGTTAAGCCATCAGCCTTCATTAAGTTAGTTGGACAGAAAACTATCTTACTGGCCGCATCACGCACACGCAAGTAGCGAAGTGCATAATGGCGACTCTTCGGGCGTGTGTCAGTTGCTTTGGCTGTTGTGATCGCGGATTGGTTGTCGATCCAGAGCACAGCATTGTCTAAAGAGGGAGACAAGCCGTTCTGTGTGTGTACCAACTGAGTTGGTAGAGGCCTATAGAAGTCTGTAAAGTCATGCAGTTCACTAAGCACAATAGTGTCAGAAGCTGCAATATATTCACTTTCAGCCGTAGAATAGGCACGGACAGTTTGTCGGTTACTTCTCCAAGCAATTGGAACGCCTTTGAAATACATGATCGATCCACTTGTACTTCTCATAGTCTTTACGCAGTTGGCGAAACCTGCATCACTAAAGATATTCACCTCTGGCATATCTCTGCCTTCAGGTAGTAACTTTGAATAGATTCTATTGAATTCTTCTTCTTGCTCTGGTGAGTATTCCAGTCCTTGGTCTCTCGTTGTCACCAGATACTTTAGCACTTTTCTGGCTGCTTTAACCATTCTTGTTGACGCGGGTTTGCTGACATGTCTAGCCAATGCTGCCACCGGTACAGAAATGTCCGGGCGCGCGGTTACAGCTACCCATAGCAAGGCACCAACTACCTCACGAAAGGGATACCCTTCGACTATCTTGATCCCCTCCTCAAGAAAAGCCGACTCGTCAAAATTGGGCGAGTAAACCGGTTTTCCGACATCAATTTCGAATTTCTTTGCGATTTTATCAATGTACTCCTCCATATTGAGCCGAAATGTTCGAGCTTCACGGCAGTAGTACACGATGGCACCTAAGAAGTCGAACCTGAGCCACGTTTGACCCCAAGGGGTTGGAACGGACTCCACATCAATCGCACGGCCAGGGGCACGCGAGAAGATGAGTTCTAGTTCGGTCTTGAGCTCATCAAGATCAGGACCCGTTGCAAGATTGTCATCAACATAGACTGACATCTTGAGGAACTTCCCAGGTACCTTCGCACTCGGCTTTCTCCATAAGCCTGGCGCAGAATCACACGGCTCCCAGCCAATACTGGCTAGTATGTCGTGATATTTCTTGAACCATGCTCGTGGTGCGTCCTTCAAGCCGTATAAGGCCTTCTTGAGCTTCACGATCTCGCGTCCATGCTTCTCTGCCCAGATGGGTGGGAGACGGCAGAAGACATCGCGATCGAGTTCAGCATTGAGGAACGCAGAATCTAAATCGAACGGGATCACATAGTCCTGTTCTGACGCAGCAGATGTCAGGAGCAGCCTATTAGCGGCGTGTGAAACTACGGGAGCAAAGGTGTTTAGCTCTCCTGAACGATCTAGATTACCGAGGACACAAGCGCGAGCCTTGTATCTTCCACATCTTTTAATAGTTAGAATTATGGCAATTGGTAGAGCCTGTCGCGCGGTCGCAAGCTCCTCGTCAGAAGCTTCTTTCCACGTTTCAAAGGCTAGTAGTCTCGCATGCTCTTTGTCAATAACCTCCCGCCATTTGTCGGCATCAGGAGACTTGAGTGCTTGAGCAACGGACAAAATCACATATGATTCGACGAATTCCTCATCTTCGTCTAATTCACACGTGCCACCTACTGCACTAGCGAACAGCGCCACATTCTTTCTCAGTTCTTCTAACTGTTTCTTTGTTCTTCGAACCCTGCTGCCTGCTTTGTCCTTCGCTCCTTTTGGTCGGCCACGCTTCTTGACGTGTGTACGGCGTTCGCCTGCCACAACACGTGCTGGAGAAGGCGCTTTCGACTTAGACGGACTTAGCGGAGCAGATGTCTCGCGATCCTTCGCTTCAGCATTCCCCTCCTCAAGTGAAACACCTTTTGGAGAGTCAGCTGCGTTGGATTCCTCTACTTTATCCAGTGTCTCAATAAATAATTCGTCGGAAATCGCGGTCGGTCCACCTGGAATGTGCTCCGTGCCAGAGAACCCCGATTGATGATCCAGCCTTTGCACTGACTGTCCAAGCAAGGGGGAGCCCAGCGACGACGCGCCACTCTGCAGATTTTCCAGTTCGTCATACTCAATGTAGATGCCCTTCTGATCTGGCAAAAGCCAATCGATATTTTTAATTAGATAGTCCTCTCTGAACTTTACATCTAGGGTAGAGTATTCCGCCCATCGATGTCCAAGCTTGCAACGATCGTCATGAGCGAAAGTTCCAACCAACCAACCAGACGACTTCGGACAGAGTCCAAGGAAGACGCCACGGCGGTACTTGGCCGAGAGCTTGGGTTCAGGAGTGTTGGCTTGAATTTGTTCACGAAAGTAAACTAGACAACCAAATCGGCGGAGCATGCCGATTGAACTCTTCGATGAGTTTCTACCAGTCCTTTCTTCTAAGATTTCAATTGGACTCTTTCCATCATGTTGAGGCATTTTTGCATAGTTATGCGGTAAACGATCCCAGCAGTCACCAGCGTACTCGACGCAGTAACACCAGAGGCGTTTATCAACTTTAGTCAGCATTGTGCGTACACTGCCGAACAAAGTCCGCATAAAACGTTCGCAGGTCCCATTCATCTCCGGATTATAAGGAACAGCCGGACTGTCTGAGACTCGCAGCGATTGCATAACTTTGGTCATGTCATCACTGCTCAGGACAGGTTCTCCATCCCTCCGGAGGAACCACACTACCTTGTCATCAAGTGATAAGGAGTAGTCCTGGCGAATGCCTTTGATAACTTCTTCTATTTCCTCCACACAGTCACTTTTCAGCTTAAGCGGTCGACAGAACACCTTCTTAATTACATCACAGATGATCACTAATACACATCTCTTTGACCTGACTGATACGGGTTTGATTCCAACAGCAAAGTCGATTGCTAGTAACTTCAATGGTTCAGGTTTGTAGTTCGAAGTATCTCTAGCTTTTGCATGTGGTGCGCGTTGGCCTTTATGTAGATCACACTCAGGGCAATTTACCTGGAGGCCATCTATATGAAAGTGCCCACATCTTCTATGAAGTTCGAGTCTTGTAAGGTAACAACTACTGACTCCTTCTTCTACTGTTGAACAAATATAACCACTATCAGTCTCTTCTTTAAATAAGTTGCATGCAAGTATGGGAAGCTGCAAGCGTGGATGACTTCTTATGGGTATGGCCTGGCCGGTGTCCGTATGTACGAGACAACCACCTGCGCCTTTGAAGTTGAATTCCCATCCTAATTGCGAGCAGTTCCCTTCACCTAACCAAGGTATAATACGATCTAAGTCCTTTGGTAGTGAATCATAATAAACACCATACTGGAGCCCTAAGATGTTTGACTTTAGTTTTCCTACTCTTCCGTCTTTACTTCCAGCGCTACCAGTAATCCTACAAGTTCTCATAGTTATTTCACTAAAATCGTCTTTGTGTCTTGAAAGATATTTGTTTGCACAACTATCGACTAGACTAACTTCTTCTCTTGTAGTAATGGAACTAGTTGAAAGACTATGTCCCACAAGTTTTACCTCCCCTGTATTATTTACGTTTATTTCTTCACCCTCATCTTCATCCAAGTTCAGCGAGCAAAATCCGCTTTCCACCGGTTCCGCAACTCAGCTCTGCTTTCCGCCGTTGAGAGCTTGCCACAGCTCCGCAACTTGGGACATGTGAACCATGCCATTACCCTTTCCACCTTTACCCATAGCACTACTAGATTGGGAATTGGTGTTCCAGTTCCAGTTTGCCTGGTTCTGTGGATTCTTCCAACAAGACGCGGATTTGTGACCCGGTTTGTTGCAGATCCAACAGACTGGACGGGTGTCTTGTTTTCCAGAACCTTTATTATTTTTGTTCTGCGGCTTTCCTTTGCCGTTCGAATTGGAGGCATAGACCTCGGCGGCGATCTTCTTCTTTGTGTTTGCCTTGAAGCGCTTGAGAGCACTTTTAGACAGAAAGATCTTACCACCTTCATTGGCCTTTTCCTCGTCATCCTCCTCTTCACGAGAACGTTTATTCGAGGTCTCCTGAACATTGACCGGGAACGCCTTCCCGAAGGAATCGTTCTCAACTTTGTAGGTTCCCTCCTCGATCAACGTCGCAAGACGCTTTTCAAGTCGGTCACCAATCTGGTCAAATGTCAGACCATCTTCTTCCTGCATGCGTTCGATCGTTGCCTTGAAGTTCTTGCAGAACAGCTCGGGCAACTTCTGTAGCAGTGCACCATTTTGTTGGTCACTTTCTGGCACTCCTGCTTCCGGCGGGTACACGGTGGGCGACTGGTTCATGATGTCTCGGACTTTCGACAAGAATCCTGTGACATCTGCAGGTTGATCCGCGTTGTGGAACTTCAACACGCCATCCGTAAGCGGTTTTACTTTCATCCGTTGTTCCTGACGGTTGTTTTGATCGAAGTGTCCTACATCACGAAGGAGCACAACAACCTCACCTGCATCCATCGCATCCACCTGCCCATTATCGTTCTGGTTGTTGATGAACGACGCAGCGGCACCTTTCAGACTACGAATAATCGCATCTTTCAGGTTGCGCCACTTCTGCCGAATTGTTTCCTCCCGATTGGTAACTCCGTTAGGAATACCATGAGGAGCTGCCGGAATGCCGACTACATTCGTGTAGTTTTGAAGCAGGCCGAGACGGCTAGCTTCCTGACGTATGGCAAGTTGCCATGCTCGCCAGTCGGACTTCTGTCCGAGTTTCTTCGAAATTTCTTTCGCATCGCAGGACATTTTGAAAAGTTGTTTCTAGATGGATTTCTACTCTATACTTAGCTCAAGGGTCAAAGTAGTGTTGGATACATTCGAACACAGACTGTTAAGTCGCGTCTAGTTTCTCGGTGAGAAACACTTGAGAGTGATACTGTTTGCACAATTTGCACTCACAGCCTGAGACTAATGATCTCTGGCTGCTTTGATCCCTGTGGATGTTCATTGGGGTTACATGGAGGAAGTCTCAGCTTCATCATTGGGATATCATGTTGCATGGGGAAACTTTCATATGGAAACGCTTATGCTATCATCATTGATTCATACGATCATCCTATGTTGATTCTCATCATTGATCAGAACTGACAGTACGTTATGAACCTGATTACAGCTATGAAACATTCATCATTTCTTCTATCTGAATACGTTGAAGGTCCTTTGCCTGATGATCACTGTTTTTGGAACTATATGCATTTAGGTCTGTAGGTTATCTTTGAGATCATTCCGGTGCTGTTTTGTCCTTGACTGTATTGGGAGGCTTGAGCCACAAACGAGAGAGAGAGGAGAAGCCAGAGACACCCGCGCGACGGTAAACCCGTCGGGCGTTTGGATGGTGCTCCGGTAACCTTTTGCCTGGCGATCTTGGTCATTTTGCTGATCTTCATCCTTGTGATCTTTGTGACATTTCGAGGATTATGACCTTGACCAACAGTTTTTATCCTCCACCACGACTACTGTCCCAGAGTACAACTTAGTTGATTTTCTTACTCGTATCCTACGACAGATTTGACAAATTTTGTATTTTACAGTAACCGATTCCGATAATCTTCTATTGTAGTTTTCTTAGCTTTAGTCTCTTCCACCACCACCTGCTCAAAAACAAAATGTGGAGGCAAGCGTTGCGTCCTGTGAAGCAAGCGTCGGCCCGACGTGGGGCTTCGTTCGGTGCTTCCTCGTCGTCTACTTATCGGCTCTACGCACCCGTAGCATCCCAGCAGCGTCTCTTCGGTTCTGCTGCTCCCGCTCCAGCGAGTACTCCGGAACCGCAAAGCACCTCTGCGGCTACCAATTCTAGCAGCTCTTTTACTGCGAAACCCGCGTCGGGCGTGCCGACTCCGAGCGCTGAGACGCTGAAGAAGATCAACGAGCCGTTCGAGTGGGCACCAGAAGAGCATTGGCGGGACCCGCTGAATTTGGAACGAGAACTAACTGAGTCTGAGATCCTGATTCGTGATGCGGCACGGAAGTTCACCGACTCGATCCTGCGGCCCCGTGTCCGCGACCATTTCCGCCAAGAACAAGGAGACACACGAGGCATTATCAAGGAAATGGGTGAAGCGGGACTGCTCGGTTTGGTTTTGCCCGAAAAATACGGATGCGCAGGAGCTAGTCAGACCAGTTACGGGCTAGTGGCTGCGGAAGTCGAAAAATGCGATTCGGGATACAGGTCGACGCTCAGCGTGCAGTCTAGTCTGGTACCTACTTAAAATTTTGATTTTTACTTAAAGCTGAATATTTTTAATATTTTCAATAAATTCTTGACTGCGTTTGTTCTTTGAAAAATTGCATTCATCCACAATCTACTAGATGTCCTCGTGCTGGTGTCCTTTGTGTAGAGCGGTGCTGAGATTATCTCCGCCCCTTCATAATATTTTTCTTGCCTTCACAACACTAGGTGATGTGGCCGATTTATCTTTTCGGCAAGGAGCCTCTGAAAGAGCGTGTGCTCCCGCAACTGGCTGCGGGAGACTTAGTTGGCAGTTTTGGTCTTTCCGAGCCGAACCACGGAAGCGACCCCGCTGGTATGACGACGACCGCTCGTCGGGACGGGAATTCCGATAATTGGTTGCTTTCCGGCAGCAAAACATGGATCACAAACGCGCCGATTGCCGATGTTTTTATGGTGTGGGCCAAGGTGCATGACCCGGACGACAAGCAGTTGCACGGCAAGGTTCGTGGCTTCGTGATCGAGCGACAAGATCAAACCGGCAAGCCCACGGCACTGGAGACGCCGAAGATCGAAGGCAAGTTCTCTTTGCGCGCGAGCCCAACAGGCATGATCATGATGGACGGCGCGCGCGTTCCCGCTGGCAACGTTCTGGATATTGTGGGGATGAAGGGTCCCTTTACGTGCCTCAACAGCGCCCGACTCGGCATTGCGTGGGGAGCACTGGGTGCGGCCGAAGAATGCGTCTCTATCGCGCGTCGCTACCTCTTAGACCGCCACATGTTCCAACGCCCACTGGCCGCCAACCAGATTATCCAGAAGAAGCTCGCGGACGCGTGGACCGACATTGTCCTCGGACAGCACTTGGTTTTGCGACTAACACGCATGAAGGAGCAGAACGAACTCCACAGCAATATGATCTCCATGGCAAAGCGAAACTCCTGCACCAAGGTACTTTATTTTCAAGAGAAATAGTGGAGCATATGCATAAAAATCGTGAAGATGTTGATCAGCCATGATTAATACTCCTGTAGTTTTCGTGAGGAAGAATTTAGAATTACTCTTTGTGTCATCTACATCTTCCCTACTGAGTTAGTACTGCAACTTTTACAACTATGTATGATTTAGCCTCTTTTTCTCATAACAACTTTCAGGCTTTAGCCATCGCACGTGAGTGCCGAGATATGCTCGGAGGCAACGGTATTGTAGACGAGTACGGTATTATTACGCATGTTCTGAATCTCGAGGCAGTGAATACCTATGAGGGCACTCAAGACATCCACGCCTTGGTCTTGGGACGTGCAGTTACTGGCATTCCAGCATTCGCAAACTGAGCACACCTCCAAGAAATGTTGGAACAATTTTCTTGACTTTTTGAACGTGTAATTTTCTGCAAGAGGACTAGGTACTTGTAGAAGAATCCGAAGTTAAGGAGTTGCACTACCAGGATTGCCACCTTTTAGTTCGTTGTAAAGATCACCAAGAACTACAGAAGCAAGCAGTATACAGAAGGTTCCTCTGTGTATAGAAAGACTAAGTGGAGCTTAACATCCTGATCAGGCGAAGTAGTGAAACGATTCACAATCTTCTTGTCAGTCATCGAGAAATGAAGATTGACTATTTTAGTTCAAGTTTAGGAGCGACAGCTTCGCCTTTTGAGACCGAGTTTGGTATGTTCAGTCTGTGCGCATTTTAATCGAGTTGTGTGCATTCTATCGTGATTTTACTTTCTAGGTTTTTATTCGTGTTATTATTTATTGATGCATACGCATTTGCTTTACGTTAATGTCACGGTCTCTTAACGTGACACCAGGCAACGGCAACGTTGCTTTTATTTGTGTAAAGTTGGTGTAAGTACATGATCCATACATAGCGTGACTTCTTTCAGTATGCGGCAGACTAAGTTGTTGTATCATGTGCGTTCTCTATGCATTCAACGGACGTTTTCATCCTTGCTAGCCTGATTCCTTCGATATATACAGACGTGCCAGGAGGTACCAGAAACTAACTGAAGCTTCTATCAGTTTTTTTGAAACAAAATTACCGCTCTGCGGCATTAAAGTGTAATTATAGGCGTTCCTGAACGACACACAGGGTGGACAGAAGGAAAAATACACAATTGACTGCAGTGCGGAAGTTTATGTTATTGTAACGTCCGGAACACCGCCGTGCATTTTTTCAAAGAATAGCAAGTTCTTGTTGTCCAGTCTGCTGATTATTGACATGTTGGATAAGGAGGAGATACTGCTCCCTCGATGGATTGGAAATGCCCTGAACATACAGCATCTACTTACCTCATCTTCCGTGTTAGTAGGCGCATACCGAATAAGAATTGAACTTCGGCGTAAGCCCAAAATCATGCCTCGTCCTTGAAAAATCATCGGAAGAGATGAGTGACGGCCGACAAAAACTAGTGTGCACATCTTCCGGGTGCCGGAGAGTCGAGTACACGACAAGACCCAATACAAGAATTGCGACGGAAGCAGCCTATTGAAAGAGTGATGGAGAGTCAGACGCGAGAAATATCCCTAAAATGAAAGAGCATTCTAGTGCTTCATGTCCAGCATGCCGTACAAATGTGAAAAAGATTGTTGGTAGATGAAATAAAAGAAGATCAAGATTTTACGGACGCCGTATTTGCATGTAAATAAAAGAACTTGGAATCCCTCAAGCCGTGGCTTGTTTGACATTGACTAAAATATGCCAAGGGCTCATTCAAGAAATACTGCGACTCGTTCAGCAATAATGGGAGGTGACTTTTTTGCGCGCTCTGCTTCGGTTTCTGCGCAAGCAGAAGCCCTTGTGGATGCGTTGTTATCGTCAGATGAGGAGAGCGCAGATGAGGGTGCTGACGCGCAGGCGTCAGGCGGCGCCCAGTACCCAACAACTCCGCCTTCATCTCGCGCAGCAGGGCTACCTTCGTGCAGCGGTGAAGCCGACGAGTTGACGGCACAGCTGGTGCGGGCTTTCGCCTCTCATCGTGCAGCATCTTCACTCGAGAACCAGAAGAAATCGATGAATAGCCCTTTGCTACGTGCAGGAGAGCAAGAGCCAGAACCGGAGTTAGCTAATGGGTCGTCGACCTTGTCTCCCCGAAGATCCGCGCGGTCAGAGACAGCCGATTGCAGCGCTGGAGGTGACTACAGCCCCAGAATAAGAGGGGGGCAGCAAGAGCAACGTCGTGTCCAGAGACAAAATCAGGGAGCAGCACGACAATTACTAGGGAAGAATAAGGATTTCGAACGAGCTCCATCAGAACTTGTGCGGGAGAGACTAGGTGCTTTACTTGAATCGATGCCGACCAGCACAACTTCAAGTGATAACGCAGCGCCACTTTTGGCTGCTGCAGGGTTCGACGAGGGCAAGAAAGAAGCGCTTATGGAAACGATGAATGGAATTAAGAAAATTTCTTCGGAATACCAACGAATCCAAGACGAGATGTCGCAACTGAAGTCGTCCCTTTATGGGGAGCAGGGGTTCCGAGAGCTGGCTGGGACTTTGCGAGACATGCGCGGCTTCCGTGATTTGCTACTTGACGAGCAGAAAAACGCTGTTGGACTTCCGCCAGCGTCGGTTGAAGATGAGGAACTAGCGTCTCTGCTAGAGAGTCGATTCGCAGCCTCTGCACAACCGCGACCACGAAGAACGATGGCGCAGGATCTGGACATGTCGATGTCAACTGCGACGACGGCGCCTGGAACCTCGCGTTGTAACTCGGAACAGGAACATCAAGAAGGAGCGAAAGATGAGCAAACTTCTACACTCATGAATGGAGGCAGCACGACTGTTTCTCAACGAGTGCGAGCAAACAAGGCGCAACATCAAGAGAAGGCTGCAGCACCGAAAACGCTGAGAAATCGAGAGGAGCTAATGGCAGCAATCGATAGTGAAATCACGGAGATCGAGGCTCAACGTTCCTCGCTCTTGCAGGTAAAAAGCGCACTTTCCAAAAACATTGAGCGATCAGGTCACTTGAAAACCGATGGTGGTCCACCCGCGATGCGGCAGAATCAGTCGAATGGAACTACGAAGGGCGAAATCGTTTTCGGAATTTTTCTCTTCCTATTAGCATGTTACTTGTCGTCGTCGGATTTTCGCCGCCTTATTCGGGGCTGACCAGATGCACTTGCATCATGAGTACCTTGTTCCAAAGGTCCTGGCAGGATATTCTTTTAGAAGCTAAGCCTCATTTTGGGGCTGACGCCACCTGTTGGCAATCAAACATTCATGGCTCTGTGACTGCCGCCCTTTTAGATCTTGATCCATACAAGGACCAGCACGACGTTTACTCAAAGAAGTAAATTTCGTTAGAACGTCGTAGTCGTTGATGCCAAATTTCCAAGTACCTCCCTACCTGCCAAGTAAGCAAAATTCGAGGTGCGGAGAAATTACCCATTGCTGAGAGGGCTCACCGAGGAAGACACCGAGGAAGACACCGCAGTCAGGCGCTTCTTGCTCTGAGAAAACGCAGAGCATGAGAGGGGGCGGCTTGTGCGAGGGGAAATGAGAGGAAGAAGAAGTACAGTTTCAATTTCAAAATTGGAAGCAAATTGGCAAAGGTTCTGTCTAGAAAAACTTTGGGAGAAAATAAAAAATGGTTGTACTAACATCGTAAGCAGTATTTCTCTTGAAGAATCGTGCCATTGAAGATGTTGAGTACACTTCGTGGGCAACCGCGTCTCGGCGGTGCGCTAAGTGGTAGAAATCGGCCACTTGTGGGAATCACGTGCTGCACCTCTCTTGGCGAGTTCCTTGGCCAGGAGAAGCGTGCGTCTCCGCGCGGCGGTGACGAGCATGTCTTGTCTTCCTGGTGCACCGATTCGTCGGTAACATTCTCAGGCCTGTGCTCACGCTCCACTGCGAGCTCTTCCCAGCAGCGACGCGGCTACACGACATTCGGCGGTGAGGACTTCTTTTCGGACTTGTACGATGCTCGCAAACCATTGGCCTCCTACACGCCTAAGGCTGCCGCGAACGTAAAGCTCACTTCGAAGGAGTTTGTGAAGAAGATTCGCAAATGCCATGGGCTTTACGAGACGGTGTACGACGAAATCTTGGCCGAGTTGGATTCCCAGGGTCACAGTTCACCAGCCGCAGAGGCTAGCGTGCTGAGTTCGGGCTTATGGCAAAAGCAATCCTCCTTTGATCTCATTTCCTTAGAAAGATTGCTTCTGCTTGATGTTCATCTCAGAGCTTCTTGTCTAATTTCTGAGGCTAAAAAAATTTTTTATCTCTGGCTCAAAAAGAAAAGTTGAAATTATACGATCTCTCTAATTCTGCTGATGACGTCTGGGTCCTCTGCTTCTTCTAGCTCTACTTTGTCTTTGTCGCACAAGTCCCGATCCGCTTTTTTTGAGAGTTTGATGGCGAACATGGTGTTTCCGAAGCATGTGCACCGGTACTTCATGAAGGCAGCTAATGGCGCGAGTCTTTTTCCGAGCTGCATTTACACGCACGGAGCTGCAGGCTTAGGTGACTACTGCCTAGAAGCGACGGCGAAGCGTGACGGCTCAAACGTCGATGTTGACCAAAGGAACATACAAGATGCACTGCGATTTGTCACCTACTACCGATCGCCACTCATGCTGGAAGAGTAGTACTCTATCCTTCTCATGTGAGGTCTTGTTTTCTCAATCCAGTATGGTGAGGTCTTGTATTTTATCATCCACTAATGTAATTCTGAATATTCTCAGAAACAAAAGAGGAATCTACTTCCTTTCATCTTTGTCGTTGCATCAAGATTTCTTGATATTCTAAGGTCTACTCTCACGTCCCTAATGTATAGATTTTGCAAACCCGCCTTCGGGCTGGGTACATCATGATCATGTACTATTTTTTTCAGCTGTTCGTGGGAGTGGGACGATGCTCCTTCAACGTTCGCAAATACGCATCATCTTGACGCTCTTCCATTACATACATGATAAATATCAAACTACAGGCTCCATCGCATGGGTTACGAAACGAGGGACATTCACCGACTAGTTGCAAAGGCGATGTTTATGCAGTTTCATGCAGGAGATCCGTTTGGCCCGAAGAAAGATCCCTACATTTTTTCTTCCATGACACGCAAATTCTATCCTTGCGAAAGTCACGTATCGACGGGGAGCACGGACTTGGGACGAGATTTGGAGATGCAGGCCGCTAGAGCTTTCTGTTTATGTCGACTCGTGTTAGTTTGAGAATCATTATGATATATTAGCCAAGGTCTCGCGTATCTGACATTGACCTACTGCTACTCAAGGACTTAACGACAAACTTCTTCTGAATGGACTACTTCCCTTCGCAGTCCTGTTCGGCTTCCAACAGCTTGTTCTTCATTCTTTCCATCGGGCTTTCATTTCCTATGGGCACTCTTGGCGTGACCCCACCTGTTACGGTGATCGCGAGTGGAGATACCGGGATGTACACTGATGGCGCCATGCATGCAATCGCGCATCTGGTCGAAGCTCGGGAGCGCGGTTACGCGATGCCGCTCATTTTCTTGATTCACGCTAACAACTCGAGCATATCCTCACGAGTAGGAAGGGATGATGGTGAGCTTGTTGACCGTGCTGGAGAACTTTAAGTTTATTCATCACCAAATGAATCTGGTGACCTACTCAAATAAGTAAATCATGTGCTACTCCGAAATGAGCATAATATTTCCAGGTTCCTCCTCTAGCACTGGGTCTGACTACGGCTTGAAGAAGTTAGTCGAGCGCTTCGAGAGCTACCGCTCACTGATTGATCCTGGCTTTGTATCGTGGGCGCCAGATGTGGCAGGTGGCATAGAGAGCATGCAGCGTGCGGTAGACCAGGTGTGTGCTACGGGTAGACCGACATACGTAATCACTCGCTTTCCTTTTCGACCAGGTGGCCACGCCAACGACCAAAACCCAGCCCCGGACGCAGTTGTGGTTGACCAATTCGCCAAGCTGAAGGATTGCCTGCTGCACCAATTAGCTCTCGGTGTTTACTTATCTACAGCGTTTGATTTTGATCGAAGACCTCAAGGCAATATGAAAATCGCCCATGGAGGAAAAATAGAAATCAATCTTACTCAATTAAAACGAAGCAACATGCTTATCATACAATGGAGCGGGTTCTTGAACAAGATGACTTCGTGCATGAGGGTAGCATGAAGATTTGTGCTCCTTCGGCCGAAAAAATATACATACTTTTCACTAGGTTGTGGCTCTGCCGCCACTTGTGGCGAGATCAAAGACGCTCTAGAATCGACAAACGCTTCTATTGGTGGCGAAGTCGATGATGCCATTTTAGGGCGCAATTTTTTGACGCGGTCTGAAGCGCTAGAACTGTCTCAACCCGGTGTGGAGACAGCTTTGAAACAAGAGAAGGGAAGAATCTTTTCGCTGCCGGCAGGCTATCTCCTTGGGGAATTACAGGGAGTAGAAAGTACCGGAATGGGATCAGACCTCTTTGCCAAGGCGATCAACGCGGAAATGGACAAAGCCGATGCAGCTGGACGTCCCTGTCGTTACGTCCATCAGGAAAATCATCTCCGCAGCAAAGCGAAGGAAGCGAAGAAAGTAATCTTGAGATGAATTTTATTTACAAGACATATTAGAAACTCCTGATTCGTTTTACTCCCTTCACGTTAAAAGTCACTGATTCATTGGGTCATCAAGCCGCATCATCTTTGTTAAGTAGAATTTTACGTTTTTGACTCTGACTGTATGATTTGAAAATTTCCAGAGGATCAATCATGATGTGAGTATTCATCTTGTTCTTCTTCTCCAGGAAGGAACATCTGGCACCGTGGTCGTTGAGAATCTGCGGGACAGCCGCGGCGGCGTCTATGGAGAGCTAAATTTGGTGAAAGAAAAGCATCTTGCAGAAAAGTTCGTGAACTTCCTACCTCACGAGTCGGGTGTTGTGCAGGTGGGTGCGGCTTTTCGCAGTGTCGCATTTCCGTCTACTTCTCCTTCTGCCACTAGTAAAGCTGTGGATCCTTTGGTTTTTGTGAAGGGTCCGCATACCATTTTCAACGAGCACGCGCGTGACCACATGAAGTATGCAGCCTATCGTTTCTGTGACAGTGGAACTGCTGGCAACGTCATTTACATGTTCGACGGAGGCTCGATTGCGAATTTCGACGCAGATAGCGGGCATTGGCTCGCGCGAGTGGGAGAGCATCACAACACACCGGAGTACGCGAGTTATGCAAGTGACGCAAATACCGTACTCGCTCTTCCGCTAGACATGAATGCGTTCCAGCTGAATATGAAAGAAATGGTCAGACTACACGACCTAGGACGCATGGTCGTGTGTGTTGTGCCAACTACCGCTTTTCAGAAATTGCATACTCGCATGGAGCTGCAGCTAAGCGAAGGAGACAATGATTATGGAGGTGTTCGCAATATGCATTTTGATTTTATCGTTCTTAGAATCGAGCGACACGAACACGACCCATTTGTGCGAGATGATGGTGATGAAAGATACACTCGTATCACCACTGCAGTGATCGATTTCTTATTTATGCGATTCCTGCACCAGCAGAACAACATGGCGAAAAAAGTGAACTAAAGATTTCCATTCAATTTCTAACGTAGCGACGCCGTGACTCCTACGGATGACGGCAATGGTTTTGTCTTAGGCGTGAATGATATGATCCGCGTCAACTTGTCGTCTGCTGATGATGCACCATCGAAGGCAAGCAATTCGTCTCCGAAGAGAAATCTTGTAGTTCTCGGTTGGGGTCCTGAGAGTAAGATGGTGGTCAAAGCGCTTAGGGAGGAAAATGTCACAGATTGCGACTTTTTCGTGTTAGCATACAACCGAGCACCAAACAGTCTGGTACGCTTTCTGGAGAAACGCATCGATGACTTAAAGGTATCTGGAGGCGGAGATGACTTGCTGGAGATTCTAGTAGTCGACGGGAATCCGAATGCTGGTTTATTGGGTCCGGTAATCACGGATTTAAAACGCAAGATGTTAAGGCAAAACTGGTGGTGGTGTTGTCATGACTAAAAGTATCTATAAATGTCGTATCTAGTATCGGGGTAGTGTCAAATTCAGTATGTGCAGCTGGCACTAATCACTTTGAATTTATTATGAAGAAACGAACAGATCAGTCCATGTCCAATCATAGAAGAACGATAGGTTATTTCAAGGGTTCTGTGATTCATCTCCACGCACTTTTTCTGGACGCACCTCAGTCGCCATAGATAGATATAAAAAACTAGCAGCTCTAATGAGAGGGCCTCGTTCTGCACGCCAGCTTAGGTTCACCGAGTGCACAATCCCGAGCACGTATATACCCTACGGACTCGGCGACTCCCTCATGCAGGTCGAGGACGTGCGAAAAAGCATTCAACAAATCTCGGAGGCCCAGAACAAAAACGGACAATGCGTCAGTCTCAGACTTGGTGTCGTTCCCAAAGCACTCGGGTCTTATAGTTCTTAGAATATATTTATAATGTTGAACATTTTTATTTCAAGTAGTGCAAGTACGGCCTTTAGAACTACCATCTGGAGGTTGTTGGTGGAGTCCTATGACTTCGAGATACTTTTTGTGATGTTGCACAGGTTCAAAAGCACTGTATTTCTCAACTCCTGCATAGTGTAAAAAAACCCCAACATATTTTTAGTGATAACTGTCACTTGCCGCACGTTATTTCGCAACCCCTCTCCGGAATGCGAATGTCAACACTTTTACCAACAATTCGCACTCACGTCAATAAAGCCGTTTTTGGATACTTGGCCGACAATTTTTGTAAGCCCCATAAGATCAGCAATGTCATGCGCGCAGCGAATACTAATCTTGATGAAAGAGGACATCAGAGGCAAATCTTCAACCCATGAAGTGAAACCAGTTGCTGTTGATGCAGTAGTGAAAACATTCAGATATGTAACTCTGCATTATAGATGCAACGAAAATAGTAATAGCGGTACCCAATCTGTTTACCTTCGTTTGCACGAGATCAAGAGTTGAAAAACAAAAAGCAGCTCGAATTTGAAAGGCGTTGACTGCACTACATTACATTTTCTGAGAGAGAGAGAGAGATTGCGAGAGACGGCAGCCAACGTGGATGTTTTTACCCAGTTGTTCATGATGAATTGTCTGACTGCGAGCTTAGTTTTCAAGAGACTCATAGCCGTGCTTTACAAAATGAGCTAGTAGGTTAAAAATGTCTGTAACTGAGCGCAAACATCTGCAAAAATGGGATATTAGACGAGCTTCGATGGACCCGGTATCTATCGGTTTAAATACGAGTTGGAGAGTGTCTATCGGTCTGAGTACACAGACTTCTTGGAGAGTGCTTCCTTGTTCCTCGAATGATGGTTCCTCGAATGAGGACCAATCAGGCAAAATAATAATGCATGTTGAAACAATTTTCGTCGACTTCGACAGGGGGGAAATATGATTCTATTACTTACAGTTTCCCGCCGTTTCCTTATTTCCTTTTTTTGTATTAAAGGTGTTGCAGGCGGCACGTTTACAGGTGACAACGTTTTTTGCTTTTTATTCCGCATGCAAAGACAATTCAGTGGCTTTTTCATGTACTTACGTAATCTTTGAAATTTAGAATTCGATGATTGTTGAAAAACAAAAAGGTGGCTCGTACTCGTATGAAATGTATAAAGCTTATCTATCAAAAGTTGTAGTTCGTATCAATAGTACTAGCATATTCATCCTCTTATACATAAAGTAGAAGCTAGCGTAGCGCCACCAGCTGTAGGTCGTAGTTGTGTTTTTGGCTCTTCAGCAGCCACTGAAATCTGCTCGTTTACCTGGTAGACCCACACCTAACCTGACCTAACCTAACCTCTACGTGACCGCCCAACCGCAGTGCTCTCGACATTTGGAAAGTGAGTGTTGTATCGGGCTTTTTATTTCAAATAGATGTTGAAGATGTTGCGCATGTTAGATATTGTTTGATGCCTATGTAAGTACGCAGATAGTATTAATTTGAGAGTGATATTCATGAAATGTTCTTGCTTAGTCTTACTTTTCTAATCTGACGTTCGCGCTCCTGTGATGTGACTAGTTGACCAGTCTCCTCTCAGCTTTGAGCCTACTCAGCTCATCTCGTACGTGAGTGACGACTCTAATTTGAGTAAGCACGACTGATGTAGTAATGATCAATCTGTCCATTATTTTTTTCCTATGCAGCAACAGCGGTGAGCCGCCATCGTTGGGCATCTATTATAGTAGACAAATTCATTGTGAAAATTCTTAGTAATGTAGGATAGCATGACCTAGGTCTGGATACATTACTTGGATCTTCCACAGATCTGAAATGAAGATTTGAAAGTCGTAGCTGTGGCTAAAAGTGTAACTCTCTACGAAGATGTTAATGTGTGTCTCCATGTGTATTTTCTCCACTACTGTGCAGTCGGAATAAGAACATATTATGTAATATCCAAGGCTCAATGATTGGCTTGAGTGAAAAATAATACATCTGCACTGAAACTTAGCTTTACATCTGTACTCAAACTGTGTGTTTCAGTCCCCTGACACCTCGCTTGACAGTAGTCGCCCCCTACAGTGACGAAAGGACGTGGATTCGTTCTCACTCCAGTAGGCATGACAGTTGTGACACGGCCACGAAAGCTCCTGTCAGTTGAATTGAACTTCTAATCATAGAGTAACTAAGGGTAAGCTTCAAAAAAAGAGGCGGATTAGTTCATGATGAGTTGAGTTAGTGGCTTAATCACCAAAAATCCATCTGATAACAAGTATTTGAGTAACCTCCTTCCATAGCAGGAACTTGGTAAGAATTTTTTCCCCTTTGGCTTAGAGGTGTGCTGCAAATCTTGACTGGCTTCTTCCTTTATATAATATAAGGATGAGGCTTAGGCCCAGCGACGCTCAAAGCACATACGAAAAGCAACCGGCTCGTTTTCCCTCTGAATCTTAGGCTTCTCCCTTCGCGCTACATATTATGTACTAATATCCAAGGGGCGGGTGCCCCATCGCCTTTGGGTTGTAAGTGCTAGTAATGACCCCTGTTCTCGAAACCTCTACCACTTAAATTATTTATTTACTTGGTTGTGTCTGTGTGCATGGTTACACGACTCTGCAAACATCGGCCGTCTGTGATGTCGTTGCTGGAATGAGTTTCAAGCACATGCCTATCCTGTTTTCTAACTAAGTATCTACTGCATACTTGAGTCTAATCTTACTATCTAATCTGTTACCACCTTATTTTCGTTCCATTCTTCATCACTGATTATTGAAAATGATCCATTTGCATCTGTGTGGTCTCTTGTGTTTATGATATTCAGATACCCATCGGCTGCTGATTTTCTGTTTTCAGCACTAGAATTGAATTCATACAGTTTAATCTCATTTGTTTATCTGAGTAAGTAGTTGAATGATTCACCAACATATATTATGAAGATAAGAACCTCTTTCCGAGATGAATAAGACTACTCGAGTTAGCGGCAGCGACCAGAATACACAAGCAAGCATCATGTTCGACAACATATTCGCATTTGGTAAACAGGATAAAAAGTTGAACATTACGGAAATGTAATTGAATGAGGTACTAGTATTGTTTGCACCTAATAGATTCGCTGTATAAATATTTAATCGAATGAGCACCAAGATCAAGAAGTGAAAGTGGGTACAAAAGTGCAAACAAATACGGGACGAGATGGGTTTTTTGGTCTTAGCAGGTTCGTTGGGGGCCTCGAATTGTGGTCAGACGTCGGGCACGGGTCGCCGGTCTGTTCAACGCCGATGCGCGCTGATAACATGTGACGTTCTCGTCGACTTGGGGGATAATGTTCAACTCCTAAGTTCAGCGTATGCGCCTTACGTAGATCTAGTCGCAGAGCAGGAGGGTCGGCGACGACTGCGTCCTGCTGGGCACGACCCCGCAGATGGACAGCGAGGACATGAAAATAGTCAGACGACGGGGACGACGAACGCATCGATCATAGAAGTGCAGCCTTCGTGGAGGTCAAAAGCATCTGGGTTCCTCTCATCGATATTTCTGCAACCTTCCAAAGAGTTTTTCGTCCGCTTCTTAATGCCCATGGCGTGGCAAAAGGGGATCTCGCAGGACTTGTACGCAGAAGAGGGACTGCGGTGGACGTACGTGCGGTGTCTCTTGGTCGAACGAATGTTGTCGGATTTGCAGTGTCTTCAGATCGTCACCGCAACCACTACATCTACTTCGAAGAACCCGTCTTCATATCCGGAAAAGGTCGATCAAACATCAAATAAAGACGCTTCTTCTACTTCTGCGGCTCCCCCTGGGAAGACTCCGCTTGCGCCACTGTCTGAAGAAAGCTTCTGTTCCGTTGCATCAACCTTGGCTGCGCCGACTGTCGCATTGGATGGCAATAATGTCAAGGAGGGTGAACAACCAGCAGGGGCGAACAATCAATCTAAACCACGCGACGGGTCTCTCTTTCAAGGGAGAAGTGTCCCCTGCATTGAGTTCAGCGGCGAAGGATGGCGCTGATCAGGTAGAGCAGAGCTCTCTGGATTTTTCATCAGCGAAAAGCATCAAATTCGGGAAACAGCAGCGTCAGAATTCTTCAAGTAGCCTTTGCGGCGTGGGTGGAACGTATAAGGGCGGACGGATTTCTGACTCGTCAGGGTTTCGAACAGCAATCGCGCCAGTAGGTGTGGTCAGCGACGACGCAACTCCATCAACGACGCCTACGACAAAGTCCGCTGCCAGTTCTGTGCCTCGGCCGGACGCTCCGTCTCCTCGTTGCCGCACGATTCCACCTAATCGAGAAGGAGGAGGACAGGCTGAAGAAGAAGCGCAGACCACAGCAGATGGGGGTAGCACTGCGAATTATATGCAAAGCAGTTCTACGAGCAACGGTAGATCAAGGAGTAGTGGCTCAGGTTCGGCTGCGGTGAACTTTGATATTGAGCTCGGTTTACCATCTGAGCTCGAGGTCGATCAGCTTCAAGCAGACGCTTCGCAGCCGGAGCGCAAGGCCGCCGCTAGTGCGTTGCTAGAGGAGGTGGAAGAACGTGGAAAGAGTGTGCATGTAGTCTCCCTCGGCTGTGGTCCCGCGACGGAACTGTGGAGTTTGAGCTATTTTCTTCTGGCCAAAGCGCACGCCTATTCAGGCAATGCCATCGCTCGTGCCGTGTTGGTGGACACTGCGCCTTGGAAAGATCAGATTACCAATCTGCGCCACAGCTTCTGTGAAAAAACTGGTATTCCCACAGAAAACATTGAGATGGACGTTAGACAAGAAGACGCCTTTGCGTGTGAAGTTTTCGAGCAACAATCTCGTGGGAGTGCGTCTACCTCTACCCAATTGGTCGTCTCCAAGAATACTAGGACAAATTCATCTGCCCTGCCAAGAAGTAGTCAAGATCTTCAACAACAGCCAAGCAACAGCTATCTTCTTGGATCGAAACATCAACCGGGAGCATCAGGGAACGACGGAATTATAGCAACAAATGTCCAGCCCACGGCCGTGAACATGAACTACGTAATAGAGCAACGCCGTGGTGCACAGATAAGTAGTTCAATTCCCCAAGAGAACCAGGAGGTAGGGACCATGATGCCGGAGGACGCGGGCGACACTCCGCACCAGCATGAAGCAGGTGTATATGTTGGAGAGGGGAATCATGACGTTGCCGGAGACGTCAGTGGCACCGTCGACAATGCTGTTGCTGCTGCATCATCCCCGACGTCCTCGGACGTGCTTACATCGCTGTGCGAGCATGCACCATTCTTGTCACCAGGAGGGGGAGCAGCATCGACAGGAGGAGGAGGAACTAAATGTTGCTCGACTAGTCTAACTTTGTTGACTGTGGCGGAGGGCGACAGGGTCAGTCGTCGCGTTTCGCCTCGGGCTGAGCATTACGTGCATTTGGACGGTTTGCGCAGCGAGCAGGGCTACACCAGCTTAAAGGTGGCAAAAATGTCCCAGGCCGCCGCTAACGAGCACAGAGCTCCACCTTCGTCTTCACACAGAGGTGAAGTTGGAGGTGATTCGGAACATGCCTCCTCAGTAACACAAGCAAAAGGGGATCCTCCTGTTGGTGCGACTCCTCCTGAGCTCTCTCCCGATGTAGCGAAAGGAGAATCACCTTCAGGAGGAGCACTGCAACAAGGACCAGAACAGCATGCGCCTCAATCTGTTGCAGAAGAATTACTGCAAGAAAAGACTCTTGGACTTGGAAGCTTGTTTAAACGAACGCCGGCTACTCAGGCGGACGGGTGGTTTGACCGGCAGAGGCTAAACTTGCTCTTTATCAATCGGTGCTGTCGCGATGTCGGGATACCGAAAGTGCGCAAGTGGTTTCCGCGCCTATTGACGCACCTGGTGCGCATGGATCTTCGTATAGAAGTTTTTGCAGTTGAATCGCCGGCGATTGGCTCCTCCGTTTTCCGCCTTACCACAGCCTTGTCCGAATACTGGATTTGCACTGAGACACCGCTCGAGCCCGTATCCGCATTGAGTATCGTTTCCTCAACTACTGCGACTGGTGCTACTGTACCAGCACCAGTTGCAGATGTTAAAACAACTCAGAGTTCCAAAAGAACAGCAACATCAAGTGGCCTCGCTTTTCTCTCTTCCTCCCCTGAGCAAAAACCCCGCACACTTTATTTTTTCAAACGAAAGCCAAAATCTCGACAGCCTCTTGGAGCCCGAAATAAAGCGCGTGGAGGCAAGAAGCATTAAAACAAAGAAGGAGTAGTCTATGCCAAAGTTCAGGAGTAACGTGAATGTGATCATAGTGCTAGCACCTGAATCTTTTTCATGTCTTATTTTCTTTTTGTGAAGGCACGTGAAGCCGATGGAAGTACAGTAAAACAAATGAAAGTAGTACAGTAAGAAGATACGCATAAGTAACTGAAGATAATCTTACTAGCTTTTTGTTTGGGTCTGAAGCCCTCGGCCGAGTCCACAAGCTTCAGCTACCCACACCTAACCCAAGTTACGCTTTATATATTCCGAAAAATAAGACTAGCACTAGGATGTAACGAATTATATTGCACGTCTTGTTTGTTTCTCAGGCAAGGAAACTGTTGCAAAATGCCTCTGAATGTGATTCTTGTGCAAAGAACATTAGTAAGTGAGATTATGTGCTGAAATTGAGGACATGAATAAATGCGTGTCGTGGTCTATGAGAAACAATATATGTCGCTGTTGGGTAATAACAGCGAGATGAATTTAAGAGGATCATGGTTTCTTCGTCGATGAACAGTTCGTAGTGGCAATCACTTATGAACACGCAGTGAAAACACAAAGCACGCGATCGAGAATAGAAGATCATGTGGGCTCGGTGTATCAGAGGCAGAGCGGAGTTGAATACTTATTTTGTCTTGCTCGCAATAGTCAGTTTTGGTATTTGCTGTTTGTGAGTAATCCTAATCGCTATGGGTATTTGACGGGTGCGGCAAGACATTCCTTCGATGAAAATTATTGCTTCTACGTTGCTTCCTTCGCATTCCTTGACTACTTTACCTTGTAGTACTTTTGGTTGTACTATCGATCTATGTATCTAGTCATCTAACTATGTTACTTATCGTTATGAACCCATCAATCATCCCCTAGCCCCTGCGATTCATTTTTTATGAAGGAACTTTTGGTTTTGTGGCTTCGCGCTGAACTAAGATCGTCGTTCTTGAAGTAGAAAATTGGTACAAAACTTGACGATCGAAGCGAATCATGATCCAAATGCAAGTCCAAGATTTACGGGGAAAATGCATTGTCTACCAAATTTCGTTGACGACAACTGAAGCAAATGAGTGTGCGGCGAACCATGCGGTATATTCTATAGAAAGGTACATCACGTAACAGTGTTCATCTGCATTTAACAATGGTCAGGACGAAATCGAAAAGTTATCCTTCATCGTGGTCGGCTTTCGTTCCGATTATCCAAAGTCAGTGACGAGGACGGGGCCTGCAACTCAATGGAATTTCCTCCAAATCTTCTAATTTAACGGCTTCTCTACCTTTTGAAACCTGTACGTAGTTCATTAAGAACTGGAATACTTCAATTTAATAATCGCAGAGAGGACGAGACTCAGCGTGATATAGTAGCGTAGCTTTACTGCTTCATCAACTAATTAATAATTTCTTCAATACCCCACGAATGGGTCCCCTACTACTACTACTAAGGTAGAAGACGTCGACTCGTTCTCCTTGCTCATGCTCTTCATGTAGCGCCTCGCAATCATCTTCATGAATTCGTTGCAGCGTCAACGTACAACTACTACTACCATGCAGAAGTATTTCATGCCTGTTGGTGCGTCCGGTCTTTGCGTAAGCATCGTCATGTTTGGGTTGCCCAGCAGCCCAGCCTGCCAGGTCTGCCGAGAGGAGCCGGTTGTTCTGGAACCCGTAGATGAAACAGCCTCACTTCCCCACCATGCTTGTTTCTTCATGAAACGCGCGGCGATTCCCAGCTGGCATCGGTCGTTCGGACGGCCGTACTGGTCTGTCTTTGTGTGAACCCATCACGAGTGCTGTGCGCGTGATCGTCGAGCCGCAGCTGTGGCAGCCGGCTACGCCAGCGTCTTTCCAAAAAATGTCTTCTCCTCGTTAAGGGCAACGCTCCTCATCAGTGTCTGTGTTAGTAGATCAACCCGCTGCGTTCTCTGCCTCATGGTCACTGTTTTATTCATACTAGGCTATCACTATAGTATAGGGTTAATAGTTGTGTTATTTTCATGTTGGCTCAAGGCTTGCCTTGTTGCCTGTTCCCAACGATCAGAGAGACCCAACCGCATGATTAAATTCTAGGTAAGTCGATCACTCGTTCTGCGCTACGTAAATCAATCAACCAATACAAATAACATGATAACTTCCCCGAGCGGTTGGGTCTATAAAAGGGGCTCAATAAAGATCAATAGGATTTTGTTGTAGCTCAAATGAAACAAACAATGCTAATTAACAGCGCAACAGATCTAGCAACTAAGTTCAAAGCAACCACATAATATCAAAGCATCAGAATAGTAAACAAAATGAAGGAAATGCAAACGACACATCATCGGATGCAAGAGGCAGGCAGCAAGTAGCCATCGATAACGGAATGTCGAAATCAAAATGCAAGTTCTTCAACCCCGCTGAGCATCGATATAAAATCACATCAATGTGGGTGGAGCTCGACATACTCAGAGACTTTGTGCTCACGCAAGGCGGGTCTATAACAGTTGACGAAGAAACAAGAACAAAGTACAAGATCATCATCAACGGAAAAGTTTACAGGACAAGCGGAATAACATACTTGCTTTTCTATCCCAAGTTTCTCGCCAGGAAATTACTGAAGTATGCTTTTCAAGAATGTAGACACACTAAAACTCGAATGATACGATGTAACTTAAAACTAGAAGAAGGCGCAAAAGAAAGACATTCTGATATATGGATTGAAGAAAAACATACAATGCAAGTAACCAACTAAACATGCTAAAGAACTAAATCAAATTCCTATTAGACTTACTCCTTGCACCAAAAATATATTTTTCATTTTAATACCCTCCCACAAATTCCTCAGTACTACCTCCTATATAAAAAAAGTAGTCTCACAAGAACAAGGCGGAAAGACGAGCAGCATAACGCAACGTTTCTTAAATAGTGGCTGGCACGTTCTCCGATCCAGAATATCGATCGACCGTGTGTCTCCATTCGTACAAGATGTCCTCGAATCACAAAGGGGATATGAGCTGCAAGGAGGCGGCGAAGCAAAACGATCACAAGGCCACAAGAGGTGAAGAATTCATTCCCCAAGAAGACGCGAAAGGCGGCAACATCAAATCCAAAGGACTCCTAGACGAAGCTGACGATAGTGGGCTCACACGTGAGGAGATAATCGACAAATACTACGAGCAGCAGAAAGAGCAGAATCAACCTGCTGATGGAGACCCACAAGCCATGTTGTTGCACAATAAGACTCACGATGGCAACCAACCCTCCAAGCACACAAAGACGGATGAGCAAGAGTGCAAGACCCTTCTTGGGGAGCAGAACGTTAGTGGCAAAATCCCTTCCACAGATTCCTATTGCACGGAGGAAGATTATTACTACGAGTGCGACGATTGGCAATACCAGTATGATGAATCGTATGCTGGAGGCGGATATGATTCAAGTGGAGGAATGTGCAAGCAAAAACTCTTCGATCCGATTGCCGACCTGTCGGAACAAGCTGAAATGCCACAAGATCAATGGCACGGTGACCCAAGACAATATCATCAAGCGATGAAAAGGGCAGATGTACTTGACGAACAAGGAGAACCACGCTGGGGAAGAAACTCCGACAAGAGATGGAACCTTCCACCAGGCTGGTACAAAGTCACTTGCAAAAATGTTGCCAGCAATGCTCGAGGAGTAATCTACTCAATGATGGTAAGGGAGACTTCCGGAAGCGAGTGGCACTCTGTTCCAACAGTACAACAATTTGGTGATGAGCGCTTTAATGTCTTCGACAGCGACGTGGATTTCGAAATCAGGAAGGGTGAACAATTCGCAGCCACAGCAGTCTGGCAGTGGAGAACCAAACCAAGAGAAGCCTACATCTTGGTATGCGACAAGCTTCGTCCACTCATAGATCCTACCAGATGGTGCATGCACAAGGAAACGGAAATCCGCCCAAGACCGAAAATGCGACCAGAAGAAGAAGAAAGCTTAGCGCTAGCAGGCAACAGTTCCTCATCCTCTTCCACATCAACCACCCTAGTTCCAGCACGAGAAGAAATGCAAGCAATGATCGATCGCTCGACGAACAAAATAAAGCAGGAATTGAAAGAAGAGATTGGGGGGGAAATAGTGGAGATAAGAAAGGAGCAGAGGCAACATCGGAAGCAAATCAAGAAAATAGTAAGCGGAAATGCATATCAGAATCAAGTACTCCACCTGATGCTAGAAGCACTAAACGTTGATACGGCAAGACTACCTCCGCCACCAGATGATGCCTCATCTTCCTCGGACAATGATGCAAACAAAGTAGGCGATAAGAGCAGCGGAACGAAAAAAGATTCGATTGCTGATCGAACGACTCGAGCAAACAACAAGATCAAAGACAAGCAATCGATCGAGGAACCGCTTTACTACGCTTCTGAAGCTGATCATGAGGTCGAACAACACGAACAACACGAAACCGGAAGCACTAGCAGCAAGGAGGTAAAAGGTAAGAAGCGTGCCAGCAGAAAGGGTAAGAAGATGAAAAAGGACGTGGGAAAAGGAGATGTCACTTCAAGCACCCTGCCTTCGAACATGTTCAGCGCAGCTCCTCCTCATCCTAATCAGTGTAAGGCCCCGAAAGGCACCACGACCATTGTGGAGCATACAACGACTTCGCACAACTTAGTATCTTCTTCTGATGGGGGAGCGGTCCCCGGCAATCCAGTCACCAGCCAACTTCAAAGCTCCGAAGAGCAAGCAGCAGCCCCTGGAGTCATAGCTGCATCACGAGCCACCCATAATATCACAAGTAACAAGACCATCGTTCCCTTGTGCAGCAGCACCCTACTACCGGCGATCGCAGAGGATACTCAAGCAGCACTGGAACCAACAACCTGGTCTAAAGATGAATACAAAATTGCCACGGGCATTGATGCGACCACTGAAGTGCAGAACGAAGTGGAGATGGACAATCAGCAAGAAGTTTCCAATCCCGATGATCCAGCAAAATCTACATCAGCAAACGACATCAGAATTGTTGAGCCAGCATCGGTCTCCAATGCACCAGCACCCAAGCTTGATGACCGAGAAGGGAAGGCACATCCGGAAGCCACAACACTTGATAATCGCATTGACGTTACAATTCAACAGCCCGGAGACCCCAACACACCCAAGAAGACAGGGTGCCCGATCAAGACTCCGCGACCAATGAACATTGAGCAACGCACTCGAGGAACTCAAGCTGGTTCCATGCAAGATCCTGCGTTACTGGTAGTATACCCCGATCCAGCGAGGAAGACCGGAAAGCGGGATTGCCAGCACGACATGAAATTAAGCCAAGACGCATGGATCAGAGAAGGGCGGCCCAACCTGGATGAAGGAGATGGCATCAAGCCACCTTGCCCAACGAAGCTTCGGGTCAATCCCGAGCAAGGGGGCAACCAGCTGAAAAAAGAAGGTTCGCAGGTAGTACGCAATGACGAAGAAGAAACCAAGGAGCAAGTAGAACGCAAGCACGAGCGTGAGGAAAGATATTATCAGACAATAAGAATCAATCTAGTGCAAGGAATAGAGGATGCGGAACACAAGCAGCTTGCAATGCGGATTGCATCCAAAGTTGCACATGTAGCATCTGACGTGCATAAGGAATATCCCAATGACATCCTAGTGGGCATGTTAGCTGCGAAGATCAAGGAGGAAGCAATTGATACAACATCCTCGCCACACATGATCAAACATTCCTTCTTTAAATCGCCAATCTGGACGGATATGGACATGCTCAAACACATCGTTGAATGCGAAGTAATTCGTTGGCCCTACGCAGAAGAATTGCAGGAAGACGAACTGAACCGCATGGACATTGGAAAACGCATTATGCATGAAATACAGCGCGAAAAGCAGAAGACCTGGATTGACGAGATGCAAGGACTAGCCCTTCTTGAACCACCCAAGTTCGCATTTGGCTGGTACGGACCAAAGGAGCAAGCAGATTCAAACAAGCATGATGGAAGTAAGGATAACCAGACGGCAGACGGAAAGGAAATCAGCGATATCCTCATCTTCACTCCCGAAAGTGTCAAATCTTCAAAAATCGGCGACATAGAATCGTCGCACAATCTGGATACTCAAGGAGGAAGTCGTAGTGTCGTTGACCCGGGAGTAATGAAAAAGGAAGCCACCCCTACACGCAGATGCAATGCTGATGCAGAACAGGCAGGACTGGATCTTGGGGTGCAAGCCTGCGAACCTGGGCCGAATGAACGCGGTACCACGGGTGAAGAATGCTGTCCAACAAAGCAATCAGAAGAAGACCAGATCGGAGACGAAGATGCAGACATTGTAATGCAAGGGAATGCTCACGAGGAACGGAAGGTCGACTCCAAATCCAGTCAAGCTGAAGATGCTGCAATGCTCTTGCTCACGCTGAAAAAGAATCCAGAAGTGGAAGAGAACACGGAGAGCGACAAGATGCAATCAGCCATGCCACACATATCCACACCTGCACAGCCTGAAAAAAGAACAAATGACATTGCACGCAGACAAGATGGAAAAGGTGTAGGGAAAAAAGTTGTCGATGATGATCATGCTGAACGCCATGAAAGGAGTCGCGAAGCCCGAAGGAAGCGGCATGCGAGCAGCGAGGAAGCGACGATCGCTGACGTAGCCTTTGCCGATATCATCACCGATTCCAAGGAAAACGATCTTCAAACGGCTGGTGCGATAGCAATTCCAGAAGGAGACATCGAGGAAGAACAAGACACTCGTGTAGGCCAAGCTCTCATAACGAAACACGACCGCACAACTCAACAACAAGAAGCCATAAACGCCGCAACTTCCAGTAAACAGCCGTCACATCCACCTCTTCCTAAGGACATCGACACAGCTGAAAATTATGCATTAACAGTGAAAGCTATTGCAGAAGGACGTGCTAGGCTATTTCTTCCGGCCAATGAATTAGGAAAGGTTGACTACTTGCGGGCCCTGAAGCAATCTGTAAAAGACGACAGGCAACAAGAAGAAAATGCAGAGACAGGCCGAAAAGAATCAAGCGAGAAGCTGGACCCCAAGAACGACCCCAACTTGCCGGAGAATCATCAAATACCGGACGAAGTGGGACTGCAACAACACGAAGCACCTCATGATCCTCAAGCCGCCATGCATGGAGAATTGACATCTGATCACCATCAGTACATAGTGGAGGACGTGCTGTTCAGCAATAATGAGCAAAATTACTACGAATATTCCGGAGTCCAAGGCGACAGCAACAACTTGGGTTACTTCGAGTATGGATATGGGATGGATTATACAGCGATGCCGCAACCTCCTCCACAAGGTCATAGCAGCAATCCTTTCGATTACCCAGTACAACAAGACGCCGCCTATCAACAATCCCATTATGCTTTACAAGGGCAGAATATCCAAGCACAGATGGAGAAAGGCGGTCAGCTTCAAGCTCACCACCCTTACGAAGCACGTCCACAACAACATGCGCAACTGCACATGCAGCAACACAGCCTCACAGTGCCATCGGGGCCAACAGCGGGACTACTGCATGATCCAAATCCAGCCCGGCATAATCCTTTCTTGACCAAGGGACATGGCAAAGCCAAACAAGCAGCGCCGGTTCATCATCAACCGCAACCGAGCTGGCATAAAGCGGATCACGTCCATAATCCAGAAAATTCAACTGTGCCGCACTTTGCTCAAGGCAAAAATGAAGGAAAGCACTACAATTTCAACTACTATGCGGAGAAAAAAGGAGGTGGAATCAAAGGTAGTAATTACTCCTGTACTTACGTTCGTAACTTGCTGCTTTCTCAGAAGGATCAATCGAGCAAGAGCTATCGAATAGCAATCCACGTCAAGATGAATGAGAATGATAACTACGATCCAGCAACAAGCGAAGGGGAATGCGCAAGACCTTCCTTGGCAGAAGAATCGAAACGTGTGCTATCCTTCCAAATGCGCCTACCTTCCAACTTGGTGTGCGAAAAAGTCATCACGGATTCCTGCTCAGGAAGGGCTATAGCGGAAGCCTTGCCAGCACAGAAGAAAACCAGATCCGACAATGACAGGTGGACCACTCCTAAAGCGCCATCCTCCACTCAATCGATAAGAGACGTTAGCACCCGAGAGCCAGGAAGCAAAAGCCAAAGCAGATACAATTGGTCCGGATGGGAAGGATGGAGTGTGGTTAAATCCTCGAAGGCGACCCCAAGGATGAAAAATAGCCCCCACATATTGGAAACGAACGAATCCAAATGGATCCATTCTATGCATAATCGCTTCGCAAGTCTACAGATCAACGAAAGCGTCGACGCACAAGGAATCAAGTGCTCATCTAGCACCCAATCAAGGTCAATATGCAAGACTCCTCCGACCTCTGTGCGCGCCGAATCGATCAGATCTGAGATCAGGAATACATCTAGTAGTAATCTATCCATAGACGTAGCCCGACCCAAGGTTGAAGTTGAGTCTCCCTTTGTTCACAATGCTACTGTAATCAACAACAGGTCCGAGCAACCCGAAAGCACAGCAGACCAATTATCAAGGAAAGAAGTGGTGAACAAGAACAATTCGAGAAGGAGAGTGAAGATGGACTCCGAGAATCTTGATAAAAGAGCTCACGAGGAGAAAAAAGCCGAAAAAAGGAGCGAAAAGAAGACAAAAAAGGAAGAATCAGAAAGCGGGATCAACAACGTGAAGAATAAGCAATGTACAAGTAGCACGAAAAGGAAGTGGAACATGAAACAGCAAAGCTGGCGCATGAACAACCAAGAAGTGGATAGCCTCGACGGGTCCGAAGCATCAGCAGACGCACATGCAAAAAGAACAAGTCGTGCCAAACAAGCAGAAGAAATAAGAAAAAGGATCGTAATTGCAGAAAGAAGACGTGAGCAGAAAAAAAGCAAGGGCGAGAAAAGCAGCAGAAGACAAGTTGGGCTAGCAAGTCACGAAGCCCCCCTCAGACTCAAAGGGAAATGCGAGAAGAAGCCCAGAAACAACTACTGTGGAGCGAATCGAGCTGGAGTAGAAAATAGTTCTCTTCAAAAACCAGCTGAACCGGCAGAAATCAAGCATGAAGAAGGAGAAGTAGTAGAGGTACAGGAAAAGAAAACTAGAAGCGAAACTCCTACAAAGTCCGAGCAAGAAGAAAGTAAAGCAAAAGGAAAAACAATCATCATCACAAAGTGCACGCAAGTTATAAATAAAGTCAAGGAACAACAAAGGAACGCAAAGTCCAACAACATAAAGCAAGCATCTTCTACCACAGCAAATACTTGTTCAAGGAGCAAAAAAGACATTACTCAAGAGCTAACTACCATCAAGGAAGGTCACAGGATGGAATCCAAATCTCCCGTTGAAAAAAAAGCCGTGGAAAAAACAGCAGAACAAAAGCTACAAAGCAACGACGAAAGATCAAGTACAGATCAACAAAGGGATCCAACACTAGCCTTCAGTTCTCGTTCACAAGATGAAGCAACCAAGTCCAATGCAGGATCACAAGAGGATAATAAAGATCTAAATCGAGAATCCATTGACTGGACATCTGAAGAAGTCGAGCTACCACAAGAAGAGCCTGCCCGAGGATCTGAAGACGCTGGTGATAGAGACATTGAGGAGAAGGAGGATAGAACACGGGCGCAGCACGGGAACAGCATCATCGTACATCACAAAGAGCCAGGAGACAAGATGCTCAAGATTGCTACGGTCAACATGCAATCTGCAGGCTACCACTCGCCGAGATTCCTCCAAATTGTCAAATTAGCCAAACGCCGCAAGTGGAGCGCTGTACTTTTATCCGAATTCGAATATACATCGGTTCCTCGCGAGCAATTAGCAGCGGAAGGGCAAGTTGACTCTTCATATGAAAGCAGCAGACAATGGACAACCGTGGTAAGACAAGGCTTCATCCTGGTAACCACTTGGGGCACAGGAATTATACTGCTCGACGCGGCACTACGAGAGCAGATGGAGTTGAGATTGAATAGCGAGGAGGTAAGCGAGAAGGTCAGGGCGAGACATCGAGTGTTATCACTGTATCTAGAGCGCATACAGCTACACTCGTACTATGCGCCGTCCGGTGCATCGAAAGAGGAGAACGCGCAATTCTTTGCTTCACTTGAAGCAGCGCTCATCGAAGGAAAGAAGCGACGCAGCGAGAGATGGAAAACGGTGATAGCTGGCGGCGATTCAAATTGTCAAATCGGAAAGCAAGGATGCAGACCACCCACAACGGTATGCGGTGCATACGGTCTGGAGAAATCGCATGACACGGCAAAAGAGCTCCTTCAGATCATGCAGGATAGAAACCTCCTCCTCCTCAACTCCTACCACGGTGCTGACACGGAAGACGTCAGAGGGAGAGCCACTTACTACTTCGGGGGTGAGCCAACCTCTGAGATTGATCATCTATGGGTAAGTGGTCACGCCTTGATACGCACTGAAAGATTTGGGAGATTAGCAAAGACCGAGCTGGGAGGAGTAGCCCTTGATCATTTACCGGCGGAGGCCGCCTTTCGGATCAGAACCTGGGCCGAGCTGGTAGAGGAGGGAGATGCAAGGAAAAAGAAGAGGCTGGTGTTCGAGAGGGCCCCCGACAAGGAAAGGTTAGAGAATCTCAACGCAGAACTGGCTGAATTAAGGAATGCGAGCGGCAACCTCAGCCTGGAGGAGTTCAGGCAATTCCTAGCTCACACGGCTGACAGATTTCTGGTACCAGAAGGGGAGCCAATTATGGATGTAGCATGTGAGGCTGAGGACCTCGCATTCTCCAGGAAGAATGTAACACAGGTCTGGGAGTATGTACGGAAGCACAATAACGGCGAAAGGACCAGGGGAGTAGGAATCACAGGATTGCAAGCGAAGGAGAAATATGATGAGGTGGGCAATTCTCCGCTGGTTCCAGACGACCAAGAGCTGACGATCAAGGACAAAATCGAAAGCTTGATAGAACCGCCCGACCCTATACTGGTGCAGAAACTCAATCAGCCCATTACGGGTGAGGAGATCCGAGACAATCTCAAGAAGATGAAATTGGATGGTGCTAAAGACGGTGACTCGCTAGGAATGAGAATGGTAAGCTACTTGGATGAAGACAACTTGGGATGGCTAGCGCTGAGGCTCAATGAGCTTGTTGCCAGTAGAGACAGCTCTAAGGAGATGCCGGACGAGTTCCACAAGTGCAGAGATGTCCCGCTGTTCAAGGGAAAAGGAGACCCATCCTCTCCCGATTCATACAGATTCCTCGTGATGACGCCGATACTTGTAAAGCTACTGGCGCGAATATTTGGGAGCAGGTTGCAGCGATTTGCCGAGGACGCATTCCTCCTGCCAGAGGAGCAGTTCGGATTCCGGAGGGAGAGAGGAACGCTTCAGGCTATAGCCATCTTCTCCAGGTTGCGGGAGGACATGACAAGGCATCGGGACTCTGCGCTTGGCAGGGCATTTCTCAGCATGATTGATCTCAAGAAGGCCTTCCCCTCCATCGATTGGAGGTTGGTAACCTACATCTTCGAACGCCTAGGACTTAGTGGTTCCCCGGCTTGGAACGCACTCTGCACAACACACCGGGATGCGATTCACAGCTTCGGTGGGGAGTCATTCAAATTGACTCATGGCTGTAAAGAGGGTTGTCCAACTTCGCCTGTCTTATTCATAATGTGTTACTCGGTGGTAATGAGATACTTCAGAATACTTCGACTACAAGGACAAGCCCCTCAAGGAGTAGACTTATGGAGCATGAAGGGCCTATGGCGAGCAGGGTGGAGGAGAGGACTTCAGAAGATCTTATTCAGCAACCAGGGCGACATCCCGGAGGGAGCCAACGTTGAGGAACTTGTGGCAATACTGTTTGCCGACGACACGACGCTACTTGAGATGATGACTCAGAAGCAGGCCGATGAGTACGAACAGAGGGCGCAGCAGGCAAAGGAACAGGGCGACCCACCGCCACCCACGCCGACTGTTGCAATACTAGAGAGAGCATTGGAACATGCTGGAATGAGGGAAAATGTTGGCAAGCGGGTGATACAGGACGTAACAAAGGTAGAACAGAGAAACCTTGGAGTCAACACATCCAACGAAGAGGATACGGCGCACAAGGTCACAAAGGCGTGGCGCTCTTTCTACTCATTACGAGCCAAGCTGTGCGGGCTCGCGGGCATGAGTGGCCCAGCCAGGGGCACTCTAATATTCTCTGTGGTAAGGAGTACGCTCACATACGGACTGCAAGCAAGGGACGCGACAGAGTATGAGCTGAATGAACTTGAATCAGCTGAGAAGGCGATGCTGGCGGCGATTCACGGAGTTCCCAGATGGAAGGTAGCCAAGGGTGAAGTCTCATACTCTGAGTTGGCAAGGCGATCCAGGCTCACACCGTTCAAGGAATTTGTTAAGGAGATACGTGCGAGGCATGTTGGACACACCCTCCGCAAGCAGGATGGGAAGCATCTGGATAAGATGGCGCTAGAAGGACGATTCATGCCTGAGATGGAGGAAGAAGCCGAAGGTAGACAAGAATACCTGAAAGACTCGGCCAGCAACAAAGCACGACAAACAGACAAGCGAAAGGCCCCGTCAATCCTCGACAGCTTCAGGAAACACGTAGTGAAGGAATGTGGGATGACTCAAGGACTAGTAGATGGACTGCTACAACCGCGGGAATTATGCACAGAACGAAAGGAAGAGCAGAAGGACGCGGATCAGAACTATGCGGAGAGGAAATCTTTCTACCACAAGGTGATAAAGATCAACTCCATCTACGAGACCATAAGGAACTGGACCAAGAACTGCTCAGAAGACACCGAACTCATCGCCAAATTGGCAGCCGAGCTGGAGAAAAAACATCTCGAAGCCCGCCAGACGTGGGCCAAGATTACGGAAGAACGGAGCAATAAAGTCTCCCAGACCTTTCAAATTCCATCAGGCCCGGAGAACAGCAGATGCAGCACAGTAAAGTTATGGACGGCACAAACTGCACAAGTCGAGGCGGTGGTGATAAGTGGGGGTGACACATCTACGCCGCTATCCGGTGGACTAAGCATTGATACTGGTACATCGCCCTCTGGATCCATAGCACTCCTCAGTTGGGAAGATGATGATGAAGAGAGACCAGAAATGCTCGAGCTGGAGGTTGACTCACCAACGTGGATATACAAGATAATGCTCCCAGAAAGAAACACCAAGCGAGGCAAGCAAAAGCGAAAACCATTCAGGATGGACGGAGGCTGGGCAGGAGACAACAACCTTGTAGTTCATGCAACGGGATTCACAAGCGAGCAAATTGGTATAGCAAAATGTCTGGTATTACCTCAAGGAGCACGTCAGCACCTACGATTTCCAGATGATGCATCCATTTACGGGCTGGCAGCAGCAGCCGACTTTGATGCAGACACATTCCTACGTGAGAGGAGCCCACTATGGGCAACGAGATGCCCGTTATGCAGATGGGAAGCCAATGCTGGTGATAGAGCCTGCCCCACCACCAGGGACGAAAACAAAATTGCCCTTGGTAATCATTTCGAAGCCTGCCACACCAACGAGATTGAGAAGCCTACCGAGCATGAAAAGCGTATGCTCGAATTAGCGATGGAAGAGATGAAAGAGTCGTACAAGAAGGAAGCAGAAGCATCACGTGCAAAGGAAGAAGGCAGGACGTTCCGGAGATTACATGATCGTGGACCCAAAAGAGCTGGAAAAGGAGCTCACTCAGAACGTTATATTTGTGACCCCTGTGGTATCTCCTACACCACCCACCTTGGCGCGATGCGACAGCATGAGGAAGCTCACGAGAAAGAAGACTACATCAAGGTGTACAAGCTAAAGCAGGCTGCCAAGCAGATGAAAGAAGAACAAGCAGGGGTAGGCAAAGTGGTAGATGTGTGGAGACCCGAGCAACACTGGCACAACAAAAAGACGGGAACAACGAATGGTGGAACTGACGCACGACTACACAAAATTCTTGTTCCCTCCCCGTCGTGGTCCAGTGAAGAAAAAGTCGAGCTGAGGTGTAGGAAATGCAACAAATGGAAAATCGCGTATGATGTACGGGAGCTCACTCTGCAAGCATGTTCCAAACGAGTGGATCTCATGAGAAGACATGAGAAAAAATGCAAAAAGGGAGCAAAAATGGAAGAAAAGAAGAAATAAAATCTTCCAACATCAACCTCTTGCCAGGCACATCAATCAATCAATCAATGTCTTCGTATTCTCCTTACCCTTTGTCTTTATTTTGACTGTGCCTTTTGCTGTTATTCCCATTTTTTCCCCATCATGACTCCACTTTATTTCTTCAACTTCTATAGCGTTCATCATCATCATGATCATCATCATCATCATCCTCATCGTCGTCGCATCTTCATCTTCATCGGCATGAGCAACCAACCAAAAAAAATGGTTTAGTAGAAGAGTCAGACGAGAAGGCAAGAGGGGCTGGATCTCAGCTCTATCCATGTCAACTTGTTTAGATCGTGCTTGGTTACTTGACTTTTCTTAGATAGAAAGTTCCCTTGAGCTTCTCGTGTTAGTTTATGTTCGATTTATTGATGTTTGGCGTAATCTTGGATCTATCTTCAAATGAATCTAATTCTTAGGCAACTACTTATTTTGTTTTTGATATGATACCTATAAAATATCTGCTATCATGATAGATGATTTTCTGTTTCAACAGGAACAGCTCGTGTAAGGTTTTTTTTGTCATTATTGTTGAGGTGGTGCTTGTGATCTAGATCGTGTTGCTTCCATTTCAATCTTCATCTCGTCCTTTCCATCTTCTTCCTTCTCTGCCCCTTTATGTCCACCTCTTATCCCAACGAATACCGACAGGCTGCTGATTGATGTAACTTTTTTAGCAGGGAGATGCTAAGATTGCAAAGGCATATCCGCAATCGTAATCCAACTCTTTTGTGTCATGAAGATAGAAGTCCTTCCCTTACATACTGTCAGTCAACTAGTCATGTGAGGGCTGCCTCAAAGTACGGCTACCAAGCGGGTCGTGAGTTGTAGACGCATATAGGCTAGAATGATCTACTTCTGCTAGTTGCTTGGTTCTCTCTTTATTGATGATCATCAGTATAGAAAGAGGACGTATTCGTCGCAGTTCATATAATATCGCGCTATGACGGAGCACAGGGGGACACGCATGGAAGAAAAGTGAAGGGGAAACAAATCAATATAGATAGCCTATAAGGATTTTGTAAGGTCCGTCTCCACCGACTTCCTTTGAGCCAACCCGATCCACCATCATTTTGTGACAGTTGTTTTTAGTGGCGTGTGTGGCTCTCTAATCCTTTTCTTCTACTCTGCATGTTGGTACCAGAAAGTCCGGCAATCTCTATCTTCCCCAGTGAGTTAAAAAAATAATTTTCTATCCTTGTCCTTGATTTGTATCTTATTGATTTCGAGATTCCACGCTTTCCTCCTTCTTCCCATGGCTCGTGGACTTCTCTCACCAAGAAGCAGTATTTTTTACGACGGACTGCGCAGGAAGAGGTCGTTACGGTAGGATGCATGATGCACTCCGTTCTAGATGTAGCTTCCATTGATAATTGTTTCGCTTTCTCTCTCACTTTATTTCCCGTGGGGAGATAATGGCCGTTTCCTTTTCTACCAGCTTAACCACTTACAAACTTTGACAAATATGTCGGTTGACTGAAGATCAAAAAATTTTCTTTCTTTGCTAAAACTTTGGAGAATTTGGGGTGCTATTCTTTATTCATTTTACCTGAAGTCTGGTCCCCTATTTTAGTATTTTATTCCCTCACCGGCACAGCCGCATGCGCATACGCATTCAGTAAACGTATCCTCGAAGCTAGAAGTAAGAACAACTACAAGGGTGTAAGACTCGAGTCCACCTCTTCCCGCGTGCGGCAAGTCCGCGGGGAGCCTCTTGATTGATTGAAGAACATCAAGCAACGTATGATCAATTTTTTGGTTCTCTCGTCGATGCCTGGCCGCATGTTAGCACCCTGAAACTGTGCTAATTGCGACATCCGAAGCCTACTTAGTTTTTCTCATTTCGTTCCAGATCATGACAGTATTTCTATTTCTTTGGTTTATTATGCAGGAAGTTAAGAAAATGACTAGTAAAGAGGAGATTTAAATAAATATTTGATGATGTTACAGAATTTCCTGTCAGAATTAGAAATATTTAGCGTGTTTTTTGCCAAGTAAGTTCGTATTATTATGAAAATACTTTGATTTTCGCATTATATTTCTTATAATGCGCGTCCGCGTGTTAATACCAGCGCCAGCCACCTTGAACGATCGTAAAGTCTGATATGGATGTCCTCGTCGTGTGCATTTTTCGAAATTAATCGTGGTCCCACGGGTGAATGCGATTTTCGTCTGGACTCACACCTTGGGGGCTGCGCATATTAGTTCGCCATGACTTACTAATAGGTGCCGTATCTCTTTACAACGCGGGATGCTTTATTGCTGATATATCGTTGTTGTCGTGTAATATAATTAAAAAGTGTTTCTTGTGGTCACTCGTCTTGTATATGATTATCCGAAGAAGGTATAGATACATAGTAGTAGTACTAAAATATGCGATCATTATCCTAGCAGTGACAATCTTCAAGGGGTAAGAATAACGCTTCTTGTGTAGGTATCGAGCAGACTTCTAATGTGAGGAAAGAATTTCTGATAGATTATGTTTTTCCTTCGGACGACAGACACAATGACTTACATTTATTGACTTCCTTTTCTTTTCAAAGTTTTATTTATTATGCTCTCTCCGACTCCGGCTTAGTACGTTACGGGTAGACTCTTGGTTGGAACGGTTTCGACTTAGTTCCCTAGGGTCTGGTCTCAAGGTTGATTTGCCAGGTCAAATCGGAGACGAATGACGCGACGTGTTTCATTTTCTATCTCGTTCATTAATTAGGCATGTTTTTTTTTTGATATACTATAGTGGTACTCCTAGTTAGGTCTGCTCCACCACAGATATACTATAGCGGTACCGGTACGTACTTGTTCGTAAGTATCCAAAGTATCAAAAATAGATACTAGACTTGGGCGCCCGGTAGCACACACTCCTCCAACTAGAGTCCTCCACTCCCTACACGCAATCCCTCGGTCCCGGCGTGCTTCCGCTTCCCCGGCTCTTTCCCCGCCCGGCAACCGTCTGGCGGAGTTGATCGGCGGGACAGGAGTCGGGGCGCAAAGCGGGGGCGGCGAGCTGACATTGAAAAGACATAGCTCGAAATCACTTGCCCGCGAGTCTGCTTCTCTTTTGTTACGTTTGGCCTTCTTTGAGCGAAAGTCGAAGCTCTCGAGTTTGAAACTTTTAAAACTCATTTTCTTTCGATAGAATTTGAGTCTTTGGATAATTTGAAATTTTTTAAAATTCATTTTTATGTGATACTCCGCCCCTGGTGGGAAGGAAGACCAGAAAGTGCCTGGTGGAACAAAAAATAGATGAAAAACTCCGCCCCTGGAGGGAAGGCAGGCAAGTGTCTCTGAGAGGACAACCGCCCGCGCCTGTTCGGGCGAGATCGATGCCGCCACCTCTGAGAGGGGGCCCGGACACTACACGCCTGGCCCCAGGCGGGACGCAATCAATGAAGCGCCGCAACGCTTTGCGAGAGGCGCGCCGCGATTGGTGCGCAGCATGGGGGGGAGGCTGGGGCGCGTGGGGCTGGGGCCCCTGTCTGTGCTTACTAGGGAAATGCTTGGAGGCGGTCCACTGGCGTGGTTGATGGTTATCCCTCCGGGCATGCAAGAGAACGAAAGAGAGACGGCCAGCCCGGGGCGTCCTCCTCCTTTGCGTGCCAGGGCCTTGGTTCTCTTCATGAGATGAACCGCCAGCGGCACAGCAGGAGCGGGAGGCGCGTTGGCTTCTGTGCCTCGTTTCTTCTGGGTATCCAAGGCGAGGAGAGCCCGACAGTCAGCCCGCCTCGGCAGGCTGGTGCCGCCTCGCTTTCTTCCAAAGGAAGGCAAAAGGGCAAGGCCATGGCTGTGAAGCCGCGAGGAGATTCGGCGGGCCGATTGGCTGCCTTGGGCGGTTGCTTCCTCGGCCCGTGTCGTGTGGTGTCTGTGTGCGGTCTGGTGGCTTGCCTCGCCCTCGTCGTGATCCGACCGCCCCCGCCCGCCTTCTTTCTTTGTCAGTTCGTTGCGCTCTCCTCGCTTGTTGACTTGTCGTTGTTGAGGGTAGTTGGACCCCCACCGCCACCACGGACCCGCGCACCGGTCGCCAATGCCTAGCCCCTGGCGGGCAGGCAGCGCGCCAAACTTACACAAAGTAAGCTTACATCTGGGCTCTGAATCTGATCGCTCCGCTCTGGTAGCTGAGTCGAGGAGGCCAAGGCGGACCTGGTCACTTGGAGCGGAGCTTCTCTGATGCACACCTGCCGCCGGCTCCGCGGCTGGAGTTTTTCGCCCGCCAGCCTGGAACACGTGCGCGCGTGACGGCAAGGCCCCCGGCCCGGCCTCAAGTTCCCCTGGAGACTGAGCACGGACGTCGTCCAACCCTGCACAGCAGCACCGTGCAAGGCCCCACGTGTTGGCGTGTCCCTTTTCCTACATACATACATGCACTTTTCTCCGATAAAGTCAAAAGTTTAGGATTCGAATTTACAAATGCAAAATTTTGAAATTTCGACACTGTAGATTGGTGTGATTGGAGGCAAAACATGAGCCGTCGGCGACATTGGGGGCATGGTGATCTTTGGCATTGCCGGGGTATTTGTGACGAGATGTTTTGAGTTTGCTTCCCATTGACAAAGTCAACAGTTTTGAATGTTAAACTTACAAGATTCAAAAATTTTAAATTTGAAACTGGAAAACTGAAAGATTTTTAATTTTATCAGCAAAGATTACGCTTAAAGCTTCTAGCTGCTTAAATGTTTTCCATGCCATGGCTCGTGAGTTCCTAAGTTCATCAGTGCAGGGGCTCGTGGGTTCGTGTTTTAGTTGTTGCAGTGTTTTTGGCTTAAGTGTCTGTGGTTCAAGTGTTTTTTGTGCAAGTGCTACGTTTTTGGTGCAAAGAAATGTTTTTGGTCCAAGTGTTTGGGGTTCAAGTGCTTTTGGTTCGTGTGTTTTTGGTTCAGTCGTTTTTGGTTCGAGGTTGGCGGGCACGTTGTTGATATTTCATATACCTCTTTAATATTCATGGCAGCGGAGGCGCATTCCCGGTCGACCACTGAAACTCCGTGGCCACAGCAGAAATACGCAGAGTCGCCTGTTTATTAGTTACTGCGTGAAGCAGCAGTAGCAGTGGTAGAACAGTAGTACCCCAATCTCAAGCAGACTACGCTATCAGAGGAAGCAAGAGAAACTCCTCCTGTCAGAACAAACGTGACGATCGCGTTGTCGTGGATTACGTTGACAAGACCTGTCTTACTCTTACCGAATTCTTCGCTTTAATCGACGAGATCACTTTTGAAGATTCGTTTGGCGCCTCTCAATTGTAAGGGGACGGTGTATCGAACGTTCTTTACCTGCATTGAAAGACACGGCACCAACACTTATTTCGGTTCTCGTGACTTTTACCAATCGACGCGAGGACGAGAGCCATGCGATCGAATTTTCACCCTGATGTTGAAAGGCGGGGCCTATCCCACGGAGGCGCGCCTCGACCAGGAGGACGACAACTGCAAGGTCCAACTGGGATGGACAAAGGGAGCTCCTTCACGGGAGCACCTTCCTCCGTTCTTTCCTCGGGAGGCAAACAAGGCAGGTCGTTTGGAAGTGGTGACTATGGGGAAGGTGGAGCGTACAAGGGGGCGACCCATCACCAAGAGCAAATCGCTGCAGGAGAAGGGACATTACCGGCAGAGATACGACACAAAACTGGTGAAGCGAATTACCGGCTTCGCCAAGCGGGGGCTCCACCTGTTCATCAACACAGCGGCGACGCGAGCAATAGCCGCGCGGAGTCAGCAAACACTACTTGTCGGTATAATAGCCATTATACTGCCGCGCAGCGCGACGCTCATCTGTCTTACGGCACAGGCCTACGACGTGGATCTAATGTATCCACGACGCCGCCGTTGTATCAGCTGCATCGAAATATGGCGGAAATGGAAAGACGAGCTGGCGACTTTGCGGGGACGTCAGGAGTGGCAACAGACCGGACGGATTTACTGAGAAACTTTGAGGACCAGCGATCCGGACTGCAGTCTCACCACGAGCATGATGACTTTTTCCGAGGATCTCAGGGCTAAGGCTTTGAGCAGCTAATCTATATTCACGATTTTTCTAAATACAGTGCAAAGTATTGATACCGCATACTGCAGATATCCTTTTTTTCATTTCTTAGCATGGTGCTCCTGCCCGTGCTTGCGGTGTATGGCGTCGAGGCGTACTATCATTTGAGTCGGGTTAAAGCAACTAGGCACCTGAGTCAGGCAATCGGTTGCGTGATGTTGTGGCTGCTTAAACAACTATGAATATGCAATAAGTAGTTCGATTACAACTGCGTTCCAGATTCAGAAGTATTGTCGAATTACTATGTCTGGGAACCTCCATCGATGTAAAATATCGCTCTAATAGTTGAAGGTAGTGCCGCGGCATCGCAGCGCATTCATCAATAATACCACCCGTATCGACACCGGAAATCGGCCACCCAGTGGTAGTCCCCCGCCGCAGTACACACACAGTTCGAGCTCACCGTCTGGTCCACCGGCACGTCCTCCGCCACACCCTGACGGACAATCACTGCAGCTGTCTGACCGTGAAAAACTGTGCGTGGAACTTCTCGCTGAAAGTGGACTGGATATGGACACACTGCAGCATGCTGTCTCAAGTACACACAAAGTGCTTGTATGTTGTAAATTAGTGGTTGTGCGGTAGGATCACGAGGACGATCTTGACCTGTTGTAGTTCTTGCAGATATACTCTGTTCCCTAGAAGTACTTTTTCAGATCATGATCATATCAATCTACCCATCTACTTATGTTGATGTTGAATCACGCTCAGTGATTTTGTTGTTCTACTTTTTCATATAATCAGAAAATGCCACCCTTTACAGTCGCTCGGCAACGAGGGGGCGGGCAGAGGGGGAAGACGGGCAAAGGAGTTAGCAACAAGGGTATGCCGGCGCGAGAACAGGCGGAGGAAATGGTGCGGTTGGTAGAGCTGGAAGGTGACGGCCAGCAGAGAGGTGAGGGACGAAGCCACCGGTTTCATAGAGGAGACATGCATAACGAAAACGCAAGGGAGCAAGGTTATGGAAGCAAGTTTTTGCCGCAACACCAGCAGCGGCATACTCTGGATAACAGCTCTCGGCATGCAGATCGTGGTGGCGGAGGTCACAGCAACTGCCCAAAGCAAGGAGGTACTAGTGAGATTTCTACGATTGTGTCGTCAAATCCAATGCAAGAAGATGAATTTCGAAGATTCGATCGCGTTAATTCGGGTACCAGTGCTTATGCAGCTGCGGCTTCAAGAAATATTCATATGCGCAACGCTCAAGATTCGCTCGAAGCTCCGCCGGGTAGTAAAGGCGGTCATCTGCGGTTCCAATCTTACAACCATAGGAAGAAATCGTCTGGGATCATGAAGGGTTCGACACCTGTGCATGCTTCTTCCTCGATGCAGCGTGAAACTGAGGGAGTGGTCGATCGGTCAGTAGCAGATCATGCTGTTGTCCGCAGTATGACCGCTCCCGGCCGTCCGGCTGACTACCTGCGCAAAGGCGCAAACATCGTTCCGGGGTATCAGAGCATACGATCGAACCGTCAGGGCGTGCTGGATTTGCAATACCGATACGATTCCAGTGACATGGAAAGCCAAAGCTTACCTCACAGAAAGCAAAATGCAGCAGGGTCGTATAATAATGATAACTATAGTAGCGTCGCGTCTCTTGGTGGAGATACTGCTCAACAACGGTGCGGAGGTTGTGAAGACTCGGAGTGGAACGATCCCAACTTCTTGCGCGATGATTTCAGCGACTTTCTTTACGACGTCGATTCACGAGCGAGGCAGCATCACGAGAAAAGTTACCAAGTCGATTTCAACGGGCAGGCTGCCTCGTCCGGCGGCATGTCCAATCGTGAACGACGACCAGTGGCAGCAACCCGAAGTGAGGTGGTGCACAATCAAAGATCAGGTCACGAAAAGGGGTGGCAATCTGGCGGTCCGTCCGGGAGGGGATTGAGGAAGGGTCCAGGACCAGGAGGTGGACAACGGACAGGCATTACTGAGATGTATGATGGTACCCGCCAAAAGGGCATTAGAAATCGGAACGAAGAGCCTGTAGGGCCAAGCGACACGGCCCAGGCGCCGCTTCATCAGCGCGGCATGGTATCGCCAAGCGAGCCGTCTACGTATAGTCGCGGGAAGGACACTCTCTACGATAGGTTGGTGAACCAGGTGGATCACGTCCATAATATTCGCAACTACCCTGATCAGTTTCCCTCCGGAACGAATCGTCGGGATAATAGTGACCATCACTACCACGGAAAAGGAGCGGGAACGGCTTCGTCCTCTCAGCCGCCACCGCATGCCACTACGGGAAAAGATAGGCGCATCTGTTCGAGCAATGTGCAGGATAACTACACTGGTCCACCGTCATCGTCGTGGAGGAACCATGACCTCCAGCGACAGGGTCAATATGGTGGCTCCAAGAGCGGACTCTTCGACTCCAGTGCCGCAAGCCAGAGACGGAATAACGCAGCGGGGGCAAAATCAGGAGGAGATCACGACAACATCCAAGGGAAGAGTAAAGGCGGCGTTGTTACATCATCCATCAACTCCAATTTGGTTGCTCGCGGTGCTCCTTATACTTCTGCTGGTCGAGTTAGTGTTGATGCAAAGCCTTTTTCGCAGCGTGTTGGCCCGGTCGCGGAAACTCAGTCGGCGGACAGCGGCATAGAGCCGAATAAGTGCTGGATTTGTCTTCGAAAGACGGATCTTGCGATTTGGGTGGAAGGCGTGCCGCATCAAATGCGACTGGAGGGCATTGTGCGCTTTGCCAAAGAGCTGAAAATTGATGCTGTCGGCTGGGCTCGACGACAGCGCCGAGGCTACCGCGAGTCCATGTTCAGTAAACCATTCGGTGTTAAAATGGTGTTTTACAACATCGCGACGGGAACCAACCAGGGCGCGTTGAACCAGCTAAAAGCCCGTTTCGGACTCGGTTCGGCTCGGCAGTCAGACGAGCAGAAACAAACGAATCCACGCGTACCTCGCGGTGGAATTAGCGGAGCGCTAGCCTCGCTCCACGAAAGTAGCACTTCCACCTCTGAGGCTGCATCTTCGCTGTTATGCTTGATTGTGTTTCCGTCGGGCCAGTGGCTTCTGTGCTGCACGACACCGGTCTGGACGCTGGACCCCATAAAGCGAGTGCAAGAGTACAAGATCAAGAGAGCAAGTAGCGATGGCTTGCCGATGATGTCGCGTCCCAACTTCTCTACCGGGCCAGGAAATAATGGGAGCTCTGACTCTGCCAACGAAGAAGGAGGAACAACAGCAGACCAGCCACAAGGGCACAGGACTCTTAAAAATGATGGGACAGAGGGATTGCTGAGGAATAATCAACTGGTAGAGGGTCTTTTCACGAGATTTCGAAACCAGCTGCGTAATGACGGAGGCAGACTCCTCTTCGGACGTACTTTTAAGATTCGCACTCCGCGCAACCTCTTCGAAGGCGTGCATATACCAATCACGATACCCGTCTGGGCCTTCGAGCTTGGAGAGGATGAATTTTCCAGCCTAAGAAATTATGGCAGGTTTCTCACCATTAGTAGGGACCACAACTAATTGGAATAACTCCATAGTGAACCAGTACTATTTGTAAGGAGCGGCTGGCGGAGCTCTTATTTATTGTAATTGTTGAACTTGAAGCTGCAGCCGTCACCATTGTCTCACATCATCAATTGCAACTCGTCGGAACCCAGCGAGAAACAAAATTATCACATATCATAACTTGCAACTTGTCGGACCGCAGCGAGAAACAAACTACTAGCACTATCTAATTACGCAAGGCACCAGCCGGAGCAGAAACGCCTTTGGTCGTCCAGACCGCAAGTGCCGAAAAAACTACACCGAACACAATAAGCAGAGGCAAGGCGGTCAACTTCGGAGAAGATCAAGATGTGCTGCCAGAGATGAGAATCACGGCGGATGAAAGGGTCGTGTCAGAGAGCATTAGCATGCGGATGCTCTTCGAGATGTGGCTACGTTCACAATGCGATCGCACAGATAAAACCAGTGGCGCTGCCGTCGCTATAAGATCTGGGCCGATCAAGGATGCGAAGCAGGCAGCAGTTTCAACGGCTGGTGTAGGAAGCCTTCCGAAGCCAACAGGGGACGGACAAGCAGCGCTAGGGCAAGCAGCGCTAGGAGGCGGAAACAAAAGTGAAATCAGTGAGGAGGATATGAGGAACTCAGAGGAGGAACAGGCCACCACGATGGTGCCTGCTTGTCATGTATTCATCGGCAACAGAGCGACCGAAGCAGGAGCAGGACGCGCGGCTGCCGGTGCATTAGACGGTGAGAGTGAGACTACTGCTGAGAAGACTGTGGACGATAGAAACGGAGCGCAACATCTTCTTTCCATGACCCACTTGACGCCGCTCTCGAGGCTCGCGTGGGAGCTCCTCTTGCAGGGTGGTGATGACCAGCGCCAGCCGGTCGACAAGAACAGTGATTCAGGTACTGAGAGCATTCTTGAGAACGACGATGACCTTAAAGGCGACGAAAGAGTGCCAGGCAAGCACACGAAAAAGTCACAGAAGGTAGCGCGCAAATTTCCTAAGAAGAACGCCGCCGTATCCCATGGAGATTTAGATGAGTTGTTGCGTGGTGACGCTTCTGGACGCACTTCCGTTTTTTGGGGTGATGACGGCAATGGTTATCTCGACAGCGCATCGTCGTCAAATGGTCATCATGGTGATTTGCCACAGAGTGGGGTCGATACCCGTTTCCGTATCGCTGAGCGGGTACTGCAGGTGAAGGGGGGCCGTCCACTGCTTCACTTGTCTCGCTCCGAGAAGATTAAACTTCTCGATCTGTATCTGTTGACAGGTCCGAACGCGCTGAAAGAGGTCTTATATGCCGAATCTGCTGCTCTCGCAGGACAAGGACTCGAAGAAACTGCAGCTGTAGTGAAGGAAGTTCGTTACGCGCACGAGTTAGAAGACGAACACGGCAGCCGACAGCAAGAAGATCGAAGAGAGCCTTCAAGCGACGCGGATGAAGCCGGAAAAAAAGCCGATGTTGAAACTTCCGATCTAAATGATGAAAAACAGCAGGAGTCTGCAACTTCTTCTTTGACAGTGGAAGGATGTAGCACAACGACACCGAGTAATTATTTGGTTGCAGATGCTTCTGCATCGTTCCTGCTTACAGCCTCTGGCATCGAGGCCGTGCAGGAACACGATAATGCCAAGATGTTCCAGTTGGTTTTGGATCAAGAAAACGATTTTCCGCTCTCATCTAATGCGGCTTCTTGTACAGCAAGAGTACAACTACAACAAGACAGCCTGAAAGAGTCTGCAGGAGTCCCTGGAAAAGGTAACCAAGCAGTCGCGCAGCAGCTGCAGAACGACTCATCTCTCGGAAAGCGCTTCGGAGAGCTGCGGCAGGAACTGAAGGAGCAGCACAAGTTGTTGCATTCCCGCATCCTTTTGCCCATTGCGCAAATACCAAGTAGTTTGCAGGGAATGGCGCTAGAAGACGGGCAGGACGGAGATGTATCGTCTCTAGGACCTCTTGTGGGATCGCGCCCGGCTGGGATACAAACTTTGACCGAGGCAGCCCGGATCAACGAGAAGTGGGCCGCGATAGCGCGGCGAATAGGTCTTGACACGCGTCTACCGAGCGAGAAGTTGACCGAAGCGCGTTCTCTCTCAGATGTTATGGCTGGCTTTCGATGTTCATTCCTTCATCTCTTTTTCATTTTCAGATTTGGAGTTAGAGAGGCACCAGGGATAAAATCAACCTAGTACCACCTGGGCTCCTTGTGTGGAGATTTTGAAATTTTGATGTGCGTAAATCTCAAACGTGTACATGTACTGTATATTGAGCACCGATCATAATGAACTTACATTTTAGAAATCCTAGCTTTAAGAAGCTTTCTCCAGCTCTGCAGCCACAGAGGCCTTTCGTTCTGGATGCCCGGTCTAGGTGGATCCTCGATCACGTTCACGAGTCTAAGGAAAACATCGACTACGTCTGTTCAGCCCGCCCCCCATCCATGTGGATCACGCTGCGAGTCTTGCGCGGTACTTCTACACATGGTCAGGATTCTGCCTGCAGTAAACGATGTGCTTTACTTTACTAAGCTGAGTAAGCAGAGTCAGTGTGTCTTTTCTAGTTGTTCCACTTCCCCTATTGATTGACTTACGCATATTGCAACTGCTTTATTATAAATATTTATGATAATCGTCGAATTATTTTTGATGATGAGTGATGATGTAGAAATAGATCATGGCCGCATTTGTTCCACCGCTTCTATCTGAGCAGTTCTAATTTTGAATTCCCTTGCTGGTGTTCGCAGGTGAACCACCACCGAAGCGCGGCGCCCCTGACGCTTTTCCTATGCAGACGTTTTCATTCCATACCTGGCGCGCTCAGCAGGACGCCGATACCAAGGAGGAGGTCGACACCTCAGCAATGGCACCAGAGCCCGTTCCGACTTTCCGTAAGAATTTTGAGTTGATATGCAGATGATGTAACTCTAAAGTAATTCGTCTACTTAGATCTCTATTATCTCGTCTTCAAGGACATACAAGGGGCTTGGTAGTTGAAGCTCCAATTGAATTAGTCTTGAATGATCACTCCTCTACCAAATTCATTATTGTAGCTCATCTGCTGTTATATCTGCAGCGACCAGCCAGCGCTGAGAACGTGTAGTGAATATTCTTCAAACGTCTCCAGTGAGAGCGTTATCTTATGATCTTTTTTAACAGATGTAGATGATCTCGTGTCGGCTGCCATTCTTATGCGCCCCCAGTATGTAACTTGGATGACAATAGTTGAGCATGTTAATTGACTGTTTGAAAGGGCGGCTGCATATAGTCCTAGCGCAAAAAAAAAAACTATACGGTGATCAAGAACGGTCATAACAGGGACATACACATGACTAGATCATGTAGGTGGTCTGCTTCTGCTCATCAATGATTCTGGTGTTCTATAAAAAAAACAAACAGGTGACGGTGAGCATACGCGTGTTTGTTTGACGTCGCCGAGGAATGATTCCAGTTGTAGCGGCACTAACGGTAGAAAAGAAGCGCCCGTTGTGGTAGCTCTGTCCAACGACGCAGGAAAGTCCTCCTGGAATGACAATACCATCGCGGCCGCTTTATTATTATGGCTCAGGATACAGGTACGTAGGGTTCGTAGCTGCTTGTTTGCACCGGGTTCTTAGTTGTTGTGATACGCTGTCACTGCCTAGGCAAGTTATTTGACTTGCGTTGAGATCATCACGTTGATAATGTAATTATGATTCTGGTCAAATGAAGCATTAAACCGAATCTGTTGATTTTTCGAAGAGCGACAAACTTCTGAAAAAATGCACGTTGTTGACCCTAGTGAGTACAAATACAAATAATAGCTTTTTCTAACTAGGTCTGGTGCTCCACCACAAATAATAATTGTAATTGGGAAGCGCTCTAATAGCGTTGCACAGGAGCACTGGAGGCGTTACACAGGGCTCCGGTCTGCCTTCGAAGGTGAGACCTCTGGGGCTGACAGGACCACGGCAGCGCCGGCGCTTAGTTAGTAGCTGTAGATACTTACTTGCCTGGCCTTTCTTTTCTCGGTTTTTGTTTTTTCTAGTTAGGCCTGCTCCACCAACGTAATTGAGAAGCGCTCTAATAGCTGTGGAGCTTGGAGGTTCGAAAACTGATGGAAATCGAACGGCCACATCCCCTGACGGCGATTCAGATGATTCGTTGGGTGGCGCGCGCCGCAATGTTGGTCCGCGCGAGACGCCGAAGCTTCTTATGGACTACTTGCCTACTCGATACAACCTGGTAAACAATAAGTGAACCGTTCTTACTGTGACTTCTCGTGACATGAAAAGGGCGCGCTTTTTACTGCAAGATCTCAGGAACCATGCGCGATTTACTGGCAAAGCTATACCTGGTCTATGATTACTTAATCGTCCACGCATCGGCATTTTAATCAAGAACTAATGCTAGCTTATAGGTCATTGCCATTGTCGTTGATGTTCGTCGCTATGCCTGTACTAGATAACGAAAGTGTAGATTTAAGATGGTGATGGGTTGACTTTTACGGTGTTTTTAATATGTGAAGCGGAAGCGACTGACGTCATTTCTGTTCTAACGCGCGAGAAGATTCGAGTCGTGGTCCGTTTTCCATTGGCATGCCGTTTGTGCAAGACAAAAACACGTTTCTGCATGTTCCATTGCGGACGCCAGTCGAGGAAGAGCAAGCGCCTATGGATGAGCACAATTTGTACCAGGAATTGCTTTATCTTTGCGCCTCCGGAGACCATGCCACTCAGATTACGGGCGCGGTGGACGAAACTCACGCTTTTGCTTCTGGAGCAGACCAACAGCAGAATATGCTATCGGGGTGCAGAGAGGGAGAACATCATGAACACGTATCCGTCGTGGACAAAAATACTGAGCAAGAAGGGAAAACGGTTTTCTTATCTTCGACTGAAAACGATCGCACGGAGACTACCAGAGGGCGTGTTCGAACCATTGCGGATACCCGTCATGAAGTTGCACCCGCCGAGCGCCAGGTGCGTCTTCTATATCAGAAGACTCGGGTCCGCACCGGCTTAAGGGGTCCACTGCGTTCGCGCTCGATACCTCGGAGATTGCTGCATGCTCTTCGGAGACACCGTGAACAGTACGGACTTGTAACCTCCCAAGACGCAGTACCCCGGATGCGTTTCTACGAAGCGCCGTGCAATTTCGCGTACTTCTGGTGATTTTGATTTTATACGACAAGATGTAATAATCAGGGACTAAGATAATTAGCTTTAGCGACGATGGTCCTCTCACCATGGAACAACTTCTAACATAATACGGCGGCACTGAAAAAAGTGTCAATATGACTCATCAGGTATAAGCGCACATCCGGGACGACATCATTTTTTCTTTCCCGCATGAAAATGGCATTCTGTCTGGGTACAACTGTTGACGCGCAGGGTATGGCAAAGTTCTTCCTCCTTGGTGTGGAACCCAAATGGGAGCTCTTTTTTCCGCATATTTTCTGCCCGCGCGAGCACCAGCTTATGAATCTACCTCAGCATGTGGTGCATTGAACGAAGTGACGCCTTCTAGCATCTTCATGCTTTTTGTGACCCACCTTTGTCCTTGGAGCACTCAGATGGAGCTATAATCTAGATTCTCACTAGGCTTAGAACTTAACGTTGTGTTATGACTATCGGGCAAGCGAAATTACAGGTACAACAGCTCATAATGAGTGTGCACTTCTTCGCGCGTTGTAGTCTAGTTACGTGGCTGCATCTTCTTTTGTTCTCTCTTCATAATGTAAGAGGAAGACGGACGAGGGGAGCAGACAGGAGGGCGAGTTCCCTCAGCGGAGGTTCTCAGCAGCGATGCTTGGCTGTCTTTGCCGGTGTCGTCGACTTACTGGCGTCCAATCGACAAAGACCTGTGGCATGAGCGAGACGCGGTGATGTATCATCGGGAAATGTGCATCCGTAATCGAGTGATCAGTGATAAGGGCAACAGACTTCGATATGTACCCTTCACGGAGGACGACCCTATCGCGTTCGACGCTGACGGAGAGAAGTCACATGGTACCAAACGAATCTAAAAAGTTTTCATCCTACAAAATTGTAAGCCTACGTGTCTACTAGGATTTATTTGTTACTATCTCAATGCCAAACACCCAAAATACACCTGTAGAAGAGATACTCCACTTGCATCAATGATGGATTCAGAGATGACGAATTTAGTTGGATGTTGAACATCAAAATCCATGTACTCATCATCACGATCACGCGCGCTCCGTAATGCATATGGGTTTTTAGTACTTCTAGTTCATGAGTGAGGAGAAGTCCTCATAGATTTATGTTTATCTTAATACATCATCAGATGATTGTGGCGAGCTTAGGATCATTTCGGATCTGCGGCTGCAACGCGCATCATCCACTGGGCAACGCGAGAACTTCGAATCGTCCCGAGTGAAATATAATTTGGTGAACATGTCGCTCCAGGAGGCGGTTGACATTGAAAAGTCCGGTGGCATGGGCTATTGCGCCACGCTGCATGCAAATGAAGGCGAGATGCTTACCCGAATAATGCGTCAGTTTATCCGCAATATGGATGGGGTCGATTCGACACTCGTTCCCGTGTTTGTGGAGGAGTGCTCGCCCACTACGACCGCTTGCAGCACACAATCTGATGAAGAAATCAATGGTGCTGGACCACCATCGTCGCTGCCGTGGCATTCGAAGTTATCCTCTCTCACTGCACAGCTAACGCAAATTCGTTGTTGCAGTCGAGGAGACGGAGGGGACAAGCATATAGGAGAAAAAGCAGGTCAGGTCGAGAGAACCAAGATCCAACATGAACCTGTTGATGGCCTAGACTTGCTGCGACACACGTGCGTCGTAAGTCGCCGCAATCTGCAAGCAATGCAGAAGAACAGTAACAACAACGTTGCGACGAGAAGCGCAACGACAACTTCATTTAGTACTACGACAAATGGAATTTCTACTTCCTCGTGTACAAGTGGTGGAAGAGGAACCGTAGCAGAACCACATGGCCGCGGTGAAGATGTGCAGCCGGGGAATATGGTGAAGCAAGTAACGAGTGCTGATCCAATCCTGATGGCGGATCGCCGTGGTCGAAGTACTGATACTGGAACAACCTGCGCAGCTTCGTCGAGTACAGCATCCCAATCGCAATCGTTCTCGCTGTTAACACGGGAAGCCCTTGCCAAGCATAACTACCACGAAGATGGAGAGGGGCAGCCTGTTGTAGCTGCCGCACGAACCGCGCAGCTGGGATCGGTTGGGTCCACGATGCTAAACACTAGTTGTTCTGTGTCGGCGACGGGGTCTCCTCTTTTCTCAAGACTCGGGAAAGTGTCCGCGGAAGGCTCGTTTCTTCCTGTCCTGTCCTCGTCAACGTCGATGGTGGAAGAGAAGCTCCAGCACAAGAAAAATCAGAAAACAAATGTAGTTGCACCTCATGCGCAGGACGAGAACAAAAACATGAATGAGGAACAAGGGAGTTCATCATCTTCTTCAACATCGCATACGGATTCAACATCAATTATACCTCAATCTCAGGACGAAGGACCTACATGTTTGACGTTGCCGAAGTCGAGCTTGTTGACAAGCTCTATCAATAAGTTTTCGGATGAGGTGCTGCTGAGAACGATGTCTGCGTGTCCGCTAGAAGCTTACAAAATCGCAGAGGATTCCGCTAGCTACTTGCAATGGGAGATAGTAGAGCGCGCAGCGGTGCTGATGGCTGTGGTGCAGATGGAATGGCAGGCACCGAGTCGAGACTTCTTCGAGGACGCACAGATGTACTTTTTCAACAGATATCACAAGCATGAAGCGATGAGTAGACGAAACCATGGACGAGGAGGTGGGCAACAGAACAAGGAGGGTGGCTGCAGCCTAGCGTTAAGCTGCGGTGAAGAAGTGATCCTGTCGCCAAAAGAGGTGAAGGTCATAGCATACGCCGTCAGTGCCGTTCATCCACCGATATTTGCGTACCGTGGCGAGATCCTCTGTGCCTCCTTCGCAGGCCTCTTCTCCTACGGGAGAGCCGTTCCATAATGCGGTAAAGCGCTCCAATGCGCAAAAAGGTAAAAGAAAGAGCTTAATCGTAGTTGTTCTTCTACTTCTTGTAGTTCGTCATAATTTGGTTATTCCGAACTAGAGGATTCCGGTCGATTTTCAAGATTGATATTTATGGGCGTTGTTTCTCTCTCAAGCATATGAATGCTGAGATGGTGATGAACTGGTCCGAGGACATCAAACTGGGACATCTAGGACAACTTTCAAATCATAAATATTCATTTTAGACGGAGGTCGAAGAAAAAGAGGAAGGTTTGGAGGGACACAGTGAATCAGAGCTGAAATCGAAATATTAGAGGAACTCCTACAACAACAACTCCTACATTATATATAATGAACAAGTGATCACCGAGTTGATGAAAGGGAAGAACGCTCACGATCATCGGCTCTTCTTGCTCCCCTTTGAGTCTGTATTCTATATTTGTCCTGCATTCGAATCCAAGAGTAGGAGTCCAGACGAGTAGGGCGAGTTCGCACTGTCATGATTAAGTATATCTATTTTTTTGATAATAATATTCAAAGATTATACCCAATTCTTTTGTGATTGAGAAGGTTTGGTGTCGCAGTGGTATTATTGGTATACACGCTATTGCGACTGACATGATAATGTTGTTGCTTCATGGTTTTTCATTCATTCTGACTCCATCTGCAGTAATCTAATCTATCATCTAGTGCAAACTGGAAATTGGAGAACCAGAAGGTGTGGGTGTGTGCACTTGCAGCAGCTAGAAATATTATATAAAGAGGTTGTTCGCAAATGAAGATGAACACCTTCACCTCATCATGTTTTAAGAGGAACGAGAAGTTCAAAAATAATGCACAGGTAGATCCCGGGGCTCTTCTGCGGTGAATCTTTTACGCACCCTTACCTAGTCTATCGAGTCCGCGACTGTTTTATTTGCTTACAGAGATCGTTTTTCTTTACCTACACTTCATAAAACCAACGAACCTATCCACCAACAGCGTGACACTGTCGAGTATGACTTTCACCGATCCCGTGCGGTGCTCGATGCACGCTGCTGAGGAGGAGACCCCAGTCAAGTCAAGTCACCAGCCTGCTTTGTGCTATAGTCGGGTTTACTGTTCTTCAGCATCGTCCATTTATTCAGTTTCCGCCTCTTGAAACAAACCCAAACAAAAGTCTATTTATTGTTAGATGATGCATTGGGAGGTGGCTGATGTTTGCTTGAATATTGAATGTACTTACAATGACAGATTATGCTTGTCGATTCCTTAGCATTATTTCCATGAGGTGGTAGTGATAGGCTTTTGAAGGATATATTCCATGAGGTGGCGCTCAAGCGTCAAAAGAAACCTCCAGAACAGGTAAATGAATGAATGAATTTACTGCCTGTATATCAATAAACAAACTATAAGATCATGCGAATCTAGCTGGGCTTATACCTTTTTATAAGGCCGCTTAGGTCCAGCGACGCTCATCAAAGCCCTAAGAATATTAACCGGCTAATTTCCCTCGTCTTCTTTCACAACTATATGAATATAATGGAAATTAATCTAATATCATCAATAGCTTGATATGACGACTCCGAGAGGACGTCTCATGTGCAATTGACGAAAGAAGATTACATGGGAAGGGATCGGGTTCATCTGCTTAATTATGTTCACATGAGCTGCAGCTGTACCTGACAGAGGACGCCGAGTCAGCACCTGCGCAACAATACACAAGAACAACATCAAGTGGAACCATCTCCTTCGTTCTGGGTGCCTGATCAAGGAATAAAGTTACTACAACAGAGGACGAAAGGGAAAGCCGTGCTGAACTGACGCCATAATTGAGGATATACAGAAGCTTTTATGCGGCGGTGGCCGTTGTGCTTCGTCGTGTAGTAGTTTTTTGTGCCTGGCCGTTGTGCTTCAGGATTCTCGCCGGGTAGTTAAATGTTCGCATCGCGAGGAACATTATATAGACCCAGGCCCCCCCCGAAAAAAAAAAGGAGGTTGGCCATGGTGAATGAATCAATGAGGCGGGAAATTAACATGAAAGCCGGTTTGTCTCGATTATGCTACATCTTCAAGGCAGCCGCAAAATGTCTTCGGGCAGCGTTAACCTGAAGAACAATTTAGAAGCATTAAATCTTATTGTTGAATTTCATTTTCCCTCTGCTTCTTCTAAGTTTGTCTATCTTTATTGTAAATTCAAGAAGGTGGTAGGGAGAAGTTAGTACAACTTCTACTTAGATTGAACATTCTTTCATCCCTTGGAAAAAGTTGTTGTTCTCCTGAGATAATCATCATGATTCTAAGTACTTGTTTCGCTTCGACTTCGTGTTGAAGAACTGGTGCGTCTATAATTTACTTTCATTCTTCTTTTATAGTGGGACGACTGACATATTAATGCTTCTTGCTTCCCCGCCTAACTCCGGTATATTATAATTCTTAGTAGAGATGATTCGTTCCTTCGTGAATCACGCGTTGTGAGGGGTATCACCAGTATGAGCTTCACTAACTCCCATGCTAGTTGGATGGTTCTAAATGTCGCCAGCGATGATGTTTCACTCTTCATATGAGATTGACAGAACGCAACTTCTTGAGGTTTTTTGGAAGGGGAGGATGACCCAAGAGCTCTCACGCTCAGAGCTGGCATGCTCACCTGTGAAGATGCTACGGTAATATGCTGACGCATAGCCTAAAGATATAACGTAAGAAGTAGCTATCATGATCCTCCAGAACGATTCTGATCCACCTCGTCTGCTACTGCGCAGGCAAAGTAGATGCTCCTGATTTGAAGAAGACACAGACACCAGTGGCGTTCATCTTCTTCAACGTTTTGACGCTACGACTTGACTTCTTCTAGGATCGATTCCCATGCAGCTCTATTTAGAACAAACTCAAATTAATAGATTTAGATACTGCTCTTTGTCTTTCTAAGTCTTTTAAGACAATATTTATCGCTCTCGATGAGGAACAGAATGATCATGAGAAATGTAGAAGGGGGACCAGACTCACAGAAGAACGGGACGTCCTGCAGAGGCGTTCCCGAACTCATGTGGTGGTCGGATCTTCATCCAGACTTTCCGGAAAATCTAACATATCGATCTGCATCAAGTGAAGAATTTTTTATAATGTGTAAATAATATTGTTATTGATCCCCTTGTTCATCTCTTGACCATGTAGTACCTGAGGTGACATGACATCATCATCATCAATCATCATCATCATCATCTTTATGATGTCTAAATATTAAGCGACTTCAACCAACCCCGAGGACATCGACTTCTAGTAGTGGAGTCTTTGAGCGGTCCCACCTTTAATTTTTGTGGGAAATCCAGCAGTGCGGACGATCTGATGGTGGTCTTATTGTAGATCGATGGCGTACTCTCGAAGCAGCAGCCCCACGACGACAAGTAAGCCATGCATCTTGTCTAAGTAGGCGGTGCAGGAGTCCCACTTTGGTCTCTAACATACTTACCTGTACAACCACATCACAGTTCCCTAAAGATCAAAATGGCGGGCTCGCTTGTGTTGATCTAGCAGTCGGCCTTTTTGTCTTGTTGAAGAAAGCCCCAGCATTCTTCACCAATGAGAACTAAAGATCCAACGGTAACGCTGCGATCTCAAGATCCCAGCATTCTTGTTCCGAACTCAAGATCCTACCGTGCGGCATGCTGCACTGAATTCTGTGCGAGATTAATTATAGTATTGCATTGTAAGTGATTCTCTCGACTTATGGTATCCGACCATGCACTCTGCACAAAATCCAGATCCAGATCCTATGCATAGTGTAACCTCGTGCTAGGTAAGTGAGTGAATGAATGAATGAATCCATTTATTGCGGGCATGTGCTTCTTGTTGATCTTCGGTCCAGCTAGATTCTTTCCACAAGACTCCAGAGATGAAACATGATCTTGATCAGATCCTTTGAAATTTGCCGAACGTCGGAATAACAAGATCAAGATATTGGCCTTTTCAAGGTCGTTAGTCAGATTTTTTCACTTGTATTCATCTTCCCGTATAAATATTAATCTTCTTCTAGTAGGTACAAAGCTCGTGTTACATCATATTCCTTATTCGAAAGCTATACCTGTGTGAAACTGAAAACGTAACAGGTGTTGTCCTCCAAGAAGAGGAATTTCAGGACCCTTCATTGTTGAATATTGTTACTACAAGTCTTCTTGAATAATTGCGACTCGTTTTACTGTACTAATTGTCAATCTAATACTACTGACTTAGACCACTCGATGTTGTTTAACATTCTTATTAAGAAGTAGTTATACTAGTGGTCTCTGTAGTTGGAGGATAAGGATATGCGTGAAGTAGAAGCACCTCTTATCTGATCATATACGTGACGAAGCAGTACTAAAAAAATGGTGGGTGCTCCAATCGTTTCAACATCGGTGACGGATGCGGGAGGACGGCGTGTCATTCTCCAGTTTCGAGATGCGGAATTGAAAGCTCGTGGGCCCGAGGTGGATGTAGAACTCGCGACGGACGTTGGCGGGCTAGCGCAACTGCTGAACAAAATCCTCGAGAACGAGGAGGCTGAACAGTACACCTTTGAAGTGGCTGGCAATAGGGATCCCAGTGGACGTATTCCCCGAAGCTCGGCAGCAACATCCACTGCCTCTTCGAGTCAACTAACAACTGCTTCCTCACCATCGTCCTCTTCCGAAAGTCCGTCTGCCGCGAAGAGTGCTGACTGTCCGAACTCAGCAGCCGCTAGTGAGGGAAAGGGAGATCATGAACGTGATGCGTCGGCGGCTACCGAAGCTGCTAGCCCGGTGAGCACGACTTCAGACGAGTCCTCGAAAAAGGCTCAGCCTCGGTCTGTAGGAGAGACAAATGATGCTCCTACACCAGCACCGTTCTCGACGACGTGCCTCGCACTCGGACCCGAGGAAAAACTGGTAGAGCTGGCGCAGAATTCAACGCTCGCGGACGCTGTGGCAGGGCTGACAAGTGCCTATTTCACGCAAGAGCGTGTTCTGCAGGTGACCTTCTATCCTTTGGCGATATTTCGCGTGCGGCCCGTTACCAGGTGCTCAAGCTCGATGGAAGGCCATGCCGAAGCCGTACTTTGTTCTAGATTTTCTCCAGACTGCAGCATGCTTGCCACAGGATCCGGCGACGCGACCCTTCGTTTGTGGGACATGAACACGGAAGCTTGCGTTGCTACACTCAGAGGTACTGCAGCATCATCTTGTTCTCGTAGTTGGAGCTTTCCTTCTAGTAGTAGTAGTTTTTTCTTCTTGCTACTTCCTTACCCTTAGCAACACATCTTCTTGCACTTATTCAATTAACACTTACAATCGTGTACAAGAAGCAGGACTAAGAGAGAACAAAAACTTTGTCATCTGTCAATCCTTCCTAAATGCCGATTTTTTCCAGGTCACAGTCATCATGTTTTGACATGCGAGTGGAGCCCGTGTGGCGCTCTTTTAGCCTCAGCGGGTATGGATAAGAAGGTCATGGTCTGGTGTCCTCATGACGGCGCTCGCAAGTTTGCTTTGACTGGCCACAGAGAACCTGTAACTTCGCTCGCGTGGCAGCCTCTGCATTGCGTGCCAGCTAACAACGGTATTGACTTTTTGAAGAATGCTCGTTCATCGAATCGATGAATAGAATCTACCACACTTCTTGTCTGACAGAAGATGAAGGCCTTCTTAAATGAATATTTCCCCCGTTCTATATTTCTACAGTTTCCAAGCAGCGGCCGCTGCTCGCATCGACATCCAAGGATGGTGACGCTCGTGTTTGGGACACCGTAGCTGGGAACTGTGTTTACACTCTGGGTGGCCACACGGCAGCGGTTATGCAAATTCGCTGGTCGGGGGAGCGCCACGCTTTGGGTGGTGTTTTGTACACAGCAGGACGAGACCGCGTGATCAAGTGCTGGAACGCAAGCAACGGTCAGTGTGTGAAAACGCTGAAAGGGCATGCGCATTGGATCAACAGTCTAGCTCTCAACGTGGACTACGTACTGCGCACCGGACATTTCGAACCAAAGAAGATCGCGGAAATCAAGGTTAAGCACGGCGTGGTCGCACTAAAAGAGAAGGCAAGTGCCTTGGAACTCGGGGCTGGAAGCGAAGAAATGGCAGAAGAAGACGTGGAAATGGCAGAAGCTGGTGACAATGCAGCTGTCAACAATGAAGCTAGCATGGCGAAAACGACAGGGCAAACAAAGAAAGACGAGGTGAGCACGATGACTGTGGCAGGCAGCAGCGCATCCTCGGCAGTTAGCAAACTCAATATCGCGACAATGAAAAATGCGAATCTGAGAACATCGGTGAAGAAAAATGTAGCGGCTGTCAAATCCAAGGCACAGGAGCAGTCGAGGAAGCAAAAGCTTGCCGCCAAAAATGCTTCTGCGAAAGCCCAGCAAGAAGTAAAAAAAGCGAAGGCGGTGGATCGCAGCACGTGCGAAGAGAACAATCCAGAACGTTTTAAGCTCGCTTTAGCACGATACCAGGAAGCGATAGAAACTGCTGGTGGGGAGCGACTACTTTCCGCAAGCGACGACTTCACGATGTTTTTGTGGCGACCGCTGGAGGCGCAGACGTCAAGTTCTTCTTCCTCATCCGAAGACGGAAGCAAAAAGAGGCTTACTGGCCACCAACAGGTCGTATCACAGGCCATTTTTTCACCCGATGGCCGATGGATCGCGTCCGGCAGTTTCGATCGCAGTATCCGACTGTGGGACGGCCGAACGGGCCGCTTTGTCGCACGTTTGCTAGGACATGTGGGAAAAGTTTTTCAAATGGCGTGGAGTGCGGATTCTCGCCTCCTTTTATCTGGTTCCGCGGACTCAACTATGAAAGTTTGGGAAGTAGCAAAGAAAAAACTGCTCAAAGACCTCCCGGGGCACGCGGATGAGGTGTACGCAGTAGACTGGGCGCAGGATGGGTGCAAAGCGTGCAGCGGCAGCAAAGATCGGCTTGTCAAAATATGGCGCTTCTAGTTCGAGTCATCGCCGAGAGAATCGGATTAGAACCACTGACTTGGTAGACGTAAAACCATGCTGAATGGTCTCCCTAAAACCAACAAGAACTCATGTTACCATTGCAAATTATATTGAGATGATCCATACGTTGAAGGCACCTGCAAAGAGCCTATTCATATTTATTCTGATTGTGTTCAATCAACCTTTTCATGGCGAAAATATGATGAAGTACAACAGGAGGCGTGCTCGTTTCGCCTTCGGCTTCGCATTCATTGTATCTGTTTCTAGACCGACGTGATCGGTCTCGCGACAGTTGTATTAGACTCAGATCCAGAAAAATGGTTGCAAGGCAAGAAGAAGAAAGGAAAAAACAGGTCTCTGTGAAAGGATTTTCATCTTCTTCTTCGATCTAGTGTGAGTAATGCTAACATGGATCATCCCTCGACTGAAATTGGAATTTCGAAAACTTCGCTTCTTTTTCCAAGCATAGATACAGAAGTGTCAATAGTTGTGCAGTTTCCTCATTCCAGTTCGTGTTCGTCTGCATTTCATCTTCCTAGCACCTGAGTTTTCATGAGATCATCCTGCCACGATATATAAGTAGCAGTCTGTTACAACTCTTGCTAATGTATTTTCTGAATACAGGAATGTGCTATCGTCCGTAGGCACGATGTAGTGATACAGTGCGTAGCGGTAGTGAAATTCATGTCCTCTATAACAGCAGAATTATGGCGGATGATGTCAGGAAAAATATGAAGGGAAAGAATCTCGGGGCGCCTGAGTTGGCCTCATCGGGCCGATCGGATGACTACTATCGTGACCGGGCTCTTGCCTATCACGAAACCACGCAGCGCACGCAGGATGAGCTCACTGACGTCGCTTGTTGGCATTTCCTGGTAGAATGTACAGCTGGAACCGATACCGATAGAGACCCGAGTGGACAGGCTGCAGTCGGTAACGCTAGGTCAGACGGTAGCCCAGACGTAGCCTGTCCGATAGTTGTGGACATCGGCTGTGGCTCCGGACTGTCTGCATCGCGATTCAAGGCGAGGATGAAGGAAACTAGATCGAACGAAAGCAGGGTACTAGAAGACGAATCAAAGGATGGATACAAGAACGAAAAGATCATGATACCTCGTTCTTCGACAGCAGGTAAAAATTCCTCTAGCTCATCAAGCAAGGCAAGAAATGTGAGTACAAGCATAGTACGACCACCTCCTGTACTTCCTTTCGTAATAGGGCTGGATCGTAGCAGGGAAATGCTAGAGCTGGATTTGCCTGTGCCGATGTCAAGCTCCTGTTCAAGACAAACATCAGTTGGGCCGCGTTCTCAATCACGCTATGAGGAGAAAATTCTTTGCGACTGCTTTGGTGCTAAGCTTCCATTAAGGCGAGGAGTCTCCGACTCTGTACTTTCCATAAGTGCACTGCAGTGGCTTTTTGTCGACGACGGTGAAAAGCAAGAGGACGAGGGGCAACGAGATACTATGGGGAAACAGGAGTTCCCTACTGCGAAGCGACGACGCGTTGAAGAAGAAGACCAAGTACAGCACCAGGTGAAACGACACGATCTTTCGGACCAGCAAAACAATGAAGACCTGCGAGTACAGATCTTTTTTGACGAACTTCGGCGAATTACTACGAGCCACAATCCACCATGGGATAGCACAGAAAAGACAATAAGGTCTCCTCCAGAGGAGCTCCTGCGACTACCCGCAGCGGTGTGCCAGTTTTACCCGACTGGAGGCAACCCGCAGTGTCTCCTCCCCCTCAAGAGGCACTCAAGGGGACGCATATGGTGTCATTATCCACATATGCAGTCAAAAAAGAAATTCTACTTGGTTATACCACGGAAGGCGCCGCGGGCACAGGCTGGCCAGAGGGCTAGTTGTAGTAAAGAAGAGATGAAGGAGAGGGACGGCCAGTTGAAAAAGCTAGATGCAGATTGTCAATTGTACCTCGAAAATTATAGCGGCGGCTCATCATCTTCGCCAGGAGGTCCCAAAGATGCATCAACTTGGTGTGCGTTGTGTTGGCCCCACTGTGCTGCGGAGAGTGGTTTGCTTGCTCTGGAAGCTGAGGTAGGAACACAGCTTGAACAAAAAAGCAACGAGGACGAGGAGAAGGACAAGAGCGATAGCGCTTTTTCAAGATTGGGATTGAAGCTGCTTGAGCGTAGCAGGAAAGAGCACTTGCTCGTCTTCTCGCGATTTGCGCGCAACATGGCACGACTGGTTCAACTTGAGACCTCAACAACTGGAGTAGGTACTATTCAGGATGATCGTAAACATAGTAGTAGTACACGACCAGCAATGAAGATACAACGTGAAGCTATATTCAAGGAACTAGGCCCTCCTGGAGTTGCGGTTGGTTGGGCGATATACCTGGACCTGCTGAGGCGACATCGCCACAGGCAGTTGCATTCTATTTCAAATGTTTCTGGTGGCTCAACGCCAAGCTCAAGTGGGGAAAGGGAAAACCTCGAGAAGATGGAAATGGAAAAAAATCGAGCTGAGGTTGAAAACGACCTCCGCCGGAGACTTGCAGCTGATGGAAATGTTGAGGGCGTAGAACAAGAACACTTGACGCATATCAGCACAACGATGAAAAATCTCCCGAGTGCCAGAGAGCTGACATCATATCTCACTGATTCTGAAAAACTACGACTGCTGCTTTATGCCCCATGCCCATGGAGTGAACTAGCAGTGACCCCAACAACGTATTTCCCAACTCCAACACTTCGCGAATATCTTTTGCGCAGTGGATTTTTAAGAACACAAGAATTTTAGAAATTGATTGCTGGACTTGGGAAAAGAAAATACATAATAATTATGGAGGACTTCTTCATTCTGCAAAAAATGTCCTCTGGATCTGGGCGAATTAGGAGGAGGCGATCACATTTACTGCGATTGCCCAGTTTTCTGAGCGTCTTCCTTGTGGTGAGGCTGTACCCGCTTATTTGGGAAGAAGGGAGGTCGATCCTACCTACACGATTACTATATACGACTATTTTGTTTCAACATCTCTTCCTGAGTTCCACCATGTCCTCTGATGGTGACCCTCCGAGTGTGAGAGTAGAGCAAGCGGCCCCGCAAGCGAAGAAGTTCTGCGCCTTTGATGAAAGTGTTGCCGCGTATGACCGTTCGTAAATTCGAGGAATCTACCGATAAAGATAAGTAACTGATAGGTGAATGACTGCTTATCACAACCACAAGGACGTATCGTTATGTGTTGCTTAGAAGTAGGGACAGGGAGCTCATAATTCGGTCTGGGTTCTCATCATGACACGCATGACGATGAAGTGAGATTGACTGGGATCTTTGAGACACCTCTAACGCTGTTGTCGATGAGCATCTGAAGAAATAATATTTATACATAGGTAGTTTGACTGATCCCAAACATGCTGGGGTATCGTACTTGCTCGACGGCTGAAGGCTTCGATGATGTTTTGCGGTCGCCGACAAAACGGTCGTATGGACAAACCGCTGCGTCATCGGCGTCGTCATCGTATTTTCTCGGAGAGGATACTAGCACTAGGACGGTTCCGGATGAGGGTGGTCACAGAAGTAGAGGCGGGGTGTCAGTGACCGTGGATCGATATGACATCGTACGGGAGAAGCCGACTGGATTGATTCAAGGTGTGCTCCCCGCAGGTGTCAGCGGAAGGCAGTACGTCAGCTACACGCTTCTTGTTCGCGCACCTGGCGCTTTCAAGGATAGAGATGAAGGCGGCGGAAGTTCATCTTCCAGCGGACCAGGTGCGGCCACGAGAATGTCGGGTAGAGGCGGTGCGGGATCCTCGGGTTCGTCGACGGGAGGTCTCGGTTCTACTAAACTGCACAAGGTCTTCATTCGGTATTCTGACGTCAGTACGATGCATGAGGAGCTTCTTTTGCAGACCAGGTCCTGTGCTGGGCGCGGATTGCCGGAACCACCGCCGAAGACGACAACGCGCCGTTTCGATGGTCCATTTTTGCAAATGCGGGTGCAGCAAATGCAGGGCTACTTCGATGCACTGTGCTCTCGGCCGGCGGTTATGGCGCTTCGCCCGGTGCGACGCTTGCTACAGTTGGGAGAAGGCAGTGACTCCCTGAGTGACGGAATTTCTGCCTATGATACTAGCAATGGGGGCGTTGGAGGTGGAGCCGCGTGGCCGAAAAACAGCTGTAAGACCGAGTCCCTACCCGTTCAAGTGGCAGCGGTGCGGACGAAAAACGTTGTAGATTTTTGCTACAACAGTCAAATGGGCACGTTGCTAGTTGCGACTCACGCTGTTCTTCGAGGAGCGCACGCTAGCAGTAGCTCCACGTCTTTGGCTACAGGAGGCCCGACAACGCAATTAACATCGCAGGGAGGCCCAGGAACGTAGTAAGTTTTATGATTTTTGGTTTTCGTTTTTTCTATTTAGTTAGGTCTGCTCCACCACAAGAATCAAATATATAACATGTAGAAGTTCATCAAGTTTCTCTTGCTGTTCTTGTTCCGCTTTTGGTCTTGCATGCAATCGAACTTGTTGAAGTGATTATAGGTCAAAATAGAGTAGTAGTGGTTTTAATACACTTCGTGTAGGAGGCTGGATGCACTAGGACAGAAACAGATGCAACCGCAATGCGCTTGAGAATCCGACAAGAAAAGAGAAAGAAAATAGTCGTCCTATCGATTCTCGTCTTCGAGTGTTTGTAGGCATACGAGTGGTCTGTGAATGAATGTTGTAACCATTGCAGGGCTCGGGTTGCGCTTGCGGGTTCTATTGCACCTGGGAAAAAGTGGTCGTCTTCTGTTTGCTCCGCACTGACACTATGGCGCGCACGAGGCGGAGACCAACTCTCTGAACAAATTTGGTCCTTGAGCCTTTCCTCACACATACTTTGTGTTGCTGGAGACCTTGTGGAAGATGCTTTCTGTGGTTTAGAGAATGGTCAGATAGTGTATCGCCGAGCGTTGGGCGCCCCGGAACAAGAGTCGAGTAGCAGATCGATTTCGAGCAGCGTAACAAGCGACGGGGTGCATTTGAAGATCAAGTCTTCCTCCGCTTACCCTAGCCAGACAAGCTGCTCTATTTCTGGTTCTTCAGGGTTTCCCTATCAAGGCAATGCGGGTTCAGCACAGCGAAACACAAGCCTGTATCTGCCCAACGCAACTGCGGAAACGGGGGACGGTATCACAGCGATGTTGTATGACGCGCAAGAGAGACTTCTTCTTTGCGGCACGTCAACTGGGCGCTGCTTTCTCTACTCCATGGCTCTACAGCGCGTTGTTGGGGAGCGCTTAAGAGGCGCAGCAGCGGCTGACTACTCTTCGCCTGGGGACGGCGACACAGCATCTTCAAGATGTGGTATAACCGCTTTTCACCGAATATCCGCTTCGAGTGTGTTGGCGGGAACCCAGGATGGTTGTGTCCTGTTCTTTGAGTACGATCCCGCGGCGCCTTCACACGCTTTGCGCTCGAGTGGTCGCTCCATGTCTGTTCTTGCTAACACGTGCGACACCGTCGCTGTTGTGTCCATGTGCTCTGCCGCTTCAGCTTCTCGGCTGGGCACGTCCTCTTCATCGATGTTTGACAGCGGCGGCGTGCATGCTCTGCAGCAATCGACATCAAGCGCGCCTATCTTGCTTGTGATCTCGTTAGCCTCCGGTGCTGTGGTACATGGAAAATTCAACCCACCGGCTCTCCCAGGAAATTATCCTAGTCTTCAGATTTACGGAGATATTGACTCCGATCGACGTAGAGCCCGATCTACTTTTGTAATATCCGTTTCGGCGTACGACGATTATAGCGACTCGAACATGGCATCTTCTACCTCATCACCATCATTTGGACCAGGCTCGACAGTGAACAGAATGAGCATAGGACGATCTTCAAGTTCTTCAACAGGCGCAACGTCCACCTTCGGCAAGGTGGCATTGACGAGCAGCAATGGGAGCGTTGCCCTGTATCGATGCGAGGCGAACAAAATGCATCTTCAGCCGCGTAAGCCTACTAGTCCACCCTCTGCCGTTCTGCGAGATGACGCCCGCCCGAAATTTACTTTGCAATACGACTTTTCGACGCGCGTGGCTGGTACAAGGAAGTCTTTACTGGTTCTGTCCGAATCAGGACCGGCTCGCATGTTGCTCGGCGGCTCTGATGGGGTCACTTTTTACGATTTTCCAACGGATGACGGGAAGCTCTCTGTATCTTCGTTTCTCTCCGTTGTTACAGCGACACCAGCCGAGAAGAATAGAGAACTGCTTTCTCCAGGAACACTAGACACCTCCTCGTCGCCTTCGAGACTTCCAGAGCTACGTGGATCGCGGGTCATGCAGTCTTCACAGCTGTCTCGTGCAGGTTCATCATCAATCCAGGGAAATTATTCTTTTCGAACGGAGCAACAGCAGCAGCAGGGGCCCACGTTCGCCAACTCCATGATGAATAACTTCAATTTTTATTCGGAGTCTCCGTCCAGGTCCACGAGCAGCAGAAATCTTCGCGACGATGCCGTCAATTATTCAGAAACCTCTCATCAACTATCTTCGTTTTCAACTACCACGCCTGAAGATTTATTAGCGCGTGGAGACGCAGACGACGCACCTTCTGCTAATAAAGGAAGTAGAATCCCAATGCCTTTTGCCATGCCTGGCGCGCTATCAACCACGCCTGACGAGCGCCGTTTCCGACCAGCGCGAATTGGCGGCAGAAGCATGCGCGGTTCGGGGCCCTGCTGTGGGGACAGCTCCGAAGACGACGACGGTGCCCTCGCCGGCTGGGACACCTGAAGCCGTCGTTTGACGTCGCTAGCTTCTTTTCATGACGCCTTTTCGTTTTCTGCAGGATATAGTGACTCGAGCACTCCATACGGATATGCCACAACTCACAAGTGTGGTCTCTAAACAGCTGCTCAATTGATGTCCGCGTTCGGTTGTACTTGTACTTGTGCTTCTTGTACGGTTCTTCTTGTTTCTTCCTCTTCGGCTAGAAGTTTATTCGTAATCGTAAGTAGCCATTTTGGCTCAAGGATCTTGTTAAGATTTTCCCCTGTCTCAGAGGTGTGCCGCAAATCTAGATTGGCTTCTTCCTTTTCATAAGGTTGGGGCTTAGTTCCAGCGGCGCTCAAAGCACTAAACTAAAACAGCTGGTTAGTTTTTACCTCTATAGGCTTAGCCCTTCAAACCGTATAGATTGTCTGCCCGTGGCGTGGAGTTTGGGTTGTGTCGGTGGTTTGGGCCATAGTCACGAAGCAAGGTAATGGGATGTTAACCATCTTCTATTTATTAGCCAACAAGAAGTTGAATTGCGTAAGCGAATTATAATTTGACACGTTTAGTACAACGCTTCATCACTCGAGCAACAAGAACAACTAGAACTACTCGCCGAAGTCGTCCCTGCGTTGCTCCTCGCTGATTTGGTTGCGAGCAGCAATTGGTTCTTGGTGTTCCTCACTCTGATACTCACGTTCCTTTAGCTTCCATGTTTTTCAGTATCTGTTTTGATTCAGATTCAGATCCCGGAGAACTCCGAGATCTACTTCTGAATAACAAACGAGACCATGAGAAGAACGAAATAGAAAGAAAAGCAAGGCGGGAAGTACTTAGCCAAAAGCTGACGCGTGGTGTACAACAAGTAGAAAAATGAAATGGCAATTATTTTTTTACTTTGAAAGAATAAAACGGTTTATTTTTTAAGAAAGTTTTATTCCTCGGTCTACACATTGATTTTGACTTCATCGTCATCTAACAAGCCATGATTGAAATTGATCATTCAAGAATTCTTTTTTGATTTCAATGTTATCATCCGCGGCAAACGAAGGACTTTTAGAAAAAAAGACAAGAGATAGTGATGGAACGCATGGCTCATGATGCACTTCCTCGGTGGGACGAATAGAAGAGTAGGTCTGTGACTGAAAACAGAAAATAGGAGAAACAAGCAGGAGAAATCGTCGTGACCGTGAGTGACTTTCATCATTGTGAGCGCTGATGTCCTGTCGTCATGCGATAGCAGGTTCAATCTGATGGGCTTTCGGATATGGACTGTGTCTAGGTATACCTTGTCCAGCGCAGGTGAAGCGGTGATCCTGTATCGCTGCGAGTGCGACAAAGAAGTAACTGCCATGCCTCACTTTTTTATCAGATGAAGGGCACTTCGTTGTACAACCAGAAAACTCCAGCCTCTTTCGGTTGCGATGCAGCACCCAGACCTGATGAGACCTTGCCCGTGGAACAAAACAAAACTCGTTCAGTAGCTGCTGGTCGAGGCTTCCTGTTCTTACTGGGAAATTATTCGCTGCTTTCGGGTTGCTAGGCCTAGGCACCGCCGGAAGTCAACATCTTTCCTAGTAAGCGGAGGCGACGTCGAGAGAAAAAACCACGATGCCGATGCGATTGAATTTGTTCGCTCGAGCGGCTAACCGAGATCCCGCACCAGAGGCGGTTCGATTGCAGGAAAATGCCATCGTTTGGAAAGACAGGCACAACTTCTAAAATGGCAATGAATAGTACAGATGAACCTCGCGCTCGCTGGTCTTCATTATAAATATATTTATTTAGATATAATGGTATAGGCATATGCGTTTGTGCATCATCATGACGAGCGAAATTGGCTCATTTTATTTCAATCAATTAATGTCGATTTAGTCCTAGTTCTTCTTGTTTTTTAGATTAAACCTCAAGAGAACTTGTTTGATGTTTTCCTCTCCATATTTCCTTATGGCTATGCGCATCTACTGTAGGTGCCTCCCTCTATCGGGTGTGTTTTCTGCTGCGGGCATACAGGATGTCGTGTTTGAGGAAGTGGCATTTCCTCACCTCCGCAACGCGCTGTCAAACAAGCAGAATGTCACTTTCCTTTTTTACGGCGCAGCAGGCTCGGGAAAATCGTATTTTCCACTACTAGAGCACTTTTTTTCATTTGAAGATAGATGAACATGAACATCATGAAGCTTATGCTTACAATGAATTGCCCCGGCTTACAACTAAGTACTTAGTGGGGATAACAACATGGTCAGTTGTAGTATCCTCAGATCAATGTCGATCATAATTCATCGTCGTTTGCTATCTTTATCTTGCGTCCAGGAGCAACATGATCAACATGTTGTTCATCAGCATTCTTTTTATCAACCATATGCAACAGATACACGATGGACGGCGGGTGGCTGTGCAGCGAGGAGAACTTGGAAGATCATGGCATGGTTCCTCGTACGATGCATTACATGTTCGCGACAAGAAAAGATCACGTAGAGGCAAGTTTTGTTGAGTTTAATGACGGCGTGATGCGCGATCTCCTCTCAACACACGACGGGGTTCCCAAAGTTACAACGTCAACAACCACGGGCGTCGGAAGCCACGGCGTGCCAACTACCTCTCCACATAACCCAGCGCCACGAACATCTAGCATCGATAACGCGATCAGGATAAAGTGTGACCAGGGTACAACTACGTTACAGAATTTCCTGGCTCACAAGGTTGATGCAACGAAAATAGGACTAAGACTCGGAGGCAAGAATGTGCCGAATAGATTCGCATCATCAAAACTCGTTTCGAACAACCACAAATCATCTCGAATATGATTCTTTCTCTTTGTACCGCCTAAAGTAAGAAGTACTTTCCAATTCCAGTCGTGCTACTCGATTTTACAACAGGTCTACAAAAGTTGCGGGAGGCTTATGCATATGGGACAAGTCGGCGGAGTGGACATGCTGCTTCTTGTTTTCAGATTGCAACGTTTGACAGAAATGGTCAGAAAACACTAATTCGTTTCATAGAACTCCGTTCGGCAGATCCGACACTCCAGAGCCCAGCTGCGTTTCAGTTGCAACAAAACGTGAAGATCCTCTCCGAGGTACTACTCCTTATCATAAGCTTAATCTAGTACCAAGGCATTATCAATAATTATATATAATGATCTAGTACTATTTCTACTAGCTTCAACAAGCTTCGCCCGGCTTCAGGTTTAGCTTTGGCAGTTCGCCGCCCACGGGCTACAGCTAGAGACAGCCCACGGGTTCGCTTTAGATAGTTCACTTCGAAAAATTGACTACGGCGAGACTTTCGGCGCTAACCGACTTAGATACGTTGACCCCTGGGCAGGGAATTTGCAAGACTGACCCCCACGGTAGTCCAACAAAAAGACCCGAAGAGCGCCGCCGTATCTTCAGGACCTGCAGGCCCCCGAGCTTCAGGACCTGCGGGGCCTCGGTGGCAGGCAAGAAGGGCGACCCTGATGGGTCAAGAAAAAGCACGCATAAGCGTACTTTCTGGGTCTATCTGCGTGCAGCTGGTAGGTTATCTTGCTTTGTCAGGTGTCTTGTGTCGGATGTCTTCCGTCAGATGTATTTCGTTAGATGTGTTTCGTCGGATGTTTTTTCGTCAGATGTGTTGCGTCGCGCGTCTCTCCCCAGACGTGGCTCGCCAGGTTAGTTTAGACGTCTTTCGTCAGGCGTCGGGCGTCTTTCGTCTGACGTCTTTTGTCCGGTGTCTTGCGTCAGGCCCAGACGCTTTGCGCCCGACGTCGGTCTTCCGTCAGATGTCCCTGCTTCGCCAGGCGCCTTTCGTGACGCGTCTCTTGTGAGATGTCCTCTGTCAGATGTCCTTCGCAGGGCGTCTGTCGTGAGACGTCTCCTGTGAAATGTCTTGCGTCAGATGTCTCTCGTCTTGTGCCGGATGTTTTTCGTGTCGTCGGTCAGATGTTGTCTTTGGTCAGTCTTCTTTCGTCAGACTTCTATCTCCAACTTGCGCGCCTACCGTCGTCGGGAATTTTTCCGGCATCTTTTTTCGAAGTAGGCTCGGGGGCCTTCTCGTAAGCTACCGAAAGAAAACGGTCGGAGACCGTCGGGGCCGGAGCTAGAGGGGAAGGGGCCGGAGAGTATAGGCAAGGACTCCGACGAAGATGCGAACTAGTCTCCGGTATGATATGAGGCAGGGAGTTTTGTGGTCTCCGGTATGATATGAGGCAGGGAGTTTTGTGGCAGTGACCAGTGGGCTGATTAAGCTAGATTAATAACCTAGCTCAATGATTAAGAATGTTAACATACTTGTTGCAATGTTTTAGGACTATCAATTATACTAATTTGCACCAGCATGCCGAGGTAAGCATAAATAACTTTTAGTAAATGACGTTGCCGCGACTTTATAATGATAGACCTCCTTCTTGACGACAAACAGTACTACAGCTTCGTGCTAGCGGGTACTTTTTTACTAACTTAAGCAGATATGAAAAACTGTTCGTCGATAATGATGACCACGCATGCCCTCTACTTACAGTGCTTGCAGTCGGCGTTAAAGCCATCAGGAGTGCCGGCCGGGTATTCTCAGAGGAGTTATCTCACAAGCCTGCTACATCCGACATTTTCAGGTAGAAAGATGTCTACTTTGTCATTGAATTGCACCTCTGTGCGCGTTTATTTTTGAAAGGAGGTGCGGCGCATGTATGCGTTGTCGTGTGGAATGGGATTGTACAACGAGCAAAAATTATGTACAAGTTATATATAGTCCAAGAACCGATATTAACAATTGCTGCTGAGCAGCTTATCCTGAATTCTTGAATAATTCTTTTTATTCTTGTACGCACAGGTACCGCAAGTCTGATTGTCACATTTTGCCTTCGCCTAGACCGTGATAGTGAGATGCAGACGGCATATCCGCTCTTGCAACTACTGTCGGAGCATGCGCTTCTGACTGGTTGTGGTGCGCTTCGGCGGAACCAGGACTCTGAGGACTATATTAGGACTTCCTCCATACCCCACCAACGTTATGTACATGCAAGGGAAGTAGGAGTCCTGGACGACAACATCCTACGCGACCTGGAGCAGCACCAGCTCGAAGCACAACACACACACAGCGCTCAGCAGCCTTTGCTGCAGAGCGGGCAAAAGGAATTATCAGAAGCGACGGGGGAGGAATCGCGCTTCAATGTAGATGCCGTCGTAAACGCTATGATATCCAGTTGCGCCGCTGTCAGCAGCGATACTAGCGATAAAGCCTCCAGTTTCAAGACGGGAGTGACCGCGTCGACAGCAACGTCGGGTCTTCTTGAGGAAACAGGCGGGTCAAGTAGCTCCTGCTTTTCTGAGGGTCCTATAAGAGGAGACCACCACCACAGTACTAGTCTTAGTCAGCACGCAAGCCGAGAAAGTAGCAAGAAGAGTGTAGCTGTCGCCCCTGCTTCAGCTTTGGGGAGTTATACTGTCGGCGGTTCTTCGTCTTCTACTGCGCAGTGGCCACCAAGCCGTGAGAGCCAAAAGGTCGACGATCCCGCTACCTCGACTAAGATTATGGAGCGACCCAAAAATGGAGGTTCTTGTATTGAAGGAGGAATCAACTCCGCCGCGAGCTTACCAGGGGAGGAGGAGAGCGTGAGCCTTAGCGAGCTACCGCAACACGCCTTCATGGATTGTGAGCGGTATTGGGAGAGCTCCGCGAAACTTCTGGACTTGTTGCATAGTAGAGACATCCCGACACATGAAAGGGCAATCCAGGAGATCTTGCGAAGTTTGTACCAGCTCGAGGAGCACCGCGCTTTGACGCATGCAGGCCGAGTACACGGCCCCGATGAGCGAGAGACGAGCTTGAAGATGCTGCTAGAAAAAGTCACGCTCTCTGCGGTCCTCGGACAGGCCATGCAATTTCAGTACGCGGAATGCCTCGAGTTCCTGCGTATCTTCGTAAAAGGACAGGCTGCCGCGAAACCAAAACCGCGCTTCGCCGCGGCTCCGACCGCAGTACGGTGCGCTTTAGAGACACTCAGAAAAGTAGCGCAGAAGGAGATGGGTGAAGTCGGCTATTGTTGTATTGGAAGGCCCGATGATGCACCTGCACCTGAAACTGGCGGTGGTGATGATACAACATCAACAGGCAGTGGTAGCGCAATTGCTTCAGCGACTAACTCATCCAAAGGGTCGGTCGGAAGCGCTCTATTGGGGAATTTTCGGGGAGCATCGTCAAAAAACTCGGTGAAATCATCCCAGAGTGGAATTGATGGCGTTTCTGCGATCCCTCGCCTGGAGCTGGAAAAATTGCCGCCACCTGTGCCTGGCGAGCAAGACCGGCCTTGCTACATCGTAAACCCCCACAGTCTAGACGTGGACGATGACGATGATGAGAGTGGTGGCCAGCACGCTGATGGCAGTGCCAGCGATTTTGGTCTCGCCAGTGCGCCAGGCGGCGGTCCAACGCCTTCCGCTGTCGGTGCAGCTTCGTCTTTTGGAAAAGCCGATAATAGATATGCGCCTTCAGAGAGAAATTCTAGCAAACTGTCGTGTTCTTCGTTCGGGTTGCTCCAGTCTCGAGAAGAGATTTCGCAAAGCAGTCCCACTGATCCACACTATGCTCTTGCTGCAAATGCGCGATCCCGCGAACAATTTGTTGACGACTATAGTTGCACCTCAGAGGATCTTGACGAGTTTCTTGGCGGAAAATCGCGCGTGTCCTGTGGTGGGGCATGTGCTACCAGTGGTCAAAATCTAGGTCTTTCATTAGGACACACCAAACAAGGGAACAACAGTAAAAGGGCAGGCCAAGGAGCACTCGCTCATAAATCAAGTGCTGCACCTCCGCGAGTTGGTCCGGGGACTACAGGACAGTCTGGTCCTTCAGGGAAACTCGGCCGCCAGGAAGCCGCACGCGCTTCTTCTGCAGCACCGGGTGCCGTCTCGCCAAGCAGCGCTTTGCTGCCTGCGGAAAGGACGCTCGCGCATACACAGTCCTACAGCCGCCTGGGCGGTCCTATGCCATCGGGAGCTCTGCGTGGTACCTCGATCTCAGCAGGGTCAACAACACTGAACAACAGAGGGTCAGCGTCAGGCGGTCTTGATCAGCCAACGAAGTCAGCTTCTGCCTCGGCCGGAACGAGAAGTGTCCTCACAGGCACAAGCTCAGCAGCGTTGCTCACACGGAGTCCTTTATACCCAGGAAATCCAGCTCAAAATCGGCGACTAAGTCCTACACCGCTTCCTGCCGGCTTATTCTTTTCCGGTGCCGGCTCAACGGTGTCGGGTGCAAGCAGCGTGGGCTCAGGTGTAGGTGCGGCTCGTGGTTCCAGTGTAGCCGTCTCGAAATGCGGACGACGGACGGCCCCTACATCAAGGTTTGGCGGACCTCTAGGCGTGACTGGCACGACTGGAGGAGCTTCGCCGCAGCATCCGGCTAGCGCTCTACAGCAGTGGCGAAAAACGCATTTCGCTGGTGCGCGTGGAGGCGCTCTCGCTGCAGCCTCGGACCCTAGCTCCGTTGCGTCCTCAAACCGCAGCTCCCTGGCACAAGCGCGGTATCCTACCCGCAAGGGCTCGTCGTCAGCGTCAGCGGGCGGTAGCGTACCTTGTGGATCGGTTGACCCTTCTGCTGGAAGTACGGCAGCAGAGAGCGTTGCGTCTTCAGGAGGCGCAGTGGCAGCAGGAGTGACGGTCCACGAAGACCAGAATGTAGTACCGGACGCCACTGATCCTGTGCTGTCGCAGCCTGCTTCCGCTGCAGGAGTCGCAGTATCAATGCATCAGCACGCACCTTCACCCGTCGCTGGCGGTACGAATATTGTTGGCCTCGCAAGTGGTGCCATGTCGGTCCTCGGGCCACCGCCTCAGGGGCTGTACCGACCGCACTCGCGCGGACCAGCTACCGGGGGAACGTCGACAACGGCGAACCAGCACGGCGGCATCCTAGGAGCGTGGCCCCTCGTACGCGCAGTAAGCCCTTCACCCATCCGCGTCTCGACACCCTTCCAGCCGATTCAGCAAAGACAAGCAATATCGGAAAAAAAAGAAAGCCCACAAGACTTTGTCGGCGGCGCCGTGTCTGGTACGAGTCCTCATGAGCACGACAATCAAACTATCTCTGGTGCGGCCGTTGAGAACATCAAAAACGATGAGCAAGCCAATGCTCGATCGGTGGGCCATCCTGTGCGCTTTGGCGTAGGTATTAAGAAGTACAACGCACCACCACCGAGGATCTTTGCGACCGGGCTGACGTCAAAGCTTCAACTTGGAACTACTCAGCAGGATACAAGTGCAACTGGGCTTGCTGGAGCGGCGACAGATAATAAGTATTCACTCTCAGTCTCAATGCTTCCACCTTTACTCTTTACTCGAGTTGCGCAGGAACAAAAACAATATCAACACCTATCATTATAATGGCGCTAAGTCAACTAAGAACTGCACAAAAACGGCCACTATTGTCGCCTCCTCGTCCTGGAAGTGCTCCGCTTAGCGGCTTTTGCAACTTGCTCCCTCTTGGTTTTTCTGTCTTTTGGTTTCGTTTCATGTGATTCCCCGCGCCCCTCCAGAGTCCACCGCACCAGCCTGCAAGTGTGTGCCTGGGGATTCTGGAGGGGCGCGGGGACTTGGAGGGCGCCCGAGGTTCTTGGCTCGCAATTGGGGGAAGGTTTTCCCGAAGCGAGCGCAGTAGGCGGCGAGTTTTCTGCGGATTCGTATCATGCCCGGCAGGATTGAATTTTGTCCGGATTTTTGCAGTCCTTCGTTGAATTTTCTCCATTCAGACTCCACTTGTCTGTGGTCAGGTTTTTCGCTATAATCGGAGAGGTTTGAGGCAATCCGCCTGAGGTTCTTCGTTCTTGGGCCTTTTGGTCTTGTTCAGTGTTGGACTTTTGACCACCCGGCGCCCCGAGGCTCTCGCGCTGGGTGGGATTAGTTACAAAGAGGAGCGACGCGCTGCCGCCTTTAAATGCTGGCCAGACCACTCACGCGCGCCGCCGTGTGTGCGCAGATTGTCGGGGGGGTTTGCTGGCGTTGTTCGCACTCTTTTGAAGTATTTCAGCGGGGAAGTTTGCGGGGGTTTCGCCGGAATTGAATAAACCTCTCTACTGTTTGCCGCTTTCCTGATCGCTAGGCCATTTTTGATGAAAAAACTGAAAAGATGTCTTCAGATTTTTTTCCAAAAATGGCCTTGCAGTCAGGAAAGCGGCAAACAGTAGAGAGGTTTAGTCAATTTCGTGGCATTTCTCAAGAAGGGCTGGACCGGTTGCCGCTTGAGTTCCAAAGGGCTCGCGCCTCCTCTTTTTGTTAGGTTTCGACGGTGTGGCGTGCTCGCTGTGCCTCTGGTGCTTCCGCAGGTGGCTGATTAGAATGGCGCTAAGTCAGCTAAGAACTGCACAAAAACGGTCACTATTGTCGCCTCCTCGTCCTGGAAGTGCTCCGCTTAGCGGCTTTTGCAACTTGCTTCCTCTTGGTTTTTCTGTCTTTTGGTTTCGTTTCATGTGATTCCCCGCGCCCCTCCAGAGTCCACCGCACCAGCCTGCAAGTGTGTGCCTGGGGATTCTGGAGGGGCGCGGGGACTTGGAGGGCGCCCGAGGTTCTTGGCTCGCAATTGGGGGAAGGTTTTCCGGAAGGGAGCGCAGTAGGCGGCGAGTGTTCTGCGGATTCGTATCATGCCCGGCAAGATTGAAATTTGTCCGGATTTTTGCAGTCCTTCGCTGAATTTTCTCCAATATAAAAAAATGACTTTAACCTTGAAAATTGAAAACTTCATTGCTCAACAGGTTACCATCGATGCGTAAAAGCCAATCTGTTAGTACGCTCGGGGGTGTTCGTCGGGTGCCTGGCGCGCGCGGGCCCAGTCCTCATTGGTTCAAGGCTACGAGCCCACTGCAACTCTCGCAAATCCGAAGTAGCTCCGTTCTGCAAACGCGATTGCAGTCCTGATGATAAAACAGGGAACTAGTACACCTGTAGTCGCTCAAAAACAAGAAGATATCCTTGCCTGTTTCGCAAGAAGACCAAGGGGTCAGAATGAGAATTATTGTTCTTCTGGGATTTCTACGTTTTAGAAAGTATCTATAAGAATTATAGGCCATTAACGCATTCGGAGTGCGATTGTGAGCCGTTGGATCGTGAGCAGGCATGGGCGGAAACGTCCTAACACAACAGTCTCACGACCATTTTCATCGATTTTTCAAACAGCTTCTTTGCATAATGATCGCATATCTCCATTACCATAGATACGGAAACTACATCAGACAGGCTGATAAGTCACCAACATCAATCTTGCTTTTTTAGTATGTTGGTTACCACATCAATTTAATGTAAGTCGTTTTTATGCCTCTCTTCTCCTTGTGGTCTCCCACATTTCGCTGGGATCCAGAGTTGGTGGAGGGGTAAACTACAACAACGCATTCGAGTTCCTATCTTCACTACTATATCATTCGATTCTTCTGTTTCAGATTCATTCATAGTATTTTTACAAAGGAGCACTGACTGTCTGCTTCAGGAACGCATTCCAAATCCAATTCTAATCCGTTTTTAGCATGAGCTTTTAGTTTTCTTGTTGAGTTACAAGTAGAAGTCGTCCGCTTGGTTCTTGGGGATGGGGCTGGGTTGCCTGCCACCGAGCTATGAGTGATGGACGGGTGAACAAGTAGTCGGCCAAGGCAGCATGATAGATTTTCAAAGCACGCAATGCTCCCGAACAAAATGCACGCGCATCGCGGGCAGACATACTACGATCACTCGCAAAAGAGGACGACAAGAAGCTGCTTAACCTTATGCATGATGTGCTTATGTCCAGCAAAGAGAATAAAGACAAAAAGAAATCATGAGACCATAAAGATTAAGATTAGTAATGGACAAGGAGAGCAGTACAACTTATTTCTACATCAAATAAGAGGTACTTCATCAACTTCAGCGCAGATGAACATTCTGGTGAACATCAATGAACTTTTTTGTCAGAGTTTCTTACATCCTAGTATAGATACACGCAAAGACGGTTACTCGAGCAGCGATCAGTGAGCGTTCACTAAGCTGCCGAGCCTTATCGACACCTCAACCGCAAAGTTCGTGGTGCATATGCATGTGGAGGTCCTTCGTTGTAACATCATTCAACTAAGAGTATTGATTCGGCAGAGCGGCGTGCCCGTCGTGTGCGTGTTAGTGCAGTGGTTTCCTTTGTCCCTTTTCTGTTGAATCTTACTAGCGGAAACATCGAGAGGGTGAGCGTTCAATAGCAACTCTGCACCACAATGATTTGTGTTATCGAGACAAGTAGGATAAAGAAGAAACATAGCGATATGGATCAACGAGAGCGCGATCTGTTGAAGATCAAGAAATGAGTGAAGATCCTGTCCCCTGGACGTCGGGAAAAGATCCTTTCTAGCAGTACCTCGTAGTATCAAGATCCTTTTCCAGTAGCATAGGACTTTTTGTACTACACAGTGCTTGAAGTGGATGCATGTTGTCATCAAATGATCCTACTCATTCATAAACCCCTAATATGCCATAAAGTTCATTTTCAACTGCAACGTATAAAGATCAATGTCGAAATTGATCAGAAAAATAGTGGAGGCATCATGCTATATGATTGCGCCGAAGAACCGGTACAAGTTACCTACTAACAATACAGCTATGGTGCTAATAATGCATGGTCGCGAGGAAGAGGATGTCTTTAACTTTATTATTCGGAAAAAACATGAGAAATGCTATCAGCATTGATGGCGCATCCTCCTTTGCCTCACGGGCAGGAGTGTCCTTGAATCCTAATTTTTCTCGACTCGGGGTGCCAGGATTTTATCGGAAGTTTGTTACAGATCAAGTAGGTTTGAAAACGACAGCGACAACTTGTTTGACACAAATTGATGCTCGTACTTCTGCGTGTCGCCGTGGTTGCGCATCGGCAGCATCATCCGCGAGTCACGATTTCCTTACAATTACAACAAGGCTAAATTATTCTATACCGCCTATTCACCCGGTTCCAAGAGGTTTTTCATCCCCTAAAAGTTCTTCTAGTTTGAGAAGTACTCCTTGTTCCGGTTCTAGCGCTAGAAATGTTCGAATCGCTCGAGGCACTAGATCGTCTCATGATCTTTCTCAAGAGTCGACGATAGCTGTTTTAGGTGACTCTTGCGCGCTCGTTTCTCGTCGGCGATTTCCTGCGTTCACCGGGAAGCAGCAGAACACGGCGTCTTTAACTACAACACAGCCTATTGCGATAGTAGAGTTAGGCATATTAACGAATAATTTGCCATTGCCTACGTCGTCCAGCAAGATGGCAGATGATGCTTGGGGCGCACCGCCAGCGCTGCAGAACCCCGACTTTTGGCTAGAGCAGGCGTCTAGCTCGAGCACCTCTGCAGGTACCAGGCAACCTGAAAAACGAAAGCGACAGTTGAAGAATAGCACTTCTGGAGAATGGCATTCCTCGCCTTCCTCGGCTTGGGGACAGGCAGTGGCCAGTGGTGCTGGCTCGAGTTCAGAAAGACCTCGTAGACACCACGACCACCAAAGGGGCGCAGAGGTAGTGCAGCAACTTTCACCGTATGCGAAACGAGGCATTATCGATGGCCATGAAAGGAACCACGCGCGTGACATGGACGCCGTCAGCGACTATCTTAGGCATGACGACGACGGTTATCCTTATCTTCCTGAACGAAAACAACGAAGGAACCATGGACCAGCAAAGTGGTCCTCCTCGGATAACAGAGAAACTCCATGGGCGAAATCTGCTGAAGGAGGACATGCCTGGGATAACGACTACAAGAACTATAAATCGTGGTCATCATCCTCATCCAAGAGTTCTGACAAGTTAGCATCAAGCGGTAGCAACTACGAGAAGTACATGAAAGATAATGCTGACGGAAACTATCATGGGAACAAACCACATCAACAGAACAATGTTTCTGGTGGAGACACTACTACTTCATCTTGCCGTACTAAAGGAGTTTCTGGCAGATCAGGAACAGGAGAATCTTCGAGGAAGCGAGCGCATGTCCTGTCTGTGGATATAGATGGCACCATCGCGGATATTACCAACCGTATCGAAATCGCCTTGAAAGAAGGCGATGAGCGGTCGAGCGCGTACTGGGCGACCTTACTCGACGGACAGCATTATCACATGGACGAACCCATTGTGTGGTCCCGTACCTTTCTTCGTGCATGGGTAGGCTTGCTGCCGTGGGCGAGTTGTAAAAACGACAGCTCGATGAATCAAGAAGCAGGTGGAGACGACCAGGTGGTTGAAAATGTTGAACAAATGAGCATCACGGACAGTGCTGTTGCCGCACCAGACGACGCTTCATCAAAAAGCAGTACTGACAGGATCAGGAAAATCATTTATGTGTCTGGGCGTCGCGCTGGCACCGAGGAGCAGACAAGAGAGTGGCTCGAAGCACACGGTTTTCCACTCGCGGAGATCCGACACCGCCCGCAAGGCATTGGCTCTTGGCGGTGGAAGAAGGAGACACTGATAGAGCTGAGAAAGAATTCAAAACTTGGTAAAATAGTCGCTCACCTGGGAGATCGGGAGGACGATGTTACGGCGGCTCAAGCAGCGGGCGTTCGTGGAGTCTACGTAGAACCCAACCTCTGGCTAACAAAAAGAGAAGCCGAAGAAAATGGTGTCGCAGATCTAATAACCGTTCATAGGAACGATGATGAACAGAAAGATCATGCATGACAAAGGTATGGACCAACAGTCTACGTGATGAAGAGAGCAACAAAGGTGCGGGGTTATAGTCAATGTAGAAGAGGGTTCTCCTTCAGTGCATAATGATAATGAAGCGTCCCGCCCCGACGCATCTTGTGCCGCAGCAGCAGGTGCTTCTAGCTTTTCGTCATCACCTTCATTCACGAGGATTTCGTGAGTGATCTTTTTTATATATGAATTTTTTTAACTTCCTCGCCCCCTGCTATTCTTGCTGTTGACCCCCCTCCACCTACGCAAGGACGCACAGGCGCCCCTACTTGATGGACTCAGATACAGTTGCTATTTTTATTTTCATCATTAATCATTCCCTCGTCCTTCTCTGAGCCTGAGTCGTCCTGCTCACATCCTTTAGATTGAAATCAGATCAGCACGTGTTCGATTTCGCTTTCATGTATAGAAAATAATAGAGATCGTGAACAGGAGGACACAGATAATGCGGCGTAGTGCACTAAGTGGATATTCTTGCCGTTTGAGTGGAAACAGGTATAAACCTGAAGACTGGATGAAGCTATGTCGGGCCTAAAAGTAGGTAACGCACGATATAGTGAAAGTGAGCGTGTGATATTATCGGTTCGGTGAAAAAGTGTGAGGGATGGGATTGTCGAAGAATAAACGTGTCACAAAGATGAACGTTCTACTATTTGTGACATCTTCGGTTTCGGTTCGAATCTTGTAGAAATTACTTGTGGTTCTACCACGACGTGGTGGAGAGAACAAGTGTCACGAGACATGTCGGTACCAACTTTAAAGGAAGCATCATTGAAATTGTTGCTTATACGGCTCTGTATTGGCCGCAGCCTCTGACTCCTGCCCTCAGCTTGTCCACGTCCGTTTTTATTTGTCTAGCATGTACATACTTGAAGTCGACAAAAGTACCTTCCGCGTATGTATAATTTGTAACCACTACCAAGTTGTATGAACTGGCACAACCAGGTAATGAAGCTTCGTGTAGGATAGAGATGATCAGACGAGACGCCAATGAATTTTGTTTCGTGAAAAGAATACTCAAGGAAAAAAACAAATGGCTACATCACTTGACACACTTCCTGCTCTGCTTCTGGATTAATTTTTATAATTTTCATTAACACTCTTGTGGAAGTAAAAAGAAGCAGAACAACAACAACGAGTGGTTCGTTGTTGTAGTACTACTGAAAGATCGTCTAATTTGCTGACTCAACTTTTTTGCTATTATAACTAACTGGCGTTGATGAAGAGAGACTACTATGCACAGCGACCACCGCAACGAAACGCACAAAACAAGACGCATGTCTTGTTGACATATCCACTTCAGACAACGCCGACGAGCAAGTAAATAGATGAGACGGGAAAACAACGAGCAGCAAGGTGGCAGCTCCCTTGTTCGCGAACACTTTGCTTCGTCGGCGCTCCCCACCTCTTCTGCACTAGGAGATGGAAAAGGAGCGGAAGAGCTAGAACAGGAAGAGATGGACGAAGGGTATGCGCAGCATGTTGACAATAACAAAAAGGACCTCATCGTCATTGAGCCAGGTGGTTTCGGAGAGGAGCGGGAGCCTCTTTTGAGGAACGAGTACACGTATGAAGATGAAGGTCGGGAGGATTTTCGGCAGTCTTCATCGGGCGTACTAGATGAGCGTGAGACTAAAAGCAAAAGGAGTCGAAGGGCGCAAAGTCTGTGGAGCGAGTACCTGGAAATGCAATCTGCGCTTCAAGACGATTGCGGAGAACACCACTTTTTAAGGCTACGTAGTGCTCTTGAAAAATATCCATCTGTATCTTTCTATACTCCACTAGCTACCACTTATTTACCAACACAAAAAAAATGAAAAACTCGAACTTTAACCTTCGTCAAGACCAGGTAGGAAAATTACGACCACTGCGGTGGAATGGATCCCATCAGAATTTAATCTCAGAGTGTCCAGTGACACCATTCGTAGAAGTGCAAGTATACTTATTCATTCTTATGCATGGACTGTGCATAATAAAGAATATGCATCTATAAGTATTAAGCAGTGAGTAAAACAGTAGAATTTTCAGGATACAGTTCTTACTGGAAAAAAACTACTCTAAATTACGGAGAAAAAGGAAGCTGTTGTCGGTCCTGCATCGGGTTTCTCATCCCCAATAGGGACTTCGCTATACTTTGCCTTCGAGTTTTGGCCATTTACTGGTTCGTTGGCCTTCTGTACTCTGCGATTGTGCCGTGGGCTTGTCCAAGGCCTCCAATGCTAGTGGATAAACACGGCCTCGCTCCATCTAATCTCGATCGTTCCTCCTGCTCCTGCAGTCACGAAGAGGATTCGGCTACTGCGGAGTACGTACATGGTGTTAAGCTTATAAAGCTTATGAATATGAATATGCTTCCCTATAAAATTTCATTCATATTTGCAAGAAGAATACACAAATCAAAATGTCGACCGCCTTTTTGCAAGAGACATCCACTTTTTCGAATTGTACGCTCATTGAATTTGAAGTTGTCTACAATTTAGATTCATAGCGTTAATCAAATTGATTCCGAAACGGATCCTAGCGCGGCGAAGGCGATGAAAGAGGACGCAGCGTCGACAAAGATCTTGGCTTCCACCTCCTGTTGCACTGCGGGCGATGGGCGTGGGGATGTCCTGGACAACGACGAAGAGGCTGATTATCATGATGATGCCGAGGACAGCGACTACGATGGTGCAGCACCTTTTTCAAGTGGCATTAAGGCCTATTTGTTTCTAGGTATTCCGATCCTCCTTTTGTAATGATACAGATAGATACTCCTGATCAGTTGTTTAACGATTTAGATCTTCATCTATTTCAGGGTTCTTTAGTTTTTGTGCATTTTGTGTATTAGCCACTTGGTTCTTTTAACACTGAGCAGGAGTAGTCTTTTCTCATACAACGTAAGGCAGTGCCGTGTTGGCCGCGTTGAAGATGGATGATCTCAGACCTAGTCATTATCCGTAAGTTGTGAGTTCAAGTTCACTTTGTTACCTCAAGTAGATCATACAGGTCTCATCCGTATGTCATTGATTTGTTTTATTTAATAACATCAATCAATCTCAATGCGTTGTAATGCGTACTTATGAATTTTCCCAAATGGGAATTTAGATGCGTACTTATGAATTTTCCCAAAGCCTCTAATTTCGTGACGCCACCGAATCCGAATACTCCAGGAAGAGTCCTCCTGTCCACCTCTCAATCTGGTCGTCGAGAACGAGCAAAATTGCAGGCGGCGCAGGCGACTGATAGGACAGTAATTTTGTCTCGTGAAGGTTCACCCGGTGCAGAGGCAAGAAAAGCCCAAGCAGAGGTAACAGCGTCTGGAGAGATACAATCAGATCAAGGACAACAACGTCAAGAACCTCCAGAAGGCGTGGTACAAAGGAAGAATACGATAGCAACTGATTCTGGGCGACCACCAACTGCATCTCTAGTATCTTTGTCTGGAGGAGACGAAGAATTTTCTCCTCCTGCCTCGATTGAAAACGAGGAACCGGATGCCGCGTCTTTCATCAGCCGTACAACTACTGATCGCACTTCTTCTACCTCCACAGTTGGGAAAAATGACCAGGACGGCCAGGCAGGTGATAACGCTGAAGAAAAGGAGGTTCTTGATACCGAAACGGATCGTCAGTTGGCGATGCCGCTGAAAGAGGACGTAGAGACAAAGATTTTGGGTTCCTCTTCCTGTTGCGGTCGGCGCGAGGACGTGGATGCGGAAAGGGGAGAGCTGCAAGATAGTGACGGAGAACCTGATATATATGACATTCATTATACTCATGTTGGTGCGTCTCTCGCCTCGGAGGACGTCGACGACGAAGATGCGACACCTCCAGAGGAAAGACCCGTAGTTCCAATTGACAACATTAAGGCAGCTTAGTTGTTTTGAATCCGATCGTAGTCCTACTCCTACTTCTTCTGTAAGCACGATAATCAAGAAGTATAGATACGGTGATGTTCATCTTGCTTCATGTTTTAGCTTTTTTGCATTTCGTATATTGGCAAGTTGGTTCGTTGAAGATTTCCTTGACACCGAGCAGGAGCGGGCTTTTCTCATACCGCATAGATAGGTGCCATTTTGACCGTATTGAAGATGGATGTTTTGAGACCCAATCAATATCATGCGCTTTTCATGTGTTTCCAGCTGCTCGTTCAGACTTCCGCTCCTCCATTGGTGCCGTATCAATAAACATCCGCTCACTCGGTCGTACTCGTGCACATTTATGGTAAGCAGAATCCACTTTCCCACAAACTCTAATTTTTGCGCGCCATCTACTCCAAGAAGAATAGTGCCAACGACAGATAAGGCCGTTGCAACCTTTCGTGAAGGTGCTGGTCCACGAACCCCTAGAACGCCAAGGAGTGCCCGAGCAGCCTCTGGAGGAGAGGTGTCCGCACCAAATGCATTTGTAGAAGTAGATACTTCTCAGAAAGGCGATCGTGCTGTTGATGAACAGAAAGCGTCGTGGCCGTCGGCCGAGGAGATCCGAGCCGAACAGCGCATGATTTGGCATGACTTTTCGGTCGCAGTGAAGAACGCTGTGCCGTGGGTGTACACTTGTCAAGTGGGTACAGGTTACCGCTGCACACGACTGGAGTTCAACATAGAGTACCTGAGCGAGACGGGTGCTGACTTAGTCACCTGGCCGCTGGCGATTTTAGCGTATGTCGTGCCGCGAGTTGCGCGCTTCGGCTTGTTCGTGATTCTCATGTTCCAACTCAGCCACGCGTTGGGTCCCTTCAGCCGGTGGCACCCCTTAACGCCGAAAGGCGTTTTTCAGGCCGTTCCCATCAACTACATACAAGTGCTGCTCGTTTCGGCCCTCGTGGGCGATTCTCTGGCCTTGGTTTTGCGAACGTCCCGTGCAGGCGTCCTCGGAGAACAATTTGCACAAGGCGCACACCTGCTCAATAAGCAGCTTCTGTTAAAGGAACAGAGGCAAGCACGAGGTGCCCCGTCTGTATCTGTGAGGATACAGAAAGATGAAGATGTGTCTTTTCCAAGTCTCCTATCAAGCGGTCGTGCTACGGACTCGAAATACAAGGAAGGGGAAGATAGCCTGCCCTTGTTGAAAGGAAAACAGGCACAGTTTGCAGGTAGGGCGTTTGCGAGACCGGCGTTTGCGAAACCTTCATCTACCTCGCTCCCCGCGGGTGCTGCAAGACTCTCAGATGAAGACAGGGTGCCTCTGCTTGGGAACCAAGAGCAAGAGCGAAGGGTAGATGATGCTGGTGGTGTGGTGGAAAATGCAGGCACGACCAAGGAGGAAGCTCCACAACCAATAAAGCACGAGAGGGGCGCGGATTTGCGCTTGTTGAACTTGAAGCCGTACGGAGACGAAGAGTTACAACCATTTACGTTTGTTCTCGTTCGAGCGGCGAGAGCACGCGGTTTTATGACTCTGGAGGACGCAGAGATCTTGCGGGTTGCACTTCTGCCGCTGAGCGGGTGGGCTCTCACAGCCGCAACGCTGGCGCAGGTAACAGTCCTCGTGTACGCGCTCGTAGTACTCCACAATCGGAAGTTTTCAGAGCTGGAGCTCCTGCAGATCGAAATCGTGGAGGAGGAAGAAAAAGAAGTACTCGAGTTCTTGACAGAAAATGCCGACGATGAAGACAGAGTCAGGGAATCAATCGTCGAAAGACTTCTCCGTGGTCCATCTGTCACCTCTATTAAGGCAATCGCAGAAGTACTTACTTAGTTGTAGAGATACATAACGATATGTATAAATATGACTGCCTGAATTTTCTGCACCTAATTCTAAACCACCAAGGAGGTCGTACAACAAAATTTTGAATCACAGGATACCAGTGCTGTTCAAAAATGTAACGAATAAACAAACAAACAGCAACAAGGATAATTTAAACATTTTAAGTTATATCATGGTTTAACTAAGTTGTAATTGTAGTTGATGAAATGACATCCACTGGCGCAGGATCGAAGGTGGAAGTAGAAATCAAAAGCAACATCACGATAATCTTTTTGAGTAGACGAGAGTCTAAGCTTATGACTCGTGGTCACGCCATCTCTACCACCTCCGCCTCTGTGAGGAAGAGTCGCATAACGGGGAGCTCTCGTATCAAGAAAACAGAAAATTATTCGGACGCTCGCTCGCAGTATCTTGACGCGCTTGGTTGGAACGATGATGAGGAGAATGACAAGTACGATACAGCCATCACTGACCTTCTCGCAATGTCGAAAGAGAAGTTATGGCTCTCAATGATTCATCAATCTTCACTGATTCTTCGTTGTCCTCTCACTTTCCTAAGTAGTACGAGAATGAGAAGTTGAAGTAAGTACAACTACGACATAATGTTGAAGTAAGGGCATCAATTGTCGTGAATTAGCTCTAAAGAAGCGAGCCTCTACACCAGACAAGCACAACGCGAATGATATCAAGCTAACGGAGATTACATATACGGACTCCGATGAGGATTACAGTGGGAACGACAACAAGTGAGAATTGTTTTGGCAAAGAACCATATCGTAATTAAAAACAGGGGTAAGCAAAACATACACGACTCGAGTAAAGAATTCAGGAGTCCCTTTTCGTTTTCCCAGTGAATCGTATCGCTGAGCTCCTCTGCAACAGCAACACCTGCTGGAGCAATATAATTGATTCAAAGTTTCTCCTACGTCGAGCAAGAGCGTTTTCAAAGGATGACGGATGCATGTAATTTCTTGAAAGACCGACAGTGTTCTACGTCATGCCATCTTCGCTATTTTTCTCTTGGAGCAACCGAGAGACGAACGAACAAGACGATGAAACTTAGCAAGTAGATCGTCCCTTCATCGAGAGTCCAACGAGAGAGATCATGACATGAGTGATTGTATTGACAGCCCAATAAAAAGATGCGGCTTGTTCTTGGAGTTCGCATATGTTCATCACGGCCTTCTGCCTAAGTGAGGTTTTTAATTCACCTCGATACCGATACCGAACAAACCGATGGTGGATCGTGGCTCTCTATTTAGTACCTCTTTAGATACTTGTGGTTGTGAATTCATCGTAGTCCTAAAGCCGTTCTGATTATGTTTCTACACGATAGATCGATGACATCGTCATATTTATAGAATTCGAATTTCTTTCGTCTGTGATTTCGATCCCTGAGTGAGTTGAAAGCTCCACAATTATGCAACTAGCTACACGTACTTCAAATCCATTTTCAGGATTACCCCACTTTCTGACCCGACCTCCACCTTGAATGCCCTTGCTTTATCCGATGTACGCAAACAAATATAGTCGATGTTCCATTTATTTAGATGACTATCCTTCTTGTCCTTCTTTCTAGATAACAAAGGTAGAAGTTTTACTTCGTGGGAACCAGGAAGCCGTGCTCGTAGTTTTTATAAATATCTGTATCGAAGATTTTGTTAAAAAGCTGCGAGCGACGGTCTTGAGTATGCGTATGATGAAGAGATAAAGAACAGCTAGGACATCAATCAAGTACTAACAATTTAATTAGTAGATTTGATCGAACAAAAGTTGCTTTATCCGAAGTTTGGGTTTTTCAGAGTAGAGTGGGACGATTCACGAAAAAAAGTCCAGAAACCCAAGCGCATGTTGTCTTTACGCAGCAAGTGCAAGGTCTTGCAAGGAGTATCTAGGGAGAATCTTCCCCGCAGTTTTGATAATCCTTACTCATTGCGTTTTCGTGAAAGAAATGTTTGTGTTTCTTTGATCTACTTCATTGTGAGTTGATGTCGTTTTTTTCGTCGTTTCGTTTCATTCTTTCGTCTTCCGACCGTGATGTTGTATGAATGTGATGCTTTCAGATAGCTTTTGCTCTTTTGAGCGATTATTTCCTACTATAATTTTTTTGGGATTCATTTTTGTGTCTCGTAGGTGTATCACTAATTAATATTGAAAATCAAAATTGTGAAAGAGTGAGCGAATTATCGTAGTGGCGAGCACCGACGCGTGGCGCAATTCGGTAAGTAGTCGTAGTTTCAGTAAGGAAAGTTAAAGATGATGAAGTTCTTTCCGTCTCGGTGCTACCAGAGCGTCCAAGTTATTTTTTTTTCGTAGAAATGAATGTTCATGTTGTAGTTGATGTCCTTCTGGACATCGCACCACGACAATGTCATCGAGTTCGGAGGAGTATGTTGAAGATTATCTGGAGGAGATTCCGTTAGAGCCCTTGTCTGCAGAGGAGCTCCGGGAGTTGCGTGGGAGGCCCTTTGGACCGTCACCCGAGCCGGAAAAACGCGTTTTGTTCACCACCATTGTGGAGTTTACGTGTTTGAATGATTCACTTGGTATTCTTGGTGCTGGTGAACAGGAGGCGCAGAGAGGCGACGAGGCTCGACGGAGATCTGGTGCACGGGGTGGGGAAAAATCGAAGACTGGTATAATTCTTGCGAGTGTGTCTCCGGTTGAGAGCAGTAAGGTCTACAGCATCAATAAAGGTCATAAAGTCAGCCCGCGCGATCTTGGGCCAGGAGCAGGATCGTCGAGCGATCAATTGGTCGCAAGTAGTTCCGATGGCAAACATGGGGCATTTTCCTCTTTAGCCGAGAGAACGGCACGATCATTGGCACTGGCATTCTCCGGCTCCGCGGATACAACGAACTTACAACATGAAGAGGATGCTAGAGGCGAATCTGCTGCTCGTCCACCGCAAGCAGGAAAATGTCAACAGGCTATAGTATTGGAGGACCGAGACCGGCGTTTCGTTCACGCGCATCTTGCTGTGGCGTGTCCTGCATGCGGAGCTCGTTATGCGCTTACACTGGAAGAGAATCTGAAATATCGAGTGCGATGGGTAAACCCGCCACCGCCTTTGGAGGCTGAAGTTGATGTTGACAAAAAAGTTGTTCCTCCGCAGAAAGAGGACGGGAAAATAAGCAGGGAATCAGGCGATGAAGTAAAGCAGAAGTCAGAAGAGACTGAAAGAGAAAAAGTCAAAGTAAGAGCGTCCAATAAGACTTCCGAGGGTTCCTCGCACACAGGTCGGTCCAATGATGCAACCATATCAACGGGCGATAACCTAAAATTATCGGAGGACGATGAGATAATAAGCCATGCTGCACGAACTGCCCAAGATGAACATCCATTTGAAGTAGACAAGAAGGCACCGCAGGTGGACAAAATAGAGATAGAACAACACCTCGACGTCGTCGGAGACAGACGTGAGTGTGAAGCAGCTGGAGATGAGATCGTAGGCCTTGCCTCTGTACTGCTCGAAACGTCTTCCGCGAAGCGCGTGACTGAGTTGCTGGTAGACTCCCTTGTCCACGAGAGCTACGTCGAGAAGTGTTCGGATACGGAGTCGTGGTCCGGAAGCATCAGGTGGAGCGACCTCGATTCGATTTCGAGCGGAGAAATTCGCAGATGCGTTGAGGAGAAAGTTCGGAATCTCAGCGTGGAGGAACAAATAGAAGCCCACGGAGGACAAGAACAACAAAATGGGGAAGATAGTGAGCACAACGACAACGTCCTTCAGAGGGCGGCTTCACGAGCATTGGCCAAGGACTCCGCTGTCGACCTAGGCGCCGTTGAAGGCCATGTTGCGGACAACCGTAAAGTGGATGACGCGCGCCCTCGAGAAAACGGAAAAAAACATGATAATGCAAGAAATTACGTGGTGTCTGACGATGTACGTGTAGAAGATGATCTCCCTCCAGGTCCGCTTGATGCGCTATTTGGTGGGAGCATCGGCAGTAGATTTTTACCGACCGTTGGCTCATCATCGTCAGTTGACCAAAGTCAACAATACAAAGCTTGGACTACCAACGCAGACACCGGAGGTGGTCAAACCCATGCAGGTTCTTCTTCTTACCTCCAAAGGGCGATGCCGATGAAATTCGACGGTGCACCAGGCTCCTCTAGCAGCACAACAGCTTCACCGCAACAGTCTGTTTTGCGAGAGGATATCAAATCTCTAGCGAAATACTTCTGGCGTAGGCAAAGAGCACGAGGCAAGAGGCGACAGCCAGCAAGAGAGTCAATAGTAGTTGCGAATCTTAGTAGTGGCCCCGGAGAAAATTCTTTGATGTTGAATAACAAGACTAACGTTACTAGCGATGCTACTCAAGATGGACAGGAAAATAGGCCAGCGGTGATTAGCGCGACTCGATCAATCATTCTGAGTCAGGTCGTCGGACACGGTGTGATTTCTTCGAAGAGGAAAACCGACGACACTGCAGGCAGTGCTCAGCAGAAAAGAGTAGGTCAGGAACTACAAGAGAAGCACAATGACAATGATGAAGTGGTCATCAACCTGGGGGACGATCGAGGAGGCGAGAGTCCGGTGGTGCCGATCCAAGAAGAAAAGCGACGAAGACGCGAGCGGCGGGCTGACAATCGTGAGTTTTTTGATCGCCGCATGTCTTTGTTTCGTGATCGCAGCAATTCTTTTGAGCACAGCGAGCCCGAAGGCCTGGGACAGAAAAGAGATACGAGCAGCAATCCTGCGGTCGGTTCGGCCAAGCAAGGGCAACCACACGACAACAAGCTGAAGAGAGGTCGTGGGAAAGCCAAGGCCGCTCCCAAGGTGAGTCACATGTTTTCATCAAGGAGGGCGCTCAACAACGACGACTTGGTTTCCGACGAAGATTCGGATCATTCGAGTAACTCTGCCCTCGATTTTGTACTCGGCGTTGTCGATGGGCGTGAAGAAAACGCGAACGATTTGTCTCGTGGCGATACGCTTTCCTCTCCATTTAGTCGCAGCACAGGAACTCTAGCTGTGTTGACGCAAGCGGGCAAGAGCAGTGAGCCCTTCGTTTACGAAAGAGGTCACCTTCTGTCTTTGAAGCGAGCAACTACAACAATCGGCGACTTTTCTCCAGAAAATAGCCCAAGAATTCCAGAGAAATTTCTCCTAGTTTCCGACGAAGACGTCGGGGATGGCGTAGCCGCTGCTGTTGGAGGGAGAGATCAGAGAACTCCAGCAGAGCGACGGAAAACGAAAGCTCCGGAAGGAGAGGGTGACGAAGATGAAAATCAGCTTCACGTTGTAGTGGAAGAGATTGAATTGGAGGAGAATAAGAGAAAATCCTTGCAAGCAGCGGACGATGAAGACACCGAACCAGATCGTAAGGGAAAGAATATTCCTCGTGGTACCTCCGCTCCTGCGACAATCCACGGGAAGAGTCGGGTAAGCAACAGGCAGATGCGCAATGCACCGTTCGAGGCTCCTCCGTCCCTAGTACAGGGGTCACCGCCATCATTAGCTCTGAGCGCGTTCTCTTCCGTCTCAACCTCAAGTTTATTGTCTGAGGACTTTGCTGCGGGAGGCACCGCAAGTCTGCATACGTTGCCGAAGGATGCGGCACCTGCGGAAGAGGATGGAGAAAGTTGTACTCGGGTCTTGCAAAGTCGGACGATTTCGATTTCGTCAGGTTCGGCAAAAAACGCCAGGAGGCGGCGAGGGCGAGAGCGCGATGGCCGTGCTACTGGCGGGTTGTCCCCTGGTCCACCGATGAAGGAACAAGATTTCTTGTCTGGTCCTCCGGGATCAGGAGAAGGAGAGGACAACCTCAAGAATTCTGATGAGACCAGAGGAGATGAAGCAGTGAAGAAATCAGGAGAAGTAGCGTCCGCTATGCTCCAGCGTGAGAACACACGCACTTCGATTGCTAGCTCGTCAGCAACGAGTCTTCGCCGCATGGATAGCCTTTTCGATGCAACTACAGTTGCTTCGAGTCGTGACTTCCTTGGTTTCATGCACACCCAGATTGCCGGACGAAGGGAGATCATCGCACGCCTGAAAGAAGCCAGCTGGCGGCGGCAGATCCACAGTAACAACCTCGTACGCCAGCTGCAGGCAGCGGGAACGCGAGGACCTACCGCTACTTCACCAGCCAGGATGGTACCGAAGAGTGGAATAAAGCATCTGGGAGGCGAAGGGATTTCACGTCGTGGTGACGCGCTTTACGATGGGGGAAAAACGAAAATCCAAAAAATAGCTTCGGGAGCAGGCATGGGTTCGCCTTCCTTCGCTCCGCAAAGTAGATCAGCTACAGGTGAGATGAAGCAAACTCGGGCAGGAGGACCACAGTGGCAGCAATGTCTTATTCATCAACCTGCGCTGGAACGAGAGGCCTGGCTCGCCTTGCGCCGGCGCGAAGCGTGGCTGTGGGCGGCGCATCACGAAGTTTCAAAATTCGGCGAGATCCGGCTTTTCCAGCGCACTTTGGCTTACTCGCGAAATAAGTTCGATGTCCTCCGGAGAATTCTAGAATTCTACGAGCAAGAATTGGGCTACTTTGATTTTCGCAATCACCAGGAGATGCGTCAACTCGAAATCACGTACGGGCGCTGGGGTGTCATTGGGATGGGCGAGGGAAAGGCGATGAAGAACTCCCCATTGTTCAACGACCCGTTTAAGCACCTCTTGATCCTCACGATGGAGGTTAATCGCGCGCGGTCGTCTGTGGCTGAGTCAGCAGTGACAACTACGGCAAGCGCAGAAAATATACAACCGACGCCAGCAGATAATGTTGATAATGATAGTTCTGCTGCTGCAGCTGAAAACAAGCATGCTGGCTTACAGACTGGCGCCGAAGATGGTGGGCAATCCGAGAATAAGAACAAAAGCTTGGCGGCTATCTTGGGAACGTCTCCCGATGATGAAACGGAATCAGGAGCCGGAAATGCAGGCTTGGGAGAGCATTATTCCGCTGACAGCCCGCCCAGCGCGAGCTCGCCCTTTTTGGGGCTTCGATTTCCGACGCCGTCGTCTTCCTCAACGTCTGCGCCCGCGTCGGCGGAAACCTCGCCCGTTCCAGTGACTGTCCAGCCACCGCCACAGAGTCCTGGCTTGTTGACTGGTGGATTCGCGATGAGTTGCGTTACGCGTGATGGGAAAACCGCTCGTCCCCTCGTGACCGCCCCAACGGAGCAACAGCAGCATTACCTTTTGAGAACAAGAAAGAACTTGCATGCCGATCAGGAGGCAGGCACTGCGCCGTCCTACCAAGCGACACAATTCTTACGATCGGGCAGCAGCCGCGGTGAGGTGTCCATTTCCTCAGCATCCTTGCGCTTCCTCAGTCCACGGGGACGGGCCACGCTTATCCAGTTGTTACAGAGGATGCGGCGCTGTCTGCATGCAAGTCACGATGCACTGGTAGCGGGCACGCATGTCTGGGCAGATGAGGGCACTACGACTAGAATGAAAGGCACGTCAAGTGGCACAGTTCGTGGGCGTTCGTCAAGTAAGAACGCGATCACGACCTCCAGGGGAGCTGCATATAAAGGTGCAGGCGTTACTTCTCCAGGAGGATTCGCTCCAGCAAGCGGTCTCGAGAGCGCAGAAGCACTACCTCTGAAAAGTCTCTCACCAGAAGACACATGTTACCTTTTCTCCGCCCTATACCGCGGACTGCTACAGGAGGCCTTCAGGTATTGGGACCAAAAGTACCTGATTTTTTTGGCAGAAGGTGACGATCTAGACGCTCTCGAGATGGCAATTCTGACAAAGGTTGAAGTCCTGGTTTCTCAAGATGGGCTGTCTATCCTCAAAAACTTTGCGCTGTTGCCTGAAGAGCGAGAGCGATGGGAAGGGTCGCGTCGCACCTCACCTTTTGAGAGTTGTTTTATCGCTGCCGCTGCGAGCCGCCCAGCGCCCGCCGACCATAGCGACGAACCGCAAAAGAAGAAAACGTCGTCAAACGGAAGCAGCGATACGCTTCGGGGGAAGAAGTCCTCAAACGGAGAAGTGCCTCCTATTGATGTTGTTGAACATCTAGAAGCAGCTACACACGCGAACATAGATAAGCAAGAAAGGTCGTCAACTTCAACATCTGGTGTAAACAAAGGTGCTGTAGATGTGCATTTTGGACATGCTATCTCGGCTGCTCTTCAAGCGACGAAGCTCACGCCCGACGCGAGTCCGTTTGATTCGTTGGCGGCGAGCCCTTTATTCGCTAGCCCTGTGGGAGCAGCGACACCACAGCGGACAACAAGTGGAATCGCAGAGCCAGTCTTTGACCTTGAAGTTTCTCTCGAATCAGGCGACTGGAGGCCCAGGGATGAGAGGATATTCAATATGGATCGCGTCAATGGTGTTGGGCTAACCCCAAAAGCAGAAGAAGCGGGAACGAGTCGAGTATCAGATCTTCAAGAAAACGAGCCAGAGAAACATTCAAAAGATAATATTGGAGAGGGAGGGCAGGGCGGACAGGACTGCGGACCGGAAGGGTCCTCGAATACGTCTTCGTCGAGCGCGCCCTTGTCAGATGGGGAGGAGGACAACAGCTCGTCTGCCTCTGCATCGTTGTTGCTTTCATTGCGAGGAGTCCCTCCGAGTGAGTCGGGAGTCTCGAGGACCTCCTCTTCTATGGGCACCGTGCTCTCTAGCACGTTTTCTTTAAGCCTGGCTGCTCAACTGTCGCCCACGAAGGCGGGATGCATACCCGCCGAGGGGCTAGGAAACATTTTGGTTGCAGGAAGAGGCTTCACCGCTCCAATGGCGTTGGCGACGTACGCAAGAGGTGGTACACGTACATCAGACGACCAAGAGGTGGTAGGACTAGGAGGAGCAAAAAATCTTAATCGGCCGGTAGGGGGTGCATTCGCGTCGCCTATTTTTGTGGGACAACAAGAAGCGGGTACTCATTTTTCATCAAACGCAAACAAAGGGCTACAACTAGGCGGAGCACCCGAGCAACAATCGTCTGCCGTAGGGCCTTGTGGGCATACAATTAAATCTCCAGCCAATGTGAAGAACTATCAGCACTTGTTGTCTGGTAACAAGAACAGTGTCTACAACAACTACAACAAGCAGCTGCAGCACGAGGAAACAGCGGCGGGAGCTGGTTCTGGTTCAGGGTCTGACCCCGAAGCGACGCCCCCGCTCGCCGACATACTCGTGAAGCACGGAAGTGCGCTCTTAGCCGTTGTCAAGGAAGATTTCTCGACGTTTTTGCGAGCGCCAAACCCCGTTGAACAGAGCATCTTCATTCGCCGCTGCCTCAAAGCAATTCTTCATTTCCTACTCAAGTTCGTTCCACAGCTGCAAAAGAACTACAAGGTGGTCTCAGGAGATGGAACCTCTTGTAATCTTCCGGCTACTAGCGGAGGAGCTGGAGGTGATAGTGCGCACCAGACCAACGGGGGCCATCATGATCATCTGGGTGCTGGTGCAAGCACTCTTCCGGCTCTTGTAGGTTGCTGGTACGTCGTCTTGTTACAGTTTGAGGCGGCTTCAGTGCATGGTCTGTTGCGACACCTTGTTTTTCTGCGCGCTTGGCTTGAATTGGAGTACCAGGACTTTCTCCTCGAGGAGCGCGACTACAACGAACATCAAGGATCTTCAGAAGGAGCGAAGCGTTTCTGGAACACAGCTCGTGCTGGAACAGAGGAGTCCGTCGTCGCCACAGAGGCACTCTTTGCAGCACTGCTGCTTATCGAGCGTATTGACGCAAGACACATCGCCGATCGTAGACCGGCAACCCAATTACTAACCCAGTTTCTACGTATTTAGTTTTAGGCTGGAGATAATGTTTGTATTTTATGCGTGTACTATTGCTCCTCCTTTTTTGTAGTTGAAATTGAAAGTTGTAGTGTTAGTAGATCTATTTCCAGAAGATCAATGATTTCCCTCCTCGCGCCCGCGCTAGAAAAAGTCATATCCCCCAACAAGTAGCTTTGTGATGTACATTAAGTTTATAAGATTAAAGATTTGAAGTTTTGAAAACTACAAAGAAAATTAAAATTTAATGATGATGGCATTCTCAAGAAACTCGATCATGCTGCGCCGGATTCTATTTCGCCGAGCATGCACCCATGTGTAGTTGTAGTTTTCATGCCTGGACTCGTTGACAGCGAGCGCCGTTTCTAACAATTCACGTTACGGACCGCATGGGCTGAAGGTCAGTCGTTGGCGCCTTGGTTGTGTTATTTCTTGTTTGTTTGGTTGTTCGTCGTGGCCTTGTGCCCGTTTCCTTTCTCTCCAATCAAATCAGGGCTAGGAAGGGTTAGTGGGTATTTGACGGCTTATTCTTGACTTTATCATCTAGTACAGAATGGAGTAGCGACTGCGTCTGCAGTAAAAAACTCAGTATTTCTTTTGGCTGCTCATTTGATCCAGTTTTTTTAGATGCGATAGATGCAGCATAGCACTCCGTGTACAGATCAGAGAAATAGATACAGGCATACTTTTGTTTTTTTTGAGCTGAGTTTTTTTTGATTTTAGGATTTTTATTTTTGTTTGTTAAATATATATAAACAGCAATTTTACTTCTTTTTACTTGAAGGAGAAGATACCATCAATAAAGGTCATGTTAGTGATGCAATCACTTGGAAGAGCAGTGACAATCTGTAGAGTCAGCATGCAACAAGTCGATTGAATAATAATTAGAAACATCATGAGATCGAGAAGTTTTTTATTTTTCCTGTAATCTTGTTACAGTTACTGATGTTACTGTCGTCCTGGTAAACATTTTCTTTCTCTATCTAAGCTGTTAGAGTCCTCGGCTTCTAAAAGATACCCCATTAGTACCCACCTCATCGAGAGGTGACCTCTTCGACACTCAAGTCATTTGATAAAATCAACACAGACAGAGAGCAAACGCCATGTTGATGTATCTGTATGACAACTCACCTAGAAGCACTTCTGCACACCAGCAGAGCTACCCTCTGCTATATGCGTTGCTGCATCCGATCTCGTCTGAGAAAATGTGCGAGTATCCTGGATGTAGCATTATATGATCTGTTCCTTTTTATTCTTCGCTCTCTGATCGTTGGTGATAGTGATCTCGTTCAACTCTTGCAGCTCCGAGTTGTATTTTTTGTGTATTAGGTGGCATGCCAATTACAAAGTGAGTTCTTTTGCAATTGATCCTCTTCAGTTTCTGTGCCCCTGGTGCTAACTTTGACCGAGGAGTTTGTTACTGGTCTGTGTTAGAGTGAAGTCGACCTACTTGTACTTATTTTGATTTTCGTTATTCTGAAGTTCTTCCATCAAAACTGACTAAAAATGCAGTCGTGCGATGCAGAATCTTTGTAAGGTCAACCTCAACATGTACTTAATTTCTGTCAGAGAGAGAGAAAGACCAGCAGACGAGGAGAGGCCGACGTGAAGGTTCATATTACAACAATGATTCAGGACTTGTGTTTAGCTGGTTCTTGAGAGTCACAGAGAAAGAGAAACCCCGAATGGAGCAGATCACCGATCTGACTGTATTAATGTGATCCCGTCTGTTGTATCAATTCTGTAGTCACTTGCGAGTGTGCCAGTATGAATGCCAATTTTCTTGTTCTGGAGCACTCTGTACTGGAGCGTATCTAAGTATCTGATCGCAGTCATACACCAATACGGAGACCTTGTGATCATCTTTTTTCCCGTCGCAGGCAGCAAGCGCTTCCTGCTTGTCCCCCACAATTGCGAATGATTTCTTACATGTATTACTACATACCTAAGCTGTTTCGTATAACGAGGATCGTTAGATCATTAGCGACCCACCGTCCTCCACACACTTGTTGCACCTTTTTAGTACACTACATCTTGATTTTTACGTGAACCGATCTGGCTTTACATTTTGATACAAAGATAACGATTTGAATGCATCGGTATGCATGTGAATTTGTTAAAGCCAAAATCCGATATTTCTTTTGAATATTTATAGTTCGACTTCGATAGCTTGCTTTAGGTTTTGCTAAGTAATGTACTTATAACTAGAGCTTCTTTACGTGGCAGAATCACCTGCTACGCATCACTTGACTCGCCTGCCCGAGAATGCTGGCGCAGAAAGATATTCAACAAAAGTAGACTCTTCATAATCTACTTTCTCTAGTTGAGAATGAGAAGAACTGCAGACCCGGTTGGTATTTTTATACTAACGAAGTGCAACAAGTGCAAGCACTCAATACGCATTGCAACGCCCCGTTAGTACCTTAATCAGCCGACGTATTTTTTTTGCTAAGTCCTCTTCGAAGTACGTAACTGTAACTTCGACAATAGAGGTACACTTTTTTCGATAGAAAAAGTGTAGACGTGTCGTTCTTCCGCAACAAAAAGAGCATCGAGCATTCACCTTTCGTTGGCTTGTATCCCATTAATAGGCTTTATTGGGCTGCCTTTGTTGAGCAGGGGACAAGATGGATCCAACTGAAAAAAAATCTGTGAAGTTTGGCAGCGCAAGCGCTCCCGCGCCCGCTCCGATCCGTGTAACACAAGCAGCATCTTCAGAGGAGGAGTCTGTGGCGGCTGCGCCCGATGCTCCGGGTTCAGAAAACACACGGGAAAAAGCCATAAACTTCGACGACATGGATACGCCTGGTAGTCGCAGTATTAAACCGCAGCCCTGCGGGCAACCAAAAACATTACTCGAGAGCATAGCCGTGTCCCTCGGATTTTCGAAAGACAAGTATAGTGTCACCCTACTAACACTACCTATCGATCCGTGACCAACACCAAATCCATTGAGTGGTGCCTTTGCCACGCCCTGGAACTGATTAACAAATTACTACTGCGTCCACCTTGACTTTTAATGGCGGTGTCAAACCTGGAAGTTCTAGATTGAATTGTTTTTCTAGTAACAATCATCATGTTCCACTCGACGTTGTAGTGCAGCGATCCTTTTACATCAAGTGGGATGCAAGTGGGGAAATTGGAATTTATTTATATTGTTCTACGAATATCGTATTCCGAGGTAGACGAACGGAGCACGCGGAGTATGGAGATGATAAAAAATAGCCTGAAAATCTAGATTTCTTACTCTTTGACTTTTATTCTATATTCGTTTATCCCAAAACCATATTCAGTTGGATTTCACATCCACTTTCATTACCCTTCAGGAGAGAGCCTGGCAGCGCTGGATCTTCACCAACCGCAGGAGGAGAGATGAGGAACTCACCAGTGACACACCTTCATTCTCGTTTGAGCGTGGGCGGCGGTGAAAGTAGCGAGTCCGTAGCTTATACTAGCCTCACTGGCGGCGGCGGGAGCGGGACATCGCAGTATAGTCAGAGCAGTGCTGACAACATCCGGTTACGTCGTCGCATGACGAGCAGCACAACAAAACAGAATAAATTGGTCTATTCCCAGTGGGACGCTTACAGCACGGTTTCATTCCGACGAGAACTAACAAAAGACGTAGAGAGGCAAACGAAATTCGAACAGGGTGATGCTGGTAAGTAGATAAATGATAATAGTTTGCATGATGATTAGTAGAGTTACAATCAACTACCTGTACTAGCTTTATAACCTGATCGCGGCTCTGACGTTCAACGAACTACTTGTTGTATTCTAACCTTGTATTTTGCTTTGGACTGATTCTCGTACTTTAGCTCAACGACCAATTCGAAGTCTTTTGTTCTAGCCAGCGCATGCCCGCTGTATGCGATGTTTGCGTTCACTCGTGATTCTGCTGATAGTATGAATAGAACTGATTACAATCATTTGTGTTCTAGGTATGATGTAGAGGACGTCCAATTTGGAAGAAAACGTCACATCCTCATCATCATCATCATCATCATCATCATCATCATCATCATCATCATCGGTATCATCATCATCATCCTCCTCCTTCGACTGTAACAGGTCAACTAGAGCGTCTTTGGGTGGAAGCGAGCTCATGGCTAGTGCCAGCAGTCGGTGGATTTGCGGCGGCGGCTAGTGCGAGCGCGATTGAAATCGTAGTGGAGAAAATTTTCACGTGGCGAGTCGGGTATTGCGCGACAAACATTTTTGCGACTAGTAAAGAATGTTGTGGGCACGAAATCACGTTGAATTTCGAGTGTGTAGACGTTGCAGTGCCTGGAGCCGGTATAAATCCGGATACCAGTAAGCCGGTGGCCATGCGCAAAGGCGAGCTCGTGCGTTGGAGTGATATGATCCGAGGTGATATTCACAAGAATGATGTGAACTTGCCGCCACCGAGCATGCGCGCAGGACTCGTGGTAGATAATGGAGCTTTTGATACCGACACAGACATGCTATCCGATGTTCTTCTAGGAGTGAGTGGCATTTTGCTTGCCCTATTAACTGCGATACTAGTCAAGAACGTAGCACCCGCCGCAAAAGGAAGCGGAATTCCGGAGATAAAAACGATTCTCGGCGGTTTCCACATGCCTGCGGTCTTGAGTGGCCCGACGCTAGGAATAAAATGCATTGGCCTTTGTCTCGTCGTGGCGGCCGGGATGAGCTTGGGAAAGGTACCGCAATATTCTAAGTTGCTTTTGTGACGGTCACGGTCTTACTTTTGTTGATCGAGTCTTACTTTTGTTGATCGAGCTTGTGTTTGATTTCGAATTCGAAGCACGACTTTGCCAACGTTCCTTGAACGGAAGATGACCTTGCATGCAAGTGCAGGAGACGTCGCACCATCTACAAAAACTTTCTTCGCAGGAAGGACCTCTGGTCCATGTCAGCTGCTGCTGGGCGATGTTGTGCAGCTCTCTTTTGCCCTTGTCGTTCAGTGAGAGTCACGCAAAGGTTCGAGAGCTCTTGAGCGCCGGCGCCGCTGCTGGCGTTTCCGTCGCTTTCGGTGCACCGCTTGGCGGTGTCTTGTTCTCGTTTGAAGAAGTCTCCACCTTTTTTCCGAACCGCACTTGCAGTCGCGCGTTTTTCGCTGCAGTCGTGGCTGCGCTGTCTCTGCAGTGGTTCGATCCGACCGGGACCGGAAAGTTGACGATGTTTCAAGTGACGGACAGCAAAGGAATCGCATTCGTGGAATACATCGCGTTTGCAGTATTGGGCGTGATAGGCGGCTGTGTCGGCGCGCTCTTCGTGGCTTTGAACGGGCGACTAACGGTGATTCGCACCAGCGACCGATGGCGTAGCAACATCCCGATCGAGCTCGAGGTCGCGTTCATCGCGCTCTTCACCGTCGTGCTGAATGCTTTGAACCCGTTCATGGTTCCGCTCGCAACCAATGTTATTCACCGCTTGTTCGCGCCTTGTTCCGACTTTTTGTCCAATGAGAGCAACATCATCGATCTCCGGGACGACCTGAACCTGTGCGACGTAGAGAACGCGTCCCCCACTTTCTCATACGAAGTGGCCTTTGCGCTCTTTTGTGCAGCCATATTCCGTTTCGCGCAGGTGATCGTCACGTTCGGAACCGGAATTCCTGCAGGTCTCTTCGTGCCGTCACTCTTCTGCGGAGCATGCATTGGCAGGATGATGGGCATGGCGCTATGGCATGTGAATACAATCGTGATGCCGGAAAACGTCTTCATCGATCCCGGAGTCTACGCAATGATCGGCGCCGCTGCTGTTTTGGGAGGCGTGTGCCGTGTCACGATTTCCCTTGTGGTTATCATGTTCGAGCTTACTGGGGCATTGGAGCACATTGGTACCTCTTCATGATTCCTCTCTCTGTTTTTCATATACCGTCTTCGAAAATGAAGACGAGGCGCAACATTCTCATTCATTTTTATTTTGATTATCACGTCCGATCACGAAGGTCGAGAAAGCCATTGCGCTAGTAAGTAGAAGAATCACAACTTTGCTAATAAAGATAAAAACACAATAAAACAGTGCCATTTATGCTTGCGGTGCAGATAGCGAAGTGGACTGGTGACCTCTTTACCGAGGGTATCTACGACCTACACATACGACTGCGAAAATACCCCTTTTTGCATGAACCAGATGGTATGAGCTTGCGAGGCAAAGCAGAAGACATCATGGACGACGATATTGACTGCATCTGCATCGAAGACACGAATACTCTTGGTAATCTACTACTAAACAATAGAAATTTACATTTTTGAAAGCTCGCTTACCTAAGTATACATTATACAGATGCACTTCCTATCTTCCAAGTGTCAACCGACATGTTGCTAGAGTCAGCATGAGAATCTAAATATTGCTTCAGAACGTTCAACATCGACGAATCTAATCCGTCTATTTCTTCCTCCTGCTTGTTATTTGCAACTTGATATTTTTAATGGCCCTTTTTTTCCTAGGCACTAGCTAGATGGAAAATTTTTCTCTGTCACGTGCTTCTTGGTTTTCTGATAATATCGTGTTACTTTATATATAAATATAAATCAATGTAGATGTTGTACTTGTAGTCGCGTCACTGTTCGCGCGATGATGAAATAATGTTACCACAAAAGGTACAATGATCGAGATGCTCGAGGAGTTTCCGATGTACAACGGATTCCCGCTTGTAAAGTGCGAATTCGGTGACACGGGAAGTGACGAATGGGTTCTGTTGGGCTACATTCATTCAGACGAGTTGAGAGAAAACCTGACGAGCATTTTGACGCACGGTGGGGTCAATCTGCACGAAGGAACTCCGGTTATCTTTCAGAACGATGGCAGGACCGAGCATCCGCCAGGCACCATAGATTTGAGCGATATGGTCGATGACACTGTCATCCGCGTAGTGCCAGACACGCCACTCTTTTTGGTCCACACCATCTTTCATAAACTCGGCTTGCGGTTCGTCGCGGTCGTCAAGACGGGAAAGTACTTACTTGATGAGAATACACTTGCACCTTCACCTATTTTTTCGGCTCTTGTTGTACTTGTGTCATTTTTAATGTACCTAGCATAAAAAAGCGTACTACCAGAGACTGGTCACCACGATCTTTCTGATCTCATACAAACCGTTGGGTTGCTGTTACAACTATTCCTACTTGTAGTTTCTTCAATAACGATCTTCCCTAATCCCTCCTTCTACGTTTCTTTAATAATGATTTTCTCTAAAAATGCCTCCGTCTAGGTCTACTCGCTTTCGTGTTTCTCTGTCAGGTTCCAGGGCCTTATCACCAAGAAGGCCTTTGTGCGTCACTTGCAGCATGAACATCACGGACACGAGCCAACTACGGAGGAAGAGGAAGCGGCACTTCGTGCAGCAGCTGAGGCGTACGCTGACGAGGAGGAGCGTGAGAGGGCAACGCAAAACGGAAACGACTTGGAGGAGGTACACAGCCAGCCAACCAGAAAGCCGAAGAGCTACGAGGAGGACCATCCGGACTGGGCAGGACAGGCGGCAATACCAGCGAATTTGCAGGACATAGTAAAGAGCATGCCACTGCACCAACATTCGGCGCCAAAAATGGTTCACCTGCATAAGGGCCATGCCGACGCAGCTGCTCGAACGCCGCACGATCAACAGAAGGATGCGGAAGCGGGCGCAGCACACGATGAGAAAGCAGAACAAGTGGCAGCGGTCAAGGATGTAAAGGCAACCGGTTCAACAGCGAACGAAATGGAAGGAGCAAAGCTCCTGAAAAGCCTACGAATCGGCATGAAAGTAGCACAAGCTGCAACGAAATTCAAGGAACAGGCAAAGGTACTTCACTTTTCCTCAACATATTTGGTAGTGTAAATGTAAACTTAACAACAACTACTTACAACATTCAAAATATGTGATGTGTGTATCCTAGAAGGATGATGCAAAAATCATTTGCCCTACTACATCAAGAACCCTCTTACAAGGAATCTCTAGTACCTCTAGAAGTAGTAAATAACGAAGATAGGATAAAGATGATTAGAGATGAACAAGAAGTAGAAGATCATATTTTTATGGGGAAAGGTGCTGCTGGAGCTGGAGAGGACTTCTTACACTCTGTCTTGTAAGTAGTACATGTTCTCATGTTGATACACCATCAATTATGAGTGAAAGTTTCTTGCAACTAGAAGAAGGTTCGGTCGCCTCCGGTTTTTGTCGGTGCTTCGGAAGAAAAATATTACTACGTAGTGGAGGAGCATGATGGCAGCGACGATCATCAAACCTCTGGATCTCGTCGCAACACGGCTGCGCCGAGTAGAGGATCACTTTTCTTCGCTGTTATGAGGGAGAACTACATCAAGCCACTTCAATTGTTGTAGCTGATACTAGAAGAAGAAGTAGCAGGAGCTTCATGATGATGATCGGTGTACTTCTACTTATACTTAGCTGCAAAAGTAAAGATTCTGATACTGATGAATAAAAATGCCTGAAGCTGCCCGTCCTCGTCGTTCATCGTAGTCCGACGAGAATCTACAAGTCCGAGCGACATCGAGGACGAGTGGATTTCCTGGGTGGATCCCGATGAGCTCCGATTTGATACTTCGGCAGAACTCACCGAGTGTTACGGCGAGACACTCTCCTACTATACCAGTGATTTTCGCCTACATACCAGTGCTTTTCGTTTTGTAAACGATGTTAGTTGATCCTACTGGGATGCGAACAAAAAGACTTCCTGTCTCCTTCTTCCGTTCTTGGATGGCTATGTCTTATAGAAGAGATGACAAATGAAGAAAGTAGGGGACTGGTGCTACGCAAGGAAAGTCAGCGAATAACAAATTGAAGATTTTTGTGGTGGGGGGCACTAGAAGGTCGATGGCTGAAATAGTTCTAAGAGTCGCGAAGAAACAGCAGAGAATCTGCAAGGGGCTCCGGAGTAAGGCACAGTATTGTGTCCGGCATGCGCCAAGGCGGGAGTGCCACGAATCCTTCGAGCGGCCGACTCTCTACGACAAGTGGAACGTCGCCAGGAGTAAAAGCACTTCTACAGGAATCAATACGAACACGACAAATAATGTTGATTGATTGATGAAATTGAGAGAATATTTTATTGATAGATTTATTAAGTGAGACGAGAGCCGAGGCCAACTACAGCAGTAGTAGTCGTAGCACCAGAGCCAGAGGCAGAGGGCAATAATCGGGTTAGGAATAATCACAAGTAGGAGCAGTTGTTGAAAAGATGACTTAGATTAATGTTATTTCGCTATCAGGTGGCCGCCAAAAAAATCTTTCCGTATCAGTAACGATGTTAGGACTGAAAATGATTTCATCATCAAACAGCTTATTAGTGAAATAGGTGGTACAGCAGGTGGTACGATTGCTATTTTTACATTCACAATCACGATCACCATTAAAGTATGAATGCGAATCCTCGAGTTGGCTCAACACTCGCGTCATCTTCTTTATCTTTTCTCACACAAACAACTTCAGACTTCGTACGCACGGCGCAACCTGGCTGCCAGGAGGACGAAGCTTGGCTTACCACGTCGTGGGACACATCGTGGCTTTGGAACTCCAGAGCTTTCGCGGTCCACTTCGTTTTCTAGTGTAGGAGGGTCACAAATTGGCGGTTGTATTCTTCAACAGGCACAAGTTCCTGCGTTGAACAAAGGCAACTCGCAACCGCAGTCCATTCTGATGAAGCCGTTACTCGAGAAAGAGGCTCTCGTTGAAACGGCCGAAGAAAGAGCCCGGAAAAGATATGAGTAAGAATAGACGAACGACGAAGCGCCTTTTGATAAGAAGTGCAATATTTCCTTTGATTGAATAAGGGAAAAAATCCCCGATGTTTTGAACGAAAACACAGAATGAAACGATATAAGGACTACAAGTGATGCAACTTAATCATATGTAGTATCGCTGACCTAGTTCTAGGATGAACCTTACCTAAGCAATCAGGATGACGAAGATCACGAGCATTCAGAAAATAGAAGTATTTTTTATGTTGAACAGAGTGGAGAGATGAAAAAATGAATTGGAGAGATGATTCGTCGCCGATTCAAGTCACGTAAGTAAATGTTAGTGCACTTGTAGACAAGTAGGTGTAGGCAACAAAAAACAGACGAGAGTGACGGAGACAGTATGAGAAATGCACAGGCAGAAAGGAAACGGGGAATAGTTCCTCCACCATGATGATGATAATAAGTATGCATTGTTTGTTGTGGCAGAGAAAGACGTACTCGTAGTTTTGCCCATTGTTGTTGGTCGTAGTGCCCATTGACTGGAGCTGACCGCAGACAAAGTGGAGCACGGACACCATTGTAACAAAAATTACCAAGACTATAGATACTATGAAATAAACTAACTTGTTACGAACATAGACGAACTCTCAAACGCATTTTGTCATGGGGTTCATACTCGGGATAGTAATCATGACTTCGATTAGGATGATCTTGATCATCAAGACTGAGCGGGACCACGTACTAGTAGTTCAGCTGCGCGAGCCAAGAATAAAACGGTATTTATGTCGGCTGTCATCACAACATAGTAGATGTACGATAGCGATTTGGCTGTGGAAGAGATAGACACTACGACGAACCTGCATTAAAACGATGGATTAACGCGGTGCTTTCTCTATCATCTACTTAATACGACCAGGCCGGCGTCGCATACAACTCACTCAGACTCGCATTCGCACGTCATAAGCTTTTCAGTAAGCAAACATAATCATAATTGTTCACATGATGATCGGGCTAGGGTTGGCGCTTGTTCTTCATAATACGAGGCCCTCAAAATGGACAGGCACTAGTAGCAGTAACAGTAGTGAACAGAAAAGGTAAAAAAGAAAAACCGAACGTCCACATACATAGCAATCGTATTCGAGTCATTTTACTGAACGAGTTATTTAGGATTTTGAAGTTATCATGCGCGTTTCATATTAGACGAGGCGTTTTGCTGACCTGCCACCGCCCGCAGCTTACTGCGGCAGAACATGATCATGAACCTTCACTCATCAAAATAGAAATACAATCATGATTGATTCATCCTTTGTAGATATTTTTTGCATAACCATATATAATGCTCTGTAATTTCTTCTCCCCGTGGTTCCCCCGCCTGTCTGGCTGCCCGCTTCCCTCAATGACAAGAGAAAATATCCACCGTCGTTTTCGTTATTATTTAGGGGGTATCCAACCGAAGAAGTACGATACCTTTTCATCTCGGATTCTTCCTGTCATACATTGATTATCAAGTGTTGCCACTAGCGAAACGGTCCCATTTTTCCAATAGGAGCAATGCCGATCCCTGCTGTGCAGGAGTGGGGGTTATGAGACTTTGCGATACAGTCACAAGATGTATATACAACACGACTTGTGCTGTTGATGCTCGTCATGACGGATGTCATGACTTGGTTCTCCTACAGCAGTTTCAATAGGAAGCCATGTTGCTGATATAATACTGTAACGCTCGTACTACGTGGTATAGATCATGAAAAACATATTAATATTTCGACATCAATGTGGAAGAAATGTAAAATAGTAACTATTTGTTTGGGTAAGTGAATGTATAGAACGAGATTTCAGCGATCGCTATCAAACGATGTCAAAGAATGGAGCTCTCCTATCGCACCTGAGGGAGCAGTGCGGTCCCTCCATTGGAGCAGCCATTGCTTTCGAGCCGTTCAATGACGGATACGGTCGTGCCGGGCTCTGCGGTGATATCAGAAAAAGTTACTGCTCTAGCTCAGCAACGCCTGACTGCTCTGTCGTCTAGAGTTGATGAGCATATTGAGATGAAACTTCTGTACCACGCTGAATTCCGTCTGTAACGAGAGCATATTATAAATATGTAATGAGGTTCAACCTCGAACATGAAAGTAGAACGCTTTCTGATTTGACTTTTGAGCAATTCTGTCAGAGCGTGGAGAACACAAGACAATCTTGCTCGAGTCTGCGCTTTCGTCGATCATCTGTCCGGAGATGAATCATGTCTGTCTAGTGACTGCAAGGTAACTCAAGTTCGATACTTTGAGATGGAGTGATGCTTGCGTGAATAGTTGTTGAATCATCGCGAACTAGATTTGAATATCGCTTAGAAGATTTGAATTTATGAATCAACCACTGCTCTACTCTCATCCTCATTCAATGCAGGCGCGGTCCCTGACTGTGTTGTGAGTCTGGCTCCACCTCACCCTTTTCCCCCACTCATCGATATTGACAAGCGAAGTGACTCAATGATTTCCTTTCCCCACCTCTACTTGAATTTCTTGATGATGATGAACAAACCAATTTCTTATAGTATTCAGAAGCTTCAAACACAAATGCTTTGAATTATAATTAAAAAAAAGAAAGCGAGTGACTTCCGCTTCTAGAACTACAAGAAGAAATTGTGGGTAAGCGATTATCATCATCATCCGCCACAAGCTGGGTATATCATCATCATCATCATCAACAATCTTCATCAAATTTTTTTTGGAAGTGAGAAATCAGGCACTTTGATCTTTACAAGTACTACATTGTACATGCAGCTGCGTTGAGATTAATTGCAAATTATACTTATTACCGACTACAACCAAGATGGACGGATCTGGTTTTATGTCGCTTTTCGGCGGCGGCGTGTCGCAGAATGACTTTGACGTTCGAAAGCCTCGTTCTCGGTCTCTGTCTAGCGGCAGCAGTCCGAGTGATCATGAGTTGTTGTTCGGACGCTCACAGTTCGCGCACGCGCAGCAAGCTTCATCAGAGTCGCCACAACGCACTGGTGGAACTATGAAGCGGCCTGTGCCTGGGCGTCAAGGCCCAGGCGGAAAAATTATTGCACCGCATAGCATTCGCGGCAGCGGTGCACCACAAGGTCGCGTATCGTCGAAAAAAGCGGGAGTGCTATCAGTATCCCCAAACCCAAAAGGACAACGATCAGCGTCAGCAAAGGCCAAGCCAAGCTGGAATAACTCGCTCATGAACAAGGTACCTATAGAACCATGTGCATGTTGTCTGTCTATGTGCTTATAGATCTCGATCTACTTCATCAAGTCTTCATCCGAATCAAAATATCGAAAGTTGTCGTGAAAGTAAAGGATAATCAAAAATATGTTGATGTAGTGTATCTATGATGCGAGCATTTTTCGGAGGAGTCGATGGTGTTAAACATAAAAATGATAATTTTACCTTCGTGATGTACTATGGAAATCATTTCGCACGTTTCAAACTACTCAAGTCCAGGTCGAAGCGAAAGCAACTGGCGGTGCTCCACAGTTCGCGCGCGTACCGCCACGGAGGCTGTCGCAAGAGGAATTGTTCGAGCGCGCTGTAAAGTCGAAGCGCGAGGCGGCACAACGACGGGCACAGGTCGCAACGGACTATGAGGTGCCGAATTCTTTGATGGGCTCGACTCTTTTCCCCGAAAGCAGCGAGTATGGCGGAGAGGACAACTACTCGTTTTTGGAAGACCGGGACGAACTTGGCGGCACCCTGGGCGGATCCATCGCGTCCAGCAAAGAGCCCGCTGTTCTGAACGTGAGAGCGGTAACACGAAACGCTCCTCCTGGGGCGTCCAGTCCCCAGCGTCCGGGGTCCTCGGCCGTGTGGGCAGCGCTGCGACAAGCTCAGCGACCGGGCCAGAACTCCAGCATCCCCAATGAAGAGAGACTAGGCTTCGGAAACGACAGTAAGCTAGATTCCAAGGACTCTGCGTACGATTCTCCGCAACGACCGCCAGTGGGAGGACGCAGTCCCTCAAGCTACAATGCTCGACGAATGAATCTGTCAGCGGCATCTCCAGTGCAGCAGACCACCATGGCCAGCGCACTTTTGAACAAGACTTCCTCGAACCAGACTACTACAGCGATGGCCAAGGCCAAAAGCGCAAGTCCAACCAGAGTTGGCGGAATGAAAATGGCCGGAAACGTCGCGTCTGCCGCGACTCGCATGCTGAACAGCAAAACGACTGGAGGCGAGACCTCTTCGCCTAATCCTCGCATTCGGGTGTCGAGTTTGCCGAAGAAGCTGCCGGCGCCTTCCTCTGCGAGTCGCAATAATGCGAAGTCTCCAGGAACAACACAGGCTACAACGAGTAGACTGTCGGCGCGAGAGCGGGCTGCGGCGTACCACGCTTCGCGTGTCTCTCCCTCCCCAGCGACGACCGTGGAGGGCGATGATCAGGGCCTCATGCTTTCGCAGCAAGAACAGCGCAGTGGCGCCATCTACTCAAAAGACTCTGCCGTCGTGGACGTGGTCTCGCCCGGTGCACGGCCGCCCCGACGGGCCGCGTCGCCTTCGCCCATCACTGCTGGCAGTGTGGCGGACTACCTGGAAAAGATGGCATCCAAGGCAGATGGACCTCTCGACGGATCAATGCTGGGTGTGTCGATGCAATCCGCGCACGTTTCCTCGATTTACGCTGACCCCTTAACGCCGCGATCGAACCTCGAGCGTGGGGACACTCCAAGCACATTACTTGCCTCAGGCGAACAGCAGGTGCCGGCACGAGATCATCAGATGGGAATCCTCGTGCGCAGTCCTCGCGCAAACAGTCGTAGTCCTGCGCGCAGCGTTCAGATGGATATGAGTGGTCAGACGACACCGTCTACAAGAATTATTGCCGCTGGTGGCGTAGAGGAGACGCGCAGCAATGCAAGCGCAGCCAGCTTGATGCGATCAGAACAGCAAGCTGCGATGGGCCAAGAGGTCAAGCCGTATTCTTTCTCTGCTGCATTTGCTTCCACTACCGGCGCGGCTACCTCAACCGCTCTGATGTCTTTAACTGGTGAAGAGACACAGGCAGCGGTTCCTGGTGGAGACACTGGCCGTACCGAAGTCGTGGCTGAATTGCGATCGTTGAACGAGCAGCTGAAGATGTCGATGCGCACCACCGGACGCGAAATCCTAAAGACATTGTCCTCTTCTGCGAAAAACTCTCAAACGAATTCGCCTGAGCAACTCCCTTCGCAGCACACACCAAGCGCGCGCGAGGCTTCCCCACCGGGGATGGAGGAAAAGGAACAACAGACCAACAGCGACACTTCTCTGTTGTTGAGCAGTCCGTCGCGTTCGCCAACCCTCGCTGACAAAAGCAGAAGCATGGGGTCGTCTCCTATTGTTCCGCTGCTGCCGACTGATATGGCTCGCGCGTCATCCCCGTCGCAGGCGGCGGGCAAAGCGAAGCGCAAGTCCTCGTCGCCGCTGAAAGGTTCTGGAGCCTTGATGGGAAGTCAAAACTCGGTCAACGAGCGCGACGCGGAGCTCCATGGGGAAGCAACAGAACTGCTGGATAAGTCCCGTCGTATCTCTCGAGGAATCTTGAACATCATCCAGTCGCGCCGTTCGGCATCCGCAGAAAATGCAAAGTCATCGTCCGAAGACTCGTCTTCGGAGAAGGACAGCACCGGCGCTTCCGCTCGAGGAAAAAAGGTAGAAATTATAGAGATTGACATGCTATTAATGTTTGCGAATCGAGATTCGTCACTTTCATAATCAGCGTGATTTTCTTGATTGATTCTACTCCTTTTTCGATACTATGGTGGAAGATGTTTTGGAAACAACTCGAAGGTTCAAGTTCATTCATGTAGTACAGCCTGCTTTTCCCTGCAGTTCATAGACATGATCGAGACGCAACATCATATTATCTTCATGATCATAAGAGGGAGGGGGAGCGGCGCCGGCCTTCCGGGCAGCCGGCGCGCTAGCCACAACGTTAAGTAACGATGTTCGGCGTGCCACGAAATCTTATGTAGATAGATAACGAAAAGAGATCGTGGAACAGTGCAAAATGAAGATCAAGCTCCGGCTAGCATGACCACGGCAACGGACGGCCCGTGGCGAAGATCGCGCAGAAAACAACAAACCACGAGCGCGATCCTACCACACACCGGTCGGCCTCGTGCAATGATGGGCCCGATCTCGATGCTAAGGCCCCCAAATCATAGCTAAGGCCTCTGCAAAAATAGACAACGTGGATAAGTCGTCTATTGGTGCAGCATCCCAAGTTAAGGCTGGTTTAAAGCTGTAGTCGTGACGTGCAAACGAGGCAACAGATAGCTGCGCGCGGCGTAACACCAGGGGGATTTAGTGCGCAGATGCTCTGCTGTTAACTTAGCGTGAGTATGATAACTTATTATATTTGATACCACAATGATGACCCCCAATTATCCTCTGCTTTCGCGAGTGTATGGCCTCGCACTCTGCAGAAAGGCTCTCCTGACGTTTATTGCGGCATTATGGCCTCTCGTGCTGCCAGTGGATCTGCGCGCGGTGTACGGGCCATGGGATGTAGCGGGGGCGATGGTGTATTCTGGCTCGTAAAGCACAAAGGAAAGAATGTAAACGTGCTTTGTCGGTCACTGAGAGGGGCGGAAAGATCCACACGGAAATGGATCCTGTTTAATGGCGCCGACTTTACTCAGATCACCAGCCTCGGCGCTCGTTGTCGACTTTACTCAGGTCACCACCATCCTCGGAGTCGAGCAGGTCCCAGGGGTGCTCGGTGTACAGGATTCACAACCTAACCTAACCAAGGGAGCCTATTGGTATTGGTCTCAACATTGCCTAGTATGCTCTTATTTCAAATTCTTTACACGACAGGCGTCGAAGCGTGGTAACATCTCGCCAGACGGTGCGGCTTCTTCGGGTTCGCAATTTTTCGGCTTTCGTTCTCAGTCCAGTCCGCCGAAATCGGACAGAGGGGAGAACGATCAGCGTGGAACCTCAGATGCGCTTTCCTTGTCCCTTTCGCCGTCTGAGATTGGCGGCAACACGACCACACGCACGAGCCGCGTGGGGCGCGAAGAGGACGCGGGCAGCAACGGGAACACGATCGCCTCCAGCATCCTGGCGGACGGGATGGATGTCACGGACGGGACGCCGACGGAGCACAATACCTCTTCCGAGACGGAATCCAACAACGAACAGCAGACCTCGCGTACGTCGCCGCTGGACAACGATCGCCGCATCAAGTACGGCAAACGCCGCAGTCTCAAACTCGAGATGCGCATGGAGTACGAGACCAAGCATGCCGCAAACAAGTTGGAGTTCATCCGTCAGATTGAAGCGAAGGAAGCAGAAATTCGACGCCTGAAACAAGTCGAGGAGCAACTGCGAACCCGCAAGGAAGAGGAGGACGAGGAAGCCAAATCTACCCTCGAGGCCAAGAAAGCGGAACTCGAGGCTCTGGAGCTCGAAATGAAGCGCCGAAACACTGCCGAGGAAGAAAAGTATTCTTTAGTAAAAATGATTGAAAAGCACATAATAGAGGGTTTCGGGTTGCTCGAGTTGCAACGGGTTGCTCGGGTTGCCGAAGCGCAGGGGTTCCAAATCTGGAACGGGTTGCCACGGGTTGCCAGGAGAATCCTGACCCAGCAAAATGGGGCGAAGCCGGGCGGTATGGGGGGGCATTTGTACGCTCGAAGTTAGGAAATGGAGAAGCGCGCAGATTCTTACCTTTGCTCTTGAAAGGGGCAGCCACGTGCGAAGGGCTCTGCAGGCTTTCGGGCTCTTCTTTTGTAGCGTGCGGGCGCGTGTTTGAAGCGAAAACAATGAGCGCAGGCCCCTGCTCTCTGTTGTTTTTTTTGGGGTGAGTGGCGCTGTGGTGTGTCGTCTTCGAGTCGTTGGCGATCTCTCCCTTTTTTCTTCGGGTGCGAGCGTGGCCAATCTACTTGGGGGCTGAGAGCGAGTTTTCGCCTGCTTGCTTCAGCGGGCGAGGCGTCCAGTCTTGGGTATAGCAGTAAGCATACTGGAGGGGGTTGCTGAATTGAAATGGATTGGCGCGCTATCTATTTATATACGAGCGCGCCGCCATCAGTATGCAACTACGGCGCGGCGCGTGGTCGTGTCGTGCGCTCCTGTTAAGGTCTCTCGTAGGGTCATAAATCTGCGCCCAAAGGGCGCCGCGCAAAAAATTTGGGTTGGCAACTCGAGCAACCCAAGCAACCCGACCCGATATGGGTCAAAAAAAACCTAACTCTAACATAAGCACAACTTCTATCTCTATGGATGTGCATCTTCATTCAGATTACGAGACCGTTCTGATTCTAGAACATGAAAACCTAGGGATTTTTGCAGCGCTCACGCTCAGACGACTGAAATTCTCACGACACAACAACCACTACGTACTTCCTACTTTGAGTAATTTCTATCTCACCACGGCTTCCATACAGGGTGCGCCAACTTGCCAAAGAGGTCGAAGCGGCCGAGGAGCAGCGCCGTGAGCAGGACGCCGCCTACGTGAAGGAGATGGAAGCAGCTGCTGCCAAAGAGCGCGCTCTGGTTGAGAAGCAAATGGAGTCTGAGCGCAAGGCCTACGAATTGTCCCTGCAGCAGGAGATGGCTGCCGAATTGGAGCGGCAAAAGGCGGAGATTGAAAAAGCTGCAACGGAAAAGCTGGAAGCTGCCGCTGCCGAGCGTGCACGCGCGGAGGCCAAGGCCCAGCGACGTGACGAGGAAGCGCGTCAATGGGAGCTTGCGGCGAAGCGCGAAGAAGAGGCTCGACGCAACGAAGCAGCGCGCCGTGTGGAGGAAGCGCGCAAGATGGAAAAAGAAACGCAACGACTTCTGGAGGAAAAGCAACGCATCGCAGAGGAAGCTCAGCGCGAAGTTGAGGCGGCAAAGCGCCGCGAGGAACAAGTGCGCATGCAGGAATCGGCGACCCGCGAGGAGTTGCAGTCGCGTCACGCACGTGCAGCTTCTGAGGCCGCAGAACAGCAACGCCTTCTGGAGGAGGAACGCGAGGCCGAGCGCGCCGAAGAGGAGCTGCGGAAGCGTCAGGAGGCAGCTGAGCGAACGGCCGAGCTGAAGCGACAGCAGGACGACCTGCGCCGTGAAGCCGAGGAAAAGCTTCGCCAACAACTGGAAGAAACCCGCGTGCAGCAAGAACGCGAGGTCGAGAAACTGCGTGAACAAGAGGCTAAGCGCCTGCGGGAAGAAGAGGCCGCTTTGCGCGAAAAGCAGGCGGAGCTGCAGCGCGAGGCAGAGAAGCTGGCCGCGGAAAAGCGCGCGCTGAGCGAGAAGAGCGCCGAGCATGAGAAACAGCAACAAGAACTGCTGGCCCGCAAGCGCATCGAGCTCGCCTCACTCGCGCAGCAAAAGCAGGCGCAGAAGGCCGAAGCCGAGCGGGCGGGACAGGCGTTGCGTGAGCAGCACAATGTCGAGAGCGACCGCAAAGCCGCGGAGCTCGAGGAGCGACTTGCCTCTGAAAAGGCAGCTCTCGAGGCCGAACTGCGTCGTAAGTTTGAAGAAGATCTTGCCGCGCAGTCCAAGATTCTACAGGAGAAGATGGAGAGCGAATTGGAGCGCGAAGTGCGAGAGCGTAAAGAGTCCAAGGAGCGGAGTGTAAAGGCACTTGAATCGGAGCGCGAACGCCTCAGCGCAGAGGCGGCGGAGGCCCGCGAACAGGCTGCCCGGCTCCAAGAAGAGGCTGCTCGTGTAAAGCGGGAAGCGGACGCTGCACGCGCAAAGGACGAAGAAACCTTCTCGCGTGTCGAGAATGAAGTCGCCGCACTTGAAGAGGCTCATGCGGAGGAGCGTGCACAGTTGCTTGCCGAGATGGAGGCAGAAAAGCAGAGACTGATTGCTCTGGAGGAAGAAGCAGCGCGCCTGCGACAAGAATCGACAGCCGCTCGCGAACAGGCACTGGTTGAAAAGGATCACCACCGCAAGATCGCCGCGGAAACGGTTTCGCGTGCTGAGAGCGAACTGACAGCGCTCGAGCGTGCACACGCTGAGGAACGTGCTCAGCTTCAGGCTGAAATGGAAGCGGAAAAGCAGCAATTGATTGCTGCCGAAAAGGAGGCTGCCGCTGAACTCGCGCGCGTGCTACAACGCGAAGGGGAAGAGCGCTTGGCCGAGGAGCGTCGGGCAAGTGCACTGCGCGCTGCGGCGGCGGAGACTGCCGAGCGAGAAGCCGCTGAGCGCGCTGAGAAGGAGCGCCAACAGCGCGAGGCGGCGGAACAGGCTCGCGAGGAGCACGCTCGATGGGCCCGAGAAGCACAAGAGGCGGAGCGTGCCAAGCGCGAGGAGGCCGCGCGTCAGCTCGAAGAAGTCGAGCGCAAGCGTTTGGAGGCGATCGCTGAAGCGGAACAGCTGCGCGAAGAGGAGGAGAAACGCCAAGCTGCTGCGCACGCGAAGCACATGTCTGAATTGGTTCGCATGCGCCGCGAACAGGAGGAAGCGCTTGCGGAATTGAAGCGTCAGCAGGACGAAGCGGTGGCACGAGCTCGCCAGGAAGCGGGCGAAGCGGCCCGCCGTGCAGCTGAGGCAGCGCTGCGTGACGAGAAGGAACGCATGGAACAGGTTTTTCGCGAGGAATTAGGCGCAAAGGAGGCGGCGCTGCAGGCCGAGAAAGCGCGCGTTGAAGCAGAACGTGCGGCCCTGGCATCCAAGGAAATGGAGTTCGCAGGAATGATCGCCAGCCGTGAGAACACCATGACCAGTTCAAAGGCTTCCCGGCTGAGCTCGAACAAAACAGCAGACTTCGGAGTCCACGAGGTTTGCAGTAAAAATGCGGTAGATGCGACGCAAAAACAAGGTGCGCCGATTCAAGGGGCAACCTCTACAACCACCACGTCGAACGCAACTGTTGCTATGTTCGCGGGAGCGCAAGCTTTTCCTAACGGTACCAGCTTCTCCGAGGACACTTTGTCAGACACTGATAAGTCGTCCACGGTCAGCGACTACGTTGGACGCCGTTTGAGCGCGCGCTATGAGGACGCTGACGCACTTCTTATGTCTCGCAGCGAAGGAGCCTCAAAAAAAACCTCCAAAGATTCCAATCCTCCTGCTCCCGAGAACAGTTATTCGGGTCCTCATTTGAAGACCGTTGTGATTTTTGAACGTTCCGCGTCGCTGACCGCGTCGTCCGTAGACGCAGACGGGTATCGTACTGACAACATCAGCAAGCGCTGCGTCAACCGACGGGAGCTCGTGGAGCAACTCATCACCGAAAACGCCGCTCATTCGAACTCTTGGTCCGAAACGTCAACGAGTCCTGCTGACGACAAGCAGTTGTTGACGGGAACCTTGGTTACCCTCTCGGGTTCTGCTGGTGCGGTCGGACAGCTGACGTCATCCGGAGCGGATAGCGCAGTTACAACGTTGTCTGGGGGGGCGAAGCAGGATGGTCTCATCTTTTCGACTTCGGCGTCGTCGGCTCCGGGTGGAGCCTCAGGCATTAGCTACAGTCAGGGATGCACAACGGAACAAAACGAGGCCTCGTCCGAAGGACAGGCTCAAACTACGCCGGAAAAAGATGAGGAAGATGTAGCGGAAGAGCAGACTGGTGGTGAGGAACACGGTCTTCTGGTGGATATCGACGAAGAGGAGATGGCGAAGAACAAGGGCACCAGCTGCACTCCATGTGTCGAACAAGATGAAGATGATCTCCAGGCCGCGAAGAGCATCACGTTGAACGGCACGCCACGAGCTTTGTCTACCGCTACCACTCCACGAAATCGTGCTGAGCCGGAAGGCGAGCCGGATCAGGCGCTTGGTTACGCGTCTCCGTTTGCGCGGGGGCCGCGTGGAGTGATGACTTTTACTCTCCATCAAAACGGCCGTGATGTCGACTCGGCCACGGGAATGTCTGCCACTGCAAGCGGAAGCAACTCCGTTTCAGGAACCGACTTCGAGTCTTCCGATGATCAACGCATTATTCCAATCCCGGAAGATCAAGGAACACCTTCCGTAGAGACTGTCACCACGCGGCAGGAAGACGGGGTTGATGAAGGTCGCGAGCCGACCACCTTGTACGGCCAATACCTTGCGGCCCACGTTGAAGAGGCCCGCGTCCGCATTCCTGCCGTGGCCACCAGCCTGTGGAACACTCTGAAGAAAACCGCGCGACTGGAAGGCGAAGGTGAGGCCATCGAAGAAGTTGGCGAGTCTGACGTCGAGGACAGCGCATATGAAGGCGATATGCTCGAAAAAGGTCTCTCTAAAAAATCTGGAAGCAGCTATGGCGCCACATCGGCCTCTGCGAAAAGCAGCAAAGAGGTGGAACGTTCTTCTTCCTCCAACGCTAGGCTTTCGTGGTTCTCAAGTGCGCTTCAGATTGCCGATAACCGTCGGCGCTTTACGGTTTTGCAGTGGTGCTTCATCGTGGTTGCGATTCTTACTGTACTCAGCCTCACGGTGGTCATGCCGGTTGCACTCTGTATAGGATGTAACAGAGCTTCGATTGCCGCTGCGCAACACCGCCATGCTCTAGAACACGAAATCGCTCTCCGCGAAGCACAAGAAATCGCTGCTCTTACAGGAGCAGGAGCATCAACAACACTAGAAATTCGCAATGCCATTTCATCTTCGGGCGTGCCAGCGGAGGTGCACGCCACCGACGAAGCTGAATCTGATGTTGCTATCTGAACTAACATGAAGAGAAGAACATGTTCAAGGGGAGCATAGTGGTCTCGTTCGACTATTGACGGTGTAGGTGGATACCGGTTTCTTAAGTGATCTGCTCGGTGACTCTGACTTATGATGCAGCTCTACCTCTTTAGATTTGATATGCGTGACGGTGACCAACCATGTAAATTTTTCTTTTATGTTGTAAGTTCTTTAATATTGCAATCGTGGTCTTCGTGGCTCATAGAAATAAAAGAGCGCAGGAGTACAGCCTTACTGCTGGAGGTGGATTAAAGGCAGCACCTTGTATATTCATGATAGAAAAATAGAACACGACAAGAAAGGAGAACAAGATACGCGGACGAGGTTCACAATCAAATTTATTTTTTGGTTCCAATTGATATTCAAGAAGAGCAACAGATTAGTCATTAAGGATACACAGCTGCTAGAATTACATACTCATCTTGATTCACAATTATCATCGAATCCTTAACAATAAGCATGAACATTTTTATCTATATCAAATATCACATATTTATTCCATCGAGGTCATCAATGTGTTATTATTCAGCATAATGAAATAAATGAAAAATAGAGTAAGAATAAAAACAGAATTCATATCGGAAACACAAATCACGCGATCTATAATATTCTCCATACTTATACAGTCTTCTGCAGAGGTAAAGAAAGAGGGAGGGCGAAGGTGACGCCATTTATAATGAAAAACGTAGAGTTATGATATTAAGAAATGCGTAGTTTGATCGCGACGATCACGCTCTCACGTCGTCTTCGTCATGGTCGCACACATATTTCTCAAACAGAAATAATACAAAACTGTACTAGACTAATCTGGGGAATTACCTAATATATGGGAAAATAAGGGAAGAGCGGTATCGGTATAGCGCTGCTCGCACGCCAAATGATATTTTTTATTGAACAACAAAGACGACGCAGGCCCAAGCAGGCACAGAGAGATGGAGTGTCTGAGTCTGAGTACCGCGTATTGTATTTCAACATTTTGGAATAATTACAAGGACTGGAATCGAAAGCTACACACAAAGGAACATGTCGACGTCCATTTACTAAGGGGGAAGTGATGAATCAAAATGGCGTCAGCACGACAAACGAATTGATTCGTCCTAGGTTGCTACAAGTACTATAACATGATATAATTGTTGATGTTTGGTGAAGATGATGATAAAAAAATTTACGGAGGAGGAGTTTTAAACATTTTCTACTTCTCTTTTTCTTCTGGTTTTTGCTAGAAGACGATATCATGGTGTGTTCTTCAGTGGTACTAGTGTGGATAATGCCAACCACCTGGTGGACAAAAAGATGAAGCGTAAACATTGTGATACAGATTCATCGATGCAGATCCAACAATATAGTTTTCTGAGCAGAAAATTTTTTCAGCCCTTCATTCTTGGCGCGGATCGGACGACAGATCATTTCCTTGCGAAGAACTTCCTTGTGGCCTGGTATGATGAAAGCTATATTATGCTGCTGACGTGTTTCACAGTCACAAGAAGAGAACCGGAAGAAAGATAAAAATGTTGATGGATGACCGGCACCACGGAGGCTCCACATCCAGTTCCAGTCTGGGACAGCACGGTGACATGATGGCTGGATGCGGCCCTGATGTGGACACCGATGCAGCGAGAGCCTATGCGCAAATCAATAGGAACATGTCCGCTGGTATGGCTATTTCTTTTCCGGTACGGATCCTGAATTCGACTTCCTCGCGCAGATGATTCCGCATCACAAAGCTGCCAGCGAGATGTGCAGCGTGTGGGAAACGCAGACACCGGTCCGGGAGGTCGCGTGGAATCAGACGAGGAATGCTGGTATAGCGAGTTTGTGCTACAACATCACTTTTGGTGCAGCAAAGTGGGGTATCTACCAATCGGACTTCTCGCAGCCTGCGGAAACCCAACAAATGCTAACGGTAACCGGGATGTTGGGAAAGACTGCGCAGTACGAGAATGGCTGTCGGGATTTGACGACGTGCGAAAGGAATGTGGCCATCGATAACGCAGACGTGCTCTTGCGTTTAACAAATACCAGTAGTGAAGAAGTTTTAGCGAATCTACTACCGCCCGCACCTTATTTTTCATCTTCAGGGAATGATAACGCAAGCTCCACCAGCGGAGCGTCTTCTGCTTCTTCTATGTCATTCTTGACAATGCACGGCGACCACAAGATGTTCATGGGTTGTGGTGCGAATCTTACTCTTGTGATGAATACCGATTCCGTTGCTGCTCCTGCAACTACAACAAGTCCACATTCGATGATCATTCAGTATTTGCATTTGAATATGTGGATGCATGCTCGTATGGCGTTCAACTGGACCGGAGACGCAGACTTGGACTTTCTTCTGGGCATGCTGCCGCATCATCAAGCTGCCATCGCGATGTGCAATATCTACTACGCTCACTGGAGGTGTGCGCCAGCCCGTAGAGTGTCAATGTGCAGCGTCGAATCGGAGCGGTCGCGCGCAGTGGGCACCTTAGACATGCAAAACCGGGTAAACAGGCAGGATTGGAGTCGGATAGATGTATTGCCTTATACATGGAGCATATCTGTATGGACCACATACTAGAGACGCAACCAGATGAGGTAGCGTGGATGGAACATGAAATTCAAAGATTGCGCGAAAAATCCTACAGCAACGCGAATAAAACGACAAATTTGTCAGCATCGTGGAATTTGTCTGGTGCGGCGCTGATAAGCAATAGTGCGGCAGCCGGAAATGCGTCCTCGTCTTCGAACTACAGTAAGTCAACCCGCAATACCTCGAACGTGATGAATATGTTGACTATGACGCATCAAGGGCACACAACCACAGCTCATCACGGTACCGTTTACGATTTCATCGAGGCTCAGCAATGTCATGCGGCGGGACAACATGCCGCGCGTAGCGGGTCATTTTCTACTGTGACACAATTAAAGTCTGTCGACCTTGAATGCACTTCCGCGATGAATGCACACTCGGGACATCAGGGCTCTTTGCTACTTACACTCACCAAATAACCCACTTGCAGAGGCATCGATTTCGTTTGCTCTATCTTCAACCCTATTTCCAAGAACATCAAATTTTTTCGTGACTTTTTTGCTATCGCTTATAGTCGTGATGTTTTTCTTTTTGCGTAAGGCTATTTTCGCCTAATGATCGATGACGTCGGATCGGCGGTGCCGATCATCAATATCCTCGTATTCTACAACGTTCATGATCAAAGTAGTACAAAATTAAGAAGAAGGAGGTCATCGTTGAAGTTGATGTAAGTACTAATGAAATTGGTCCCTATTCGTATCAAGCGGTCAACTGGACGAAGTGGAAGTTGATGTTGGGGTCGCCTCGCATCGCTCAGCTTTAGTTCCTCGTATCTCGCCGACTGATGCTGATACTTCACAATGCGGCCGAGCAGGCGCAACAGACGACTCAACATGTGAAAAATGATCAGCATTCATAGGTGGAGTAGGATGTGATAACTTGTTACTTGCCTGCCTCTGCATCCGCTAAATACCTAGACGAGCTTAGCAAGCACGCGCGTATCTTTGCCTTGTATTAGAAATCCAATGAAAAAAGTATGGATGGCCTTGCAACTAGTACGACCGAAAGTCTCCGGGATGTGGACCGCCTGGTGCAAGGTATGAGTGAGATCAACCAGAAACTGCATACGGACCTTGTTCGGTACCTTCTAGTCTACTTCCAAGTATTACTATTAATGTGATACCCGCCTTATTTTTCTACCGACCCACAACCACTGTAAATTCGATGTAATATTCGTGTCTCTAATACCCATACGACCCTGTTTGAAGTTGCTCCTCTTCAGCTACAATCTAGGCAACCTCCTACTTCGCGAGCATCTTCACGTAAAACCTGCTGATATTTTGCAGTTCCTTGTTGCTTCAGGCCGTCCGCTAATCACTCCCGGACGACGTCCTTGCACTCTACCGCTGGCGTTAATGACAAGGAGGATGAATGTAAAAATATGACACCGCATCAACCTGCATCCAGCGGCTGCTCGCAGCGTCGCGAGCCAACATCCTTTGTCGCAGCGAAGGTCCCACATGAGCACTTCATGTTCACGCTTCCCAAGCGCTCTTCGTTTCCCCCACATGTTGGAACAATTCTGCGACAAAAAGTAGTGCAACCGCCACAGCATCAACATACGCAGGTAGAGCAACAGCTGCAATTGCAAGCACCTTCTGCTAAGCCTGTAGGGCGCCAAGAAGGGCAGCGGCCATCACCTCAATACGCCCCTATCAGTAGCAGCTCGAAAGCAAGCTCGTATGTGCATCAATATGGAGGTGTGAACTCTAAGGGAACCTCTTACGTGATGCTTGGATCACCAGATTGGATGCAGATGATGAGCCAGCCGAGTCCATGCTGGGGAACTATGCCACCTACGCCAACGCCTGCTGCAACGAGAAAGGACGCTTCTCCAACGCGTGGGGAGCTGCGCTCGATGTCACAACCTCCACGAGCACCTGCAGCAATGGCGCAGCATCATCAAAATATAGCTGTAGTTGCCAACGCTAGTTCTGCTCCTGCAACTATAGTACCAGACTCGGGTCGTTCTGGTCCAGGAACAGCGCCGGCATATGCATTGCAGGGTCCTGCAGCTGCCGCAAGTCCGGTCATGCCCGCAGTTGTATGTGGGACGGTCGTTCAGGTACGGTCTCAGCAACTTCAGCCAAGGAGTGTGCCAATACTAAGGATGGCTCCCAGGAGTAGTCAAAATATGAACACGACAAAAAAGACCCTGTCTCCCACATCCTCTGCGCGTACGATGATGATTGTACCAGGTCCACCGCAGCCGTCAGCTATTGACCCAAGATCTTCTAGCACAAGAAAGCGAGGAGTTTGGCGGCATCCGCAGCTCGTTAATCCTTTTCTAGACGTGATCGCAACGCCGCGTTTTTTCAGTTCATCAAATCACGTGATGCCATCTCGCGTCGGTGTCACCGCAGCTGCGCCTGTTCCTTCCTGGTCCTCAGGTGGAAGTGTTGTGATGGCTGGAACTGTTGGGTCGGGATTAGCTCTTTCAGGAGTAGCCCCTCCAGGAGAAGCGCACGCAGCAGGAGCTGCGTACAGTCCTATAGCTGCGGACGCTACATGCGTCGTGCAGGCACCGTCAACAACGAGGTCAAACCTGGAACACCGAGACGGCCACGACCAACTACACCCGCCTGACTTGGGATCGCCCCGAAGCTCTCCAAATAGTGCGCATATGGCGGATGATCCTGTTCGTGGCCCGAACAGCAGCACGACGTCGCTGAGCCCCCTCCAGGGGCAGCTGGCACCAGCATGGACCACGCATGGGACACGGGTTTTATTAGGCCAGACTCCTGAGGACGATCGGTCATTTCATGAAGACCCTGCTCAGCGACGGAACAAAAACAGAGGCGTCACAGGCACAACTACTGCGCCACAAATTAATATGATGCATCGGATTGATGAGATTGAGAACCGACCCGAATTAGGAAAACATCGACTAAATAAAACCCCTCGAACAATGAACAGCATGGGCATGCTGGCCACCAGTAGACGCGGCGGAAAAATAGAGAGCTGTCGCGAAGAGTCGAGAAGTGTTTCCGAGTCCATCGGAAGCCTCTCATCTGCGCGACGCACTGCTCGCCTCGCCGCTGCTGCTGGTGCAATCTCTCCTAGAGGAGGAAACTCTATTAGTTTGAAGCAACACCAACACCAAGATCTTCATGCGCAGGCTGCGAGCAGATCGTATGGTTCGTCAGTGGCCACATCGCGAGCAGGGAGTCAGAGTGCACGTGAGAGAAGGTCGCCTCGAGGAATAGGACTAGCGGGTGTTGCGGCGAACAGTTCTGGAGCCGCGAACTTCTCAGCAGTGCCGAGACCTGCAACGGCACCGGCACTGCAGCCTCCACCAAATAGTCGACGGGCAAGGCTAATGCAAGATAGAGAGAACTACAACAGTTTGATGGAAGCTTCGATACAGGAGCAGTCGATACAGGAGCAGTCCTCCTGTAGTGACTCGTTATCGACAACATCAGCCGCTGCAGGTGCGCATCATCGTGGTTCAAATCTCAGAAAACCCAAGTTTTCGAGCAAAAATCATTCTTCTTCTGTTCCATCACCACTTACTTCCATGGCAAATAGTGCAGGCGTTGACCCAGCTGCGAGCAGCAGTCGCGTGAAGATTGGTACTGCGATAGCAGATCCACATCTTCAACATGCCGTACAAGGAGCAAGCAGCAAGCCAAACTCCGCGGGCGCAATTGGCGACGCGGCGACTGGCCGAACGGCACGATCAGGTCGCAGGTTGCTTGCCGAGGGAGAAAACGCGCCGGGTCACGATACTAACAGAAATTCCGAGCAACGGGCGAAGGACGGCGACCGGGCGCGAGAAATTGCCGCCATTGAGATAGAACTACAAAAGCTGCGCAAAAAGAAGGCGGAGCGAGAGAGTAAAAAAGCAGAGGGGCAGAAAAAGACGGGAATTGCGTCCGCGACTACATGTTCTGGAGGCGGTGAAGATGCTACAAGCAGTGCCCTGATAACCAGTTCGGATGGCTGTAGGAATGGCAATGTAGCTCAAGCTCACCTTGCAACTCCGAAGAGAACGGGCAGGACTCAAGCGGAAAAAGCCTCCGGTAGTGGTCCAAGTAACTCTGCCATGAAGCGACCACCCGGAGCGGCTGACGATGAACTTTCCTGCACACCGCTGTATGCTAGCCCACCAAAGGGGCGGGCCCCAGGAGCCGGCCCAACAAGTGGCACTCAGACGAGGGTGGCTCCTGGATACGTAGGATTGCCGGATGAAGCACCTCCGCGTCCTCCATCTGCAGGTGCCGCGACAGCTGCAAGGAATTATCAAGGTCTCCTTAATGATGATCATGCTGACGCTCGTGTTGACCAGAATACGCTGCAACACGCGGAAGCCACAGATCAACAGAGAACTGCACCATCTTCCTCTTCTGCAACTTCAGGCTCAGGAACCAAGATTTTGGAAATCAAAAGATGTAAATGGATTGGTAGTAAGACCAGAACTTCCGCGAGTCTTCACGGTAATCTTCAGAGAAGATCGTGTTCCCGAGGGTCGTCGAGCAGTGCGGTCAACACCGCTTCAGACAGTAAGGGGACCACGATTTCGAGCAGGAGTGAAGCTACGGCTCTGTCTGCTTCCGTAGGCGAGCGTCCGGCTCTCACATCGAATGAGATTTTTTCTGGCGACATCGTTTCTCCGATCGTGCCAAGACAAAATGAATTTCCTTGCGAGGCTTCAGCTGCTTCATCAAGTACACAAGGACAAGGTGTTGCACTAGTGACGAGTGCATTGCCACCCGCCTCTAGCGACGAACAGAACGACGAGGAGGCAGGAAATGAGACACGGGACGGCACCGGAGACGAAAAACGACGTCGGAGTCATAGTCCGCGAAAATTGACATCGCTTTACCCTGACGACGATGTGACAGGAAAGGTGGGAGAGCATATGCCCTACGTGTCTGATACGCGCGAGGCAGCTCGCAAGCACGTATATGTCGGGAGTCCACGTGTTAACCATAATCGCAAGAACCAGCTTTCTCCAGACAATCCTTTTCATTCTGGGGACAGGACAAAAAATGTTCCACCTCAGAGTTCCACGTCGTCTTCTTCACCAGCAAGAGCGAGTTCCACGTCGCCTCGTATGGCACCCCTGCGGCCAACATTGCTCGAAGGCCAAGAGAACGCACAGCAAGCACAACAAAGGGCAAGCTCTCCCAAGGCGATCGCTCGAAGAAGCGAGGCTGCTGCCGCACGAAATCCGTTTCAAGGCAGCAGGAAATCGTCACCGTCCGCGGCCTTTGCCTTGCCAAACTCAGCCGGTAAAGACACGGAAAGAGGATCTGTGCCTACTTCACCAGCTTATTATTGTCCTCCGTCAAACTGGACAACTAACAGTGCTGCCAAGAACACCACAACAGGGGCCAGAAATAGTGGGGGGCCAGTCCGCATGCGATTCGACGCGGCAGCATTGCGCTCTCAAAGTCCATCGCCGACACCTTGTGTTGTCGCCGAGGACGCCAATGCGGAAGCAGGACACTCGAGAACATTGGCGAGTACAAATATAATCAACACGAGCAACAGCAAAGAAGTAGAATGGGGATCTTGCTCACCCGTCCGACCGTTCAGTTTTTCGGGTCATGATGCTATTCAAGCCATGGTGGCGGACCTGATGGATAGTGAAAGAGTCTTAGGTGAAGACGACGAAATGGATACCCAAAAACAAGCGCCAGTGGTCCTATCATTGTCATTTTCTTCGGCGGATCCTTGTAGTCTATCCTCCTGTCGCGACAAAAAGGCTAGCCCGGGTGCCAGATCAGTGGAAAGCTCTTCAGCACTTCGTGGAAGCAGTTCGCGCTGTAGGCTCGGGGGTGGACTACAGAATAAATGGTCTCCAGCTACTCCAGAAAATTCGTCTTCGTCAAAATATCTTCTCGCCTCATCTCACAAGAAAAACAATAGCTGCCGGGCCTTACCAGATGACGCCAGCGCTCGGCCTCCAGCGCCGCCGGGAGCGAAGAAATACGTTACATCGCCTGGGCGCGATGGCACTAAAAATAGAGGCATAGCAAGTACTAGTACTTCGCCAGGATCTCGGCAAGCGCAAGAGCTACTCCATAAATTGCTGTACGAGCCACCGTTTCCTGTCACAAAATCGATGGAAGACCATTCGGCTGTGGCAGCAAATAATAGCGTAAGCAATGCTGGCGTGCCTGCACGCAGGAGCGATGGAAATCAGAAAGTGCAGATGCAGTCGTCCAACAAGGAGCAGCGTAGGAAGAAGATGAACGCAGTGTCTCCTTCTCCGAGAGCCGTTACGTCAATTTCGCAACCTCGTCAGTCGAATCACGAGAGCTCGCCACGACGTCCAGCTGTTGACGAGAACTACAATCGTGCCATTCAAATTGAGAACTACAGCCCAAGCTCTCGACAGCAAACCTGCGCTCAGCAATCTCCTCAAGAGCGGTCTTCGCCTCGATTCGATATATCGACGCTGGACTCAGTGCTGAAGCAGTTACGGGAGAGGAACAGACTAGGAGACACGCCAGATAAAGTACAGAAGAGATTCGAGACCATTGCTTCATCTGGATCATGCCTTAGCATGGGCGACGGTGCTGAGGTCATAGAGGTGGGACGACGGCCAGGGGCAGGCTGCGGCACCTCGGGTATAAACGTATGTCTGCTTCAGACAGATCGTTCTGTGTAAGTACTTAAGTATATAGTAAACATGTTTGTACTAGTTAATATGGTTTATTTTATCTTCAAGAACAAAAAACTTTAACCTACCTAGCTTGTTCTTAAAACATCTGGATTTTTTCGAAATTGGTTTGTTCTCGTTGTTATTTTTCTGCGTCGTCTACGTCTACAACTGAATACTAGAATAACAATATTTTTTTTCATTTTTGTGATTCATAACCGCAACTACATTGCCATCGAAAGTGACACTTCAGGTTCTGACGTAGTCCTGCCAAAATCGCCCAGTATTGCGGAGCTGCCTAAAGTCGTTAAAAAAGAAATCCCGTCATCACCACGAACTGGAGGAGCAGAGGGGTCTTCGCGTGCTGGTGAATCCTCGTCTCCGGTAAACACTCGTTTAGCTCCGAATGTTGTAATGACCACACCCCAACAAGGTGCGATTCCGTTACTCGCGATGGCAGCTGAAAGCGTAGCAGCTGAGAGAACAGGCGTAGACCTGGAGGATAAAGGCGACGAAGCGTCCTCCGATGCCAGCTGCGAAGATCTAGATGCGGTCATTCGAAAAAGCGAAAAATTGTTACGATCTCTTCATGATGTTTTTTGAGAATATCTTTAGCTGCAGCAGCTCCTAGTAGTCCTAGCAGCTCTTTGTAGTTGCAGTGCAGAAAAAAATAGAGTAGAAGAGTAGTTCTGCTTTTATGTACAGTAGTCTTGGTATTATCTTCAAGAAGTTGTGAAAAAATCCAAAGCCTTTCACGCTATGTATCTATATATTTCCGATGTAATTTCTCATACTGCTGTAACATTTTTCTTCATCATGTGAGTGCATTCCGAGTTTCGACGTCATCGATATTAGAGACTAAGTATTAAATGAAGAGTTTTAGTTACGGATTATCAATATGAATTTGAATAACCTGAAGTCTAGCAGGTAATGTATTTGCCTTTCCATCACGTCTGTCAGGAGACTACATATTGAAAATGTACCACCACCTGTTGTACTTCTACTTTTGCAAGATTGATCGACTTGTTTGCAGCTTTTCTTGTTGTGAATGCACTCTGTATAGCTCAAGTTCAAGATCGATGGAAAATTGGAGGTCGTAAGTTTATTTTCTTTGAGACTGATTCTGATACTCGTCTACTTGCAGCAAATAATGAACATACTTACTTACATACATAGTAACAATGCAGCACCAGCATGCTCATTGTAAAAGAAAGGAACAACAAGAAGCACGACGAGCATGAAGATGAACTTTGTTAGTGCAAACAAGTGTCTCAACAGAGGACATCGTCGAATACCAGTGCACTCGTCGAAGAATTATACTCCTGCATCGTGCTGATGAAACTCGCCTCGCTCCCACTGGCACTCCATTGCAGGAGCGGAAATTTCGATCCAGCGATCAACATCCTGTTGGAAGAAGCTTCTTCGAATGAGGGCTTACTCGTGTGTCGTCTGAATGAATAGCTTTCGTCTGACCACGGGTGGAAACCAAGAATCCCTTCGAGCGAAATATATAAGTATACCTAGGCAGATGAGCGAATACATTTCTGCACGGACTCTCCATGTCGAGTAAATTTTGAATGATATTCTTGAAGCGGGACAAGAAGTCACAAGAGACTCTGATACACATCAACCTGTCGTGAACGCAGTGCGACGAAGCGAAACAAGAGAATGATCCGTTGAATTTGATGTAAGAGAGACGCCTACTAAAGGTATTGATGAATCATGTGTACGTAAGTAGTACCTTTAACTGCTGCAACTATGACCATGTAATGCAACTTTCTGTAACTGTATTTGCACTAGCAGCTTCCGCCCGAGGCGCCCGTTGAAGAATCACTTAAATAATGCATCAATAACTTCTATCCTTGAACAAGCAACAAGACACCAGACAACTGCACAACTACAGCAAAAATCAGTTTGCTCAAGTTTGATCATTTCAAGAATCAACATCATCAACAAGACCAAGAAAACATCAAAATCTAGACCAAAAAATCATCAAAAATTAGAACAAAAGAGATGGAGCAAGACCGTTGCTTTTACGCCAAAGCGGTGCGCCCATTTTGTGATGGTGGCGACAACACACTCGATGTGAAAGTTGGGGATATCATTCGCGTTGTCGAAATCGATGGCAACAGCGAATGGTGGGGCGGGCACCTCTTTGAGGAGTCCGCCCAAAACACAGGCTGGTTTCCAGGTAAAAATTGCTTGTTTGAATTAAGAACTTTTGCTTTATTACATGTATGATTCCCGTCGACCTCGAAAGATAGTACTGATGTGGGCATCCTACCATACCACATATGTATATGCCCAGAACACGGGCCCATCAAGGGCCCGCTGCGCTGGGCATAGGTTAGCAACTAGACAGGTAAGACGAACGAGCAAAGTCGCTAAGTCCGTTCGCCAAAGCTAGAGTGAAAGACTGGAAAGCTGGCTGCCACTGTGGCTAGGCTAGTGGGCTGGCTGCCGCTATGGCTAAGCTAGCGCGCTGGCTGTGGCTAAGCTAGCGAAGCACTGCTGCCGTGGCTGAGCTAGCAAACTCGCGATGGCAAAGCTAGGAAGCTGGTGACGCTGATGGCTAAGCCAGCGGGCTGGCTATGGCTAAGCTGGCCATGATTAAGCTAGCAAGCTAGCCACGGCTAAGCTAGCCGCCTGGTTTTGGCTATGGTAAAGCACGCGAGCCAGCCAGAGCGAAGCTAGCGAGGGACGCTGGCTATCGCATCGCCATGGCTAAGGTAGTGAGGCAAGCTGGCCATGCCTAAGCTACGCACATCAAAGCAGGGCAAGCCGGTTACGGCTAAGGTAATCTAGCAAGGCAAGAGAAGAGGGCTATGGCTAAGCTAGCAAAGCAAGCTGGCTACGGCTGAGCTAGCAAGGTAAGCTGGCTACGCTATGGCTAAGCTAGCGGGCTGGCTTTGGCTGTGGCTGACCCCGATGCGCCAGGTTCTTGAAATCCTTAAAGGATTCGGCTTAACTAAGAGGTCGGGCGGCCCTTAAGGGAGTGCCTTTTATATTTATTAGCTTAAGCTTATTACAGGAGGGCCTCCTTAGGCTAAGGGGCCTCCTTGAGGCACATTTTTGGCCTTTAAGGGAGACCTATGATAACTCTTGTTGATTTAATAGAAATTCCTTAATAAGGGAGGCCATTTCCTTAAGGGAGCCCCTTCGCTTATGGAAGGCTCTTAAGGATTTTAGGGAAATTGCTTATCCTATAGATACCAATATGGGTCTTGGAAAATTTCAAGTAATTCTAGTTGTACTACACCTAGGTCATATGATTGATTCATTGAGTCGCTGCAAGAACATCGACTTACGTCAAAACTGCAGTGTTTGTGAAGAGTGCTGTTTTGAACATGGAGTTTTAAAAAACTGAAGGGCTAGGGGCTTAGGTAGTTTGTAGTAGTAGTGATAGTGTTTCGTATGTCACACAACTCCAGGTTGCATAGTAAAGCGACTGAGTGCCACGGAAGAACAGCATTTGATTGACAGACGGCGTGCGCGTGAGGAGGACGCTGCGCGGCGTTCCTCTAGATACGGTAATCCAGCTGGCTCATCCTCGGTCGTTGGAGGAAGCAGTGCATCTGCACACCACAGGTCTTCACATACATCATCCTCTAGTTCCGCCGTTGGCGGTGCTGCTTCCTCGCGTGTGGCTGAGGGAGATTTCCGGCGAGGACAGGCACGACGACACCAGTACGAGTACGAGCCAACAAGTGAACGTTACTCTAGTTCACGAGGTAGCGCTGTCGGGGCAACTACCAATAATAGCAGAAATAGTGCTGGGAAAACAACATCAGGCGCCTCCTCTTCCGTGAACAGGTTGTCCAGTAACGCAGGAACCTACAACCAAGAGCCACGACATAGCGCTTCTTCTTCATCTTCACAACACAACCATTATGGAGGAGCATCAAGGCAGCGGCTTTCGAATACATCTTCCGTCATCCAGGATCCGAACGATCGCTACGATCAAGACGACTACGCTTCTCAGTCACAGCTTAGTGCTGGCATAACAGATAACGCAACGCCCTCGAAACCACTGAATCCGTACTACCGCTACTTAATATGTCAATTTAGAGAACAAAGCTGAGCATATCAGAATCAGAAATGAAGATCAGATAACTAAGCTACTACTTCTTTCTATCTATGTATATCTTGACCTTGTCCTTGTCGAAAAATTACTGGAATATAGTTTAGAAAAAGAACCTTCCGTGACTGAATGTGCATATTGCAACGCACATACTTACAGCAATGTGAAGATGCCGAGCCCGGGTCGATCTGAGACAGTGAAAAAGCTAGAGGCGGAGAACAAAAAGATCAAAGAGGAGCTCCGACAGAGGCTCGCGCAGGTATTAAAAGATCAGAATCTGAATCGATGAAGGAAGAACTTTTGGTTGAACACTAGTACCAGTAGAAAATATGTTTTGCTTAGACTTGTTTATGGACTTCTAAAAACTTAGATAACATAAGGAACCTGGATTAGGAATTGGACGGAGGACTGCTTTCCGAATCTGCTCTTCTTCAGATTAACTCTATGAAATCGGACATCGAAGAAGTACAAGAGCGGGCTGAGCGGAAGAGGCGGAATTTGTCGGATTTCATCCAGAAGCGATGGAGTGAGAAGTTGGATGATAGGCAGATACGTGGTATAGAGGATGGTGGTTTTGATCCGGAGTCCCTGCCGCCACGCTTCGATGAGGTGAAATCGATGTTTGCGAAAAAGACCGCGGAACATCCTCTGCAAGCGGAAGTGTCGAGGCTCCAAAAGAAGCTATCCGAGGTTCAAGCGCAGCAGAGGCAGTGTCAGCAGGTATTTCTGTTGCGCGACCAGCACGTAAGCGTATAGATGACACAATGCACATGCAAGGTCGTGTCGTGCTAGGTTAGTCCGAGGAACCCAAGTCAGTGAGTGCATTAAACGAAGCCCTCCACTAGTATTATTGTTTCTGATATCTCACTATTTAATTCGTGTTCTTTCTCCTGGTGTTTCTGATTATATCTTCTCTATCATGGGTGACGATGATGTCGAAGTCCAGGTTCTGGAGATGGATGATGATGCAGAGTATACGGTCCAGAGGATGCGAGGCCTTTTCAACATCGGACCTGTCCCAGCACGCGAGTCTGTCGGAGCTGGTCGTCGCATTACCGGAGGAACGTTTTCAACGAGAAATCGCAACAGTATCTTCAAGATTTTTAGAGCGATTCATCTTCGTCGTTGTTCCTTCCTAACGGAATCTGAAAACATTCTGATCGACGTTAATTATATCCAGAATACCAGTCTTCAGCCCCTGAGGCTGAGGCTTACGCTTAATTGCTATACTTTTTACAACTTTGGTTTGACTAATACATGACCACAGGTGTTGCGTCCACGCCGTTGAGCAACCGTGGACCTCATGATTCAGATAGTTTCTATGATGATGCAGAGAATCAAGCACCTGCAACCGATACCAAGACGATTTTGCCGCCTCCTACACGAGACGTTTTCACGCCCAAAGATGTGCAGGGGACGCCGTACTTGATGAACTGGTTTTCTATGATAGATAATAGATTTATGGCTTAAGCACATATCCTACAGCAGGATCGCGCTTACTGTCTAAATTTCTATGTATTCCTAGGCCTTGTTATAACTTCTTATCAGGCTCGGCAGTCCTGAACCTGATGTCGTGAAAACGCCGCTGCAAGAAAACGAAAGTTCTCCACTTAAGGCTACAAGAAATCCAACTTCAACACAGGCATCTTGGTCCGGTTTTTAAAGGGAAAACGGGACCAAGGTGCTGACTTCTCTTAGTTCTAATCCACGCAAGCAGCTGACGGGAAATGTGAAGGCTCGCATCTCTATGTTCGAGAGGCCGAGCATGTAATAATTGTATGAAGTAGACGTCGTGACTCACGTAATTCACACGTCTTCATCATGAGCAAACTAAACTCATTCGAACACTAGGTGAATCTCACAGCTCGCAGTCGCAGCGAGATGAGAATGCAGGTTTCATCTAGTTGCGCCTGCATCTATTTCAGCTGAATGATCAATAAGCATCAAAAACAAATTATTGAGAAAGACTAACTTGTTCCAAAAATAACAATCAATGGATATGGAGATTGAGAAAAACCTTCCTACAACTGTGGTGCTCCTTATCGATTAAAGACCAAGCCACAGGTGAAACTCGGTCTTCTAGTTCAATACCTTCTTCGCGTGACTGTATTTGTTCCTCCTTGTCCAGCATATATGCAAGAATCTTCCGTAAGTTTAAGTTAAACCTCTTGAAGCCTCTGACTTGCTCTTCATTCACATATACTTACCGACAGTCAAAAAATCTCTCTCACAGTCACAAGAACACATAAAATCGTCTTGAACAACACTTGATCGGATTGCCGAGTGGAGGCGAAAAGAGTACTGATGTTGAAGGCTTTTTATATATAAAAACTTCTCGCCCTCGCCGAAAAATAATTTAAGTATCAGTCGCTGACCTTCGTGAGAATGCGATCATCATGTTCTTGGAAAATTACTTCTTGATCAGACAAAATTTTGCTAACCAATGGAGCCTACTTCACAACTTCTACTTACTACTTCTGCCTGTATCCGAGTTGTACGATGTTGAGAGCACTACATCCATGTTGACAAGTGAGCCTTTTAAAACACAGAAGATGCTAAGTCGATATCGAGTATTCATCATTCAGGCGGACGTTCTTGACTAAACTCCGTAATTATGTAAGGCGCAGACGCGAACTGATCTTAATCATTACTCTGAAACTGTATATGCATGCTTGTTCTAATCAACTATAATAATTCGGGAAAAATGCGTCTTCTACTTCTGCGCAAGCGTAAGGTAACCGTATATCAATTGGAACGTCGTACTGCTCAACAACTACTACTTTCTTCAATTTCTACTTCGATAATAATTTGGGAACAATGGAACAAAGCAGACTGAATCACGTAGATAAAAAACTTCGCGGATAAGGATGAAAATTTGTTTCTCCAAACAACTTCTGTCTTAATACAAGTACGACAAGAATTGAAAAACAACCTGATCATGTCGTCAGAATTCATTTGAGTATGATTACATCAGCCGGACTACAGTTCTGCCATGACCATCTTCAGGACGAAGTGGAAACTTCGAAGAGCAATTCTTACGCGTCGAAGTATAGCTCATCTAAACTGAAAGTCCAACGTGACTCTGATGATCATCTTAAAAAAGTATTACACACTCACGCCGTAAGTAGCATTAATATAGTACGACAAGTTGTAGTTGCGTATTTGGTCGCGCTACAGCTACTACTACCAGAGGCTGCATCATCTGCGCCACGAGTTCTTGTCCTTGTGCACAGACATCGAAAAATGAAATCAGAACATGAATTTGAGATCCTACATAACATTGAGGATATGATACCAGTGTACCTACGAGAGGTAAAGATAAGCTCACTTGATACGAACCAACAAGATCACGAAGAAGCTAAGTTGTACCACCACTAGAAAAATGGCTAGCTACTACAAATTGTAATTGTTTGGTGAAACGGATCAGCCTGAACGAGTAAACGCAGAACCAAGTACAACAGCTTTGATGAAGAAGATCCGAAAAGACAGACAGAGACGACATAAAAAAGTTATCATCCCTCTGTGTCCAGCTCCAGGTCATAATTTTTTACAGCTCCTAGATGTAGAATTTTCCTGTAATAAACTTGAACCTAGAAGCAGCTCCCTATCGTCTTCTTGCCGATATATGTAAATACATTTCTTGACCACGAGGGCATTGCTTCAATTTTACTTGAAGATAATTTGTCTCTACGTACGTTTCGGCCATCTTATTCGTAATTTGGAGTAATAAGCAAGAAAATGGTGGTTCCTGCGACAGCCTCGACCTCTGTGGGTCATTCGGATATCATCAGCGAGTATGGTGGTGTGATGCAGTCCCCAAACTTGGTTTACGAAGATTTTCTGACGGTGAGCAAGGTGGACCACAGTCGGTTTGACAAGGTCGGCCGAATCACCGCAGCATCAGAGGAGGAGGACGCGACAAAGCTAGAATATGACGTCTACACGGAAATCTTCCCCCTGCAGTCGGGAGACAAACTTCACGTGGTAATGCTCAAGCAGCTCTCAGTTTCCGACAAACTCGTGCATGCATTCGACCACGACCCGCGAGTACTCGGAACGAGCATAGCTGATAAGTTCGGGTACTATCATCTACTTCTACTGAAAATAAATACAGAATTTAATGATACAACATCAGCCTCAGCGGACACGAAAATTATAAAACAGCTTCGTTTACGTTTCGTTTGATAGATTCTAATCTATCTTTTTCTGATTCAGATTGATTCTTTTTGTTTCTTAGGTACGTCACTCACGGTGTCTGCTACGACCTCGCAAACGGAAAAGACGGACGAACAACCATTCATCTATCATTTGGTGGCTTGTTGATGAGGCTTACTGCCCAAGAGCGAACGCTGAAAGGCATCAGCAAGGACGAGCGAGTCTATTTTCTGGTGCGAAAAGACAACTAATTCTTGTCTTCAACAAGGGGTTCATCTACAACTACTTAGACTTACGTGGTTCTTGAAAGGGTGGATGCGGCTGTTCTTGACGTGGTGCGATCTTGATGATGGCGGAGGTAGGGATAAATACTTAAGACGACATTATCATTTTTTCCAATTGCGGGACACGAACAACACCGCTGACGCGTTCAGATGAACTGCTTTTCAGCAGCGCAAATGACATTGATATTCCCCCAGGCTCGGGTCAAAGTTATCCCGAGATATTGCTTTACGATTGCATCAACAATGTTTCGAAATGTTAAGACGCAATTATCACCATACCTGATCCTTGCAATAAAAAAGGACGAGTCTTATCGACAACTTGGTTTGTTCGTCTTCACCACCGCGGCAGTCTTTTCTACAGCGAGAGTCGCAGTCAACGAAAAGCTATAACTTGAGTTGCAGGAGATCAATATTACTGCAAAAGCCCGCCATATGACAGACATGATTATAACGGGAGAGAGACATACACGTCTTCACACAGCATGTTTGAATAGAAGAACTTTTTAGCAAGAAGTACGAAGGTAGAGGACTGAAGAAACTGTCTGGTGGGCACTCGTAACTAAAACGGAACTCATTCTCATCGATGCATTGTGTCCTTGTCCAGCATGTTGTGGGTGTAATTGCAAGTAGCAATGTGATCTTTGGTTTGAATAGATGATGAGCACATATGTAAAACAGCCGGTTAGTTAGTTTTCCCTCTAGCTCTAATCTTAGGCTTATCCCTTCATGCAATAGATGATCAAAATCTGCTTCCCCTTTCACCTCTATGTTCATAAAAACATTATTCATCGGAGAATTGAAGTACGATGAATGATGCAGCAAAAATCACACCAGATAATCATCACACTCAACGCGACAGATCCAAGATCTTCATAGATGAATCAAATCTTACCTTCATCTGCATCTGAAATTTACAAGAATCATAATGACACAGACACATATGGTTCAGGTTCACGACTACGTCCTCGGCATGAAAAAGATGAAATAAATGCTGTCGTGGTGCTTCCGCTGCTCTCACACGCCCTAGTTTCAGTCCTTCATCCTTATGAGGGATGGAGGAGTTGAACGAAGAGTACTATAAGGCCAGAAAGAACAAAAACTAAATATGATGACAACTTTATTATAACTAAATATTGGGCAATAGCAAGACGGTGTGTTGCAAGGATAAAACATACCTTGTTCACCTTGACATTATAACTTTCTGCATCGGCAAAAATTCACGGAAGATCATCATCTGGCTGATCATATTTGTCATATTTATACATACTTCTTCGGGAGTGACCTACACCATTGTTTGATATCTAATATCGTCTAAGAAATAATACTCACCGAGCATAGATCAAAAGTAACGGTCGCTCCCGAATTTCCTAAACGAAGTGTAACTGTAATCGGGGATCATTGATTCTAGACCTCTACTCTCATCATGAGCACATCATCTACCCTGTCATAATTTTCTTCACCTTTATTGCAGGACTTGTAAAAGAAAAAATCATGTTGTAGATCATGTAGATATACGGGACACTCTCTGAGTCCTTGAGGACGGGCAGTAGAAGTTGTTGTTCAACAAGATCATGGAACTTTTTAGACCTCCACTTCTACTTACTTTAATGTCGTTGTTGTAAGAAGAAGGGCATCTTCTTGTTTCTTGTGAAGCAACTGTACAAAGATATTCCACGTCTTCTGGGCTTTCTTGATTGATCATCTGGTTTTTCAGTACAAGTTGTAGTACTATCATGATTGTTCTGGTTGTACAGCAAGAGCAGCAACATTCGAACTATAGAACAACGAACGAGCAGGGAGCAGCTAGTTGCACAACATCATCGATAGCGAAGATACTATCGTTACCGCGCCTCTCAGGAGTAGTTCCGAAAAAAAACCTCGAGTACGTCGAGTTAGAGTAACGGAAACATCAACATCACGCCTCGTGGCGATATTTTATGTTGCTTGCGTGGGATTAGCTGATGAAACAAGACGGAAGAAACGTTTCGCCACCAGAAGATTCACAACAAGACCAAGACCTGGAGAAATCTGGCTCCTTCATCTCGACAAAGAGGAACCAAAGCGGCATGGCTAATCACCTAGCTGTACCTTACACCACCACGGAGACTACTAGAGAAGGGATTTCTCGTCGGTTGTATCAGCAGGAGGAGCAGTTGTCTTCATCTCTTCTACTTTTAACTGCAGCGTCGAAGGGAAACCTCATGGGGCAGAGTACTGTGACCAGAAGCAGGCTTTGTTCTTTATCACATGATCTTGATGAAGGAAAAATAGATCTACTCAGTAGTAGGAGGAACAACAGGAGCAGCAGGAATATGATCAAAAAAGGAATGGGAGTACCGCGATTTCTTGTACTAGCTGCAGAGCAGAAGTCGTGCGTCACAGAGGCCAGGTAGCGCTTCGACAGCGGGGAGTTGGAATTTTCCTCATCACACACTTTTTGAAGGTGTTGTCGAAGTCGAACAAGGAGAACTAGAACAAAACAACATCTACAAGACCAAAGCAGAACCTTATGCCAAGAACCTCATTTCCCGAAGAACAACACCTGCCCCGGACAACATACCTCACCAGTTTCAACACCACTACATCCTCGCTCATCCCATTGGAAAGATACAAGAAGTTAGAGTTTCGTCTAATTGAGGAGGCAAGAACACCAAACATCTCCATCAGAGTAGAAGGCGACTTATAATTGCTCTTTGTCCAGTAGTACCTTGTTCAGGTGACACTGAGCAAAAGCGACTTTGGCAAGATGGCGGCCGCAGCGGCACGGAAGCTCCAGAAGGAGATAGAGATGACCTTGAAGAAGGTCGACGATGGGGTAGTGGAATTTGAGGACTTGTACGATGAGGCCTCGCAACCGCACGCGGCGAACAAGGACCGGCTAGGAGAAGATCTCAAAAAGAGCATCAACAAGCTACAACGCTTTCGCGTTCAAATCAGAGAGTGGATAAATATGGCAGAGGTCAAAAACAAAGACAAACTCGAGGCGAGCAGGAAAAAAATAGAGTACTACTACTATGAATAATTAAACATGATAAAGACTTCTGTTTATCACTCTTGATATTCGTCTTCGTCTTGTAAGTTAAATGTCCTGTAGTTTTTGGGATGGTTTCCTTCGTACAACTAGGGTATGTTGCCATCTGTCCTCTTTATTTTTTCTAAGACCTCGTCCTCTGATCATGCACAGGACGAGGACGAGACCAACAAGCGGGCACTCGTCGTCGACCGAGAGTCATCTTCAATCTATTTCTTCCTCTTTTCACTCCGACTAGGTACAACATGCAGCGGTTCAAAGACTTCGAGCGGGAGCTGAAAACAAAAGCATATAGTACATTCGCATTAGCGAAGGATGCCTCTGAGGACGATTTAGAGTCCCAGGAAAAAAGGGAGAGCGAAGAATGGTTAAGGAAACAGCTTGATGCTCTTGGAGAAGCGGTCGAAATGGTGGAAGCCGACATAGAATCTATCCAGAATAAGAAGCATGTCTCCGCAAGAGACAAAGAAGAAATAGAACAGTATCAATTTTTTTTTTTTTTGGAAGAAAATTTTGATATTGAGAAGAAGTCTGGCTTTTCAACCACTGAGTTTGATTGCAGAAAGAGTATTTAAGATAAAAATAGAATTTTAAATTGAAGACTTTCTACTTTTTTTCCAAATGCCCTCCTCGAAAAACTTTTGCAGGAAGCAACAATTCAAGGATCGGCATCAGTGGCACGTTTCGAAACTCGAGTGTTTGCTCCGTGCGTGTGACAATGATACACTTAACTTGTCAGAGCTGGCAGTGATCAAAGAGAGCGTGGAATTCTATATAGAGGCTGGTATGGAACCGGACTACTACCACGATGAAACACTCTATGATAACTTCGACATCGCAGAGTATGCGGCGGAACAGCAAGGCGCACAATCTAAGATTGCCCCAGCAGTCGATAGTGAGATCGCAGAAAAAATGGTCATCGGAGGGTCAGAAAAGAAAGCCAAAGCGAAAAAAGCAGCGCAAGCAAAAAAAGTCACGCATAATCCAGGTACTTATAAGTACTATGATGAATATTTATTAATTTATATGATGAAAAAATGAATTTCACCTGCAGCATTGGCATTGCGGTTTATTACGTAGTTTTCCAGCCATGGTTTATTATTATTTGATTGCTTCAAGGTAGGAAAGTTAATGAAGTAGTACGTGGTAGCCGTTCGTCTCGCTAGTCGCTAGGAGCAGCATCTTTAACTATAAACGCACATACCGTCTACAGTCTGCTGCACATTGTCTACAAGATACTAGTGTTTACTCGATAATTCCACCTTGTTACTTCTTCCCACTACATCGCAAACCACAGCCGCTCAAAAGAATCTGGGAAAGACAGTGGAAACAAGGAAGCGTGTCATTGCTGATAATGGGGAGCAAAAGATCGGTGAAGATCAATTAGTAGCAGAAGCAGATGAATTCATCTGTAAAATCTGCTACGTGCATGTGGTTGGTTGCTCGCCGAAACTGACCACATGCTCGCATCTTTTTTGGTACTTCTTTCATGCTTGAGGTAGAGTAGACCATCGTGAATCTTTTCAATTATACAGCCATCTTCATGGAAGGACAATTACCACTAGTTCGTTGTAGAGTACATTTGCTTCTGAATCATAATCTCTGATCCTCCTGATCATCTGACATGGTCATGTCTCGTTTAGCATGTCTTCTACAGAACGGAGTTTATTTTCCTCAACATCATTCATCTTCGTCCTCACAGCGGCGATTGTTTGATGCAGTGGTTTGGTGAGCATCCCGAGCTCCAAACATGGGCACAGCGAGCAAAAACGGCGGGAGATGCTGTTGCACGTACCAATGCCGCACTTTATTTCTCCTATAGATCTTCAGCAGCTCGTTCTTCTTACTTTGAAGAGTTTGTGGTATGTAGGAATAACGAGTGAACAGAACTAGTGAATCAGTACTGACGTGTTGTACGGGGATTTTGCTCATCTTCATCCCAAGCATTCTCTACAAAGAAACTTTTCGTCTAAAATCGCAAGATGTGGTCGATCATCTTTGCCCTCAAACTCAAAACAGATACGGTTCCCTGTCCTGTGTGTAAGACCCCTCTGAATGAGCACACGGATCTTCACCCAATATGCGCCACGGCTACCCAGTCAGAACACCTCCTCTTATGGCGCATGCTTTCCTGCCTCAAAGTTATGTGCGTGAACCATTCCAAGGTAGTAATTTTGAGACTTAGCATCAGCATTAATATGACGAAGTGGATACGTCGAGGCATTGTAATTATGCCAATTGCCATCATCAGAAAAACAAAGTAAAAACTCATCATATCGAGATTTCTGAGGAAAGGTAACCATAATCTTCATACGCAGGTCACCCCCGGCCAATGCTGTGATTGGGTAGGCGAGTACCAACACTACCAGGAGCATGTAAAAAATTGTAAGAATGAACCATGTATGGCTTCCCTCAAGAAGAAAGGCGCCGATGAAACAAAAACCCAGGCAAAGGACACGAAGGCTGCAGCGAAGGTACGCATCAAGTCCTTTCGTGCGTCATATTAAATCGCAGTTACGTTTCGTTGTATTTTTTGATTTTGAACCTTCCTTCGGGATTATACTTGCATCCATCGATGACGACCGAGATCAAAGAATGATAATTTCTTTGTCCTTCCTCATTTTTTGGCTTTTTTTTCTTCAGGCTGGCGCCGCAGCAAAAACAAGCGGGAAGCAGGCTGTGGCGGATCCCACTACAAAAAAGAAGGCGGGTCAGCAGAGTCGGAAACCCGAGCCAGTGGTGGTCAGCACCCCAGCCGATATCCCATCAAGCACCCCAGCTCCAGCCGCTCCGGCTGTATCCTCGTGGGGACAGGGGCCGCCTGCAACTTCTTCATGGGGCCAAGGGCCACCCGCAAGTGCTATTGCTGCCAGTGCCAACAATGCCAAGTCTGCCGCAGCATCTGCTGCAGTTAATTCATCAACGAGTGGCGGAGTCCGAGCGGGAGCCGCTGGAGGAGGAGCGTCGACAACTTCAAACTCCACGCCAACTTGGGACAACAACAATGCTGCACCTCCCTCATCCGCGGCTGCGGCGCCGGCGGCAAACAGTAACAGCACTGGTGGAGCATCGGGTCAAGGATCATCTTCAGGCGGGGCAGCAGGAGCTGCGAGCGGACCTTCTGCTACAACCGAAGCAAATGCATCGACGTCAAATAACGCAACATCTGCCAGCCCAAACAATACCTCTACCTCCTCCAGTGGACCCCCTGCATCCTCAGCCGAACCCACTGCAACCACAACACCCGCACCAGCAGCCCCTGAAACAACTAGTGAAAATTTGCAACACGGCGCACACGTTCGCGTTCTAGACCAGAAGTCGAGTCACTCACAGCATATCACACAGGTACGATATCATCTAGTGTTGTAGTTCGACAAGATAGTAAGATCGATGATGCTTTATTTTTGCTAAGGGAGCGGAGAAGAGCCCCGAAAGAAACTTCATTTTTTTCATATTATTCATGAACAATTTATGATGATAAGAAAATTTTAATTTTAATATATATGTAATCACGATGACATAGACATTGACATCATAGATCTAGAGTGCAGCATACACACGACATCAAAAGGCTTCTTCGTCCGGAGGTGGAAGTATGCCCAAGCATGCTCAGATACGAACGGTGCAGCAGCAACAGCAAAACGTCACAGTCAACGTAACCGTGAATGTTTCTAATGGGCAGGCCACGAATACCACAGCCACGACTACCCATCAGCAGAGAGGGCAGGAAGTTGCAACGTCAAATGCAGGTGAAAATACAAGTTTTTGACATGATGGCTTGTAGTTCCTAGCACTAGTCTGATCTAGTCCATATTGTAATCGATACACATCTGTTATCTTCGGAAGTAGTACGTTGCGATATTAAACATTAACATTCTAATAGAACTATACGACAGGAGTGGCTACGTGTAGTACGTCCAATTTTATTCACTTTGTGTTTTTTATTCTTGATCTTGTTCTTGTCTCTAATTACAACAGGTAGACCTTGACTTTTGGTTTTTTCTTGATCTTGTTCTATCTTGTCTCTAATTACAACAGGGGAACCTTCATCAGAGCAGGCTGTCGAGGGTGCAGTTCATGGCGTAGCAACATCAAAATTTGAGCCTCGTGGCGAGAACACGATAGAAATTCAACAGGGGCATCAGTTGTTGGTATTTAGATATCTACTCCTTTCTGTGCAAAGCCAAACTCAACCTCAAGCTTTACAGTTGTACCTTTTTTTGGTAGAGCTGCCTGATCTTTACGTTCTTGATGATCAGGTTAAGGTGAACATGAATATGAATGACAGTATGGATAATTATCTCAAGAAAGATGTTTGATGCCGCAAAAGCATTATCATTGATGACGTGTATCATCTACAACTCCGCAACCTCAGATAATCGAGGAGCACGTATCTGGTTGGACATACGTGAAGAACAACAGCACTGGCCTGAGTGGTTGGGTTCCCGCATGGGTTGTCGCGAAGGCACCTGAACCGCAATACCCACAACACATGACTGCGCTGGCTCCCTTTGAAGGAAACTCTCAAAACGAGCTTTCAATACAAAAGGTATTGTCGTGCTTGCTTCGCATTGACGTTTCATTGTTTACTTCATGAGCCAGGCCGCGGGACTTGTATTTGTATCTTCATGTATATCATGATTTTTACGCTCAAGAACCCTAGTTGTATTAACTAATGTCAACATGAATGTCCTCGTCTTTCTATAATTCTATCTCAACTCTTCAGGGCGAGTGGTTGGAAGTGATTGAGCGGCACGAAACCGGCTGGACTTTCGGCAAGAAAGCTGCTGGTACCGAATTCGAGGCAGAGGGATGGTTTCCAGATTGGGTTATCATGACAAGAGTACAAGGCTAGAGCACCTCGTCTGAGGTGTAGACCACTACCAGATCCAGAACAACGTGCTGAGGTTGAGGAAGAACATTAAGTAGAGTCAAAGCAGGCCTCAGTAACTACATAGGTCAACATTGATCATCTGTTACGCGACATGGTCATGATCATCTTGCCCACGAATCCCAAAGCACCATGAAGAACATGAAGATTACCCCAATCACATGTGCTGCGCTAAAAACAACTCCAACAACATCAACATCGCACGGTGAACAAGAAGAAGAAGATGTAGAAACATCAACATCTTTCATCAACATTATAGTGCTGCTTTCCACTAGGAGGTGGTGGTAGACCGTTCATCTTCCTACCGGGGAACGTCGGCAACCGGACTTGATGACATAAAACGCAGATGTATGCTACAGACAGGCCTTTGGAGCACACACTGCACAACTTTTACATCTACTTCTGGTTGCATTGATGCTGCACGATAATATTACAGATGAACAACGTCTCGAGAAGGGGGATGGTTGAGGAGGTGAACATCCCGAAGAGGACCTGAGCTAATAGAGCCAGCACCGTCAAGGAAGGGGCTATATCATGTTCTTGAAGAACAGACATCTGGTGACAGCTGCGTCATGATCACAACTGCACTTCATGTGATCTCAATCTATTTATTACTGGTTGTAAACTCATTCAACAACATCTTATCATCCTCATTTTATCATCCTCATTTGTAATACTAGTATCATCTTCATCACAAGATTTAATGCTCAGTCATCAAAATGAAGTGCCACACGGGTAGCGTTTCTCATTGAATCCTCAAATCAATAACCATGGCCATGCTCTTCTCAACTCTAACATTTACGGCAAAAATTCACATTTACTCAAAAATATGACTCGCAAATGCTTGATGATCATGATATCAGAGGATCATGAAAAACTACTATTAACTAGAAGCCTTACACAGCACACGGACGGAGTTTGTTTAGGGCTTCTATTTACTCGCAGTTGCTGCATCCTCTATTTCTTGCTTTGATTATTTTTTCTACATTTGATCTGCTACAAAATGTCATGGAAAATGCTACCAAGAACATCTATGTCATCTTCGTGCTGAGTGGTGTATCAAAGCGAAAAAAAGTTGCGCGACAAGGAACAAGAGGTGACCAGGCTCCTCTTCATGTAGTTCCTACTCCTAAATGTAGAGCAGAAGCAGGAGGTGTTACGTCGTCGCCTATTCATCATGATCCTCGTGATGCTAATCATGTACTTCGTAGTGGTCGCACTGTAGGGTCACAATGCGCTTCGGGTTTTGCATTCAATGGTCTGTACATACAATCAGAAGACGAAATAAACCGTGTAAAGCCAACATTTCATCAATCTAATTTGTAGTCGATGTAGTTAAGATCAATCTACAACTGTCTGCCTTCTATGAAATCTGGTGTCCTCTTCCCCGAGTCTGTCAGCAGCAAGCGTGAGTAAAATGTCTATGTTTACCTCTGCATACTGGTGAAGGAGGATCGGTTAATATTCATCAGAAGATTCATCTTCATGCATCGAGAAGGAGAGCCGTGAAACCCCAGACTCTCTCCACTACCACTTTCCATTCCCATAGATTTTTCAAATGCGCCGCGTAATTCAAAGTCTGCTTAATTTGACAATTATGTGGTAGGTTGAACTTGAAATTGAGTCTAATTTGTCAACAAAAAGAAAGCTAATGCCCATGGGCCATATCCTTTGTTATGCTCTTTTTATACGTTTGGACAAGACAGTAGGTGCAATCATCGCCTTCACCATCTTCTCATTAAAGGGCCAATGCTCTTGTTCTGCGCAAAGACTCTTTCTGGTAAAATAAAGAAACTGGAACAAATGGAATTTTTATTAAGAAGTCACCGCGTACTTCGTGACGAGTACTATTAGTAAGGAGGAGCAAGACAAGCTACAAGACGAACGACTCTTCGTGTTGTTCAAGCTGTTTTGGATTATTTCGAAAATGTGGCTGCTTTCTAAGATTGCAGGCGGGGACAAGGAGACCGTCGATGATGAGACAATATCTTCGGTCTCTGACAATTTGTGCGGCGCGTCACCACTGATCGACACGGTTGTGTCCGCCGCCGCACCGTCCACAAGTGAGACCGAAACAGAAAAAAAAACGAAAGAGGTGAGGAAAAGCGCAGCGAATCAGGGCAAGAATGGAGAAGACGACGAACGCGCCAACATTATGTCCGTTGTTGTAGAAGGAATATTTATATTAGAGTAAGGCCAGTAACGGGTTTCGAGTTGCCGAAGCGAAGACCTCCATTTCTGGAACGAGTTGCCACGAGTTGCCGGAAGGAGCTAGCTGCGTCGAAATGGTAGCAAAGCAGGGCGGGGCGGGCGCCAAAGTACTCACTCGGAAAGCGGGGCGCCCTCTTTGGGAGCTCCTTCGCGAAGGAAGGCTGGGGTGGCGCTGCTTCTTTGCGTTTGGGATCGATACATAGTGGCTGGCGTGCCCGTTCCCACGCAGTCGCGGCGGTCGGGAGCAAGTGCCTCGCCCTTCTGTGCTTGTGGATTGGTTCGTTGGGGAGTGTGCGCGGGCCTTGGGTTTTCGGTCCTCGACGTTGCGGTGGGAGGGGTCCCCGCCAGGGTGGGCGCGTAGCTGGCTTGCGGTCGAAGAGTGCCCTTGTGAAATTGAGAAACATGCGGCGGGGGCTGTTTGGGCGGGTCGTGGTGAGTGCGGTTCTCCTTTGGTCGGCAGGGGGGTGGGCCGGTGTGGTACATGCTACACCCCCAGGCCCCTCCTCTCCTGGCTGTGTTCCACGGGCAAACTCCCCTTCTTCCGGCCAGCAGTATTCTTGTTCTGTACTGCTTCAACGTCTCGCCATCAAGGCTGCGCCCGTAGGGCGCAGCGGGAAAATTTTCATGGAGCAGAGACACGGTTCGCAGCGCCGTGCGCTCCTGTTAGGGTTTCTCAGAGTCTCACCAAGCTGCGCCCGAAGGGCGCCGCGCAAAAAATTAGGATGGGCATCCCCAGCAACCCGAGAAACTCGACCCGATACGGGTCAAAAAAAGCCTTATTCTATTAAATATGCATCCTAATCCTTTGCGTGAGGACATCGCTTCGGAAAAGAAGAGTAGTTTATAGCACGCATGGTGCATGGAGTAGCATGGAATGCATGGAGCGCAGAGCTTTAAGGGGCGCAAGAAGCTCCCCCTTTAGCTTTAGCTCCATGCTACTCCATGCGATCCATGCACTCCATGCCATGCGAGCTGTGGAACCTTATAAATTGCTCTGGGATAACATTAATATGAAAAGTTAGTATCGAGAATCTCGATCCAGATGATGACTTCTTAGAAGATGTATAATGATCATTTCCTACACGTAGACATACTGCGCGATCTCTATCTCTAATGGTGATACTAGGTCGTCGGCAGGGAGATCTACAAGGTCAACAGCTTCGTACATACCCTCTTGGCGCTCAATTTCCGGGAGGCTTTCTGCTGCTGTCAGCGCGAGGAGCTCAGCTACAAAGGGAAAGGCATCCTCATCTTCACAACTTGAGGCTACTTTTGTTTCAACAGGGGACTTTCTCTCGCGATGTGCCTGACGAGTCTTGCTCTTCTTGATGTATTATCCGAGAAACGTCAAAATATAGAAAAATTCTGAACTGCTCATCTTTAATTTGTCATTTCTTGGTTACAGCTCCTGTGGAAGAAACTTGGAAGCCACATAGACTCGCAAAGAATTCAGGACCGGCCAACATGAACAAACGGATTACTTTTAACTGCCAACGTAAGAGGTACGAATTACACATCTTATTGTTCTATCACAACCTTCTCGTCCTGCTCTAAGCTAGGTGAGTCTGCTGCGGAAGCTGTGGGTATCTTTGTTCCGCCAGAAGATTTCGATACAGGTGCTGGAAAACGTGGCAGTAGTCTGTTTGAACAATCGACGCAAGCATTGTTGCAAATGCAGAAGTCAGTAAAACGCCTGTCGAAAAGCAAGGAAGGAGCTGAGGGCAGTGAGAGGAAAACTCGTAGAATGGCGGGACCCGGAACATTCCGTATGGAGCGACCTGGACTCCTCACGCTGGGCCAGCAATTTGCAGTAGAGGATTGCCGTGGAAGAATCCACTACGAGGGTGCATCCGCAGATAAGCATCATCACGCTCACCACGATCATCGCCTTTTATGAGGACAAAAAATGAAAAGGAAACGTAGTCCCTTTTAGAAATGTTATTTTTAATAGATGATCCTCTTCTTCATCAAGACTAGGTCTAAATCTAAGAGAACTACACGCGTCCCCACCAGTTACTCCCTACGGGGGTTCCCCGTGGAACCCCCACTTATAAGTATTCTTGTCCTTTTTCATGTTCGCACCTCCACGCACCCGGGACATGGTACAAAGTGACCCTGTCAGCGCTAGTCAACGGGATTTGGATGCTGGGGCTCAGTATTGTCTATGGCACATTGCTCTTCCCCGACCTTAACGCATACCACGGTCTTGGCGTCCGGGTGTCCTTAGTGTCCACAATCGTGACGTCACTGCTTTTCTCGTTGAATCCAAAAACGCTTCCGTGTCAAATCGGCGGTCCGGATATCACGCCAATAACGCTACTAGCATACGCATCGGAAGATATTTACAAGTACATCGCCGAAAAAGAGGCCGCGAAAGCGACTTCGGCACAGCTTGCGGCAAGACGCTCGTTAAGCGAGCAGCGAGAAGGAGAAGTAGCAGATGGAATGGGTGCAGCGGGTCCTTCGAAGCGAGAAGATGTAGTTGCCGCGTCGGCAGATGATAGGGATGCACTGCAGCAGCTGCGCGGCACGTCTTTGTCTTGGTCGGCATACTTCAGTGGTAGTTCCAGCAGTGCCAGTTCTTTGAGGAGGATATCATCATCTCCGACAACGATATCAAACTGGTGGGATTGGTCGCCGACAGAGGAAGCTCCTTCTCCACAAAAACATTTCAATTTGGGAGAGGAGCTTCCGAGCCAGCAACAGGATCCGGGCACCAGAAGTACTACTAGCTTTCACAACCGAGACGGGGCGCACACACAGAGAAGGCGGAAGTTGGCCCCTTCATCGTCGGTAAAGCTCGGCCCGGAAGTAGAGGCTAAGATTGCTGCAACCATATACTGGAACATTATCGCATCAACCGCTGCCTTTGCTGTGCTTTTCTTTCTCACCGGGACGCTGCACCTGGCTAGTATACCCGAATATCTCCCGAATGTGATCGTGAAAGCTTTTCTGTCGTGCATCGGGGTTAAGGTACTCGTACTTACTTGCTTGTCTTGCATTTGCACATGAACATGAACATGGATGGTGATGACTTGAAATAGAAGACTAGCTTGTTGCACAAGTTAATCATCATATTATATTGCTCAATGGCTACAGGGGTACGGGTACACGCATTCGCACAGGTTACAACTTCATAAAAATCTAACTATTAGTGGGGTCTTCATCTTCCGGAACAATCCGAAGCGAAATGCTGATATCAAGATCATCTGATCAAACTGATTTTGTTGACATTTTTGCGCTTGAAATCGAGATGTTGAGAGAGTAAGATTGATAGCTCGTGCAGAATCCTCAGCATCATGATCTCCACCTGACTATGGCCACTCTCTACACATTGATCCGCCACCACCTCGCTTCCCCAGGTTTTTTATTACGCGTTCAAGACGATGAAATACAAGTGGTACCAGTGCCTTTGGAGCTGTGTACTCGGGTCGAGTATGTGGTTGTTGCAGCATAAAGGCCCCGCAGCGGTGCGCAATAAGCCTGTTCTACTCGGAGCGATTCTTCTCGCTCTGCCCACAGCGGTTTTTCAGCTGTACATTGCCGTTTTCACCGACTCCTCGAGCAACCAGCTGCGTGAGCAAAAGTGGTTGTTGTACCAAACCAAAGTCTCCACTAGTGTTCAGGACCAGCAATTCCTCGACGCGCATCTCGACGACGTAGACTGGTCCGCGTGGAAGGCCCAGCTAGCTGATTGGATTCCAATGCTCGTCATCGGCTTTTTCGACAACGTGTTTCAGATCTCCGCTCTACAGGGACACCTGCCCGTGGAAATGGCGGCAAATCAAGAGCTCAAGTGGCTCGCGCCGATCATTAAGGACAAGAATCCTCTCTTCGAGAATATTCCATGCAATGTCGAAACTGAATAATGAATTATATCCCACGACTCATGTTTTACTATTTTATAATTGTTCATTTACGCTTTTTTGAGCTTCGGCTCCTCTTCATGACATGGCATAGAGAGTGTTCCTGGCGAACTTCGTTATAGTTTGAGCTTTAAGATTGAGAGTTGTTTTCTGTTACTTAATCCATGTTAAAAGTGATGCTGTCTCTGTCAAACTAACAGGATCCTGAGCAAGAGATACAGGAAATTTTCTCTCGGAGGCTCAGTCAACATCTTGTTCTAAGAGTGACCTTGTTGTCGCATCCTGCGGCGGCGCTGTTGGCTACGGACTGATGGAGAACACGGTGGCCTCAACGCACATCATCGGAAACTGCAAAGACCGCCGCGCCGCCCTTGTGCTCGCCGTCGCCCTCGTGTTTATCATGGCGTTCGGTGTCGGCATCATGAACTATTTGCCGCGCTTCTTCTTCGGCACGTTGCTATGCAACATCGGAACAGGCTTGATCATGGAAAACCTGTATGACGGTATGAAGGAAGGCGCGGTCGATGAGGTGGTGCAGCTCGCAGTCCTGCCCATTCTCTTTCTCGTGAACGGTCAAGACCTGATCAGCGTGGTGCTGGTGGGCACGGGCATGGCCGTCATCGCCTTTCTGCTCAAGTTTTCCCGCACTCCCGCAGTGCGTTCGGTGACAACTGGCGAGTTCGCGTTGAGCCGCGATTTTCGCCCAAGACTGGAGACGCAACTGCTGCAGCATCTGGGTTCTCAGCATGTCTTCATCGTTCGCCTCGCTGGGTACATGTTTTTTGGGTCCATCTCTACGGTCGTGGATGTGCTCAATAAGATGGTAATTCAGCAGGACCAGGAAGCCAAGAAGCGCCGCGAGGAATTCATCCGCACTCGTTTTTTGATCCTCGATTTGGAGCACACCCGCGGGTTCGACGCGAGTGCGTGCGCTGCCCTCAAGCACTTCGTGCAGAAGGTGGAGGCAGGTACACTCACCGGACGACCGATTGAGGTGGTTTGTTGCGGGCTGACAACGGAAGTACAGCACTTCATATATCAACATCGACTGGGAAAAATGGCACCCGGATCAGCCAACTGCTTTCGCGACTTGCGAATCGCACTTGCCTACACCGAGGAAAAGTGTGCTGAGTTTTATATACGACGGCAGCACGAACTCCTCGATAGATTGTTCGAAGCGCCGCACGATGGTTCCGCTACTACTCCTATTGCCTTCTAAACATGATACTTACCTTGATCAAGATCTGACGTTTCGACTCGAATTTCTGCTAGGACGATATTGAAAATATTCTAGATGTATATCTAGTTCTAGATGTTGTCGTAGTCTCCTATATATAATCAGTCACGGCCGCTTGTATTTCTTTGTTGGCAACATCTGAATCTGTTGTTTCATTAACAGGTGAAATCAAACGGCTGGTAGATCCTTACAGACAAGTCACCCTCGCACAGCACGCGGAGGATCCATTCGCTGATTTGGTTCCCTGCAATGTCGCTGCGCGGCTAGGAATCTACAAGTATTTTCAGTTGGTTGCTTTCGATCGACATTCCATCATTGGTGTGCCCCAGGAACTCTCGGATTACGTTTTCGTGATCGATCAGGGCAGCGTTGGCTTGTTCCTGAATTTGGAACTCTTTCGGGACGAAGACCCAACGGAACGCATTCTCTCCTGTGCACCGCACGCAGTTTTGTCGAGAGGGCACGTGGTCAACGGAAAATGCCTTTTTCGCTCGCCCGCACGTGAATACGCTATCTGTCTGTCCAAAGAAGTGTTCGCCTACGCGATCTCGCGGTCAGATTTTCATCGCATGGAAGTGGAGGACCCATACATGGCCATGCAGGTACATCATTCAATGCAATAGATCGTCAAAGTGTAGTCGTATAGGAAAAGGCTAAACTAGGAGGGGATCACTTTTTATCGATTTTCTCTCTATTAGACGAGAGTCCTCCACCTGCGGCTGTATTTTGCAGATTATTGCTCTCCGTGATTCCTTGCATGATTTTTTGCGTATTTATGAATCAAGAATTGCGATTCGAATTCATCAATCGAATCAAATCTACTTCAGATTGTTCATGGGGTCCTGTCACAGACTCATCTGGCAATGGCGAGGTTACATTTTGAACTGTCGTTCGAGCTTTGCTCCTTCGTGACCGTGGGCGACAAGGAGGATCATAACGAAACTCTGTCCACGAAGATGCTTCGCCGCGCAATGCGTTGCTTGGGGGACCACACCAACGACGCCGCAGATAGTATGGCGAACGCGGCACGAGGTTCCCTGCAGCCGCAGGACAATCCGCTCTTTACCACAAAATTTTGGGCGGGAGATCACGCAGTGCAAGGACGATCATCGACCGCGTCGGATGCTTCGTTCCGAGCAAGCCACATCGTCACGCTCGACTTCGCACCAGCTGCGCATAAGGCAGACGAGATTGGCGGAGATATAGCAATAGCTACTCTTCCTGGAAGAATACACAACCCAGGAGTTGTTCCAGGAGGTATTAAAAGGCTGAATAGTGGTGCCAGAGTTGTTGGTACTAGTAAAAAAGGAGGCATTTTGCAGGGCGGAACCGGCTGGATGAAGCTGAAGAAAATGTTCACAAAAACATTTCCCTCCAAAGCTGCCCAGAAAGAAAAGGATCAAGCTGATACTCCTGATGAACTTGATCGGCCAACAGTGGATCTTGACCTTGAGGGTGTCGTGGGTATTAAGGCTACTTGCGCTTTTACTCATCTACCTAGTATGTATCATCATCATGATACGTCCTGAAAACTACAAGCATCTTGCTACTTTGTAGAGCGGGTTTCTCAATGGGAAAACGCGCCTCAGGCTAAATTGAGATGACTGAGTTGCATGATGATGATGATGATGATGATGATCGAATTCATTTTGATGTTGTTGAGCTCTAAAGGTAGCACCAGTTCAGACGACAGTGTTTCAGAGGACGATCTCGTGGTAAAGGTGGACGAGCTTGCTAGCGCAGTAGAGAAAGCAAGAGCTGGAGTCCAGGAGGACGAGCCTCCAGAGCGGCCGACAAGAAGTGGGCCTACAACCTCGCCGGAGGATGAGAATAGTAACCCCGCTCACGACGTAGTTGTCCGTGCCGTGGGAGGAGACGTGCAACAGTATATTCCCACTGCACCTCCAGGCATGGGAACCACGCAGACGCGGCAAATGGAAATTGCTGCGATGCGTGAGAACATCGACGATTACGCAAGGACGAGTAATGGTTTTAGTAGCTGATGTTGATGTTCTTGTTCTTCAGTGTGTATGTTTAAAATATATGTTCCAGGGCGCGGGGCGACGCCCCCCCCCCGCCAAGTTTTGAGGCCTTCCACCACTAGAATCCGCGAAAAATCGGCGCGGAAAAGCGCGCGGGCGCGCCACCACAGACCAGACCACAGGGGGGGAGGGGGGGGCGTGCGGCCCTGCGTCATATATAATATATGACCCAGGGCGCAGGGCTACGGTGCCCCTCCTAGCGTAGGGGGGGCGCCGATAGCCCCGGGCCCCTTTTGAAAGCGTCTGCCGGGGGTGGAAGGCCTCAAAAGGGGGCCAAGGGACCTCCTCCGCTCCCTTCCAGCTGCCTGGCTGTTCCGTACAGGCCTCCGACGTAGGTGAAAGGGTTCAAAAGGGGCCCAAGGGACCGCCTGCGCTCCCTTCCAGGTGCCTGCCTGTGCCTTACATGCCTGCTATATACCTCGCCGCCGCAGCAGTGCGCCGGAGGTAGAAGGCCTCTGAAGGCGGCAAAAGGCGAGGGGCTGGAACCCTTGAGCCGTGCGGCCTGTACCCTCCGGGCCCTTGGTCATCGGCTTGCTTGCTCTTGAGACCGTTGCCGCCTTCGGCGGTTTTTTACCCCGGAGACCTCCCGCCTGCGAGGGTCAGCAGAGGCCAGGAGGTCCTTGAGGAACACGCAGAGAGGCGCAAGGGGACGCCCACGCCCAGTTTTCGCGCCTTCCACCACTAGAATCCGCGAAAATTAGCGCTGCAGGGCGCGCGCTCGCACCACCCCAGACCATACCACAGGGGGGGGCGCTCGGCCCTAGAACATACGCCATGAGATTTATAATGATGCTGTAGTGATGTACTAGCTGCACTTATAGGCGTCAAGTGTGCTAGGTCGCGGCATCACCTCTTTTAGAAATGCAGGAAATTAGTACGACTTGGGAAGATATATTCATCCAGCAGTGGAAACAATCTTAGAAACCACAGACATGTTGATGATCACTCTCACGACCTTTACTTGTCTCTGCCTCAGCAACAGCACTGTATTCATGCCTGTGAAGAACCTCCTCTTCCCCTAGCTCCTCTAACGCGAGGTTAAAGCAAATGTTGGTCGGAACGCTAGCGCCGCGTTAAGCCAAATGAGTGCTCCCAGTGTGGTGATTCTTCCAGCGGTGCGCGACAGTGCGGCCAGTGCTGTCACGGGCCGGTCCTCAGTGGCTACTCGGAACTCAACCAGTTCGGAGGTTAGCATTCGTGATGGTCTAGGGCTTAATGCAAGTAGTCGAAGAGACGGCGGCAGTTCCATGCTGGAGCTGCTGTTGCAAAAGCATTATTACGAGGAGCCTGCGCTTCTACGGGAGGAGTCTCAAGAATTGACTGATATGTTAGACGAGTGTGACACGGCGCTCTCTCTGGAAACCTTTGGTGTCTACGAGCACATTAAAAAGCAATTGACGCGGCTCGATGCAGACTACGAAACATCAGAAGAGGAACCCCATGCGGTTTCGCGGCAAGCTGGTGCGATGAAGACCGCAGATGATAATAGTGCTGTACTTTCCTCGAATTCAGTACCATCAGGTGGCCCACAACATCAAGAAATGACCAATAATTATAGACACCAAAACGACTTGTCCAGAGAGACAAGTGGAATTCAGCTAGAAGAAACAACCGGAGATCCAGGATGCCCGATGTCACCAGGAGGCCAACCACCAGAGCTGTCATCGAACCGATATCGCAAACTTCCCGAGCTCATGCAGTTCGAGCTCCGGATGGCTTTTGAGAAAACTGTACTGCGGCAGCGGCTGGGGCTCTACGAAGACGCGGAGTTTCATAGACTGCACGGGCGACGTATGACTCGCCACGCAGCAGCGTCGCGGCTCCCACAGCAGCAACAGAGATCGAGAACTCCCGCCGAAGCTGGTGTGCCTGATGTTGTGGAGGGGGATCACCTCGAGGGAGAGCAGCTTGATTTGGACAACACAACTGCTGGTGGTGGTGCGGTTGTTTCATTCAAAGACGACGTCGACAACGACATAGGAGTACTAGAAGAAATTTCTGCTAGGAGTCAAGACACCGACACTGCGAAAACGTTCAAGGCTTTAACCATTCCTTCGGGACTCCCTGATGGAGTTGTAGGAGGAGTAGATCCACCTGCGTGGACGTGGAGGCCGTCGGAGGACAAGAGCAATAGCGCTGTGCGTGAGCAACAAAGAGCGTCAGACGGATTGAGGCCGTCACAGGAGGACGGGCCTTGGGAAGGTGTGCGCACCGTCCCTTCGGTGTTGTCGGACGCAAGCTGCATGTCGGAGATCTCCATGAGGGACGAGAAACTTTCAGTCATTCGCGTTCTGGATGTGCTCTGCGAGGCAGGAGTATATCGCGACCCCTGTGAAGAAATCGCGAGGTTCGTGCGGCAGAATTTTCCTGGTTTCGAGGTGGAGGTTCGTGCGTCCACCACAGGGCGGCGGTACCCCGTTGCGGTTCCTAGCCGAGCGAAGATTTCCAATTCTCATGGGAAAACGAGCCGAACGTCTCCGGCTGAATCAGCAGATGCTGGTGGAGGCGTGAGCGGCGTAGATAATAATATGATCACTTCTGAAGGAGCGGGAGGGCAAGACGAGAGGACACGAGCCGAATCAGCTACAAGAGCGTCTGAAGCCGTGCCCCTGCTTGGCATAGAGGACATTCTGACAATCGCCAACAGGCTGTGGATGAGCCGACTCCCGATGCAAGCGAAGAAAAGGATAAAAGAGATCGTGGATCTGCTGCCAGTTTCACGCAGAGGAGGGTACTCGCACAAGACACTCGCCGATGCACTGCACCGCAAATTTAATTTACGGCTAACCCCTGCCAAATTCGCGCGACTAGTCACCATCTTCGATGTGGACGAAAGCGGCCACCTAGACTTGCCTGAGATTATTGGGCTCATCTCGCACCTCGCCGCAACGCACTATCCTATGTTGCAGTTGGTTCGCGCGTGGCGGCGGCTCAAGCAAGCTGGTTTCAAAGCGATTCGCCGACGACAACTGCTCGCTCGCGTCTCCGCTTCCTCTGCCCCTCTGTTCAACAACACGTCTGCAAGAACAAAGAATAAGGCTCGTGGTGAAGGATCTGCGCTGCCATCATCAGGCGGAGCCGTGAAAGTAGTGAAGGGACCACAAGACCAAGACGGGGGGAAAGAGAACAAAGACGTGCAGGAGCAGGATTTTTTCGAGGAGGAAGACAGTGACCTCCAAGAGCACGAGATGATTGAGGAGGACATTTTGGTGCTCCAGGTAGCTGGTGCGTCGAAAAGACGTCGCTCAGACAACGAAGAGATCAACCGCATTCGCCAGAAACGGTCATGGCGACTTAGCGGAGCTCAGCAGCTAGCAGCTTCATCTAGTGCAGGTGGGAAGAACGAGGCATCGACCGCTGGTAGCACAGATGAACAAGCTGCAGATGCCGGAAAGGGGAAGCTGACTACGTTGTCGAGAGAAACGAAGAATATTCTCGATCCTCCTCCAGTTGTTGGAGGTGTAGCAAGTACTCGAACAGAACTTCTTACTTCTAACGATGTAGTACTAGTTGAGAAAGTGTCTGAAGCGTCCACTGAAGACTTGGGGAGAGAGGCGTTATCAGAGGTGGGAGATATGACAGAGGACGTGCCCATTCGGGGCCGCAAGTCCGCCTTTGTGTCCTCTGCTTGCAGCAGTATGAAAACTGCGGACAAATACGATCTGAAGAACCGGAGCTACCAGAAGACAGCCATGATGTTCAAGGACGAAAGTGGAGTCCTCCTCGAGCGAGAGGCTGCGGCGCAGCTAGGAGTTGGAAGAGAGCTTTCAGCAGCTTCCACTGTAGCAGGACCTCCAGGGGAGTTGGTGGCCTTAAGCCGTGCTACGGGTAGTCTTCACGCGCGTGACCTCATTGACGACTACATCTCGCACAAAACGTTGGCAGCTGCCCTCTCCATCAGCGAACGCGAAGCACTTGAGCTCACCTGGACGTGCAGTTTGAGTATGGCAGCAGACCGGGTGATGATGTTTCAAGACTTCCTGGCTCTCTGCAAGCTCACACCAATGCACGGAAACTTCCGTCACTGCCATCGCGCACTCGGTGACAAGCATGACGGCCATGGACATGCAAGCGGCCATCAAGATTCTGACGGTCAAGTAGAATATGGCTAGACTCATCTGAATCTATCGGGATCGTGTGTTGTGCCAGAACTGGCTTTATTCTTGTAGTCCCACTGCGACTGCAATGATCGTAAGCACCGACCATGAAAATTTTCCAGTCCCTTGTAAGTAAGTAATTGTAATTATGAACATGCTACTGCTAAGACTGGTACATCAACTGGATGTGTGTGAAGAGAGTTTTTTTCAAAGTCTAATCTCAGTATGCGGTCTCAGCACAGGGCTCGGAAGGTCACGGTATAGATGACAAGATGGGACGTGAAACACACCCCGACGCACCCCGCCATCCGGCAGACGAGGCAGGGCGCGCAACGTTAAACCGAGAAGACGACTCGTCAACGGGAGCAGCAACAGTGCGCAAAAAGACGTCCCAGAATGGTGCTGGAGAGGTAGAGTTAGTCGGAGCTGAGGGCGAGGAGGCAGGATTCACAAGACGTCGCTTACCCGCTAGAGATAGCGTGCAGTCCACACGAAGCTCAGTCGTTTCCAATACTGGTGACTAAAAATGTCATCGGTCCTGAGAAGATTCTCGCCGCTACTGAAAGAAATAGCTTGAGCGAGTAGTTTTTTATTTTCTCACCCCATCAATATCAAAAAATTCAATTATTTCAAACTCAAACAATTAGAACTAGTTTACTTCAAGAATACGATCAACTGATACACAATAATTATCACGACTAGAAATGAATTGATTCAACATCGTAGCCAAAGGCAAAGCCATGCTGAGAAGTAGTACTAAAAATATCACTATGAAATTAATCATGATCATCATCATGAAAATATCGAACAGAAAAGAAAGAACACATTCATTGTTCACCTTCGCATTATTTTTCATCTGTCGAAAGGTTGATTTTGATCGATCCTTTTCCTTCTATATTTTTACTGAAGCTCAGAAGTGACCCGCATACTTTCCAAGAAAATTAATCCGGTCGGATGTAAAAATTCCAGGTGGCTGTTGAGCAGCATTTTTACTTATCCACATATTTAGAATCGATCCCCAGTCGTGGTCGTGCAGCTTACAGAAGCAGAGTGCTGACGATCACTTGTTTCGGGAAGGGTTGTTCTTGACACTCATTCCGTACAAATCCTTTCGCAGCGTATACATAGATTGAGACTTCTAGAAACAAATTAATATAATAGCAATTTAGATTTTATTTCAAGTTTGAATTCTGCTTAGGCTGTGCGTATGCCGAGGACGAGGACGACGTCAGGTTCAGGTTTATCAACTTTTTTGTGATACAACAGGCAGAGTCACCTATTTTTTTCTATTCACAGTGGTGGGGACAAGGCCGATAGCAATTGCTTTCGAACGGAATGCGGTTGATGGTTGTGTCTCCTCCATCAGACACGGCTAAGCTCTTCTAGCAAGGCCCAAGATATATTTTCTTTTTTAGAAAAAAGTCATTTATATCGTCGAGCAGCGTGCCCGCCTTCGAGGTTATACACATTCGTCTTGATATCCGCTCACTAGTCGTGATTGGCGGACAAGCTGCATCTATATTTGTCTCTCATTTTTTTTATATCAAGTTCATCGAACTTCAACTTGACGCCCGTTCCAGATGACACGAGCGCGCATACGTGTTTTGGTTTTCTGACTTGGTTCTGGCACTGGGTGCAAATGTAATCGAGTTCTAAAAATGCACTCCATTGTGGGCCAGGTCGACGACTTTCGAAGAACACACTCGATATTCCAATATTATTCCTTCGACCACTGATTTTCTATATGGCGGATGAACAGACGTCGTGCAACTCATTCTTACCGGCTTTTGCGTGTTCTTTCGATTTTCTCTAGTCGAAGTTCATGTTCTTGTTCCCAATGGCGCTCCCTCGGCACGACCGATGATGGCGAAGAACAGCACTACTAGCGCTCTCTTCAAGTATAACCCAGGGATCGGTATGTCCTGCAACTACGCAATCCCGGATTCTTTTGTTTCTAAAAATTCTATTTTGTCTATTCCTTTTCGTCCTCACTCTAGGTGGATCAACAATAATTCTTAGTTTCAACTAGAAGCTGAAGCAAGACAGGAGCAGAGAAATCATCGTTGTAATACTTGTGTCGATTAAGTACATCAAGACATCAGCACGAACAAAAATCAAAAAGATGACGATCACGATTGCAGGTAAGAAAAGTGTCCTGGTTACCTCTGCCACTGGTCGCATAGGGAAAGAGGTCGTTGCCAGACTTTCCAAAGCCGGGTTTCACGTCAAAGCAGCGGTCTTCACTCCAGAAAAAGCGGATTATCTCTGATGTCCATAGTATCTAGCAGCTACGACGAGTCAACCCCATAAATGATGTCAATATGTTGCACCTTAGAAGAGTCAAAAATTTTCATGTCCATCGCTCCTCAAACATCAAGTCAAAGTCGCAGCGAGTCGTCTCCTTGACGAGGACATCTGATGAATTCTTAGGGTCCTCATTTGGTGTCTTTTCATCCTCTAAAATTGACGTCCTTGGGCGCTACCGAGGTGGTTAAGTTTGATCTGAAAGATCCGACAACCTGGGCCTCCGCCACTGAAGGAATATCCGCCCTTTACTCTGCCAGCCTAGATCACTCTGCCAGCCTAGATCTCCTGCTCGAACACCATGTCAATTTCTGCGATTGGCTGGGTACGGAGAAAAAGTCCCAGCTACAGCACATTGTGCGAGTTTCCTGTATGGGAGCAGACACGAATACGGCTTGTTACGACAAGGATAAGCACGTGAGTCGGGATGGAGCTTCGATACCGCTTATACTCCAAAATTACTGGTCGCGAGAGGAAGCTTTCATGTACTACCTTGATGCACTAAATCGATATCGACAAAAATGAGTGAAAAGTCAAATTACAACGAAGCTATGTATAGGTCTAAAGCATTGTTGCAAGAAACAATACTTACAGCGAAAAAATTACCCTTGCAAGGTGAAAGTAAAAGTATCAAGCAAAAAAGGTGAAACCACAATTATGAACATGATTTACAACTCAGAAAGCACGGTTTGCCAGTGAAGGTTTTGCGATGCAACTTCTTCATGAACCATTTGTTGAAAACGGAATGCGACAACATCAAGAGCGAGGGTTGGTTTAGCAATCCTCTGGGAAACACACGGAATTCATTTGTGTCGACTTCTGATATCGAAGAGGCCGCAGCGGCTCGTTTGATGGAAGGACCCGAGAAACATGCAAATAAATTCTACGACATCTTCACCGGTCCGGAACCGCATCAATCGATGTCAGAGATAGCTGCAGACCTCAGCACAGTATTGCTTTGTTGTAATCCACTTAATAACTTGTCCCAGTCGTGAGTGACTAGAACCTACGTAATTTGATCTATAAGAATACCTTTGACTGTGAAAAGAACTTCATCAGGCTCTAGGCAAGAAGATCGAGTACCGCGCACAGGGATTTGAGCAATTTGAGAAAGATTTTGGTCCTACGAGAGCCGCTTTCATCTTCGAATATTTGACGAATGGGTTCTACACTAGATGCTCCCCAGATTTCTACAACCTGACAGGAAGAAGTTACGCACCGAAATTCCTGCATCACTATCACCAGTTTCAAGAAATAAGGACCACTTCTTGATTTCGTTGATCGCTCTCTTATTACCACCAAGAAATCAAGCTCACCCTCACTTCTTTTTCTACTCATGATAAGAATCGCCCTGAGCAATGAGCGGTTGACGGCTCCTTAGCAATGCAACTAGAAGGTAGTCTTAGTCTTAGTTCTGTGCATTGGTGAAGCGTTGTCCGCATGGCCTGTTACCTATACCTAAACTGCATTGGTGATAGTGAAGGATTTGCGTTCATAGCGAACCTACAAGGTATATCGAGTATCTGCAGAACAAGGGAGCAGCTGGCGAGACATGTCTAGAGGAGCTATGGCAAGGAAATATGTGGAAAAAAGGCGAAGATGCTATGAAAGCTGCCGCTAATGTGAAAGCTGCAGCTGCTTAGAGAAAAAACGAAGATTCAAGCGACGTCGCATATCATTCATGACGAGAAGATGAAAATAAGAACACCAAATCCGAACGTATGAAATTCGAAGCCATTTTCAGTCCTATTCATGTGTAAAAAACTACAGGAATAATTGGATCGATGTCAGAGAATATAGTATTAAGGCATAGTGATTATCATTAAAATAGTGGTTAATAATAGTATACACTGTTGGAACTGTATCATCCCGCCGGTAGGCTTGAAGGACTACTTGGGATTCAAATGAATGAATGAAAGCAAAAGGAGCGGGTCAGTGACCACCCCTGGCATCAGCAGCAGCTGAACATGAGTATTTCTGTTTCCCTGGTGGATTTCGATTTTCTTCAGATGAGTGGTTGTGACAGATTTTTTTAATAATGACTGAGTTGTAGTAGTAGTTTGAGTTTGCGTTCCGTAGAAGGCCGAGCGAGATCGAGAGGTATCTTTCGTTGTACAGAACTAACTTGCAGCCTCCTCTGGTCTAGACTTTCGTCTTCAGACTCTCCTTTTATCAGCGCGTGGCTTAGCTCCACAAGTTTTTGTACTTAACGTCCGATCACAGATTCGCCTTTTCATACAGTTTTCCCCCATCACCGTCTTATAGCCCTAACAAATCTCGATCAGATCATGATAAATAGTACACACGCAGTCCTCTTAGTCTTCATTGACATTTAGCAGAGAAAGGTGAAGTGCTAGGCGCAGAAACGTGACTGCTTACTATTACGCGCCTAGTATATGATGGCTGGCACTTCTCGTTCTCTCTTCTACTTTTGGTATTGGTCTTTCCCGCATAATCTCGATGAACGAAAACGAATAGCGGGAACTGAGACTGAGGGATATGATGTTAGAAACTACGAACGGCGCTTTGAGTCGCTTTTGCTACTTGAGGTTGAGTTCCAGTACTTGATGTTCCTTACATTTTGAAGATCAAAATTTCCATTTCATAAAGTGCAGTGGTGTTTCTGTTTCAGCTACTTGTAAAGCGAAAATAGGTGGAGAATGTTGCCAGCTGCGAGAGACATCTCTATAAAAAACAAAAACGAAGAAGCACAATCCACACAAATTGTAAATCAAAAAGAAGTATCTCTGTTTGCAAGAAGATGGCTGAATAGAAAATCGTTCTATGATTTACGGCTCCGACGCTCTGCTCTTCTCCACTTGCACTTGTCCAGATATCGTTCACGACTAGCTGTAATCCAGAGCTTGTTTGCGGCGCTTCTGATACTGTTGAGCGTTATTCCGTATGCACACGTCGCTGTGTATACACAGGTCCCTGCCTCGCTCCTCGTCGAAGCAGCTAGCGCTCCCCAGTCACAAGCTCCAGTACCAGCAACTAGTCCCGCACCACCAGCACCTTCTCCTTCACCCAGACAAGAGGAGCAGAGCCAAGCCGCTCCTGTACAAGTCGAAGAGGAAGGGTTTGTTGAGACGGTGCTTTGGCTATTATTAGTGATAGGTGTCGGATTGAGTACAACGATGTTTGTCCGATGGGCGTATCAAGATGGGGCTGCCCGCACACATGAGCGATTCTTGCTGATGCATGCAGAAGTAATGCGCTTGGCACGAGAACGTGGTATTCGACAGGAGTTCTTCCGTGATGAAGCAGTATCATGACGGCTCTTATGCTGATGTTTCTTTCTGATTGCGAGGGTACGACATTGCCTCAACAACAGCTAGGGAAGAGCAAGATGAAAAGTGTTTTGTTCAACATTTTGACATTGTTTTATTTGAATTTGTCCACACTCATTCTGAAGTGCACTTGCACATGCTTGCTTCCTTACACAAGCACTGTTAATAGAAGAGCTTCGCGAGAACCAGAGGCGCGCACGGAGCTTTCTGGGCTTCATTGCCCTCCATCTGTGTCCAAGAAATCGAAACAAAATGGAATCACATGCTTAGTTCTATTAAACTTCAATATGGTTACGGCTCCAGCAGATGTTCGCGAGAGACAGTTCCGTGTTGGTGTGTTTGCTTCCTGCTGGTTGTTTTCACCGGTTTGCGAACCGGACAGCACTGCAGGTGGGTCGGTGTGCGCAACAAAGGTTCTTGTAGACGCAAACCTTGAAGAAAATCAAAAATAAATGGAACGAAGTTCATAGGAAGTAGGTTTTCTTCGCCATATATATAGAAAAAGGCATACAACAAGGGCCTAGTGGTCGGATTTATTAGTGCGTCCGTTCATTTCAAGATCAAAGACTAAGAAATTTAATGTTCCACAATATCTATGTGGTCGGTTATTTGCCATTGCCTATTTTTCTGTTGCTTGCGTAATGCAGCGGTTTTCCTCAGCGGGTTTGCGAAGCGGAGGAGGCCAGGGGGACTTTTCCGGCGATCTACAGGGACACAACGAGGAAACTTTTCTTCCAACTATGCTACCTTCAATCGGACCTGATGTTACCGTTCATCTAAGGAAGAAACAGGAACAAGTTTATATTCTACTTCTAGCTTTTGCATGTCGATGCTGATGATGCAGCTGCCACCGGCTCTCTCCCCTTGTTGTGGCTACTATCGTAGCAGTGGCGTGTTGGTCGGCACATCAAGGGCCTCCTCGTCCACCTCGTTTTCTTCTAGAAGGAATGATGAGAGGCACAGCTTGTTTGCGTATTTTGCCAGGAATGAGCCGCATCTTCAAAATGCAGCTATCACAAGAGCAACACGGAGGAACTTTGGAGCTAGCGCGAGTGCCACCGCACTGGTCGGGCGACGTCCAGAGGAAGCGAGTACTGCACTCCAGATTCATTCTTCTGCGACTCCCACCTCATCATCAACCGATAGTCGGTATTTGGAAGTTCGTTCCGAGCGTGGAGACCTGGCGCGCGTCGAAGAGCGGGTGTTAGCGCAAAGAGCCGTCTCCGCGCAACGTCGTGTAATCGCGCGACCTGTCGCACCGCTGCCCCGAAAATACTGGTTGTACATCAAGAACGGCCCACCGATGACAGTAGAAGATCTCACGGTCCCGGCGCCCTCAGTATTGCCCGAGCGTGTTGACGTTTTAGAGCGGGTAGTAGAAAAGCGCTTGGCGAGGCGTGGCGACGGCAAGGATCACGTGAACGCAGACACGCCGTTCTGGCGAATAAAAAAACCAAAGAGACGACCGAAATGCCCGATCATATGGGGGGGTTTGGTAGCCGAGCACAACGCTGAATCAGAATCTGGATGCCGTAGCCCAACGACTCCACCTCCGCCATCCGTCGTGAAACCTATCAACGAAGCTTCATGCTCATCAACAAAACCAGAGCTAGACAACGTCGATGTTGTTGAGGAGGCCAACGACGATCAGCGATTACAAGCAACGAAACTGCAGGCCGGAAGTGGCAATAACAGCCTCTTCCACAACCTACTGCGACAAGTGAAGGAGGGCGAGTCAGATATTGACGAAGCTGCCACAGCAGGAGACGAGTTGTCATCAACCGCGTCTTCAGGTCTCCGCCGTTGCAGTCTTGCCGTTCGCGATGATGCCTCTTTTACTTCTAGCCGATCTGGCGATTACGGCGAGGAACCCGAAACTCTGATTCGAACAAATTTGGCTGTCTTTGCTGACGAAGGCGAAGCGTGTACCAAGAACGGCCAACATACAGAACAAGTAGATGATTCGAGACGGAGACTAGTCGGACTTCGTTTTCAGCATTATGCTGACTCTTCAAAGCCAGGTCCTGGTACAAATCTGATGTCGACGTACTATAGTCGCGAGAGTCTACCTCCCAAAGGCTCACCCGAACGTGGAACACTCGATACATTGCGTGCCGGCTCAGAGACGGATATCGCTACATCAGGAAATTTGGTTTTCACAAAATTGACCCGTGGGGAAGAAAATCACGAAGGCCACAAAGTTTCAGAAATCAGTCGGACTAGCGAGGATGACCCGTGTAGGAGCCGAGCTGATTCTTCATCTTCTAGATATACTTCAGCTTTTGGAGATGAAGTCGGTCAAAATCTCCCATCGTCTTCCATCGGGGGCCTGGAGACGCCACCTGGTCGTCCTTCTGACAGCGGCCGGAAGTTGATCCAACGATTGCGAGAACAGGCAGTGCAGTACGAAGCGACTGGCATCAACCCGGATCTGCTCGATAGTTTGGGCGCGGCCGTTAAAAGTGGCTTCTCCGCTGGGCTCGAAAAGATAGAGCGGGATCGCTTCCTACGAAACCTCTCTGTCCACATGGATTTCGAAAAATTGTTAACGGAGAACAGAGCGACTCCGGAGAACCTGAGACTGCTGATGCGAAGTCTGATTGTGCGCGGATGTGTATCCGAGGCCTACGAGTTGCACGATCACATCAAAACTCACGGGCTGGAGGTTGACCCCGAGATGTATGTCAGTTTGATACTCTCAACCATAAGAGGGATAGACCTCCAACAGCAGGCGCAAGGCAATCAGCACGAAGCCAAGAATCTGAAGTTGTGGGCGCCTAGACAAGCGGCGAAGCGAGCCAGGGACCTATATTTGCGGATGCGCAGTGACCTAGTGACCCCAACGGCGAAGGTTTTTGGAGCACTGATGCAGGTTCATTGCAAATGCGGCGAGCTGGAGATTGCACAGGCATTTTTGGAGAAGATGGATGATGAGTATCCCGGATTGGCGAACGTCGTGCATTTCACGACGCTCATCGACGCTCATGTGCGACGCGGAAATACTGTGAAGGCCTTTGAAATGTTCCAGAACCTACGGACGTGGCGTGCATTAGAACCAGATGAGGTCTTGTTCACGGTGATGATCAAGGCATGCGGGGTCAATCGCGAAGCAGAGCGTGCACTAAATATACTAGACGACTTGCGTGCTTGTGGGCTGTATCCAACGGACATCACATATCGGGAACTCATAAAGATACGTATTGACGATGAGGTGTATGCGTAAGTAACTTTTTCCTACCTTCATCACCTTGAGCTATTTGAACGCCCACTACATTGACAATTATTTATGAATTTATTTTCAAAAACAAGTATCCTGCACCTATTCCTACGTAACAGTAGGATGTCATCATTATTTTCAAAAAGTAACCTACTCCTACATGTAATTACACCAGCGTTTTGATATTGATCGTCTTCTCTCTATTTCTAACGTATGTGATGGCACAGCGCGCTGATTTTGCGAAGAAGGCTTTTGAGTTCAAAAATCACATGGACGCAGAGGATTTGCCGATGTGTGCAGAGGTGTATGGAGATCTTCTCCTCGCTTGCTCGAAGTTGGAGAACAGCAAAGGACGCGCGAGCGCTGTTCTCGCAGAGATGCAGACCAAGGATCTGGTGCTCACTCCTGATGGCTACGAGAACCTAGTGCGCTGCTTTGCAAGAGCCATGTTTGTCGAGGTCCCGCAGGAACGCAAAAACGGAAACGGAGCGGGAGGATCCTTTCAGTTATGTAGAAAACTCAGCCGAAGCACTTGCCCCTCAACTTGAGGAATACTTGTTACTTGGATATTCTCTGTTCATCTGAGACTCAGATCCATCCTCTCTGTCTCAGGTGCATTCTCGCTGATCAGCGTGGATACTAACTAAAAATGGCACCAATCTTTTCACCGATCTTATTCTCGTCCTTCATCTTCCAGCAGCTTGCGGCACGGTAGCGAACCCAGTCGCGGCATCATACTCAATCAAGTTTATAATAGCGACACTAGCGTCGAGCACTTGGTGCACAGTACGAGTGACAATTGTCAGCACAGCAGCGCCAAGCGTCCAGTTGCGCTCAAGGAACGGGTTCTGAATTTGCGGCAAGCTTGGATGGTTGTGCAGGACGCGAAACGCAAGAAAGTGGAAATCTCTAGGGGCATGTTGGACGCAATAATGAGTGTTTATATCGAGGGCACATTCGACGGGTATGCAGTGGAAATGCTGCATCAGTACGCGGACTTTGGGGTACAGCCTGGGTTTCAAACATACCGCAGCTTGCTCGAGATGTTTCATCTAAAGAAGGACGTAGCGCGCTTTTTTAGCCTGTGGGACGTAGCAAACGATCAAGGGGTCTTTCAGCGTTATCTGCGTGAGAGCTGCGGCATGCACGGACTGACTGGTTGCGTCGATCAATACCAACAATCTTGGCCATCCGATAGTACCTCGTTGTCCCGACCTGAGCTTGAAGGAGAAGGACCGGACGCAAGGACGTCCAACCGCGAAGTTGAAAAGCCGGCTTATACTCGTGCAGGATTTTTTGCAGGTGCTTCATCTTCTGATTTTGGTAACACGACCGACACCTCCACTCCCAGCAACATCCAAGTAGTGAACGCAACCTTAAGTCGTCTGGGAGAACCTAGACAGTCTGGCTCTTCAGGAGAGGGATCAGATCTTCACAATTTTGATCTGGACAGTCTTGTGGAGATGAAGTGCACATCTATCTATGTACCCGAATATGCGCGGGAGCAGGTTTCGAATCTGCATCAGCTAGCATTGGATAATTCCATCCGATCGCAGTCCAGTCGTCGGTGCTGCAACGTGCTAGAACAGCTGTACGAGGTTGGCGTCTTCCCGTGCACGCAGATGAGTGAGCGCCTCGCGAAAGTCGGCCGCCACGTGTTGGACATACACCAGTGGGTGCAGAAATTCATCACGATGAATCGACTTATGAACTACACAACTAAAGGCGTCTATTAGAGCTGCTTAAGCAATATATTGATATATATGAAATGAATCGCTGGAAGGATTCGTCGACAGGCTTTTTCCTATCAAGAAAGTGGCTCGTGGTTAGTGAGGATCAAGAAAAAATCTGTACACCTGTATTATGAATAAGAGGAGGATGATCGGAACTGTTAGGATCAGTTGTACATATAGAGTAGGTGACTGATCATCTGAAGTAGAACAAGAAGCTACATGGTAATAATAATAAACTGCGGTAGTGCCTCCTTCATATGCAAGACGACGTACCAGCGCGTGACTCGAGACCAAACCGTGCTGGACGCAGAACTTCGGGAGTACGGAATTAGACAGGCGCTCGAGGGTCGCCGTACTGGCCAGCGTACTGCTGCGGAGAAAGCAAGGAAGGACAACTTCAAAACTTTAAGGCGACGTGGCGACTTAGCGAAACCGAGGTTCCAAAAAGGCGAGTATATGAAACGCAAAGCAAAGGGAGGCGAATACTGGAGTCAGAAAGTAGATCGGCAAGGTCATGTACCAGAATTGCCGTCCTAGAAAATCAATGCGGCTGCGCATGAACTTTTTGCGAGTTTGAATGCTATACGCAGAAGGTGAAGCCCGGACGTGGTCACTAGACACGGGGAAGACGAAGACATGGAACACACCGGAGGCGGTAGCATTACGTTGATGATGCACCATCAGGGGACAGCAGTAGACGCAGGTAAGTAGTTTCACCAGTGGAGGTTCTTGTTTCTTTTTCAGCAAAAAAAGAGGAAACACGTTTGCCTTTCCTGCTCTGTATCATACATTAAACTTACATCTAATGAGAAAGGGTTGCTCTTCTCACACTTTTACCTACGCTTCTTCACATCTTCTCAGCATATAATTAATATGGACAGACTCGTCTGGCGTTAAGTCAGGGTAAATTACTTGCAGCAAGTATTTGCAGAAAATGGAAATGGAGTTGAACTGATTCAGACATCCGATCGTATTACGTAGCACCGTTGCCACATTAGTTCAACTGCTAGCAAGAAGCGCGGGAACGGCACTGCTCTCAGCAGAGGAAGTTTTGGCTTAGCTGTACAATCCCTAAGAAGGCGGACCTCACAGATGATTTCTCCAGTTTGCAAAACGCGTTTGTGAAGAGCTGAGAAAATAGGGGCATCTCCAAAAGTAGAGGAGACAAAGTCAAAAATGCCTGATGACCACGGTCGCTTTGTGGTGATCCTGATAACTGTAAGTAGGAGGTCCTTCCAGTAAACGTAAACCCTCTGCTCGTAACTATTCCTATTGTCGATCATTTCCTCGTCCGCTCCACGCAAGGGCACAAGTATGGTTGGTGGAAGCAATGTGGAGGCACCGCTTGGGTCGCCAGTTTCTTCGGGACCGAGTCAGCCTCCCGACAACCAGACTTCCGTCGACAGCCTCCTCCTTCGAGAGCAGGAGTTTTACTACAATCCGTTAAATCATAAGAAGCATGAAGCGGGCACAGACGACGGAATACGCGGCCGCCGGATCCAGGGAAACAAGATTGCAGCGACCATTCGACGCAGTGTCGCGTCGAAGATCCTCGAAATTCAACGAAGGTATAGTTCCAGTTCCTGTGCTTCAACGTTCCTCGAAGGTGCAGCTGGTACGAATATGATGCCAATGAGCAGCACTAGTACCAGCTGTTCCGTTCCTTCTGCAGGAACTGATGGAACAGTTCTGCAACCGCCGAATGGTTTGTCCTCTTCTTGTGCCGCCAAATCTTCACCGGTTTCGAGTGCGATGTCTATGAGAACGGACGAACAAGACGCGATATCATTTCACCATGCCTCTGGAGTAGCATCGGCCGCCCGGGTTGAAGAAGTGACTTTCGACACCGTATCAGAGCTTGGTCGGGAGCCATCAGCCTCTTCGTCTGTGCGGCCGCCTGGATTGACTGTCGTGCTCGTAGGGTCGAACCCAGCCAGCAAAGTCTACGTTGGGCGGAAACAGAAAGCGTGCGAGGAAGTCGGAATCAAAAGCACTTTGAGGGAGCTTCCCGAAGAAACGACACCAGAAGAGCTACTCGCGCTAGTCGATCACCTCAACGCAGATCCGTCATGTGATGGAATACTGGTACAAACTCTCTCATGTTGTTGTGAGAGTACTTAATACACGAGAAAGAAATGAATTATTGCTGTGACTGTGTATGAGTATGTCTATACAACGCGTGTTTTCAAGTACAGCATTTGATGTTGGTGCTCTAACACGAACTTGTACTTGTAGACGTGAACCTGCTTTCCAGTGATACCTTGTTCGACATGGACTACATTGTCAACCCTTAATATTCGCCAGGTGCAGCTCCCACTTCCGTCACCGGCGCTGCAAGAAATACAAAGCGAACTGCTTCAGAGGATTTCGCCGACGAAAGATGTTGATGGCTTTCACCCTTTAAACCTGGGGTGTCTCATGGCACGTGAGCCCAGGCTTCGACCATGTACGCCATTGGGCGTTATGCACCTTCTGTGGTCGACGGGTGTAAATCCTTACGGACTGCGTTGCCTCGTAGTTGGTGTTTCAAATCATGTGGGCCGCCCAATGATCATGGAATTGCTGCTAAACGGTTGCAGCGTCATGGCTGTGCACAGATTCACAAGGGCTGAAGGTACAACAACTAAGAATAGGCTTACTAGTTTTTCTTTCTGCCTAGACACTTACAGCTGTTGTAGTACTTGTGTCACCCCCTGTCCCGTCATTGATGTTGTTGTTCATTACTGGAGGATATGTTCCAATTCATTGTCGATCTTGTGACTCTTGTTCTGTTCAACTTCGAGTATCGTCCGTTTTAGGTATGCCGTTGCATGGAATAGATTCTCCTTGGTGATTGAAGTCAGATCAATTATAACTGTCATGCAGTAGTTTGAGCGGAGACGAGAGAGCGGGAGTGAGAATCAGATTAAGTGCCCTTCTATTTCTAAGTTTCAATTCATTGCCATAAGTACATAAGCGAGAAGATACAGATTGATCTGACTTATGCTCATCCATTGGCCTCTATTTTTTGACAACCAAAAAAACAGACCTGGAAAATTTCGTTCGAGAAGCTGAGTGTGTGATTGTAGCGGTGGGCAAACCTGGCATAATAAAGGGAGAGTGGATTCGCGAGGGGGCTATCGTCATAGACGTCGGCATCAACCGGTTGGATAACGGAAAACTAGTAGGAGACGTGGACTTTGATACGGCAAAAGACCGCGCCTCGTGGATTACACCTGTTCCGGGTGGTGTAGGTCCAATGACCGTCGCGATGTTGCTACAAAATACAGCCACAGCGTACGAAAATCACCTGAAGCAACAACTTGAACATTCGGTGGAAGGCCAATGCTAGACTCTTATCTGCATCACTTTCAGTAAATGTAAAGAAGTTATTTGAGCGGTTTCTGATTCAATGAAAGAATCAATTGGGTTCGTCATCCCAGTTTTCGATAGAAAGAAAGTACTAATTTGGATCTTCTGAAAAGCGCACAGGATCAAGATCAACTAAGAGAAAAAAAGTACGATCTGATGAGAGGGTGCGACTGTGATTCATGTTTGAATTATTCGGCTCTAGACATCAGAGATTGTTGATGTGTAGCCTTCAGTTTGACGAACATTCATCAAAATTTACGAGCGGTTCAGCAAAATGGAAGAGGGTCCTGGTCCTCTACCTCTCCGAGTGTTATCATTTGCAGACCGAGCACAATTAAGCAGTTAGTCTTTTTTGAAACAAAATTTAAACTATCTCTATGTAGTTGAGTTGTTGAGTCTATTTTGATGGGGAAAACGTCTCAAACGGATGTATTGTTATCGGACCTGACTGTAAGTTCAAAATTGTCATCAATGTCATGACGTTGACCTCTTCCGCGACAGCATCTGAATGGCCGCCTCGCGAGCCGACGACATGCTCCGCTTCCGCCTTTCCATCCAGCCAGCGTGCGGCGTTTCGAAAGATCGACGGTGAGTTTGATGTTCAACACTGGTTGGATATTCTTGGCCCAGACATTACCTTCCCGACGGAAATCGCAGAGCTAACCAGACTCGAAGCCGAAACCCTCCTCGCAGCTTGCGTTGCGAGGGAAGATTACAAACGGCGTTGTCCCATCCAGAGAAGGAAAAAAAATCTGCTCAAAAAGTGAGTCAAGACTGTCTAACAATTGCCGAAAAGGATAGAAGACGAGAATTCTTCTAAAGCTCGTCAGAGGCATACAGTCGTGGAAAAGTGTCGCGATCTGTAGTAGAGTTTTTGAGCCTCTAGCGTTGTAAGCTCTTAAGCAATTGGTAGACATTTTGTAGACACTTTTAGGGCAGATTTTTCCCCTTAGAGTGGGGCACATTCTTGTTTGTTTCTAAAAGGAGTTGCTGGATGAAATTAATCGAGCAGGCTTAGACCAACTCCGTACTAGAGGAAACGGAGATCATCAGGGGAATCAACAAGATGAGCAACCACATCAAGATGATGATGACTTACTCTTCACGGAAACCGGCGTAGTGGAATACATCGACCTGTTGGAAAGGTATGCCGGAAATTGCGAAGAATTGCTAGAAAGTGGAGATTTGGATGCCCATCGACGTCAGATGAGTTCGCAAGATGCTCTGCTGTCGGACGCGAGCAAGAAAGCTATCTTCTCTGCTCTACAGGACCGACCCTCACTACGAAACGCATTGCAGAGTCCAGAACTCGGACAGATCTCCAGAAGGATTGACGAGGCAATGAGAAGGCTGTCTTCCTCTGCGTCGACAGAATTGAAGTCAGCGTCCTTCTTCCTACGTCTCTCGACGCGATCCCCGAAGGATGCTGCGTGCGTCAGTGAGGTTGACTATCTGGAGGAATATGTACGTCAGAAGCAAATCCAAACGCATCATAAATCGGAAGCGACTTCTACCCGTCTCACATGGAGCGAAAAGATGGACCTGCTCTGCCTTCTCAGTCTGCGAGCTATGCGGGTCTCGAATGGAGTAGAGGCACTGAGTTTGTTACTCACCTCGAAGCGGGTTCGTGACGATCTCAAACAGGCTCTAGAAGATGCGTCTTCAACATGTAGATCTACTCCTGGTTCTTCTGGTGCAGCAGGTACAGCTACTCCATCTGCTGGCTCATCTGCTGAAGCTGATGCTGAAAAGACAAATAATTCTAAAGTTGAGTTCGATCTTTCGCTGGTTGTAAGGGAATGGAATGACGGGATCCGCCCAGCAACAGAGTTTCGCGGTTTCGTAGATTCGGAAGGCCACCTAGTTGCTCTCTCTCAGTACAACGAGATCTGCCACTATCCGCATCTTTTTCAGGAACGGAATGGACACGGAGATGGGGATGCAGCTCCTCATGCTCATGCTGGGAGTGGGACGAAGACGAACATGAAGAAGAGGAACAACCTAATAAACGTAATACAGAATGTTTTGATCGACTTTGTCAAGACGGAACTGAAGCCAAGATTGGTAGGGACGTCGCTGCTGCCTTGCATCGTGGATTTCCATGTTGAAGACGGAATAGAAGAAGACGAAGGTTTTCAATTAGAAATGGAGGAAGATTTCGATGATTTAAAGAAGAAGATGAATTATCTCAAAAAAGTGAAAGTGGTAGAGTTGAACCCTGCTAATGAACGGACGAGCTTCTCCTTATTCGAACCGGATGCTGCAAAGGTGCTAGAGTGGTTACGCATTGAGAGACAGATACACAGTGAGAACGATGATGATCTTCAAAGCGCCGAAAAAAAGAAAAAGAACTTTTTCCACGAATTCCGTCTTGTATCTCGACAAGATACACGAGAAGACGTGGCAGCGGATAGTGACAGCGTACGGGAGTCGTTGGGCCGGGTTCTACAGGGAAAAATATCAGAAGCCCACGCGCGGTGGAAGATGAAAAAGATTATAGAGCACAGTGGTGTCATACAACCGACACAATTTTGCGACGAGGTTTGCTGAGCTACTCTTCGATTTAGCAAAGTGTGTGAGTTGTATTCTCAATGTTATGTTTATGATTTATGGCTTTCTCTACTTCTTTTGACATTACTCGATGACATTTTTGTGTCTTGCTTCTAATATAATGCAAGCACAAGCAGCAAGAGCATTGGAGCAGGTAGCATAGTAGCCGGTGGGTTGTCTCTAAAGTGGTGGGGATCGATGTGGGAGTGAGACGAAAACAAGATGAAGATCCACTAAACAAGACCCGAACATGGAGAAAGTAGTAGATGATCACAGGAAGAAGAAAAAGATCTCCGCGCATTCCATTCACAGTGAACGACGTAGAAGAACAATTTCAGGAGGATCTTGTTCTAGTCTAGAAGAAGGTTTGTTTTGGAAAAATTTTATTCAGTGAATCTATCATAAACATGATAATTGATTCATCGTTGTGCACTCAATGTAAAACGTTGCAAGTAGTAGAAATCTAGACCATGATCTCGAAAAAATTCGTATACGCCAGATTCGTTGTAGTTATTGAAGAGAAAAGGTTGGTATTTATATATTGCACCCCAATCCAAGAATTTGAAATTCCGTATGCTGAGCCCCGACATTTTTCATGCATCTCCGCCCCTGGTGGGAAGGGAGACCTAAGAACCCCGGGGGGGCGCCACCTCTGTGTGGACTAAAACTGGTTCGAATTTCCGCCCCTGGTGGGACGGCGAATCTACTTGCGCGCCCCAGGTGGGACGCCTCTGCAAGAAGAACCGCCTGCGCGCTTCTTTTTGCCTTTGCCTGCGTGTTTTAGCGCGCTCTAGACGAGATAGTGCGAGGCCCTTACTGTCTTCCCTGGGAAATACTTGGGAAGCCCTCTGCGTGAGGTTTCTGGTCGCTTTCCTCCGATGACGCACAAGGACGAACACGAAGAGAGACGGCCAGCCCGGGGCGCCCTCCTCCATTGTGTGCCAGGGCTCTCGCACTCTTGATGAGGTGAGTGACCCGCCTAGGGCGCAGGAGGAGCAGGGGCGCGGTGGTGCTGGTTTCGGTGCTCCGTGTGTTCTCAGTTTCCATGGTGAGGAGAGGCTCATAGCCCCGACAGGTTGGTGCCGCCTCGGTGTTTTCCATGAGGGCAAGGGGGTCGGTGGGTTGCAGGTGCGACGCCTTGCGTGGCCTTGTTGGTTGCTTGGTAGTTGGTTGTTTGTCGGACAGTCTACCTGGTCCAGGTGTGTAGCCTGGTCGCTCACCTCGCTCTCGTAGGGATGAGGTGGCCTCCCGCCCTCTGCCTCTGTTCTTGCCACCACCACGCTCGCTACAGCTACCTAGGTTGGTAGCTTCTCTCTGGGCTCCGATCGCTCGGCCCCGGCAGCCGTGTTGAGGAGGCCAAGGCGGAACGGTCACTGTTGTTGCTGGACGACACAGCTGAACACCTGCCGCCGGCTCCCTGGTTGGAGTTTGTTTCCCTTCGCTCTCTGGAACACGCGCGCGCGTGACGGCATGGCCCCTACCCGGCCACGAGTTCCCCTGGATATTCTACACGGGCGTCCTGACTTGCCGCAACCGCATCGCGTGAGCCTTGTGTGTTCATTCTAGCAGGCTGCTTGCATTGCCGCACACTAGTGAGTAAGACCCAACGTGTTGCCGAACTCCTTCTATACATACATACACACATACATACATTTTTCATGCATCCCATTCATTTGATTTCTGGACATCTACATCAATCCATCGAAAGAATACGTGTAGGCACTTCATCGCTTTTCAGTTGTGTATTTCTTGTACCCTGATACTAAACAGTCGGAGACAGAACTAGAACAGACAGAACACCTGCTCAGTAAAAATATAAGCTAGCCCTCCCTTATTTCGTATATATTCATTGTTTGCCGGGGCTTGTGGTGAGGCCTTGACGCGGCGCCCCGGCTTGGAGACGACCAACACCACCACACCAACGACCACCACCACATTACACTTTGGGCTCCGTTCGCTCCGCTCCGGCAGCTGGGTTGAGGTGTCCAAGGCGGCACGGTCACTGTTGCTGTTGCACACCTCAGTGGACACCTGCCGCCGGCTCTGCGCTAGAGTTCTTCTTTTCCGCCCTCTGGAACACGCGCGCGCGTGACTGCGTGGCCCCTACCCGGCCTTAAGTTCCCCTGGTGACTCAACACGGGCCCACTGAAGCGCCGCAAAAGCAAATGTATAAGACCCCTTCGTCGCACTGGGCTGCTTGCTTTGCCGCATCTTCATATGTAAGGCCCGGCGTGTTTCTAGTCTCCTTACATACATACATACATATTCACTGTTTGTTTCTTTGTTGGGGTAGGTATTATTATTAGCGACAGCAGAGAGACAAGAAGATGAAGATCTGTGGTTGCATATCCTTATTCTTTATTACTCGGTTTTGTAGCTCTCCTTTGGAGGTACTACCTAACTGACTGGCCTCACACAAAGACTTATATTGCTTTACAAGAGGCGGAGGCGCCATGACATGACGTAAAATTACAAGAGACATCTTCAGTAGAAGATTAAGATTCTGAAAAATGATTTCTTTCGCAAAAGTCACATCATTCCCGCGACGATTTATCCTCGTCTTGGGAGCGGGAGCAGGTGTTGCCGACGCCGTGTTAATGCACCGCGGCAGGGATCAAGGTGATGCACCGCGCGCCGGAGGTCAGCCGCGCCAGACGAGGCAGCCTGCTACTCCTGGACAACGTGGCCTTCAACACCAAAAAGGGATAGGAGCTGCAGCTGGATCAAGCGCAACACTATTTTGATGGACCGCAGTAAATGGGGCCGTTCGATCCGCAGTATGGGCCGGTGCTTCATGGGGATCAGGGTCAGGGACATGATTGGCCGTTCTTCGACCCTTAACAGATGATGCTTCAGCAGCAGCAGTATGTTATGTTTTAACAACAGCAAACTCTAAATCATTTTCCGCCAGTGGCAGTGTCAGAATCCGAAGAAGAGGACAAGCTGATCACCGAGGAAGAAGCTTGGAATGTAGTCCAGTTTGCGCGCGAGCACATTGTCGCGCCCCTTCTGAATCATGCTGCTGCGTCTTCTTCTACCACAGCAACAACTTCTTCTTGGCTCTCAGGCGCGAAACGCGGGGAAATTCTGGAAGGTGCGTTATATTATCCTTACGGCAGAAGTTTCTTTTTCGGGGTCGCACCCGAAAAGAGTGATCTCGATGTTGGACTCATGTTGCGCCCTGATAAATTGGAGGAGCTGCAGAAGCAGCATCGAGTTCGAGAGCAGTTTGCAAATGCCTACGCCAGTCCAGATTCAGACTTTTTGCGAGATGGTGTGCTCCCTGTATTAATCGAACATTGGGAGACGACCGGTGCTCTCCGCACTCCCGCAATCCATGTAATTGAGGAGAAGAGCACCGCACCTATACCATGTCTCGAAATCAAATACAGAAATCACGAGAATCTGGGTCAGAGCGGTGCAGCTTCAGTGGAGAGAACTTTGGCGCTCTGCATGCAGGTGAAAGACTTGAAAGCGTTCACGAATACTTTGACGAGTCGCGAATACGTGAAGAGTTGGAACGAGATCACCTAGGAGGCTTACATCTTGGTCCGCAAATTGGCAAAGGCTGCAGTAAAGTTCTACGTGCCGAATACCCACACCATCGTCTCGATGCATTGGCTGATGCAATTCTTCCACTTGTTTCAGATGAAGAAACAGTCGCGCTCGCGAAGATCCGATGGGCTTGGTGGAGTCGTTTTTGAAATCGATGCAGAATTCCAAACGAAACCGATAACAGAGCGTTTCAGGTTTCTTAACAACACCGGGCAAGTCTGGAGGCATCTCGATATCCGCGAAATGTACTCTAAATCTCGTCTGGAGAAACTTCACCCAGGTGAAGATAAGATCAAGAGCATCTTTGATACGAAGCTGCCACTTTCGAAGGTTCAGCAACTCGAAACCGCCTATCCACTTTTCGCGGAGAATGGAGGTAATGGATTGCGCACGCTTCCAGCCTTGCTCATGGTGTCCGAAGAAGACTTCAAAGCACAAGACGTGCACGAGGGGCCGTATCCGATGTCCCTCCGAGAACGTTTTGGCTTGATCTTTCGCAACTCGCGAAACCTCATCGCCACGATTTTTCGAAAAGAAGGGGAAGTACTGGAGAAGCACAAACAAAAAGTCGGAGAATACACGTAGGATTTTTTCCAATGGTTTTATGAAAAATTCTCTCAATGCAGCATGCCTGACGATTGTTTGAGAAGTATTGTCGACGCGGCAAGGGATTTCAGAACAAAATCGACATAATATATAATCTGTCATGAGTAGTTGTAGTCAAGGGTAGTAGGCGAAGAAGTGTGGAAAACTAGTGCTTCAGGTTTTAGTTTCAAGAGACCTAAGTCTTGGTTGCAGCACTTGATCGGACTCTACTCGAGCGCCTCCCATATTATTTCACGCTTTGAATTTCGCGAGGACAGACGCTGACCACATCTTCACTGATAGAAGGTAGATGAAACAAAATGTTGCGTGGTGGTAACTGTGTCAAAAATTAGCTGGGACAGAACACGTCAAGTGTGAGCTTCGCTGTGTTCTCTTCGCACAGGTAGTGCTTCAGGTTCAGAGGAAGCCTTCAATGTTGATGAAGATAGGCGCCTGCACCTGCTGGTGCCAGAAGAAATACTTGAGAGCACCATTCAACATGCTGAGTAACCAATGAGGATGTAGCAAGGTGTTGGCTCTGTCAACGCTCCATTATTAAGTAGCTGGGTGTTAAATTTCTTTTCTTTCGTTGTTTTTACTCCCTTTGGATTTTTTTAGTCTTCCACTTGTCTGTCGCTGGTGAAACGCATTGCGCCCCAAGTGGGGTTAACTTTCCTCGCCTGCTGCCGGTTTGCGAACTGGATAAAGGTCAGGAGATTCTTTCAATCTTTCTGGTATTACAAAAAAAAATTTTCTGAAGTCTCCAAATCCAATTCCAAACTCCCTGAATTATGTGTAAAGAGTGTGATCTTCAGTCTCTTCATTGATTGCTGTTGCTGCAAGTCATCACTTAGAAGAACTTTTAGGAGTGGATCTTGAAGATACCAGACTCTAGTATCTCAAAAGCTGGAGCGTATTCGACGTTCGACTTGATAGTGCAACTTTTCGTCTCACAACAAGAAAGCAGCAGCTTGTCACTTTGTCGGCGAACGCTAAGCCTCTTGCTTCTGGTCTGTCTCCTCTTGGGTGTGAAAGCGTCGTTGGTACCTCTTACAAGAACGCGTCAGAACCTGTGTGCTCCTCGTCTCGTACCAACTCTGTCCCTTGATTTTTCGAAAATCCATTGAGTGCTGGTGCTCCAATCGCTGTACGAAGAACATCAAATCGCTGTATCGAAGATGGTGCTGTCTCGCAAGATGAACAAGACGGCTGGAGCCGTATTGCTGGCCAGTACGAGCAGCATGGCGCAGCAAACAGGGCTGTTCAAGGTGATCGAACTTCTGGGTGCAAAGCAACAGGAGACGAAAAAGGTGATGCACGAGGACGACGTTGTGGCGACAGCATACGCTCAGTGGTGCACTGGCGAGAAGGCAAACTTGGAGAGGGAAATAGAGGAACTCGATGAAAAAGTCGATAAGTACGGCGCTCGTTCGGAATCGGAAGCGGCAAAACAGATTATGATAGAGGACAAGATGGTTTATACTGTAAACAAAAACTAAGAGAACAAAAAAACAAAACTACGAAGTCTACTTACATTTTGTCGTCCACCAGGAATTTATTTGACCAAGTGGCTCAAGCGCAACGCACAGTTCTTTCATCTGCCAGACATTCGCCGAAGAAGCGATGGAATTGCGCGCCGAAGTAACGAGCAACCAGAAGGAACTGGCGGATATCACGGCTGTCCGCGAAAAAGAGGCGGCCGAAGCCAAAGCGACGATTCAGGATTATGCTGAAAGCTTGGATGCTATAGATCGCGCTATTCTCACCATGCAAAGCAAAGTAACCTCTATTCCTGCCACAGCGCTTCTGCAAATGGAGGAGGCTGCGACTCAGCTGCTGCGTGGAAAGGTATTTTTTTATGATGCTTTCTAAACAAACTCGTTGTAGTTTTTGAGGTGTCGTTGCAAAATATTCGCTCTGACAAACGCTCAGCAGGTTTTATGGAAGTAAAAACTGCTCTCGACGAAGCAGAACTACAAGCTGCAAAATATTTTACTCCACCACAACCCTGTCGATTCATAACCCGCATTTACCATTACCTTCTCAGATGTCCAAAAAGCCGGTCGACGTTTTGACTTCTTTTTTGTCGACCGTTGAGAAAGTGGATCTCGAGCAAGAACCCGGAGTGGCATACGAGCAGGGAAAAGCATTTAAGGATGTGATTCGCCTGTTGCAGCAACTCGAGGATAAATTTCAGTCCGAAAAGAACGCCGCAGAGACTGCTGAGCAGAATGCTATTCATGCGTACCTACCCATATGATACTAGAAGACGCACCTAGACCTAGGCCCACGCCCACCTACAACTTGTAGTACTGATTAAGCCTGTAAAGGAGATACGGTTGCTTTTCGCGACGAAACAGTCTGAAGCTTTGTAATGTGGCTCTGGCTCTCCCTCAACACTGATCTTAGAGCTGCGATAACGCTGACGAGTAAAGCATGTAAAGTCCTGAACAAAAAGAATAAGACGACCAGGTACACCCAGCAGCGAATGGACTTGACGCACATGATCGAGACGGACACAAACGAGGCTGAGCGCAAGGAGGAGGCGTCCGCCAAGGCTGGTCAAGAGAGCGCCCAGGCTGCAGCTGACCGCGATGGCGCGGCTGAGGACTTGAAGAGCACGAAGAAGTCGTTGGCCGACACCACCAAGACGTGCCACGCAAAGGCAGAGCTCGCGGAGCGCCGTGCCAAGGCCATGCAGGAGGAACTGGACGCCATTTCGCAATGTGTCGAAGCTTTGGACGCCATCAAGAACAAGGCTTTGCTGCAGCTTGGAAACGCATCTGGTGTGAAGAAGGCGGTTGCCGCCAAGAATTATGAGACACGCTGTGCCACAGCCACTTCCCTATGTATAAGTACTTAAATAGTGATATCGTTCCCACTTACAAGATTTTTTGTCTGCTGCTGCTTCTTGTCTTACACGACCGTGGTAAGCCGCTGCTTGTTTTGAGCGACTTTGTCGGAGCTAATGTTCCACCGGGGCTTATGATTTTGCTTATCTTCAAAGCAACTAGTAGTGGTACAACTCAGAAGGAACTGCTCTAAGAACAGACCGTCAAGTCCTTGTTGCAAGTTCTCTCCACCAAGAAGAGTCGTGCTTCCCCGATAATCGGAAACAAGATGGCTGATGCGGTTGCTTCCTACCTGACCTCGACTTCGCCGGCGGAGACCGCTTCCGGAGATGTGAACCAGCAACGTCTGCGCAAGATGCAAATGTTCCTCCAAAGTCAAGCTGGAAAGCTCGGTAGCCGCCTTTTGGCTCAGTTGGAAGCCCGCACGGAAGCCAAGGACTCACCCTTCGACAAAGTGCTCAAGCTGATCCAAGGTACTGCACTAAATGCATTTCATCTACTATCGGGCAGATTCTAGGAGATTTTCCTAGCTGATTTCAGAAGCATTCATCTCCTGAAACCGATTAAACCGACACCGAGCTTCGTTTTGTGAAAAGCGAAAGATAATTTTTAAATTTATCATGTCCTCGCCAGTCTCGGTCTCCTTGCTTCCTCAGGTTTAATCGCACGTTTGGAATCGGAGGCTTCCGAGGAGCAAACCCACAAGGCTTGGTGCGACTCCGAATTGGCTAAGAACAAGGCCTTGCGAGAGGAGCGCTCTGCCAAGGTCGATGGCCACAAGTCTCTGATCGAGGCAGTGTCGGCGGATGTCGAATCGCGAACGGCCGAAAACAAGGAGCTTGCCGCCCAAATCACGGAACAGACTGCGCAAGTTGCGACTCTGCAGGCTGACCGGGTTGAGGAGAAGAAAGTCTTCGATGAAGCAGTAAAGGACGCAAAGGAGGTGATGGACGCTGTCGAGTACGCCATTCAAATCATGGAATCGTTTAACATGAAGGGCGTGGCGCTGCTGCAAGCCTCAACTTTCGTGAAGACGAACAAGCAGGCACCGGCAGCATTGGATGATGAGTAATTCTGTCGGAATTTGGATCATTTGGAATTATGTAGTTGTCAAGGTCCTCAAGACTGTACCGTAAAGCACGTTCTGTTTGCATATGTACTGCAGGGTAATACTGTTTTCTAGTTCATCGCACTGCATCCTCAAGAAGAAGCGAGCTGTCTATCAGGTATGTCGGCGGCTTCGGAAGCATTGTCGCTATGTTGGAGGTCATCGGCGAAGACACCGAGAAGCAGACCGCGGAGCGCAAGCGCGATGAGGCTGCCGCCATCGAAGAGCACAACAAGACGCTGACAGACCTCAAGTCTGCTATCGCTGTTGCAAAATACGACTGGCTCTTGTAGTGTACTAGCATGTGTACTTGTACTAGAAGTACATGCCCAGAAAGCGGACCCATCAAGGGCCCGCTGCGCTGGGCATAGGTTAGCAACTAGAAAGATAAGACTACGACGCAAGCCCCTAAGTCACCAAGCTAGCGCCGCGCGGTTGGTTCAGCATGGACTATCGTGGACGCTCCTCATGGCTAAACAAGCGGGCGGGCTGTCGCTGTCTCGTGGCTAAGGATCGATAAGGTAGCAAGCTGGTTTTGGCTCAGCTAGCGAGCTGGAGTGGCCATGGCAAAGCTAGCAAGCATGCTGGCCAAGATTAGGCTAAGAGGTTGGCCCTGGCTGCCGGGCTAAGCTAGCAAGGTGGCCATGGCCAAGCTAGCGAGCTAGGTAGCTGGCTATGGCTAAGAAAGCAGCTGCTGAGCTAGGTCGCGCAAAGGAAGCAGCTACCAAGCTAGGCATGGCTAGTCAGCTAGTAGCAAGCTAGCTATGGCCAAGGGAAGGAGCCAGCAGGCAAGCTATCATGGCCAAGTAGCTAGCTTGCTAGCTAATGCTAAGTAGGGCCGAGCAGCTACCTAGGAAGCTCGTTAGCTATGGCGCAGCAGCTAGCAAGCTAGCTATCCCTAAGCAGCCAGCAGGCTAGCTATGGCTAAGCAGAGAGCTCTATAGCTATGGCCAAGTAGCTACCTAGCTAGCTAGCTAGCTAAAGCTATGGCTAAGCAGCTAGCAGGCTAGTTATGGCTAAGCAGCTAGCAGGCGAGGCTCGCTACGGCTAACCTAGCCAGTGCCAGGTAGCTACGGGCAAAGGGTAAGGAAGCAAGCCAGCTAGCTAGGGCTAAGCAGCTACCAAGCTGGCCATGGCTAAGCTAGCAGGCTAAGCCTAAGGCCCCTCACGAGGTGGCGCTGGCCCTGAGGGGAGAGTCTATTACTAGCCTAAGCTTATGACATCCCTAGTTAAGCGGCATTTTTGTTCCTTAAGGAAACAAAAGCTATAAAAATAACTTTTTGTAATAGAAATCGATCCTCTGAAGAAATCAATTTCCTTAAGGAAGACTTTGAAGGATTTGAGAAAAGTTGCGTACCTTGTAAATACTACTATTAGATAGAACGATGTAGCTCATAAATAATTTTAGTTATAAATATTTACATTCCACGAAATCCTGCAATTCCAAAAATCAAAAAATTTGGAACACAACAAGCCCCTAGGAAATTTGCATTAAGGCGTTCACAAGATCGATCGGCACCTCTACTACGACTGCACGAGCCCCATCCTTCTGCTTCCCACATTCATCTTTCGCAAAACGTGAAGCACAACAAGTCAACGATCCAGAGCCAGGAGTCTCGCAAACAGGCTGAAAAGGAGGACCTGCAAATGGAGACCGAGCTGTTGAACCAGGCCATGAAGGAGTATGAGGAATCCTTGAAGCCTTCCTGTGTGAACGCCTCCAGCTACGAGGACCGCGTTGAGAAGCGTCAGCAGGAGATCGAGTCCCTCCAAGAAGCCCTTAAGATCCTTGAGGGACAGTAAGAAGTGCTGTCGATGCATAGGGTCGTAATCTCAGGTTTTCTTAACTAGCGATATGCTGGTGGTTACATGCTTTTTGGAGGGGTAAATTGTACAGATAATAATGAAGTAGTTGACGTAAGTTGTCTGAGAAATTAACTGAGTAACCTCTTCCCATAGCAGGACGCTTTTAAGGTTTCCCCTTAAGCTAAGAGGTGTGCTGCAGATCTTGATTGGCTTCTGCCTGTAAAAAGGCGAAGGCTTAGGTCCAGCGACGCTCAAAGCACTAAATAAAACAACCGGCTGGCTTTTCCTCATCCTCTTCTTCTAACCTAGGTCCATCCCTTCATGCATTAAGTTGTACAGAAAAAAGAAGACAAGGTCTACAACTGCTTGGGGTAAAAAGTAATAAAAAGATCCAGAATGTGCATGTTGATTGTTGAAGACCTTCAGACATAATCTTTCTATCACAATTCTATAAGTCGTGCTCATTTTTTCCACATCTGACCATCGATGATACAGAATTCGGATGCAGGTTTATGTTTTTTCCTCCAGAAAAAAAATATACCCATTATACAGAAGCAGAACTGACACGTAGTTTTATTTCGTAGTAGAAATCCTTTTTCTGATCAAGCCCAACGCCAACAGGGGGACGGACAACACGCGCTCCAATTCCGGCATTGGACGAGGCTGAGGCGAGAAGTAGCTGCAGAGACACAAAAAAGTATTGCGTTTGCGTGTCTATTTGTTTTCCCTAATGAGTTAGTGGTCGAGCGGACGGTAGTTGAAGTGAATGGATAGAAAAACCAAAAGTTGGAAAGCGACAAAGTCAAAGATGTTCGTCGCAATGAAGGAGAATATAGATTGCAAAAGCTGTGGCGCATATATATATAGATATGTCTTCCAAACAAAAGCTAAGCTTGATGTCGTACAACTAGAGAATAAATTGCCGCATCGCACGCGAGCATACTAGGATTGGCCAGCAGTTTCGCTTTGCCTTCGCACCTTCAAACCCAAAGCAAAGCTTTGTCCAATACAGATGACTCTGAGTTCCAGCAATGACTGATAGATAACATATAAGTAGATACATGACGCCATCCTGACGAAATAACACGGATGATGGCGACAGAGCCATCGCGAAAACGAACAGAAAACGGCAGCCTGCGATCATTTGAGTGAGTACGTAAAAAGTGCTTCTGTCACGTCGCTCACCTGTATGATGAAATCGAACTCGGCGGCAAGCACGATAGCGTCAAGCGCAGGGGGTGACGGGATCATGGAGGAGGTTGTGAAGAGAGCTACGATTGTTCAGCAAAATCTCAAGAACACCGACACAGAAGAAGAAGATGGCGAGCATCCGCGTGATCAACAGCCGCTCTGGCGTGTGCGGTACACGTACCGGCTTTTGCTCTGGAACCTCTTCCTGTGCAATTGGGAGCTCGGTGCGCTTGCAGTTGCCATCCCAACGCTGGCCTCAGATGATAGGAACTACTTCGGCTTCGACCACGGGTCCTCCGATATTGACGATGGACTGTCGCTGGTCCCGTCTTTGTACGGTGCAATCAACATGTGCTATTTCTACGCGGCTGTCATTGCGTACGTTGTCCTAGCAGCGTACATGCTGGAGGCAATGTCGCAACAGCGCTCCTGCGTGCTCGCGTGCGCCGTGGGGACTTTCGGCACGATTCTCTGCAGCTTAGCGATTCAGTGGCCTGTATTCCTCATCGGGCGACTGCTGATGGGCTTCGGCGCGAGTTTTCCACTCATTTTCGTCTTCATCTGGACGGCTGATTTTGCTCCGCGGGGTCCGGCCGTCGTCAGCTGGGTCTCGTGGGCGATGGCGGCACCACTGCACACGGCGTCCGCCGTTGGCTCCCTATTCGGAACGACATGCACGCAACTGGGGATGAGCTGGCGCTGGACGCTTGTAGCTCAAGCTGTTCAGTGGGCGACGCTGGGGACGCTCTTGGCGCGCCTGCCGCGACAGGTGCTGGACGTCCCATACTTGAATAAGAAGCGAAAATTCGAGAAGAAAGAGAAACAAATCATGAAGCAACCACATAACAAACTGGAACAAGATGAAAGAGGAAATGCCTTTGACCACGACTCTGTCGTAGGTGCTGAAGAGAGATATGCAGTGGCTGAGGAAGTGGCAACGCGAACGCATGAACAACATGAAGCACCACTGGGCAAAAAGGTGGAAAAATTGTCGCCGGTTGTGGAGGAAGAATGCGCCTCGAATGTTGGTGATTCATCATGTCGGGGTCTCACTACCCCCCAATGTGCAGCTCCCACTCGAACTCCTGCTCAAGACAGCACCGCCACTGGATCTTCGATCTACGACGAGCTTCGCAGAACCTGCGTTACGGGATTGCTGTTATTTTGTAACCGGGATTTCTCTCAAGCGCTTGTCCTAGTCTCTGTAAGCTTCATCACTGTTGGAGTGTGGCAGACTTGGACCTTCGTTTTTTTGCAGGAACTCTTTTTGGGACCACTACGAGAGATTTTTGCGGAGGATAGAGACGTTGCCGCGTTCTCGAACGCCACGCCTAGCTCGGCATCGTCGGAAAGCGCACATGACCAAAATGGAATCTCAGGCAAGGAGGTAAGGATGTAAGTCGCTTTTTCTATCCGTAGAAACCATGTTCTTCCTCTTGACGTCGTAAAAGGAAAATTTATTTATACTTATGAATGTATACAATTACTAGTCTTTCGTACTTTCAACAAAGTAATGGGACGATGCTGGCGGGTTTCTGACTATAAGAATTGAAAGAGCAGAACCATCTTTCATTATATAAGGAAGAAGGCTTATCCCATGAAGGCTTATCCCATGAAACAATATATAAGGAGGAAGGCGGAAGCTTCCAGTTTCTGGCGATTTACTATTTTGTCCTGGTTTTAACCGCGAGTTTGGGTGGTGGGTACGTGGGTTCAACTTTTTTTGGAAACCGGCTAACCGGGAAGAATGAGTTACAAGGTATGAAACGAAAATCTGTTATCCTTATCAAGTTTCCTAAGTAGAAAAGTGCGATAATGATAAGAGATTTTGGTTTCATACAAGGAGCACGCGGGAAGAAACGCTGTCTCGAACTGCTCTTGCGTGTTTCCGGTGCTCTGGCGGTCTCCGGAGCATTTTGCGCGTGGTCGGTGGGTGTCTTTCTTCGAAACAGCGGGAAAAGCACTAGAGTGGAGCAGACGCGCGTCCAGCGGGAAGAAAATCTCTTCGCCGGATCAGACTTGACGCACATTCTTCTCTTCTTTCTGATATTCGGAGTTTTTTCGGTTCTGTTGTTCTGCGCATTATCTATCCTGCGTGGCTTAGGAGTGCTTTATGATCAGGCTAGGAGTACCAGGAGACGCACAGGAGACACGTTGTAGCATCTCAGGTGCTGCAGGGCTATTTCAAGAATACTTAGTTAGACGGTGCCATTTAAGTAAGTAGGCGGAATCTCGATACGGCTCTTTTGTTTATTCTTTCACGCTTGCGGATTGCCCGTTCCCGACCGCGACTTGCGGCTGGCAGAAGGACTTTTCGCGATGACGACCGACATTTTCTACGGCCTTGGAAGTTTTCTGGGCGGTTCAGGAGTACAGAGGGGTTTTTCAGGCGCCCTTGCCCTCTCTGGAGCGGGAGTTTCTGACGTGCGACGAGAAAACGTTGCTGGCGTTTTCATTTGGACCGTCTTTGCTCTCGCGCCGCCAACGTTCTTTACACTGTGCGGGTGCTTCCTGTTGACGAGGACGAAACTGGTGGTGGATGAGCATTCGTAAAGGAGAACTGCTGCTGGGTTTTTGCGAACTTGAGATTCAAGCTGTGTGTTTTCAAAGGCCCACTCTTTCTTGCGGCTGGTCGTGTCGAAAAAGCTTAGATTTCGCTGCTGCTTCGTTTTTTCGAGTACGAACTAGTTTCTTGCGTCCTATGCCTGAGCTAGACCCTCTTACCATGCCTTCGGTTGGCGCCAACTTCTTGAACAAACTGAACTGCAGCGAGAGAACTCTTCTCGACGTTTTGGTATTTCAGTTTGGTGTTTTTGTCGTTTCGACATTGGTTTTCTACTAGATTTTAGAGAAGTACATGTATAACTGGTACTGCAAAAACTCGATTTTAGTAGCTTTAGCTAGGTGTGTGATGATAGCCTTTGAGCTTCGTTAGTTATGTATCGCCGTAATCGAGCGACTACTCATCGACGTGCTCCCCGCGACTGCTCGTGATTGTTATCATGCCTCTTGATGTTGATTTGTCTCGTTTATCGTTTCTACTTTTCATCTCGTCCTTACTTCCTAAAAAATGTTCATGTTGTGATGTTCATACTGTGTCGCTCTCGACGTAGTAAGTCGTATAACTAGAAGTTCTACCATAACCACGACCATTTTCAAAACAAAGGGAATATTTATCACTAATTAGGACAGTAGGCGAAGAAAAAGAAAATCTTTTGACACTTCGCTTCCTTTTTTGGATTCCCAGTCCCAGCTTCAATATGGCACTCCCGTATTACCAGACGGCAGCCCTGCAGCAGCTGTACGAAGGACCACGCGCGGTGCGATACCTTCTACCTGCGGAATTGCCCAAGTTGCAAAAAAATTGCATGCAAATTGAGGTTCCAGACTCGCGCTGTCCAATTGGGTGGGAGTATTCGCAAGGATACTGCTTCGCAGGCCACGACTATAAAGGTCCGTGCCGCCGGGTTGAAACCTTTGTTACTCCGGTCTACGCGGAGTACTTCAAGGCAGGAAAGAAGCGGCTCTCTTCGATAGATGAACAGGGGGATGCGGAAGCAGGGGGTGCAGAAGCTTCGAGCACCAGCGGTAAAAACAAACAGACCGGTGCTAATTTTGCTTCATCCACCGCAGCTGCGTTGTTGTCACAGCAACAGAGACTATCAGAGCCGTGGACAATGCCCATTCCAGCGCTGGACGGGTTGGGGATGCATTGGGCGCAAGCGCGGAAGAATATGGTCAAAGTTGCCGAGGACTGGAGCAACCTGATGTCCAATAAAATGCAGCAATTTGCGACCAAATGCGACGTGAAATGGCCTTGCGCGGGATCCGGGAGTCACCAGACTCTGCCAATAGTGGGTATGTGTCCTTACAAGTGGAAACCGTCGACCGGAAAGGACTTTCTCGAATCGTACCCAACCAAGGGAGATCAACCGTGGTTGGCATACGAGACTTTTTTCTCTACGATTTCAAAAGCGAAGGCTTTCTGCTTCCCACCTGCGGAGATTCGAAATAACCCGAATTGTATCCAACCCCTGGATCCGACCAATTTTCCCGAAGAAGGAAGCCTGAAATTGCAGATTTTGCAGAAAGAGTGTGATCTCAAGTACAACTTAGCGTTTTTTTTATCGTGTTGCTTTGCCTGATGCTGATTTCGTTGCAGGTCATTTGAAAAGTAGCCGCCTGTCAACCTTGTTTTTCTTGCTAACCTATTTACTTCGACTGCGTGATGTTGCTCATGCTGTTCCGAAAAACTAGTCACTCATCAACTCGACTTTGTTCAGGTGGAAATCAGCCCCCCCGCCTAGTCCCGTTGAAACAGCGCGCGCTGTTGCGGAGGCCGCCAAGGCGGCTGAAGCAAAATTAGCGCAAAGGACTTTGTTTTCATATATTAAAGCTGAGGGTCCTCAGACTCGGTCCAAGGCGCCAAGACCGAAGCTGCAGATCCCCGACGACGAAGCAGTCGACGCGGTCCTCGCAAGTTCGTCCTCCTCGAGTTCGGAAAATATCGCAGCGGAGGAAATGAAAACGCAAGTTGCTCCCGAAGCCTCTCCCTTCTTTCCTGATGAAGTGAAAGCAGAAGCACAAAGAGGCCTAAATGAAGGGCAGTTGCTGCTGCCGACGCCGTTCGTGCCGCGACAACAACTTAGATTTCTGGCGTTTTCCGCGGCTTCGCAAGGTGACATGAACAGCGCGGAACCAACAAAGATGCTGGTCACGTAGATGCGAAGCATGATTGATTGGTAATGTATTCCACCACCGGTGCGAAGCAGCACTTATTATTCTTGCCTTGTGTGCCTCCACTGAACCTGAAGCCGAGACTCGCAACATCGCGGTGTACACCAGCACGAAACGGCAGGGACGTGGATTCATGGCGGCGCTTTGAGAAGCCGACGACTCGAAAAAGATCATCGCGCGTGATTTGCACCGCCAGCCGAAGGAGCAGGCGCCGAATGATAAGAGTAGGTTCTAGACCATCTTTGTGTCACCCGAGATTGAAGTGCGGCATGCGTGGATGCAGTCTAGTTGTTGTTCTCGAGGGCCTAGGACCGACTAGAGAGATGGATGCACGATTGTCGTCTGACTCAAGCACTCTGAGCAAGCACATAGTTGGCTTGCGCTCCTGGAGAAACTAGTAACTGGAATTTCCTTGTTGATGTTCACGATGTCGATGACAAACACCAAGACCAATCAGACACGCTGAATAGGAAAACGGTGATCTTCTTGAGCCAGCAGAATATTCTTCAGGTTCAACTGCACAAAGATGGTAGTGGTTCACACTGCTTTCGTGCTATTGGCAGAGTTCTGCTATGCGAAATTTCAAGTCGGGGCGTCCGAATGGGATGACTTGAGCTCGAACACGCAGCGGAAAATAACGAGGTGTCACTTGTTGGCACTAGTCCTGCTCCTCACCTTGTGGCTTCTGATTCTCCTGCAGCTAGCGATAGGGGGGGCATCTTCTCCAACGGAAAGAGTACAGCATCCTTGTGGGTGGGCGTAGCATTCTTGGTTGATTGGACACTTTGCTTCTCGTGGGTGGTGTATTCTCTAGTAAAGCAGAAAAGGGAACAAGAGAGACACAATGCCTTGTAGTAGTACCAGATGTTCTCATGATGCTACTCTTGTTGTCAGACGACATCACCAGTCTCCAGTACCTTGGTTCTTTGTTTTTGTGATGAATGTTAATTGTTACAACTGACTGCTCTTCATAACTAAAATGGGAATTGCTGGGCGCAGGGACCCACGCGCGCACCCGTAGATGGAGGTCCAAATAAGAGAACGTGGACAGACCAGCATGTGTATGTGTTGATAAGTAAAAGTAGTAATGCACCAGACACTTCGACGATCAATCTGCAGTTTGCAAAACATGACCGAAGAATATTGCTGGTGTCGATCACGAATATGAAACGGGAAGAAATGACCTCGATCTTGTCTTTGTTATTGCTTCGCCGTGTTGATCCCCTCAAAGAAGAACACGATGTGCATCAGATTGGAACAAGGATCGTCTATGTGCAACACTGCTGGTAACTTTAAATTTCTATTGTGGTCCTCCTCCTTGTTAAATTGAACAACATTACAAAATTGTCAATTATCGACAGTATTTTGCCCAGAATGTTGTCCTGCGTCATGAGCATGATATACGCCTATTAAGAAAATGTTGTTGTGAGCGCAGTATTAACAGTCGAGGAAGCGTCAGATGTACTTGCAGAAGATGATATCAACTGAAAAGTGCGTTGATGAGAGCCGTGGTAATAATATGGTCATCGAAGCAGATCGTTGAATAAGCAGCAGGCATAGATGCAGTCTTAAAGTTGAGGTTCACGTAAGCAACTGCTTCGTGGAAGAAGTCGCTTTTTTTGGTCGTTTATCATTTTCTAGAAGAAGCGCGACAGGTGTCGGTGTGCTCACCTTCTCCTTGTCCACTTCCTTTCTGTGTCATGTCCATGTGGCTGATTTTCATTTCTATTCATTCTTTGCATGTTGACACAAGAAAATAAGATGAAGGCACCACGACCTGTCTTCAACTGAGTCGTGATGACGTTACGTTAGTATCGAGGAGCAAGAGCCTGCGGCGAAAGCGCGACAATGCGGTGGTGGCAAGGTTTTGTCGGGGGGCTCCTCCTCCGCCTTATCGCTGGAGCAGGACTTTCACTTTTCGTGTTGGCTGACTTGCCCGTGCATTGTGATTATTCTGAAGTTCCCGGCGTGTGGGAGTTCGTTTTTGGGCGTCTGCAACCAGCTGGCAAAAATTTCGATGGCGTCAATTTTGATCGACGATGCGGTCAGACGATACCTGGAAATCCAGATGGCTGGATCGAACTTACGCCGGGAGAGGTGGTCGTAGAAGTAAACGAGGATGATCCCAGAAGCAGCCAGCTACTGGAATATCAATATGACTACCGGGTGGACCGTACCATTCTGCGGGACAGTAACGATGGTGGAAACGCTGCATACGGATCGTCAACAACCAAAATAATTCCTTCGGACGTTCTGCACAGAGAAAAGGGTAAATACTTCCTTACCGAAAGGTTTCAGCCCATAGGCAAACTGACGATGCTTCTGAAGGAAGGAAATCTGTACGAAGATCCGGAACTCGAAATCCTCGAACGGGAAGACTTTTCGGCGCAGATGGTCGATAAGGGAAGCGGCCATACGAAAAAGCCGCATGGATTTCACAGCCAGGAGCTCCCTGCAGATCTGGTCCCTGGAGTCCGCGGCGCCTACAGTATGGTCTACGACATGGGCGCTCTACTGAAATTCGTGTTCTTCGAAGACATGAAGCAGAAAGCACTTCATTCTGGTGAGACAGCACCTTCTGGTGCCTCCCAGGTATCAACATCAAGTGGAGTTCTGCGCACGCATACGATGTGGGCTCCGAGCAAGTTCACAGTGCCAATTGGGCACAAAGTGGATGAGAGTGATTTCCGTGTGATGCACCACTACGCCGACTGCTCGCGAACGGTTGTTGGCTCCTACAAGGCCAAGCTAGAAGACCCGCTATCACGGCGACATAACTTGATTGACAACGAACTTTGCTACTACGGCCGCCGCGTGCGCACGTGGGCGGAGATAACGTCGCCGCAATGTGCAGAAAAGGAGAAAGCTCTAGCACAATCACGGCGTGACGTCGTCGGAGGAGACGCCGCTCGGTTTTGCTTCGCAAACATGGAGAAGGCCGGAGAAGGCGACTTGGTTGCTGTCGGCGAAGTAGTGAAGAGAAATGGAGCTGCCAAGTCGCGAGATTTGCGTCGTGGGGCCCTTTCCGGCACTGGCGCCGCAGACCTTGCTGGTAATGCTAGGTGGGGTGGCGGAGGAGCCGCGTCAGGCGGGGTATCAGGGTTTGACCTCACTGCATGGCGGGACTGCTTGCCTACATCGGGAGGATCCGTGAATCGGTGTCCACCGCGACGAGCAGCGCATGAACTTTTTGACGACTTGTTCGACAACGGCGCGTCACCAAGCCCAGCCGAAAACAAGTGGTTCTTCGTGTCCACAAACACGGTAAAGGCAGCTGGCTTAGGCGGAAGTACTAGGCCGAACCGCTTCCGAGAAAGGAGGTATTCAAGGACCGCAGGTTTATTCCTTGTTTTTTTCGTGCTCGTTATCATGCCACCGGCTGTCATTCTTGTGTTATTCGCGATTTTCTACGCGCGCTGGCATCCGAAATCGAAGCTGGCACGCCTTGTGTCTTATGCGCAAGCGAAGCTCGTTGCGTGTAAACACAAGGTTTGTTGCAAAAGTAAAGACAGCAGGAAATCGTCGTCCGGCAGCGGTGGAGAGGGTAGAAGTAGCGGGCGCAGGCGAGGAGAACTGACATCCCCCGGCAAAGCAGGCGAATCTGAGCGCGGACGAAAGCGTGAAATACTAAGTCCTGATCTTAGAGCGCGACCAAGCAGTAAAGTTTCCTCCATTTCGGATTCGAGTTCTATCGACGACATAGAAAAGAACAAGTTTGGAGCGAGAAGGGGGAACAAACGCACATCGAAGAATCCAGCGCCCCTGGGGAGCCGGGAGAAGCAAATAGAGGTCAACGGAGACGGCAGTATTATCCTAGACGGTGACTTCAAAATTGTATCAGAAAACAGGGTAGGCGACATTGACTATATCAGCGACGGCGTCTTTGCCTTTGGAAGAAGGGCCCCACGTTCAGTCGAACTTCAAGGGGCCGCAGATTTGGGCGATTTTTCGGACGACGATGACGATTTAGACGAAAATGGAAGACCTAAAAGCAAAAAGGACGACCGAGCATCTTCATTCACACTTCTCCTCGCGCAGTCAATTGGAGTTGCTGTTGTGGTAGCTCTTTTCATCTGGTTACTGGCGTGGGCGGCGCGGTCAGCGGGAATCATCGCTTTCGCTGGCAATGAAGACAACGCTAGTAGCGCAGGCTTACCCGCAGGAACAAGAGCTGGGGCTTTAAGAACAAGCTTCGATGCAGCGCGCGGCATGGACCTAGGAGATATCACTGGCGATGATGCTCCTGGGACTGCCCAAGAGTCTGAACAAGACAGTGGCATTAGTGGACAGGGTCGACAGATTCGTAAACGCGATGCGGTGATGATTGGATCGGTAACTAAGGAGGAGCACGCGAAACGTCTGGCTCAGATCAAGCGCAAGTACCTTAGCGGTTTCCACGACGTGAACGACAAGCAGGAGGCGAGGCGGATGCAGCGCAAAATCGAACTAACACAGTTTGCGGAGCGCAACCATATGCACTTGTACGACCTCACGATAGATGACTTGATCGACGAATATCCGGAGCCGGTCGAATCGGCCATGCCGGAGACCCTTGCTGCAAATCCTGATACCAATTTCTACCTTTACGTCGACGCTGCGACTGGACAAACGCCTCACAACGCGGCAACATTTTTCTCGTACGATCGGTATGGCGCTGTCAGTAAAATTGCAGGCGGTGGCGTGAATAAACAGATAAGATCGGCACCCGTAGCGACCACAGTTGCTAGTTTTTCACCTCCTAGTGGAAAGTTCAAGCCCGATAACAACGCAGAGCCTGCGTGGCGTAAAATTCCATTACAGAAGGATATGTGGCGCACGTTGAAGCACTTCGACTGGCGCTTTGTCGGCAAGAAAGTGAGGAGAAAAACAACACGTTCAAAAGCACACTCTACTAAGGTTGCCGAACCCGATGATGAATATACGCGGGTGGAGGAAGTGATCGGCTTCATTCCGGACGTGATCGATCAAGGATCCTGCGGGAGCTGTTTTGCAGCAGGCTTGACAGGTATGGCGACCGCTCGCTACTGGATCAAGTATCCGGAGACCAAGGGCGACTTCGAACTGCTCACTCCTCACATGCTGGAGCAACATGCTACCATCGCAGGTCGTGTGGACGCGGTTCCAGAGGCCGCGCGTGGTCCGAAGAACCCCTTTGCCGGTGCCTCTTCTCGGCATCAGGACAACCTACAGCAGCAAGCGTGGCTCCTGGATGACGCCGGAGAAGGTCGCACCAGGCGGTTTTTCCAGCGTTTTGCTATGGAGCAGCAAACCGAGGCTGTGGACTACAACCAAGGTTGCGGCGGCGGGGACCCTATGCTCGAAGCGTTGTGGCTCACGGAGTTTCCGGGTGTGACCGATTTCTGCTGGTTGGTTCTGCGGGCAGAGGGGGACGACGCGAAACGGCTCGAACTGCAGCAAACGCATCCCGCCTGTCGCAGACAGTTCCAGGTTACTTCGTTCCAGTACATCGGGGGCGCAGTGGGCGCATGTGGTTTGAGCAGTATCTGCGAAGAACTGATGATGCGAGAGCTCTTCCAGAACGGACCTTTGTCATTGGCGATAGATATGCAGCACACGGTGACCGCTGCAGATGGCAGCGATAACGCAGAGAGTGATGCTCTACACCGTGGCACGACAGGAAGCAAAACGCTAACGGACGAACACGACACTTCTCTAGTGATGTTCAAGGATCGCGAGACGCTGTCATTGGCTAGAGAGCGCACGGACGAGGAAGACGACCCGAAGCACTACGCGTGGCAGCGCGTGGAACATGCTGTGCTGCTCATTGGTTGGGGCGAGCGTGGCGACGAACGGTGTCGAACCCGGCTTCACGTGGCAGAGGACAGCGAACGGCAGTGCGAAGAAGCTTCCTATGACCGCAAACGCTGCGCGCAGCTGAATTTCTGTCGCTTCTCGGGAGAAACGTACTGGATCATACAAAACTCGTGGGGCGAACACTGGGCTGATGAAGGAATCGCGAGGTACAGTCCTCGCGGACATATGGCGGCAAACAGCGAATTTGCTCCATTCGTTGTTGATGTCAAAGCCGTCTCGCAGAAGATTCGCTATGTTGGAATTGATGACGGGCTCGAGGATGAGGAAGACGATGACCTGTAACCTTTGTTCTTCAATAGACTCAAAATTAATTATATCCGAGGAGCAGTCTGGGAGATTATCAATATATTTTTTTGTTGTTGAGGTACAGCTCCTACAGAAATATTAGCACGCCCATATTTAAATTGTCATTGTTTGACTGTGTTGTCGTTAAAACCCATATTGATGTTTGTTGCATCTGCGTTTTCCGTTTTGATTGTCAAATAGTTATATCGGTGGAATCATCAAGAATTGTAGTGATCAAGATTTGAATCTTCGCTTCCATTATAATAGATGCGTTGGGTGTATCAGGATCCGGATCCCCAACACCCCGATGCAGGATAACCCAACTCCGGATGCCCCTTACGCTTACCCATAAGATGGAGGAGACAATCACAATGTTCGTGTTGCAGTGTTTTACTTTATTCGCATACTCATGTGTTGAGGAGGTTGAGCAGTTTGACCTTTGTGCGCCCGGTTATGCAAAATGCCGTGAGTTATTCGTTTTTTAAAAAGTAACTTCAAGTTCTCGACTACAATTTGTGTTTGCTAGTTTGTCTTCGACGTGTGGTTCTCCGTCATCGATGGATCGCGTTTACAACATGTGACTATGAGCTTTGTCATTCATGTTTTGCGATCTCAAGCATCGGGAGAGTTCCATACATGCGTCATTATTTGTGTATTACCCGTACACGCGAGATCTGTTGCAAGTAGCAAGAATGATATGAGATGAAATGTATCGAGGAGAGAAGGAGAGCACAAGCGAGGTAACTGGAAAGAGCGAAGACCCTCTATGTCTTTCTCCAACATGCCTCTTTGTTCATCACTCCACAACCGCCAGACTCTGTCTACGGCATTCTCCTAGAACTTACCTCTAGACTGCATCTCCCATGCCTAATCCTGCCGCTTCCGTCCCCGTCGTATAAATTATACTCAGTATTAGTATGTATCACTAGCACCATCACGCACTACATATCAAGATGCTGTTGCTGATCTCCAATCATGAGGCTATTCGTGACGTTTTATGTTTACCGCGGTCGTAGCCGTAGCGCATGTGTTGAATGATGAGCTTCACCCTCATCTCTACTAAGAAAAATTAGTGTAGTTCGTATTTGGCGTTGGAGTAGATGATCACGATCAATTGTATATACATACCGCCAGCAGTCGGTTTACATGAGCATGGATTTTACTCATTTCTGAATACCAATTCGATTCGACTTACAGTTACACACACTACTTGTAGTGGACGAGATGAACTTGTACTACCCATTGACATCATCTTAGGGTCTCGATCTCGCGTGACAACAAGACCTATTTCATGTACTAGAGGGAAGGGCGGAATCTCGATCACCTAAAACTCTATCACTGGTGGATTGGTGTGTTGCTTAGCCGAAAAGATTGAGGAAAAACAAAAAAGTGATAGTTTTCTTGGTGAAAGTCAGTGGTAAAAAGATGCAACTTGTTGAAGCACTCGCCGGAAGTAGCAGCAACCCAGCTGCGCCAGCGTTTCAGTTCAACGGTGCTGGAACTTCGGGAATGAGAGCGGCGGATATGACATCAAGCGCAGGTGCAGGTGCAAGTGCACCAGTCTTGGATGCTGCAGGGGCCGGTGCGTCAGGTGTAGCAAGTGTGGATCCACACTTTGCGGGTGGAAATCAAGCGACGAACTCCCAGAGCGTGGGCTTAGCTGTAGCGGCGACTAGTCCACCACAAGCTGATGTTGGAGGCGCGACGACACCCGACGCACCTGTTGTGCCGCGTACTCCGGAAGAGCAACGCGCCCGAGCGCTGTCGACACTGACCCGGTTAGCAGACATCGATGCGAAGAATCCAGGACAGCTGGAATCCGATATTCGTGCGAAAGCACGCGCAGCCCTAGAAGAGGTGCACCAAGCAGGCACTGGTTCGTGTGGAGGTGGCGCAGCAGTCGGGCGAGGCCGAGTTGGCAGAGATGCAGTGCGCGAACTCGCCACGAAGTATGGCATTGAAGCAGACCTCTTTGTTGAGGGTCTGGCACATGCCGGCGAGAAGGACCTGCAAACGCTGCTGCAGAATTCAACCAGTGCTGATGTAGTGGAGCAGTTAGACTCTGGTGGTTTTACGGTAAGGGGTCTCTTTTTGCGAATCCACCGTGTGCCACCGCTGCTGCCGTTCCAGACCTCTGAACTACGCGACGTTGCGAGTCGACTGGCCCCTGACGAATTTCCAGCACAGGATGAAGTCGGGATGCTTCAACGACTCACGAATCTTGTGCAAGCTGCTGAAACACTGCAGATTCCGGACATGGGGATGGGTAGCTCTTCGTCTTCTTCATCTTCATCGCGGCGTTCGGTTTGCGAGAGCGGCACTCACTTTACAGCTGCAACAGATGTGCTAAAAGACGAATACGAAACAACACTACTCGCGCTAGCTAGTAAGCGGGGCTGGCAGTCGGTTGTGGACTACTTTTTGAGCCACTTCAACGTTCCAGATGGGGATGATTCTGGAGGGGGTGGCGGCATCTCAAGTGCGTGCGACGAAGTGAGAGACGAGATCATCGAGCGCATGGAGCTGAAACTTGCCGCGGACCGCGCTGAGAAAGCAGAGAGCGCAGCAAAGAATTTGGCGGAGAATCGCAAAGAATGGCTTGCGCGTGCAGTGGCTTCTCTCGAAGTACCCGCGACTAGCACCGACGCGTCTGGAGCGTCAGGCCACGGGAACTCGGTCTCAGGCGTTCCAGGTTCAGTCGCTGCCGCAGGAGGCACGAGCAGTACCGTAGCACTGCAACCTACCCTGGGTTCTGGGGTCAATGGGACCATGCCGGACCAAATAACGTTGCCACCGCTTACTACTGTACAACACCCAGGATTACATGCACCTCCACAACCAGTGCCATTGTCTATACCAGGCATCGCACCTGCCCTAGATTTCGGATTTACGAGTGTTGCTCAGACGAACATCGCAGGAGGTACCGCGATTAGCATGGCGCATCCACAATATCCACAACAGACTTTTGCTGATGCAACTAGGCCACTGCCACCCTCTTCTTTTGTACCCTTCGGTCAACATCAGCAGGCTAGTGCTCCACCAGGTGGTGAGCTTCCATCTACCACTCCTCGGGGATCAAAGCGAGTGACGTTCAGTGATCAGCCACCTAGCTTCGCGCCGAATTCAATGACGGGTGCGCCTGTTGTCCCTGCTCCGACGCCTGGCTTACAGGACATGACGGCAAGTATTTCCTTCTGCATACCCGGTGCTTCATCAACTTCGGGTGTTGCAGCATACCCCGCTCCAGTTCCAGTTACAACACAACCTCCAGCTCCAGCCCTTCCGACTACTAATTTACCACCACCAGTTACTGCACCAGTAGCTGTTGCGAACCCCTTTGGGATCATACCAGCTGGTGTACAGACCGAAGTCCCACTTGGAGGTCAGCCTGCGGCACATCCCGCGAGCAGATCATCTGGTCAATTTGTCCAGGCTGCAACCGCGGTCGCCGGCGATTTGGTGTCACCAATGGCAGGTCACGCTGTGCCTGCACCTTCCGGCGGCGGACATCAGACTAGTGCTGGAGGTGCACCCTTCATGTACTATCAGGAACCAAGCTCTAGCTCCACCAGTGCTAATCCACTTGTTCCACCTTATGATCAACAACCAACAAGTGGAGGTTCTGCCGCTGCAACAAGCGATATGTTTCGCTTGGGCGTTAGTGTCCAAGGCGGTTCTTCCAGCAGTTCGCAGCTGCCTACCGCGCCTGGATTTTCTGTCCAGCATCCACCAGCGGCAACTTCTAGGCAGCCAGGATCTGGCTCTTCAAATACTGGCCTAGTTGGCCAGATGCCGATTCCCAATCTGAATTTTTCACAAGCGTCTGGCACTGGGTCGATGTCTCTAGACGCGTTGCGTAAGCAGGCAAAAGGCATGCCCCTCTTTCCGGGAGCGTCGCCGCCAGCAACACCACGTGCGTCACCACGAAGTGGGACACCGAGGACGAGCCCAGAAGCTTCACAGCCCGCGGTGGACCCATTGACCGCTGGTGCAGTAGCTGCTGCTCCCGCACAGCATGAGTATCCGAGTTCACAATATGTTGTAACGAGCAATATAATTGCAGAGACGAGTGTGGTCGCAACGGCAACTTCTTCCTCTAGTGCTTCCGGTGCTTTGGCTGTACCGCCTGCAGGAGTAGTTGAAGGAGCTGCTCCGGTTCAACCAGGATCAAGCAGCGACGCGCCAGTAGCTCCACCAAAAAGACCGCCGAGTAACTACGACATTTCGCTATTCCGCGAGAACACGGGTCGCTTGTTCGATAGCTTTGTGAACGTCGAGGAGTACGACTGCAGTCCTCGTCGGAAATTTCGTCAGGCGATGTCACACGGACGGCCTCCGTCACGCCGGCTTGCTGCATACGTGAATCGGCCCAACCGCATGGGATGGACAGCTCTGCTGCTCGGCGCGAAGGAGGGCCACGCAGGCGTGTGCAAGGCTCTCCTGGACCATAAGGCCGACGTCGACCAAGAATCGGGAGCCACGCGATTGACGCCTTTGATGTTGGCTGCAACGAGTAGTGTGAGTTTGGCCACCGTGGAGTTGCTGCTGATGCGGCGCGCTGATGTGTGGCGTGTGAACGTGAACCAGCAAACGGCCTTCGAGATGGTAAAGAACAAGCGCCATATGCGTGACCAAAAACTGGTTTTGCTGCAACGAAACAGCGCGATCAAAAATGGCGCTGCTAAACCACCACCAGACTTCCCTGGCACGGCTGGACCTGGAGGAGGTGTTCCTGATTTGAACGGAGCAAGTGGCTCATTGTTTCCCCCGTTAGCGCAGACCAGAGGCGGATATGCGCTCATGGACGCACGGGGGAAGCCGCTAGATCTGTACTTTTCTATCTGTTCATCGTTGTTGATAGATGGTTTTGAAAATAAATGAAATGAAGACCACCGTACTGCACGCTAAGACCAAGTAATATTACAAGAAGCATTAGCTTAGCTGGGGCATGATTATTCACCGACAAAGTTGCAACACCATACAGGTATCGCATCGGGCCACCACCATCGATCGAGCAAGGGCAGGATTTCAGCGCTATAGAGCAATTACTGCAGCGTGTGACGAGGGGAAAGGAATTGAGCGTAACCATCAACAAGAATCCAGCATAGCATAGACGCAAGAACAAGATGCGTCTCCTGTCATGCCATCAATTTCTTTTGTTCGCCCTCTGTGTGATTCAACACTCATTCTTATCATGTCAACTATATTGTTCATGTTCATTCTTACGCTCGTGACACCATTACGTTTATCATTATCTACTTACTGAGGCCGATCTCGATTGATACAGGGAAGGATATACCATCAATCAGCGTCTGCAATGAAATTGAAGACTGTAGTGATGTGCATCAGTAGCGCAATCTTATCGTCTAAGCAATCTTACATCAGGCATTGGCCGTGGTGCTGATCATATTGCTTAAGCGAAAATCGCATCCACATCTGTTCCCGGAGAGAATCATGCTCACTAAGATTGAGAGCGCGAGAGCGAGCGATCTGTCACCATAAAATATGCAATCAAGAAAGCGAGAGGAGGAGGACGTCTTCTTCTGGCTTTTATCGTTCCTTCTGTCTATAATCTGTTGTAGAGCTGCCGCGTGCGTGATATTTCTCAGTTAAGAGCTCAACTAAGTCTAAGACGACGTTGACGTGATTGAGAGTTTGACTTCAAAAACGAGAGAGAGGGATTTTTCTGTTCGTGATGTGTCAACTACAGATGGAGCGAAAAGGTGTAGACCAGAAGCAAAAATCTGTATGGTTCTCGTCCGCGAGACCACGAGTCAATTCAATATCCTCAAAGCAGGAGTACGAGTAGAGACAGAGAATCCACGGTCACCGTGACTGACAGTTGTCACATCTGTGCATGTAGATGCATCAAAGTTTTGAGAGCCCTTACGCAGCCCTAGGGCGAGAGATCATGCGTATACGAGGTAGTCATAGTCTTGGTGGCACTTTTTTTTTCTCCAACTTACTTTTCGAAACAGGTTCCAGGTTGTACGGAAGACCTTCTTGATGGTCGGATCGGTGCGCTGCTTTGGGGCTCTTGTTCACAATTTTTGATGATTTCTAGAAATTTTCGCGCATACAACAACGATCAAATCACATATAGACTGATAATTCTTGACATTTTCCATAACGAACGATTGACGCTGTCGCTGACCATTTTTACCAATTCTTCGTTATTCTGAAAATTTTTCTTTTATCTTCGACTTTGACTTTGTTCATGTCAATAGTCTTCATGTATGCATGTATCTACCTTAAAAATCTTGGTTCTGTTTAAGTTATAGTATACAGCATAGTCTCTGTCCTTGAGAAATAAGTTTTGGAGTATTTTTCTCGCCGATTTGCGTGACGTAGCTTTTCTAGATGAATTCTTGAACCGAATAGCACATAGCGATAGTCCAGCATAAGGCATCTCAGTATTGACGTTTGTGCTGTGGGTCTTACTCCAAGGACAGAGAGTCAGAGAAATGTACGGTAGTATGCACAGTCCTCAAGGCGCTACAGCGCCGCACACCTCGATCGACTTGCGCCAGGTGGCGCAGTTCGAGGTGGCACGTGTGGAGCGTGCTTTTTTGCGAGAACGCGCCCGACAGATCTGGGATACGAATAAGACGAGTTTTTATTGGCCCTACGTGGATCAGGTTCATTTCGGGCGCACCTACGCCAATGCTCCCCGGTGCTTGGATCCTCGACTGCGCAGTACCGGTTACGAGTACGCCAAGACGCGTCCGGAGATGGGGTACACGCTAACACCAAGAGAAAATTCTCTGCACGCCAAGCGATCGCAGAGTCGGAGCAAGCAGGGACTTAGCAGGTCAGTTTCGGAAATCTTTGATTCGCAGACACTGCTTATGCGTACGGAAGAAACAGTTCCGGACCTGCGTCCGATCGGGACACCTAGGAAAAAGTTGGAGCAGCTGGTGGAAAAACGCTTCGCGGATCAACATGAACGAAAAAGACAACGAAGTAGGGCAGCAGCAGGACTGGACATTGAAAGCGACACAATTGGAGCAGGTCAACGAGAGAGTTGTGCGGAATCCTCAGTACCTTTGAGTCGATCATCATCAAGGGATGCTCCGCATCACACAGGAAGTGTCGATCCTTCGGACTTTCTTGCTGCTGGATCAAGGGCAACGTCAAAAGGGGAAGTACCCACTGGCAATAGTCTAGACCACGCTAGCAATGGTCTACTTCAACCTCATCACGTGTCCTTCGGAGACACGCTCGACTCTATGCAGCCCTTTACAACGACATCCTGCATCTTACCTTCAACATCGTCGGGCAGGTCGTCCGGTAACGGGCGGAGCAACAGACCCCGTCGTTCGAGTTCGCACACACCAAAAGACAACAAGCGACCGCAGACTGCCGACCGATCAGCGTCAGCCTCGCCAAAGTCAAGAAATCCATCAGGAGGCTTCGCCCACACAAGGGAGCAAAGAGAGTACTACAAGAAATTTTGTGATGTTGCTTTTTTACAGCATCCATCGATGTGAAAGGATGGAATAGATACAAATACGTTATCATTCACATCTAACGAAAAATCATGTTCATACCTCTGGCTTTGGGGGCCCGCTTTGCATCCTCTGCAGAAGAGCTACTTAATCTTTGACTTTCTTCTTTAATATCGTATCAAGCATTCAAATTCAATTCCCATCTCTCAGGAAGCGTCCTGATACTGCTCCGTGTCATTCACGGCCACTGCAGTGGCATGAGAATCACGGGCAGACGGTGAGTCCGAGTCGTGTTGGATGTCGCTGTTACGGCCAATATTCGCAGGACCCGAGAGTTGTGCACGATCGGCCACTCAACATCAATATGATTGAGGAACTTTGGGACGACTGAAACAAGAAACATTACCTATCAGTGGTGTGCTGGGTTGGGATGACTGATTACACCACGAGGAAAGAAAGTGGGGTGAATTTTTTTGGAGAAGACCTGGTGCCAACTCAAACCTGGTGTGGGATGACTTGAGATCTATTGTGGGTCGTTCATGATCGAAGACCAGCCAGGAGAAGCAGAAGTGGAGGTCTTCAGTAGTTTTTACATGTATCTCTGTGTATGAACTCCACGAGGAGCGTGGCCATCTTATGATTTTCGAAGATCGCATTCGCATAATTGAGACGAAGCAGGAACATAGTAGACATACCTGGTAGCAACAAACTACAGCACGCCCAAATATCGCTAAAAATGTACGCACCACTCAAACAAAATGTACACGCTGCCGAAATCGAAGGAAACGAAGTTTGACAAGTAGGCGATTCCCATTCCGATCAACGAAATCATAAAAATTTTATCATTCTCTAAGTGTTTAGTAACCTCCTTGTTGAACTAACATCAACATGCAGATGGATATTATGATAATAGATTCTGTATGTATCGTAAGCTTTTTAACTATTTTTTGACGACGTAAAATGAATCAAGTGGTTCTATCCCTCAACATCAACGTAAGGACGGAACATGGCGACGATTATGACGACTACGGATACCGTAGTAGGGCCTATCCTGGTCTTCGTCTGTGCAACATGGCCAATAGTACACACGATCGACAGCGCGCGCAACATCTGGATCTGTTGTTGTCCGTCTGATTTTTGATACCCCAGAAAATACGCATTCTATGATTGGCCCACGCACGACTCCATCAAGTGGTTCATATGAATTATTCTTTCTCGATGATACATCAACACTTATACATAGATACAACTTGAGTTTGCGTAAAATGAAAAACGAAATCATTCATGTGTTTGAGTTTGATGTTGTTGAGATTATCGATTGTGTTGAACTTCAAGTGTAATTGACTTGCAAGCTCTCCATAACCATAGGAAGATCTTGACTCAGATATTTGTGAAGTAAGTTGTACTAGGACCTTCTGCAGCTGATATTTAGGTCCTCGGATCTCTGGAACTAAAAGGAGTAAGTAGAAAATGGCAAGATAACAGGAGCACGAGCCTCCATGAAGCTTCTGAAGACCAACCGGAATCTTGCTACAGAGATAGTACTGGGTAGTGCGTCATCTCAGAACAGTGGTTTTTTAAGTTTAGTATGATGAAAAATAAGTGGATAAAGTTAAAGAATATGAAAAGTATGACCACGACATTGCTCACAAGAATTATGGAGGTTGACCTCTACATGGTTTTTGACTCCTGAACGCGTCTTGTAGCTTATTTCGGTTTTGTTCGGCATTCACGTATAAGTAAGTACGTAGAAACGAGAAGGAGAACAGCGGCATAAGTTTTCTACCCCTCAGTATGCGTTCGTGTGTTCAGTGTTCTCTGTTTTTCACTACCGTGAACACGGACAGTTTCCAGCGTTGTGTTTGGTGCATCTTTTGTTGAAGAGGTAGAGAAGGAGAAAGCCTACAGCTAGTGCAATGCGAAGCATTGTGATCGGTGATTTTTTCCTTTTTTGTAGAACGAGCACACGAAATCACGATTGTTCTTCCTACAGCTATTGAACGAATCAATGTCCGACAAAGACGGGAGTGATGAGGCTGCACTAGCTTCAGGATCATCAGTTTGTTGAACAGAACTAAATAACAAGAGCATGGCTTCCGACGCTGACAAAGAAATACCGAGGATACTGCATGGACGGTATTGGGAAGCCATCGCGTTGTGCAGACATCAACTTCATATGTGTCCCTATTTTTCACTTTGACCTGTTTCTTTTGTTATTTCTTCTGCGCTTGCCCACCTCCACGTCTTCTCTGAGTGAGATACCAGTCTTGTTTCTTTTCTCTATGCATGTTGTTCTTCAGTTGCTTACACGAACTTGAAGAATTCATCTACAAAAACTACCACCCGTGCCTGTCCTTTGTTCCCTCTTCCCTTAAGACTTTTGCGTATGCTTCCCCCAGGTTGGTAGAAAGCGTTGTAAATACATAGTTCACGATGAAAGAGCCATAACAATTCCATTCGTAGCCTCTTGCTTCTTCTAGAGAACAGACCTATACTCAACTCTGAGATCGACTCCTTTTCATCCTAGCAGCAATATCAAACGACCAAGATGTCTGCGTGTCAATTCAGCGCTTTTCGTTGCGAAGGTGTTTACGACCAGGTTCGACAGAACAGGTTGTTGCTCAACCGCGAGGCGACGCTTACAGTACGAGAACTCGATGGTCTGCAAATTCATTCAGGGACTGGGATCTGGAATGCTCCGAATTGGATGAGACACGAGGATACCCGTCTGTTCTCGCATACAGAGTACGGCCACTGTAATGCTACGCCATTCACCGCGAGAAACAAGACTATCGCAAGAAGAACGGTTGGGGTATTGGAACATTGTTTTCTTTTGCTATGTATAAGTTAAACTAGAAGAGATACTTCTCAAGTTTTTCTAATGAACATGATCGCAGCTGAAAAACGCGCGAGGAGTATATCAATGAACCAGAAAGATCGATTTAGCGGGTACTAGTAGTCGCTGAAGTAGAACTCCTCAGCGGCAACGTGCATTCTATGAAACAGAATCAAGGTCTTGGTCTAATATCCAGAAGAGCATAGCATTTTGACCTGGAAATGCAACTTCAAGATCTACAAGATGTTGAATGCATGTAATTACAACAGCCTCCGGATTTCCGCGTGTCTCGGAGTACGACCAGCTTGGGCACGGAGCCTCTGGAACTGCGCCACCGCATGTGCACTCGCCACCGGATGCGACAGAGACAAGAATACGAAAGCAATCGAGCGTGGCCAACGCAAGAGCAAAATCACGAGTCTTGCCGCAGCGTCGAGTTTCCTCCGGCAAAGAGCAACTTTGTTCACTGCAAATCGTGCCAGTTTCCAGGTGTCACCGAAGAACTGAGAAACGTCAAATCCTTCTACCACGAACCCTGTCCGCCGCCACCCCCAAACATGATTCCGAAAGAAGTGGGTCTGGAGGGCGCGATGCTCCTTTTTTGATACCGACACCGAACAACGCATATTAGATTGGTCTTACTCATACGACATTGACATAAGGATACGCACGCAAGCTAAAAACCTCTGTATTATAAAATTTGTAGTTAACGTTGGTCAACATGTGATTTGAAGAGCTAGTTGGGAAAAAATAATAGGCAGTTGATCTTTCGTGCGATCGAAATAAAAGAAGATCTCTTAAATCCTAAATGATAGGCAAGGAGCTCCTAGTCTGATACAAGTGCGCGTTGACATCAACTTGCTTCACTTGCTAAAGAGGAGAAGAGAGATCAACGAATTTTATCATGGTTGGTGTAGGTTGGGATAATGTACTGTACACATCCATGTATTTCACCGAAATTACAGCTGCCTGTATGTTGCTAAGAACCTACTTATCTTCATCATCATAAATTATCTAAATAATAAGTCGACAGGATCAGGCAATCTGCACCGAGATGCATATAAGTACGTAGGCGGGGCGCGTTCCATTTTTGGGGAGTTTTGGGATTCTCTTGGGTTCTGATGCTATGATATCCCTGATTGCGTATGCGTCCGCATTTCAGCGATTTGTTATCAAGGAAAATCAAAATTTATATTTTCGTACCCCTAAATACTAAAAAACTGCTACTCACTAGACATCATGATTTGATACATTTACATACTCACTTCTCGCATCCGTGTAACATACGCTCGTCGATGAGTGACTGTTTCGCATAGAATCTTGTTCATGGACGATCATTGCTATAATGTATATCCGGCTGTTAGTATCGTCTTCATATTACTCTTTGACTTTGTACATTATTTTGAACAGTAAATGATATTGATAAGAAAGAACAAAACGAGGGACGCAAGAACTTGAAAGGCAGTCGAAGCACCAGCTTCACTTGTTCGTCAGCCGCGAACAACGAAGAAGCAGACACCCAGAACGTTTCGGTGTTCGCGCTGTATGCATTGATTCGCATTTGTATTGCTCTCAAATTCAAAGGTTGAGACACTGCTCGTAAAAACGGACGAGTGCTGCGTCTGACGAGAGTGCTGATGATTCTGCACTTCTCGTAAGTATTTATCTAAAAAGTAGAACCGCTATTCTAATTCTTTTTTTCCATGGCGATGCAGCATTTAACCATCAACTTCAACAAACATCTATTTAATGAGCAAAAAAGCAACAAACAGGGGATCACGATCAACATCCCGCCCTGTGCCCCCCTTCCCGATGTGTGCAGCGTCGTCTCTTCAATTTTAGCATCGTACTACATAATTTGTGCAGTTTGTGACGCTATATTCATCTTCTGACGAAGTACACCAGAAGACGATGAACCTTTTGATTTTTCTCCTCGTTTTGCTATGATGTTCTTGTAAAATAAGTTTTTTTTCATCTTATGTCAAAAATCTAGATGTGAATCCATATCTGCAAGGTAGAGTGGTTGTATGAAGCATTAAATGTAGTAAAAAAGCGGAAACATAGACAGGATGAGCAGCTATCTACTCGAACAAGACATCGACGAAGTCGCTGTTCCCTCAGCCAAGAGGGAGCGATCCGACGAGGTTGGCAACGACGACGAAGAAAAGCTGCTAAGCGAAGCGGAACGAGGAGCGAAAAGGCGACGGCCCTCCTTGTCGTGTGAGGATGAACGAATTCTAGTCCCAGGCGCAAGAGCCAGCGGAGATGGAAAACTTGTGGATGACAGTGCAAAAAGATATCCGAGTCTTGCTCTTCCAGCACCGCGATACACTGGTAAGGGCATGCTGTTGAGCGATTTTCAAGGCCTCTGGGAGCATGTTACCATGGAGAGCATCGATGTGACGGAAGTGAAAGGCAAGGAGATCATTTTTCACACCCAAGAACCTGACGCAGCGGAACTAGCGGCTGCGGCCGACGATCCCCAATTACTGGCGGCTCTGACGCGAAAAGTCAAGGCGAAAATCGACACAACAATGGAAATGAGTGAAAATGGCTCTCTGTGCTTCGAAGTCGTCAAATCTATCACGTTGAAGTTCTGCGCATGTGCCGATAACGACCCAAATTGCCCACACAAGAATGCACCTCACCTGCTATACGAGGTCCATAGCTTTCGAATCGGCGGGAAAAAGGCTGCCGCACCTCCAGAGAAGTTGTCCACGTCGAGTAGGTGTGCCAGTAACTCATCTTCATCTTCGAAATCGGATACAACAGGCGCTGCATCAGCGAAGGGAATTGCAATACCTTCTCAGGGAGCCTTTCTGGGTCCCTTATTCCCGAGAAGAAAGCGCCGCTCTCCGTGCCCGACCACTGGCGCTCAACGAAATGACGAGAAGAACGCTAAAGAACCTAGTAGAGTTGAAGGCATCTTCCCCGTTGTGGAAACTAAAGACGTAGAACTGAAAAAGAGCGTTGTTGACTCTGATCCTGATGCCAGCCAGAAAACTTCGTCGTCCCCCGGCTTTCGTGGTGAAAAAGGCACATTAACTGGTTCTGCTGTTGCAAGTGCCGGATCTTCCGATTCGACCATTTGCAAGAAGTGCAACAATGGAAAAACTCTCGATGGAACTGTTGTAGCGTCTTCTTCTAGCTCCAACAGACCCACAGCGACAGCGCTGCGCGGCCAGCTGCAGCGCTTACTAGAAGATGCAGCATCCTCATCGAGTAGTTCGTCCAGCAGCAGCAGCAGCAGCAGCTCGTCAAGTAGTAGTAGGAGCTCGGCTTCACTGAGATCTTTCTGGATGTCAACATCGTCGTCCTTATCTAGTAATTTCAGAGCCAGTAATGCAACGTCATCTTCCTCGTCCAGTTCACGCAACCCACGACAACTTTTCGCAAAAAGCGCAGTGTCCACAAGTGTGGCAACTACGTCTACTACATCATCTGCATTCATCACAAACACTTGCACTTGTGCAAGTGCTGCAAGTACGTCGAGTGTGTCCTTGTCCACAGACGGAGTGAGTCCAGTGTTTACAGCGAGTGCATTGATTGGTCCTCTATTGCCCTCCGAGCTAGAAGCAGTACGCCGCGAGCCCGAAGAGGAGCCCGCTGTTGAAGTAATTGAAGCTACGACGTCATGTTTATCCTGGGCATCAAAAACGGAAACTACGGAAGAACCCATTCAATTGCGAGATGAACACACACGAACCCAGCGCCTGAAGTTTTGTAAGTTACTACGGGACGAATCTTCCATGGCAAGAGCGGCAGACTTTCAGCCTGAGAATGACCTCGAAAGAAACGATGCTGATCGAAGCGACGCGATAATCGGGTCTATGGTCAATGATACAACGAACAAGAATGACACCGAAAATGATGAACATCATGATAATGCTAGTACTTCTGCGACTGCGACGAGTGCAAAAGTTGGGCGGCAAGAAGAAGGTGGCAGAAGCCTTTCTTCTCGTCCCAGAGCTGCACGTAGGCCAAAAAAAATCAAGAAGAAGGTAGATCATAGTCCTTTGATGGAAGCGCTCATTGATATTGGGCGAGAGCGACGCGCAAGGCTGAAAAATGAAAAGAAAAAAGGAGATCCTATTAGCGTTTTTCCTAAACCGAGCTGGAAACCGAGCTGGTGGACGGATATAGTACAGAGGAGGAAACGCGAGAGGAAACGGAACAGAATAGCCAGTGAATTCTCGCGCGAGAATTCGTTTGTGAAGTGGCGCCGTGGCGGGCTTCCGAAATACCTCCAGAACCGGTTGCCGGTTTTGTATACCTGGACGCGAGACGAAAAACTAATGAAAAACCCCAATCTAATTTATGAAGAAAAATTCGCAGAAATAAAGCGCAAAAAAATGAGATTGAGGGAGGGCACCACTGACGAGGGCGGTTTATTCTCCCAGCATGGAGGTGACGATGAAACTGACAGTGAATAATGAAAACACACCATTTGCATTAACATTGATAGGAGACAAAGAGAAGCGGGAGAAAACTTTTTGGAATGAACACCGTTGTCGAAGAACAGCATGGGATGGACCGACAACGGTCGATGAAATGTGCTGTTTGCCTAAAGTTTCTTCTCCTCGTCGTTTACCTTTGTTTGGTCGTGGACTACGCGTAACACTAACAGTGTTTTCAATATATAAGAGGTGTTGATGTTTATTCAGCAGCGGGTCGACCGCGACCAACATTTTGTTCACGAGCGATACCGATATGACAGGGTAGCTTTTATCGGTACTTCTTTGCTTATCGAGGTCATTATATGCGAAGTCGGAAGATTATGATCCTTTTCGTCGCAAGATCAGATGTGTGAGAGCACTCCCACTCATCTCATCTCAACATTGATTTCAAAATTATATTTTTCTTCTCTCGATGTATGTATCATCCAGGACGTGGTCCTGCATCGGTTCCTCATCGGTTACCATCTAGTGATAAGGATAAGGAAGACTTCAGACAAATGTAACTTCCAGGTTCCTTTTTGTGTCAAGTGCATCCTCGCAACCCTGCCCCTGTAGTCTTCCATATTCCATTCTAGCCTCGAGTCTTCTATAGTATACTTCGGTTCCTTTGCTACATCTTTTAATTCTCTTTCTAACGTTGCCTGTTTTCAACATCATCAGCTCTTGATTCTTGAAATCGAACCCGGCAGTTCTTGTTCTACGAATATTATCGAACTGTAACTGATAAATACGTACCAAGATCATGAACTGCTACTGCTCGGCATCTTCAACGGATTCAACATACCATCGTGTTACCGTTTGCCGTAATAAATATTTTTATCTGACTAAGAATTATCACGCTTAGGATGGGCATGGGGGATGGGTCGGTAGGATCGGGAATATTACTAGCATGGCCTAGAAGTGTTTTTTGAACCCCTGGCAGCTTCGCGTCCATGTCCTGCTACCTGCTGCGTTCCTAATTTATTTTTCTTAGATGTTCGAAGAATTTTGACTCTGTGCCAGAGGAAAGTACAAGTAGAATAAAGATAAACTAGTATGTTGAAGTGTTAGACTTCGTTGAGTGGATAAAATAGTAGAAGCAAGTCGGTGCCACATGACTCATGTCATAGCTTATGAGAAAGACGTGAGATATATTGTTTTTATCGACGCATTGTCCGACTGCTGGCTCGTGCTTCCTTGTCAGCACTCTGAGTCGCGATCATGTTGCAGACATTGCAAAGCCCGAACGACCTGGAGTATCGGAGTGAGACATCCGAGGGCACGATCTCTGAGTCTGACGCGACCTCGGTAACCAGTCGGAAAAGCACACTATCGCGTATTTCGACCTCTGAAAGCGACAAGCCGGACTATGTGGGATATGCTAGGTAATGAGAACTTTCGTCACTTCATACCTAGATCCGCTGCTGCATGAGGCAATTGCAACAATCTTTTGGCTGAAATCTGATTTTCCAATAGAGGACGTCCCCGTCGTCAAGAAAGCAAGATGAACGGTTTCCTAAAAATTGATGAACTTGGTTTAGGTCCACGTGGTACTCTCGTCGTCGATCTTCTTCATCTTTTCTAATATCCTATTCCTAGCAAGGATAACAGTAAAAACACGAACACTAAAGATCAATCATGAAACAAGGTTCGCCCCCAATGCTCTCCCAACCGAAGTTCACAATACCGAAGAGCAGCGCGAAGATCCATGGGAAAAGATCACGAGTCGCGATGGCATCGACTACTACTACAATTGGTACACGGGTATGGTTCGTTATGACCCACCGGGGTCCGCAGAGGCTAGTGGACGCTCGGGAGGGAGACTCAGAGAAGAAGATGCGCTGGTAGCACGTGCCGAGAGAACGAATCCACACTACAAATCGCTACGCAGAGGGAAGGAAGCGGTGCAAATATTTTTTTTTCTATACACTGTAAATGTGTATAATAATCTTGTTTGGATGCAGTGCGACTAAAGAGTGATAGGATGAATAAAATATATATCCTAGAAGGAGAGCTACAACATGATCTGGCTCTAGAAATATATTTATAGAGGAAAAAGTTTGGTTGTTTGATGTTTCCATTGGAAGTTCGATGAGAATTATTCGCTTCCACATTTTCAACAGGGATCATTTTCTACAGTGACCAACCTACTTCTTTTTCATTTCGTCCTCCGTCACCAGGCAGAAACCTTGGACGAGCCTCCCGAGAGTATCCTCACTGTGACGAAATACAGAGGTCGTGCGCCATGGAAGGCTTATTTCGACAGGCAAACACGCACGTCATTCTGGAAAGATGCTAAAGGAAAGCGGCAACTCTCAAATGACGTGCCACGCTGGTTTGGTCCGATAACACTGCATGTGTAATGGGGATCCGCATCTTTTGCTCGTGTAAGACTAAGATTGTGATGACACAATGGATATGGATGCACCACCAGGGATTGGCTTGCCGCTAAAGTTGTTTAGATTCGCTGTAGTACTACTTGTATAGAAATGAAAAATCCACTTCCACTCCTTAATCTTATTGTAGGACCATTGACATTATAAGCCTGTAACATAAATGGGATGAGAGTAGCTTCCGATGTCATAGATGATGAATTCTCAAAGTAGAAGTTGAACAACGAACATCATGTAGTCGTTGTTTGATGATTGCGAACCATTCTCATCTAGCACGACGAGCACCACTTCATCCTGTGCGGTCTCGAAAACGAGATCGTATTACCCACTTGGTAGAGCTAACAGTAGTAGTACATCCTGCGCCCACAACCAACACCAACCCTGTCACAAGCAGCAATAGGTCTCAGGAGGAAACTAACGAAATTAACCAAAAAACAAGAAGGCTCAGATTATACCGAAACTGCGCGCACTTATGCGACATTATTGCACAGGAGGACCGCACAGGCAAACTTTAGTTTTCGATCACGACTAGGACTAGGTCTAGGTGCGCTATAACTAGCACCTGTCAGAATCATGGACTTATTTCTGTGTTCTGTGGTAAGTATCTGTTCCTAGATTGTTCAAGTTTTCTTCAACCAACCGTTTGAAACGGTTCGGGTTTTGGATCCTGAGGACATAATGTTCTGTTTGCGATGATTCTGCTGCAGTCATGCACTATTTATACCAACTACATCGAACAACATGCTGATTTATCGAGGTGCGTGCTGCAAGTACATGTACAACTACATCCTTGGTCATCATAAGTGCTGACTTTGCTTGAAGTTCTAATATTTAGTGTGAGATCAAAATCAAAAACAACAAAATGTCGGGTCTCGGACTTTACACTGGTGATGATTACAAACTTACCGAGGATGATTCCCTGTGGGACATGGCGGAGGAGACGAAAAAGCTGGGAAACAAATACGTTGCAGATGGCAGGTACCCAGACGCGATTCAGCGATACTCCGAAGTTATCATGCAGGCTCGACAGATGAAGCCTGAGGTAGTGAAAAAGGACGAAAAGGAGATCCGCATCCTCGTTCAAAGCTGCTACTTGAACCTGAGTATGTGCTTCCTTTACGACGAGGATGAGGTAGAAGATGAAAAACCGAGTTGGACGAGTTCAACTTATTGTAGAGAGCCTTTGATTTGGTGGCCTTGTTGTAATTTGATATGCTTCGGCTTGATGTCCAGCGCGTTATAATGGGTACCATTGTCTAATTTTCAAAGTCGGACCAGTGGCAGCACGCTTACAACAGTGCACACAGAGCAATCCAGGGTGATGAGGACCCCCCGAATCCTCAGCATGATGTCCTCTCACAAGCGCAGAAGGCGAAGGCACTCTTTCGGAAATGCACTGCGGCAGTCAAGCTGATCGATGGTGTGGAGGACAAAGGCGCTGTTCCGCCTTCAAATGGTGCCAGCAATAGTGGCTCAGGTCCTTCGCGAGTTCGACCGACCCTTGAGAATGTGGATAAGGACATCACAAAAGCCCTCGCATGCGAACCCAAAGACGTGGAGTTGCTAAAACTTCAAAAGGTTTTGCTTAAACATAACATACTCGAGGAATACTTCTACTTGCGTCGTTCATATTTTTCTTCGTTTTATTTAGCTCTCACATGATCCGTCACAGCCACTCTCCGTGTCGCGTGTTTCGAGACTCATCATCGTAGCAATCCTACAACGCGTCCCTCACCACTGCGGACTACAACAGTTCATCGAATATCCAACTCCAAGGTAATTCGCGATCGGCTGAAGGAGGAGAAGCAGGCTGAGAAGGCAAAAATGAAAGGGTTTTTAGGCACAAAGAAGGGAGCTGATAGTATTGGAGGCAACGACGAAAGAAAGCCCTCTGGTTCCACCGCGGGTGACGGCGGGCAAGTCACTGCCGCACCTGGCACGCAACGCCTCGACGATGGGCTGAATCTCGACGACCGAAAAGTAGGAGGTGACGATGCCGAGTATTTCACCGAGATGATCGGGGAGCTGAATGAAATGGTGCAGGATGATCCAGAAAAATTCGCAGAATTGAAGGAGAAACTCCGCCAAAGGTGTGCAGATAATAACGCGTTGCCAGAAGACTTCCTGAAGAGAGCGGGTGTCGACGTTGATGGCACAGCAAAAAAGGCAGAGGACGAGGATGACGACTAGTGAATAAATCGTGTACTCAGCTACTAGAAGTACGATGAAGAGGACGACTGAGGCGGAAGCTAATATGGTGTACCCTGTCACTAGGAGTACAACTTGCTGGCAGTGCAGTCGACGTCAAGATTGCCGCTTTGTACTAGCATCTCTGTGTGTAAAGAAAAAAAAACGGTTACCTTCTCAGTGACGGTCACGATTGTGTGTCTCCATCGATATTTTCCCCATGATCGACCACGACCTACCAGCGCATTAACACGATCAGATTTTCCAACATTGATAAAGCGACAGTTAGTCTAGGCGAAGTTAATCTACTTGCGAGGCAGCGACGTGGCAGCAAGAAGCGGTATGCTACCTGTTCTTCAGAAGGAGACTTCTTTCTATATCAGTTTGCTTCCTACTTCTGATTGACTACTATAGTCCATTGGTGTATTTTCAAGGTACTAGTAGTTCCAGTTGTACTTGTAGTTTCTATTCTAGATTCAGACAGATTCTTCTGAGACGGAAGAGATCAAGAAAGATGAAGACTTTTGTTCAAGGGCGAGAGGGCCGGTGAATGTGAATGATGAGTGTTGCCTGAACTTGATGAACGCAGGGACAGAATACTGCTAGTTGCTCTTCTCTGGTTCATTGTTTTGTGGTGTTGCGAGGGTTTAATATGTCACTCTGTTATGTGAATGTGTTTCAACATTTCATTTCTCATTGCACCATTTTTTTTTGAAGATGTTCCTTCTGTGAGAGAGGACTTCGTTCTTAAACTGTTAGCCAACCAGTTTTGAAATAAGAAAGTTCACTACCATGAGTTCCGATGGAGAGGAGCTGTACGAATACGCCAGGCGTGGCAAGACCGGCGAGGTGCGAGAGCTGCTAGCCCAGGGAACGGAAGCCGACGATTTTTTGGCCTATGACGGTTCGTCAGCGTTGCTGATGGCCGCGCGGGGTGGCCACGTCGAAACTGTTGAGCTTTTGTTGAACGAAAGCAAGGCAGATTGGAACTTACAAGTCGACGATTTGAGCGGTATTTTGCATCTGGCTGTCCAAAAGCCAGCGGTTTTGCAACTGTTGCTCGAGACAAACAACAAAATCATGGCTGCTACTCCAAGTACAGACGCCAGTGCAACAACAAATCAAAGCCCCAGTGGTAGCAGAGAACCCTTAAAAGTCGATCAGCAGAACGAGGATGGCTTTTCCGCTCTGCACCTTGCTTGCTACTACACGGACTTTGATGCAGTGAAGGTGTTGGTGGAAATAGGAAGAGCGAATGTGAATTTACTGTGTGACGAGGGCAGCTGCATCGATCTTCTTCCTGAGAACGAGACGGCCGAACCTGTAAAGAAGTATTTAGAATATAGATTCGATGCTGGAAAGGCAGCTGCAGCTTCGGATCAACCCGAGAAGATAACAGAAAAGTATGGGTATGGATGCTTTGATGGAGAGGTGGCACCAGATGAACAGTCATGACGGGTTGAAAACACGCTTTGTGCATGTAACCTACAGATTCTGTTGTAGTTTATTCGTCTACAACTTTCAGCTTCAACCTTTTGATTAGAATTATTGATGGAAGAACTGACAGACACGGAGGACAGCACAAGCCTTTTCTCGACGCAGATGATGAGCTAGGTGTGTTGGTCCTCATCTCCCGTTGCATCAATCTTTTTCGGAAACGAAAAAAGTCTCCGATGTCTTTAGAATAGACGATCACAGATAACAGGTTGTTGCAAGAATCCGAGACCTACAAATTGATCTTCAGCTCTATTGGTGCACGAGGTTCACGCCTTTTGTACATTGAGAAAAACAGGAGATATGATGACCGATGATCACGATGAAGATTCCTCCTCGTCGTCTGCTGTGCTACGGGGTAATCGTGAGACGCTTTTGCTCGTCGAAAAGGATGAATGCTCATCCCCAACGAAGGTTGCTGATTTTCCTCCAGGAAGCCGGCTGAGCGAAGCCGTGAGCGCCTTTCAGGCACGCGCTGGGCGCCTAGATGCGCTTGCGGAGGGAGAGCAACATAAGATCGGACTAAAAGAACAACGCTCACCCGCACTCGCGAGCACCGCAACAGCGGAGTCTGGTAACGATGCAGCAGACGAGCAGGAGGACGGAGGCCACGATTCGTCGAGAAGCGAGGGAGACGACGAGCAGGCTGATCCGATACGAAAAGCACCAAAATTTGACCTTCTTGACGACGCAGAAACAAGGAATACTCATGGTCCCTCAATAGGTTCACCAGCAGAGGACGCTGTGGTTCGCACTAGTATTTCTCCTAGTTCCACCACCAGTTTAGCATGTCCTTCTACCTCCTCTGCTCCGCCTCCACGAAGACCGAAAATTTCAGCGAAGCATCTTATGAGAGCGTCGCTGAAGCCGCCTTCTCCGTGTCCTGACCTTGATCTTGATAGCGAAGTAGAAGACGGCAGTTCGAACAGCGCTTCCGATTCGGAAAAGGAGAGCGATATTGACGCGGCTGCTGTCGACGGCAAAACGCATTACCAAGCTGGGAATTGGGCAAAAGCGGCTGACTGCTGGGCGCGCACTCTGCGCTCTGTCGCATACGTGAATGGACGCGACGCGTTTAAAAACGCTCCAGAGAAACAAGATGAAATGGCCATGATTGAAGCTACGACACATCTGAACCTTGCGCAGTGCTACCTGAAGCTTGAAGAGTTCACGAAGAGCGTGGAGGAGTGTGATAAAGTGTTGAAGGCGAGATTTCCAAAGTTCCTAGAAGTAGATCTGGGTGCTGGAAAACCTTCTGCTCGAAGCGATTCAAGAAAAATAACGAGGACTCCCAACATTTCGTCTTCGAGCAAGAATTTGGCTTCGACCTCAACGGAAAGGTTACTCCCAAAGGACGATCAAGATGAGGAGGGTACTGAAAATGCCGATAGCAGCGGCAAGAAAGAGGACGAGGCAGATGCACCCCCGGATCCGCAGTTGGTGAAGGTTTTGTACCGCAAAGCATTGGCGTTGAAAAGTCGTGGACGACTCTCGGACCTACACGCGGCTGCAAGTGTTTTGAACAATCAATTGATCCCTTTGGACCCTAACAACTTGGCGGCGCGCACGCTTCGTGCCGAAGTTTTGCAAAGAAAGAAAAAGGCGGACAAGGAGGAAAAGGAATTGTCGAAGAAGATGCTGCTTTCTGCAGAAATCGTCACAGACAAAGCCTCCAACGCCTCTTGGTGGGAAGCAACCATGCGCGACGAAGAGACGGGCGAGCGCGTAAGCGGACTTCAACAACTCAGGAAAAACTGGGGAAAGTGCCAAAAGAGCTGCCACGGGGTGTGGGAGAAATTGCGTTTCATCTGGATCCCGCGTCTACGGCATTTACGAGATGTTGAGTTAGTGTGGGAGTTCAACGAAACTTGTTGCAAGAAACGAAGATAGGGGCAGCGAAAGATATTGAAGAAAGGGATTGTTATTGTAAGCGGCTTTCAAGTGGCAATGTTAGCATTGTTGAGGCAGTGTCTAGTCAATGACCTATCACTACAATCAATTTCAGCGCGACATTGGGTGCCTTTCTGCTGCGTAGGTTTTGAAGACTTAAACTGATGCTTAGTCGACCTTGAAGTGCAGGCCAAATATAATGCTGGTGCAAGTGATCTTACTGTGAATGTATCTTCAAAGAGATGACTGACTCCGACACTCAGCATGGTATGAATACAAATAATGAACATCATCAATTTTGATGACGGTACTTTGGATTCTTGGAAAATAAATTTCTTCTCCTTTGTCGGAGCAAGAGGCAACTTGCAAAGTGTCTTCTGCAAGTCGTACTGGTATTGTTCCCCGGGAACTCGATGCGTTGATGTTCTCCTCATGTCTTCTTGTACTCTTGTTGTGTCTTCTGCAATCAAAATTACTGATGTGACGTTATGATTATGTTGCCGGCGAGAAAGATGCATTCTATGATTGCAACGCATTTGAACTCGAAAGAATGTTGTTCATGTTACTGCTGCTCGTGCTTATAAATTTGTTCTCCATTTCCTGTCGTATCTGCTCTACACATAATGAAGAAATGCGCGTGTAGCCTTCTGTGGATGATGACACATCAAGTAAATTTCAATGGCCGATGAAAACTCAGACACCTACACTTTGAACAAAATTCGTATAAGAGTATCGCGATATGACTAAACAAGTACAAGCAGACCAATTACCCCTGGTATGAAATCCGAGATTGAAGAAACGAATCTATTGATTGCTATCTAAGAATATCACCCCAGTACCAGTCGCTGTCGCACCTGCAGCTGTTGACTTTACATCTACTTTGACTCCGGTACTACTAGACATTCATAGAAGATAGTTCGCGCAATCGGCCTCGTGTCGTATCAATCTTGCTTACTTTTTATAGCTCAGAGAAAACGAAAAGATGCACTCTGGAGATTACGATAAGGATTGCGGGATCTGGAGCCCCCAAGGAGACATCCCACAGATAAAGCACGCGTGTGCCGCAGTGGCAAACGGAACCGTGATCGTGGGTCTTTGCTCAAATAATTATGCTCTGCTTGCCGGATTCCGAAAGAAGCAACAGAGTGACTTCTCCAGCTACGACGAGAAGCTCTTCAAAATAGACGACCATTGCGGTATTGCTATCGCGGGAATGACAGCAGACGCACGCGTCCTCGCTGAATACATGCGGTATTGATTGGCAAAAGAACTATTTGGTGAATACAAAAACAAATGTTTCCTATTTTTACGTCCAGTTCCATGTAGATGTAGTGGTCCATGATTTCTTTTTTTCTCTTGTGTCATCAATATCATTATCAACATCTAGATCGTATAGAAGTTGTCATACAAATTGAAAAATATGGAACATCAGAAACGAATGCTTGGAGCACAAATACGTGTACGACGGGCCAATGAACGTTGGACGACTTGTAGCGCAGATCGGAGAAAAGGCGCAGACGAAAACAGCGCAAGGTGGAAAGCGTCCATACGGAGTGGGGTTATTAGTCCAAAGCTACACCGAGGATACTGGAAAGGTAAAAATGAAAAAAGAACTTTAGAATTAGATTGTCATCATTACTTACTTTTACGCGGAATTATTCTTTAGGAAATAGAAAACGTTGACTTTCATGCTCATGATATTGGAGGACGTGATGAGTAAGAGAAAAAGCTTTCTTGACGACCTGTAGTTGCTGCACCACACAACGAACAAGGGAGTTATGGTTATGGAGCAGTTGAAGTTGAACATGAAGAACGACATTTGTACAATTTTTTTTTCATCTCGTGTTCCATGATCAGGCTGGTATTTATGAGACGTCGCCGTCTGGAGATTTCTACGAGTATAAGGCAATGGCGATTGGCGGCCGAGCGCAGCGTGCGAAGACCTACTTGGAGAAGCATTTTGAGACTTTTCCAGAAGAGTCTCTGGAGAAGCTGATAGAGCATGTGGTGAAAGCAGTCGCGCTGACGGTTGAGCAAGACACCGAACCGACTACGCTGAACATCGACGTTTCAATTGTGGGAAAAGACTCACCGTGGCGCAAGCTCCCGGCAGCGGAATTGCAGCCGTATATCACGAAAGCAGCCGCGGACGCACCCGCTGCAAGCGCTGCGGTCGACGACGCTATGGATACCAGTGGATAAGAGTTTCTGACGAGACCACCTCCACACTTATCTATATTCTAGCGGACGTTGACGAGGAGTAAGACAAACAGAAGAAGATTTTCATTTTATTCATGTCCAAGTCAGTTCCCCTTTTGGACGGTAGATACAACTCCCTCAACATAGATTTTTTTACTGGAACATTCCTTTCGTGCTCAGTGTTTGAGGAACCCTTCCTGACGTTAGCCTTGGGACTCATTTGAGATGTGTGCTTCCGCCACCCAGCGAGCAGAAAAATGATATACGCCCTCCCGATTATACATATTTGCTTCCCACGTGTGTGAAAAACGACACAGAACAGAATGCTTCATCGCCATTTATGTGGTCTTGCATTCTTCAGCAAGCATGCTGCACTACACTGGTGCCCTATTTCTGGTCCGACAAGAAACTTTTGATCTGCGGCTGTATTGATGATGAATTTTGGTGGTGGAGTGGACGTACTGGTGTTCACAACGTCAACAAGAAAGCAAGCTTGTCAGCTAAGAAAAGTTATCACCATCAAATAATGATTCTTATTCACGTATGCTCCGAAGTCCTCAGTGATAAGTGCACTCATCACTTGTACAACATCAACATCATAGGAAGTGTCGACGTTAGAATAACTTCTTCATCTTAGCTGCTACCAGCAGTAGCAGAAGCAGCCGCAATGGAAATTACGAGGAGCCGAATTTTCTCTCCTCTGTTGAAATATTTTGGATTGCGAATGAGATGGAAAGAATTAAAAAAACATGTCATGTCATTGGGCAAGAAGAACTGAACCTAAGGTAGTTATATGCATTGACGCAAGTTTCTTCTTCATCTTGAATGAAATGCCATGTACTCATCATCGCGTCCTACCTCTGAAACCCTTGAACACTATCATCAACATTCAAATCTGACAACTTTACTATTGGCTAAAAAACTACTTCCAGCAGTGCAGGAGAGAGTCGTCTACAGACGATACCTCGTTTTGCTTTCACATATTTTTGTACTACAGAAATTTGATTCCCTTTCCCATAGAAGATATCGTCGTTGAAGTTCGATAAGAAGATTGTGTCATAGGAGTTTCATCAATTTCTATTTCACTCGATAAATCTGTTTTTTTTGCATTAGCGAAGATAGACGTAGCTGTCTCGTCGTTTTAGGTACTGACTTCTTTGGAAGAATCAGATTGTTTCATACATTTACATTGAGTGGTCTTAAAAAACATATAGCTTAGCAAAGATGTCGATGTCTGGAGTTGTTCTCGGCGATGGCTGCAAGGAACTCTTCACTCAGATGCAGTTGAAGGTACTTTTACCTTTGCGACGAGGACGCAGAACATGATGCGAACTTCGCGTTGAATTCTTTTTCTTATCATCAAAACATGGAACATTATATCTTCGTCTTCTTCTACTTCTTGTTTTTCTTTTTACCACCTATCATTCTCATTTTTCATCCCACCCTATTTCCTTCTTCACAGCATACGCTCCGATACATTATCTACGAGATTCAAGACAAGAAGACCATCGTGCCTCTCGCACAAGCAGACAAGTCGAAGAAGTATAAACTTCACCCTATTTAATATTATGCATTATATTCTTAATCATAATCTTAATCTTCGGTTATAATACACAGTAACGCTCTAGTTGGCATTCTTTTAGTATCGATTTATTGATAGTCATACTCTAACCTACCACATTTCCTTAAGTACATTGTTGAGATGAAGCAATCGGATCTGCATTTCAACATCAACATGATGTTGCAGATCATTTAATAATTGTTTTGTTTCATAGCTATGACGACTTTTTGGGAGCCCTTCCAGCCGGTCAGCCAAAATTTGCATTGGTAGACGTGCCATTTGAGGCAAAAACAGGAGCACAAACGTCGAAGATGGTCTTCGTCTTCTGGTATCTTTTAGTTCTTGTCTTCATTCATCTTTCATCAAGGATTTAATCATGAATCAATGTTCGCACTAGACCTCCATAAAAAATACTACAGTTGGTGACTCTGACTAGTACTTTGTATTTCAGCTCTTGTCGCTGGGGGACACTTCTGAGCAGCTCGGAGTTCAGGGAGGGCAGTGAAGAAGATTTCCTTTCGAATCCTTACATGACAGGTGCCCTGACGATTGCGGAGTCAAGGACAAGATGCTTTACGCATCTAGTAAGGACGTTATCAGGAAAGCGTTTACGGGGGTACTACTTATTACCTTTATTGCAGTAAAAATAATGCCGCTGGTACCAAAAATGATGATCATTTTTCAAAAGAATGAGCATCATTGTGACTCGTCTGCATCGATCACAAGGTTGTTCAGATGGATGCTTCAGCTATGCTCTTTCCGTATCTGTCCAGTATTGGTACTTCAACTCACTACTTGTGATCTTGCTCATTCCGCCTACACACATTCAGATCCAGTGCGAAATTCAGGCGAACGACAAAGGTGACCTTGTCGAGAAGGATATTATCCAGAAGTTGCTCTAAATTGCTGATTTCGGTGATGCAGTCTACGCATTTCACCCAACAACATCATTGACAAATCCAATTATGGTAGAACTATTCCCTCCTGTATAAAAAACCGGGGAATAATCTCCTCGACCCTGACCAGCCACACACTAGTAGGGTATGAGTTTTAATAGCTTTAGGTGATCATATTTCTTCTAGAATATTAGTCAGAAGATAAGTTACTTGTTGTTCCTGGTATTTTTCGCAGGTTTCCGTCCCCACAAGGAAACTTAACAGCATTTCACTAAAGACAAGTTTACTCACATTATCACAATACGATTCTTGACTCCGTTGTTTTCCTTGTGTTGCTTATATTCAGTTGCAGTCGTTGACGTTGTACAACTATCTCAGCTCAACTACAGAGAGCTCACGGATATGAGGTAATCTATTTTTCTAGAGAAGCAACGCGCTGTAGCAGGGAGAGGTGGGGGTTTTCGGACAGCGAACTGGCTGAAAACGAGTCATTTTTTTTGGACTCCAGGGTATATAATCACCTTTTTTTCGAATCACTACCATATAATTATTCGCCGATCCCGATGTTACATAAGTACCTTGAAGATTTCACTCTTGATCAAACTCGGAGGAAGGAACACAAATTAAGAAAAGAGGGAGGACCAATGTAAGGTAGGCACAATACCAAAACCCACCCTGCTGCAGTGAATCGTGTGCGCGTGGTTGGACAAAATCACGGTGACATGCCCATGACCAGAAGGATTTTGAGATACACAGAAGCGAAGAGGAAGACGAAGTAAATGTAAAACTATAACAAGAAGGGTATGAAGACTGTGACTAAGGGCACACAGGTCCTCAATCATGCTAACTTCTGCCAACACCGAGTCATTCGATGTGTTCCGTGTCGGTGCAGCTTCTCTCTGCAAGCACTAGGTCTACAACGATGAGAATGAGTAGCAACTACGGCGAATTACTGACATGCACATGTTGAAATAAAATTTTTTCGTAACGTACTAGACATAGATCTACTAGATGTGTCATCTGGGTCTAGATCAAGAAGATCTACCACCTCCAACATAAGTATTTAGGGTCTGATAGACTGAGTTTATCCTAGAAAAAATGGCCACAGTTGTGTTCGAGAGAAGATGAAAACGAGCTGGACGAAGCGATTGATTCTATTAGACTAGAAAAATCAAGCTTATCCCCTCTTACATTCACACATAGACAGATCCCGATACCCATTTATACCGTGGTACCAGGCTCCTCAATCTTCGTGTCTATAGCTTTTTACCCATGGACCCAGCAAATCCAAATTCCAACACCAACTCCTTTTCTGCGTAGTGTCTCCACTCTCTCTGACACACTTGATTTTTCAAAATTGGATTTTTCAAAAACTCAAATTCATTTTCATGCAGCTATCTTCATAAACTCATTTAAGGGTATTAACTGCATCATATGAAACCAAGGTACTGCCGTTTTCCAATGCACGACCAGATAGATTGATTTATCATCGCAATTACAATGGCTTCTCCCGAAGGGGGTCCCAGTGAACGCGGCATGCTGCCTCAGAGTCGGAACAGTGAGGTTCTTGAGTATCCAGCGGATGCCCTCGACAATCTCGAAGAACGAGGTACGCTGTCTTTCGATGACCAAAGGCAACGCGCACTTCCAGGTGGCTCGATGTTGGAAAGGGACGAGCGCAATTTGAACCGACTGTACATACATCCGTATCGACTGCGTGGCTCAGTGCCAATCGAGGAGCGAGGACAGCCTGTGTCAGGAAATTACGTACAAAGCCGCGGGACGAGCAGTGGTCTCCCTCTTTCTTCGAACATCAACGAGCGGGTATCCTCAGCGACACTTGACGCAAGCCGTATAATCGTGCCGCAAGGGGAACAATTGGCGGCATTGCGAGCAAAAGTGTCTCCCGACGAAGATTTGCCGATGACGATTGCTAGAGGGCGCGCTGATGAACTTCCGGTAGATGCGATGGCACGATTGGAAGAACGAGGCACAGTGTCACCCGAGGACGATAATACGCATGGTCGAGGTCGACAGCATGTGGATGCGAAAAGAATACCTGGCGCTTCGGTTTTCGAACGAGACGAACGCGCGGCAAATCAACTCTACATACACCCTTACAGGTTGCAAAGCTCCGTTCCTGAAGGTGCAGTGGAGTCTGGAGGATTGATTGCGCCTGAATTGGAACCGGAGCCGGGCATTTTTACTCCAAACTTTTTAAGGAGACTTGGTAGCCGCGCTCCACCACCACGAAACCAACCAGAGAGGACCTCTAACCCCCTTCCAATTGATGCCTTGGATTTCTTGGAGGAGCAGGAGCGCACAGGAAAAGCAGACGAGCAGGATACATTTTTTCTATCAGGATCACCACTACGGATTGTGACTACCCGATCAATATCGGACAGTCGTGTCAGGATGTCTGGTTCTTCGGAGGTAGCAGTTGATGGGCCCTATGCGCCCCGCGGTGCATCCGTTCGAGAACCGCAGTCTTCGGTCTCATCGTCAGCCTCGCTCAGGTTGGGCGCCGATGAAGAGGCGAAAATGGCGCGCTGGCCGCCTGGGGCCATTCCGGCCGACATGGTCCAGGTCACGCCAAGAACAGCCGCAGTTAGGGGTTGGTCCGCTCGTGGTGCGGTTGAGCACAAGGCTCAGCTTTCGAGTACGCCAAGAGGGAAACCAATGTTGCCATCGCTTGGCGAGCGTTCGCGGACGGCAAGTGGGGCAAAGGAAGCGACGACCCGACGTAGTGTTACTAGGTCTAGTTCGTCGTTTGGGGAAGCACTACTAGGTCAGTACTTCCATCTGGCGCAAAATCGGTTGAGCGGACATTATCCTTGGCAGGAGCACAGCAATCTGTACAACCGACAACAGGATGATGTTGATGATGAAGACATGCTGATCGACGAATATCCGACTGTTGCAGGCGAACACAATTCCAACGAAGAACCGATCCACGTTAACAGGAGTGTCAACGATTTTCTGCTGCCAGGGTCAAGGATAGTTGCTGAAGGCGACACTGCAGAGGGCAGGAGCGTGCAGTCTTTGATGCAGAGTTGCGGACTTGCGCCTAGCAGTGGCTCCAAAAAAGCGTACGAAACATTTCTTTCGTGGGCAATGCCTGCAGTCGTCGGGATCCTCACAGCTTGCACAGGCAGTCTGATTCAGGTTGTGAGCAGCTTATTTTTCACGTGGCGAAGTGGTCTTTGCGTGGACAACATATGGAAGAACGCGTCTCAGTGTTGTGGACACGAAGTTATTGTCGACTTTCGTTGCCGACCCCACCTCGCGACAGCAGATAACCCGGAACCCTACACCATGGGCATCTTGAAGACCTGGAACGAAATTTTGTTTGACGGGGAACGCCAGTACTATGCGTGGACGATCTGGGCACTGAGCGGCATTTTGCTTGCGCTACTAGCAGCCGTGCTCTGTCAGCGGTTTGCGCCCGCCGCTGCGGGGAGTGGCATCCCAGAGATCAAGGCCATTCTCGGTGGCTTTCCGATGCCTGCAGTGTTGGAGCCGCATACGCTGTTTGTAAAGATAATCGGTCTTACGACAGGTGTTTCGGCTGGACTGGCGCTCGGGAAGGAAGGCCCCCTAGTGCACGTCGCCTGTTGCTGGGCTGCTTGGCTGGCGCGCCTTTTTCCGGGCTCTGCTTACTACGGGACGAGCGCAGTGCGACGGCGCGAGCTGCTGTCAGCGGCTGCAGCTGCAGGCGTCTCCGTCGCATTCGGTGCACCGTTGGGTGGCGTACTCTTCTCCTTTGAAGAGGTCTCTACGTTTTTCCCGCAGCGCACTGCTGCGCGCGCGTTCATCGCTGCAGTGGTCGCCGCACTGATGCTAATGTACATAGACCCAACGGGCAGCGGGAAGCTGACCCTGTTTCAGGTGACTGACGACTGGCGCATCGATACCATTGAGTACGTTTTTTTCGCAGTCCTTGGCGTTTTGGGTGGCATCGTTGGTGCAATTTTCATTGCCATAAACACGAAAGTGACAAAGCTAAGGAGGTCCGACTGGTGGCGAGATCGGGTACATTTCTACTCACACCTCCAGATCAGGCCTGTGTCATTAGTTTTTCCGCACCAGACTGACTGGTTTTTCGGAGGTTGAGGACGACCGAACAGCTACAGCTGTGGACTCGTTGCTTCCATTCTTCTCTCCCTCCATATGGATCTTCACCATCACAGGTTACTGTTTCTCTCGAGATCACGCTAATCGCACTTTTCACGATGCTGACGTCCACGCGCAATCGATTCATGCAACCCCTGATGGTGGAGTCTATTTTCAGACTCTTCGAGCCTTGTGAGGACTTCGTTAATAGTGTAGGAGAGACCGAGTTCATTCCTCGTGCTCTCTTGTCAGACGAGATGCATTTGTGCAACCGAGACGCGAGCCCTTCTTTGGGAGCGGACATGCTCCACGATCTCTTCTTTGCGTGTATACTGCGGTTCGCTCAAATGTGCATCACTTTCGGTGCGGGTCTGCCTGCGGGGCTCTTCGTCCCGTCGTTGTTCGTAGGCGCATCGATGGGCAGACTATTCGGTATGAAAATGTTCGGCTTGGTATGAAAATGTTCGGCTCGGAATTTGGCATTTTCATTTTTCAGACTAGGTTACACATTCATTAGTTGATGAGCGTATGATACTTTATAGTTTCTTCATTTCCGATGAGGATGACTCGAAACCGAACGTGCAACTGGTTCCGTCCTCGACTGAAGTGAACGAATCTTCAAGGCATATGGTATAATGATTGTTCCCTGTCTTGATTATCCCTATGTACACGATCTACCCTACCAGGTTCAATGATCTATTGCCTGGGCCAGGCAACGAATGGTTTTGGGGGTCTGGTCCTTTCGCCAATCGCGCCTTCGGTGTACGGGATGGTTGGCGGCGCTGCGGTTCTCGGCGGTGTCTGTCGTGTGACTATTTCCCTGGTGGTGATCATGTTCGAATTGACTGGCGCTTTAAAGCATTTGGTGCCGTTTATGGTTGCGATCCAGCTGGCTAAGTGGACCGGGGACCTGTTCAACGATGGCATTTACGATCGGCACATTTTTTTGAAACGCTACCCCTTTCTGTACGAACCGGAGGGCAAGTTTACTCCAGGTGTGGCGCATGACATTGTAGAGGCGGAGCGTTTGGCTTGTATTTGCGTTACAGAGACGCATACGCTCGCGAGTCTGCGGGATCTGTTGGCGCTTGTTGGCAACGGCAACGAATTTCTGCTTTCAAACACTCATTTCTCAGCGCACCAGCCGGGCTTTCCACTGATCATACCTTATTCAGCAGCGTCTACCAGTGGTCCTGTGCTCACTGGGGGAGCTGCGGGGAAAGAAGATGTAGTTGCGAGTATGTTGGACAGGTCACCAAAGTACTGCCCACCGATAGTGCCGCTTAGTGCGCGGCTTACTGTAAACCCTGAAGATACAACATTTGTTTCTGCCGCTGGATCATCTACTCAAGAAAACACGAACGCGCCGGGCCGCCCGTTCCGTGGTATAACATCAGGTAATGCAACCGCAGCAACCTCAGACTTCGTCTTGCGGGAAGTGGTGACAGACACAACTGGCCGGCAGCAACAGGCTTCGACAACTTCGGGCCATGACTACGTCCGTCTCTCAACTTGTGTAGTACCCCCACACCAGCAAATTGATGAGACACCTCTCCAACTCCAAAAGGTTGGGAATGACGATCTGCTTCCGGACCGGAATAGGAACACATGTGCTCCTAAGGGTGATTCAACAAGGATTTCTGAAGATGCGAGTTTCATGGCTGATAATCATGCAAGAAGAAGTCACCAGGACACCGGAATCAGTACTGGTGGCCATGAGCCGGAAGAAGTTGAGCCCTCAAATGCTACCACAGGAAAACAGCCTGAAGCAGCATCGTCGTCATCCAAGGATTCTTTTAAGGAAAACGCACCCGACCGCGACTCGTCGGTGATGAATAGAATATCTGCAGGCAGTGCGGTTTCTACCGATGAAGTCGCTATGTTCCGCCAAGCTTATCAGGGCATCCGCACTCAACGGACTTCCTCTGTTCTCGGCGCCTCCGTACCAGGTCGGCTCTCGTTTGGGGACCACGATGATAAAGAAGTAGTAGAAAGAGCGGTAGAGGGAGAGCAGCGCCGCTCTTCCAGAAGTCGCGAGCGTACAACAAATGCAGCGCGTGATTCGGCAGCTCAGGGTACATCGGTACCCATATCCTCAGAGGAGGAGGAGTTTCAGTTTCATAGCATCGCGGAGGAGCCTGCGACGTCAGCTGCGGAAGAACACGGGACTCTGTCCTTTGCGGTCACACCAAGGATGAACCCCTTGTCGCTGGCTGAAGGTGAGGCGAGTCGTGCTATGATGGGGCCAACAGGAAGGGCCCAGTACAGCAGCGGAGGTGTACGATCAAATGTTCCGCATTTGACACGGGGAAGTGTCAGCAACCCTTCCGGACCCCTGAGCCGTGGGTTACCGGAAAACACACCCGACAGCTACTACCGATTTCCGTGGCGCGAAAGCATTGACGCTCGTGGATCCACATCATCCAGACACGGTAGTCGGCCTTACCCACCTGCGTCAGGAGTCGAGGATGAGAGATCGTTTTTCTTGTTAGGGTACATTCAGACGAGCAAGATCCGAGACGCGGTGGAGGAATTAGAAGAGATGGGAAATAGTCCACATACTCGCGTGACGTTTTTGCCGCCGGGCGGAGTCGCCTCGTTGTCACAAATTCCCACGCAAGCCAGGGGGTCAACGGCTTGGCAAGACGCTTTTCAGCCGACTCCAAGAGGCCCTCCGGTAGGTGGGTCAAGCTTCTACTTGCCGGCTGCGCGTCTCTTTTCGACCGTTCGTGAAGAAACAGCAGAGGAAAGCATGACAGATGATGAACGCGAGAGTCGCGGCAAGCAATGTGGATTTGCTTCAGACTTGTCTGCACCCTTCCTCTCGCAAGAGCAACGGATCGAGGAGAATAGATCCAAAGATCGTGACAATACAGCTGGAGCAGATGCAGAACGAGAAACACTTGGAGGTTCCTTAGCGACGCGGACCACTTCCGATGCTCTTGTTCAACAGCAGGACGAGCCGATAAATTTGTCATACCTTGTCGAGAAAAGTGTCCTTCGGGTTGCGCCTGACACGCCGCTCCACCATGTCCATCACTTTTTCTACAAACTCGGAATGCGGTTTGTGGCTGTGGTGGATCAGCGCGGACGGGCCCACGGCGTAATCACCAAGGGGCACTTCGTGGCCTACGTTATCTGGCTCAACAAGATGGCGCGCAGGCGGTTGCATCACCGCGCTGAGCGCGTGGCGAAGAATTTGACACCCATAGTCAGCCGTTCGCAAAGTCGAGAAACCGGACTTCTTGCAGCGCCCCTACTACCTCCCTCCCCCAGACCTCCTACAGATCAAAGACTATGAAGTAAGTAGAGTCAGTGTCTTTGTCTTTGACTATGTCTTTCCCGGCACACTCCCAAGCAAGTGCTACTTACTTCTTGTTTTTCGTAGAATTGCAAGTGATACATAGATACCACAAGTTCACTCCTCGTTTTCTTGTGCAAGATCGGCTTCGGATGACCCGGCCGAGCATAACAAAAAGGAAATAGATGATGTAGCACTTTGCCGTTACATTGTGTGATCTTGAATACATATTTATACCATAGATCATACTGGTTCTGATACCCGTAAGAGAAAGACTAAAAGTTCACGCCGCTTCCGTTGCGAAATAATTTTTTATCAAGTAATTTAATCGCTATGTTGTTGTGCAAGCGGAACGGCGAGTATTGGTCTCACTTTCTTGGGGCAATCGAAACTCGAACTTGATTTGCTTTTATTGGTTGATTTTTTGGGATTTCCTTGCGCCTACGCTCCTTATCGTAGCTTTCCTTGATCCTTCGTATTCCCGATGTTCTTGTTCGTTAATCGTTATCTCTATTCATTATCAATATCATCTTTTACTTTTTCTTGGATCGGAACTCGACTAGTGTGCGTAAACGAGATGGGCATCTTCAGAAAGATACGAACCTAGACAGCGGATTTCGATCGCAGTTGTTCTTGATCGAGGTAATATCGAGACGGTATAGGTAATGGTATTCTACCTGGTTTATCACCTCCGTTCAGCATAAGCAATGTGGCGCTCACACTTGCGTGCTGCGCGATGGCATTGTTCGCAGTCGCTCTCAGTAGCGGTCTGGATCATTCCGATGCTTTAAAAATCGAAATAACCAACGGTCCAAGAAGTGCCTCACATGGGATGACGATAAGGATATGAAGACGAGATCCATACCATATTCCCGGTGTCGCATTCGAGGTTGCTTTTCTTTTTCAAACAACACATGAGGGACCACAGGCACGATTTCTGTCGTATCGTATGAAGAAGTCGTGGTCTGAATCTTGTGGATTCGGCCTTTCGTATCGGATAATGTACTTGTGACAGCGAATTACAACTACGTGCAGCTTGTAGCATCCAGAAAGATCGGAAGTTGTAGAAACTAGTCACTCATTGCAGTTCAAGCATAGCTCGGTCTAGCAACTTTCGATCTTTGGCGCTGGCTTTTCTATAGCCTCAAGCCCTCGGCGTCGGCTCTTTGTAGGTGAGCACAATTCCATTCTATCATGTAGTCATTGTCATGCGGAGCAGAAAATGCATTATCGGTCCAAGAGAGAAAAGAAGTCCCAGCTCACCCTCCAGGCCTTCCTGGACCCAACCACCGTTCCTCGTCCATCATATCAGGACTCCTCACAACAACAACTCAACGCGTAACAAGTACGTAAGACGTCTCTCGCGAATATTTCCACCAATTAGTACAATTTTCAGCTATGAGTACGAGTTCTGCTTCTGGTTAATGACCATTGATTTGAATTTGTTTTTCATTTTCTTTTTTTGTGCAGCGAATGCGAGCACGGTCACACCTGCTTAATCATGATCCTACCCGTGTATTATCACTCAGTCAGAGTCCTCAGAGATTACACCGAGCAGCACGAGTAGGACTAGCGTCAAGAAAAATGCCGGTTGATTTATCAATATCCTCGAAGATGGCGGCCAACGCGCTGGACTTAGCGCAGGCCGCCCAGTTCGCTGTTCGTCCCTTGAAGGAGGACGCAACGAATATGGCTATTCGTATCAACATCGCAGCAGAAAAGATCGCCCAACTGGCGAAAAATCTAGAGAAGTTTGTCTACACAGTACCGGTACCACACTTCCCAGCGTCTTTGCCGATGCTGCCGAAAGCATCGGCTATGACCTATGCCACACCCGGTGCGGCAACAAATTCCGCTGCCATGTTGGTAGACCAAAGCGGAACACCGAGTGTCGATGACTTTTTGAAGCGAGCCAAAAATGTACTACCAACTAGAAATTCAAGTTTCGATGTGATTCTACTATCTCCTGTCCGCCTAATGCTAATTCATTCTCGTTTGAATTTGTCGAAGATTCCGACCAGTATATTAAGTACTGTTGGACAACCGGTCCGTTTGAGCAGAATCAAACACGACGAGTGCAGCAATGAACTCCACCTGAAGATCCGCTATCAACAATAAACCAACCTGCAGGTCAATAGCTTTCTAGAAGTGGGAGATGGAGGAAGTTCTTCCTCGACGAGAATGCACTCAAAGGATAAGGAGGGTAGGCAAAATGATCGTGATTTAGCAGGTAGAATGTCGAATTTCCTGGCAACAGCGTTTTACGGAAGAAATCGCAGCGAACGTAGCGGGATTCCAGCTGCAGCGATGTACATAGACGAGGCGTCGAGTGAAGGATCCTCGAATTGCAGCGGGCATGGGAATTGTATGACGCCTTTTCATGTCGTGCGACATCCGGTTTACTATGAGTACTTGAACAACAAGACTGGAGGATCAGGCGGAAGTCATTTAATCAACAACACAATGAGTTCTTCAATATCGTCGTCAACTTTGGGTAGTGCGCAAAGAGCAGGGTCGTCTTCTTCTTTTACAAACACCACGAGCATTCGCACTACTAGGATACGAACACGAAGAACATCTAGTGAAGCGTCGTCTTTTTTGAAGATCGGAAGCGGTGGCGAAAATATGGCGAATACAGTATACGAGCAAGCTTTTCTACGAAATCCGAGTATGGATGCATTTCAAGTTGAGGACGAAATTGGAGATTGAAGAAGTTGAACTATAGAGTTGTATTTTGTGCTACCCTTGTTCTCGTCCTCCACCTCCACGCATGCTGAACTTTTTTTCTTTTCCCACCCGATTTCTCATTCTCGGAAATAAGAATAATAGAAAGACAAATCATTATTATGGCGTATGCCAATTCGAATGCCCTTATCCTTATGATTGATGATGTCTCTCTTGGACACTGGAAATGCTTTATGCCTCAGCCGATTCTCTCCCTCCCGGATCCTTGCATATGATGACACGTCTGTAAAAGACCTTGGCGTGAGCACTGCTGCGGATGAAATGCCACACATGCAGGAGGGTGCTCACTACACACGTGCAAGCCATGGGGGCGCATTGTGATCAGCATGCCAAGCACGACGCAGCCAAAACGTATAAGGTACGCCGGGCAAGAGCTCTACAGCCTGAACATCGTCAGCCTCTGCCTACTGGTGTCCACATTGGGGGAGCTGATGTTGCGACTCATGAAGTTGACATACCGCATCAGGCCAGATGCTCTGCTGATGTACCGGCTGAGAAGGCCAGAAACACGCAAAATGGAGACACAAAACAGCAAAGGCGCAGGCGAGAGCTCTAGTAGTGGGAAATGGAGAAAACGCGAGGAGATGCGCAAAAAGGCAAAGCAGTGACAATAATTAAAGGCGGCCTGTGCGAACCCGCCTTCGGGCTGAGTATATGCAGAATTTTAGAGCGTAACGGCTTAGAAATGAAGCTTCTGCGTCATTTTTGGTGGTGTTTTTTCCTGGTCCTAAACTGACACCGAGCGGCCTTGACGATAAAGAGAAACGTGACGACAGGCATCGACGCTGCCCCGGTTGTGAAAGTCGTGCGCTGTTTTGCTTGTTCGGTCTGTTTCTTCCTATGTATGACCCCGAGAAAAGTTTCCTAGGTCGTGCGTCCGTCTATGTATGTATCATGCTGCAGTCAGTTTTGGCTTAAACTTGTGAAATGGTTCGAAATCGTAAAAGGTGCGCACATCGCCCGCATAGTTTAGCTTCGAAAGCTGTGTGGCGTTCGTGCCACTCTCAGCCGCGCGCCCCCTTTCGCCTTCGTTCCCGTTCGCTGAGGGTTGCAGGCAAGATTCATTGACGACAGACCCAGGCCGCGGCGTGGCTTGTTATTATTGGCTTGGCTCTTGTGTTTGCGTCTGTCTTTGTGTGGATCTGTGGCGCTTGGGGGGGCTGGCTGCAGTCAGATGAGGATGGCGCCCGCGGATATGTTCGCCGGCGCTCTGCTGTTCGGTGTCTGTGTTCTTTGTCCTCGGTGTTCCGCGCCATCTCCTTGGGATGGTTGTTTCGTGCGGTTCGTTTGTCTTCGGCTTCTGTCTTGCGGTGTTGTGGCTGGCTTCGCTTGTCCACTAGGTGGATGCGGAGAGGCTTCGGCCAAATTAATTGATGTGCTCCATCTCCCCCCCGCCCCCTAGAGGCTTGAGGCACTAAAGAAAATAACTAGCAGACTAACTTGCTTGCGGCGCTTGTGTCGTGTTTCAACTGTGTGTTTCTGCAGATTTATTAGTGGGGCTTTTTTGTTTCCTTCGCGGTAGAGACGCCTGCCAAGAAGAGCTCTCGGGGTGACCTTTCCCGGCTTCGACTGTGTTCTTGTTCAGTTTCCTTTAGGAAGGTTGCTCTTGCTCCCAGCGCTTTACCCTTCAGAGGCCCGCCGGTCAAACATAAACATGGAGCAGCGTGCTGTGAACTGCAGAACAGAAGCCCCGGCGCCCTCGCGTTCTGTTGTTAGCAGGCCGCCCTGATCGGCTTTGATAGGGTGTCTGTCTTGGTTCCCTTCTGTCTCTGTGATTTCGCTGCTTGCTCCGTTTGTTTCTCGCGTGTCTCTCTCTCGGTGTTTCCATAGCGGAGAAAGGCCACGCGGCCGGCAGCTCTGTCTCGTTTGTCGGTCGTCTCCTCTCGGCTTAGGTATAAACACTCTGCGAGAGAAGTTGTGCTCTTCTTGTGCTCTTGAATTCCATCCGAGTTATGTTTAGCTTCCCTAATTTTCATCGTAGCTTACTCTTGTTTAACGGTTCGGATTCGGAAAAGGTTGGCTGCACAGGTATATTCTTATCGTAGCGTTCTCGCCTATCGTTCTGCATATATCATCATCTTCATCATCGTCATCGCTGCAGGTCGGTTGGTCTCGGCAAGAGTAAGAATTTCCAAAAGAGAACGCGCGTCGTCGTCAGGGAATCGGAATCGAGCTCGCATTTGCACGCAGATCTCATTCGATCCTAGCTGCTAAAGACTGGATGATCAAACTGCAGATTAACCATGGATCCAACGGCCTGCGCAGTCACCTCGTTCGCGTGAGATCACAAGGAATGGGATGATCCCCATGCCGGTCGAGACTATAGTTTTTGTTCCTGGATTTTGTATTGGCTCGTGCTTGTAGTTAGTTCGCTTTTTGTTTGAGTTCTTGTTGAGTACCGTTATTGCGCCGTAGTTATATTCTTATCCATTCTTGATCCAGATTCAGTGAAAATTTTGATTTCATTAGGTTCCTTTGGAGTGTATGATTGACATTCATCATGAGCGTCACTTTGTTATTATAACTTACGGATGTTGATACTTGATGGAGGTTGACATAGATCGTTTTTAGTCCGAAGCATGCACGACGTAGATTAAGTTGTCCTTAGCTGTTGATGTCCTTGTTCGGCTTCGGTTTTCGCTGATGAAGCTAACAAATTCCATCATCCTTTTTCCCCTTTGACTTTTTCTTTGTTGTCTCCGCCGTCGACTATTTCTGTAATCCTTGAAAAAAAAGTCATCGACCACACTAGAAGTTAGTACCGCGAAAAAATGCAGCAACACCCTAAGTCAGCGCATCGAGTTCCGGTGGACTATGCTGTGCTTGGTGAGAAATACAGCTATTTTCGAGAGTGCCTTGTGAAATCGACATCAGGGTCAAAATCGTCTCACTCGACTACAATTGACTACAAAGATTCGCGGTCTTTGGCTTTGCTGGCGAAAGTTCTGCTGGAGCACCACTATGGAATCGTAGGTTGGAGGATAGAGCCGCACTTGGATGATGCTCACAGGCCTGCAGGTGATGAAGCGAGGAAGTCGCATGGAGAGTTAAATAACGAGACTGCCACTGTCAACGGGGAAGGGGAGAAGAATCGCAACGTGATCGACGAACAGGATCCGGTAGATGCTGGATACGACGTCGAGCACAGAGATAGAACGACACTATCATCGCAAAATGCCGTAGATTTCTGCGGCTATCTTTGTCCTGCAGTGCCCCGGTCAGCGAACTATATCCACCACGTGGCAGATTTGTTCCCAAGGCGAGGGATGAAGGACCTCAGGCATAAGAATCTGCGAGTTTTTGACGTTGGCGTAGGGGTTAGCTGTATATTGCCCTTGCTCGGAACCGCGATCTATGGCTGGAACTTCACTGCTAGTGACGTCTCACCTGAGGTAGTCAGATATCTGAAGCAAAATACAGTCGCAAAGTTGATCGCTCAAGGGACTCCTCTGTGTTGTGGAACGACGACAACGTCGGACTTTTCGACGAGTGCATCATCAACAAAAAAGCCGGAAGATCACCACCAGAAACAGACTTCTACTACAAATGCAAAAGGTGGCACATCATCACCTCGGGATGACAACGCCAGCGACTATCACAAAGGATGGCCACTACAAGCAGTTTCTTGCGACGTTCGTCTTCAAAAAGACCCACAGAAAGTTTTTGACGGCGTAGTGAGAATGAAGGAAATGCAGGATTATTTCGCATGCTGTATTTGCAATCCGCCGTTCCATGAAAACGCAGCTTTTGCACGTGCAAGCACGCAAGGAAAGTGGAAGAACATTACTAATGCTCAGGCACACGACGATCAAGCGGGCAATAACAACAGGAACTATCAAGGTCGCCTTCATGAATTAGTGACGGTTGGTGGCGAAGTCGGTTTTGCCCACAGAATGCTTGGAGAAGGAATGCGGATGGCGGATAAAAGTACGTTCTTGTGGCATACGGTCATGGTCTCAAGATGGAAAACCGTAGAAGCGTGGAAAGGCTGGATGAGTACTTACGCTTCTGTTAATCTTATGGCGCGGGAGGACCAAGAAGGAGGTGGAGATAGAACATCATACCATGCGGACACAGACTGCGGCTCCCAAATGAGTACCAAAAATCCAACGGCAGAAAAGAGAGCAACGCATTCTGGGTCAACAGCATTTAAAGCCCTGCTTCACCCTGTCAAGAGGTTTCGAGTTTGCGAGCTGCATCAAGGCAAGAGTACAAAATGGGCCTTATGCTGGTCTTTTGTCGACGAAACAGAACAAGAGAATGCCTTGGAAACGGGAAGATACCATGATGACGAACGGAGTGCTGCTCTGATGGCGAAAACGAAGAATGAGTGGAAAGATGATTTTTTCGCGTGGTGCGAATCCGAAGGGAGTGGCAATCAACTGGGTGGCAGTGCGGAGATTAGAGGCGACGAAAATGTTGATGGGGCAGCGAAGCGGCGTCGTGTTGGCGATTCTACGGATTAGCATTCTCCTTTAGTTACAATTACAATTACTTTGATAATGGCGCTAAGTCAACTAAGAACTGCACAAAAACGGCCACTATTGTCGCCTCCTCGTCCTGGAAGTGCTCCGCTTAGCGGCTTTTGCAACTTGCTTCCTCTTGGTTTTTCTGTCTTTTGGTTTCGTTTCATGTGATTCCCCGCGCCCCTCCAGAGTCCACCGCATCAGCCTGCAACGAACTGTGTGCCTGGGGATTCTGGAGGGGCGCGGGGATTTGGAGGGCGCCCGAGGTTCTTGGTTCGCAATTGGGGGAGGGTTTTCCCGAGGAGAGCGCAGTAGGCGGCGAGTGTTCTGCGGATTTGTATCATGCCCGGCGAGATTGAATCTTGTCCGGATTTTTGCAGTCCTTCGTTGAATTTTCTCCAATGTATTAAATCAACCACAACCGTTAGCTACGACAACGTCACCGACGTGAGCGTGGAGTTTGTCTACCCTCGTCTTATTTTGAAACTGAAGATTTTTATGGTCTGCACTGAAAGTCAGAGAGACAACTGCTCTCACAGCAAACGTTGTTTCCTCTCCCCGAATAGAAGAAACGTTGACGGTCCCCAGAAGTCTGACTGACTCTCAATACCTGGGCATAGTCGAAGTGTGCTATATGAATGGATGCTATATTATGACTATTTCGAGCTGATGCCATGGCTTGGGCTTGTAAAGACTGCCTCTGTAGTAGAGATAAGTTGTCTGTTGTAATGAAAATGTTGAAAGAAGAGAGAAGGAAATACAAATAAATGATTTTTGTTCGGTTTTCAAAAGATTATCGGGCGAGAGAGTTGACGACGCTGAGCAAATGCATAGACAAAATCAAAAAGGACGAAAAGACTAAAATTGATAACTGTGAGGCGATACACAACAACAGCGCGGCCTGGAATAGGCAGCTCCGACAACCAGAAATTTATGAAGACGAATCATGTAGCTCTACTTGTAGAAAACAACCGGAGATCCGCGTTTATTGGCTTTATCTCTGATGTGTTTTTCGGGAAGTCTTATGTCTATCATTCATGTTCTTTCGTGATGTGCTTGAACACGTACGACTGTTGCTTGGTGTACCTTAGAAATTAGGGCTCTGCTTCTGCATAGAGGATGAGTTACAGTACTCTTTACATCAAGGACCGCGGCGTTGTTGATATCCTACCCAGGTAGAAAAAAAGGGAAAGAATCAAATAGAAGTATGCAGCTCAGTTCTCAGAATGTGTCAACTAGGTAATGGACCGCTTCGCTCGCTGACGAAATACGCTACTTTCTCGGAATTCAAAGCGTACGCCGCGCAGCTGGGTTTCAAGTCCAGTAGAGAGTGTCGAAGATGGTCGGCCAGTTCGGGTCGGCCGCGATACATTCCGTCAACGCCGAACAAATTCTACAGAAAATCGGGTTGGATCTTACACATGGATGCGCTTGGTTATATCAATGGCCGGTTCCCGAGGAACCGCGACCGCCCATGGACGACTTGAACATTTACCGCGGCCGACAATGCATCAATTCTGAAGTGGCGCTAGCCTGGGTTCGGAAGCTCATCGTGGATCTCGGTGACAAATGCCAGTTGTATATGCTTCCGCGTTTTGGGCGCGGCAGCTTTCTAATTCGCGCTTGCGAAAGTGGTGTTGATGCTGAGGATGTCAACTCGTCATGTGACGCCGCGGTTTCGCCGTCGGAGTGGCGAGCAATACAGGTGAAGAGTGCAGTTGAAGTTGTGCGTGATCGAAAAGGTGGAAACCGATACCTTTTCACGTCATGAAACTTTCGTTCGGATATCGGTATCGCAGTTGTCAACTCGAAACTCGAAGAGGTGGACTTTTGCCATATCTCGGAACTACCTGTCACGGATGCGAGCGCTCCGCAGCAATGGTTTTATCTGCCAGAAATGCGGACGGTTAGCAGTGGCCCTGGACGGGAACGAGCGCGGAAGTAGCTACGGGATCTGCTAGAGAGAATGCCCACGAAGCCCCTGGGCGAGTGGCTCAGCGACGTCGCTACTGCAAGGGATTATCAGCTGCATGTTAAACTTATGACGCAGGCGGTGTCCAACTTCTTTGAGCCTGCTCCATCTCTGTCGTTGGAACAAGTCAACACTTTCACGAATCTACACGAAGGGCTCCTGGCTGGCAAGCGCGTACTATTTCGCTCTGTCCGAGTCGACAGTAGGCGGCAAACGGGCAAGGTTAATTTGGAGCGACATCGTCACATCAACGGGAAAAGATATTCATCAGTGCCGTTCGATGCATCGGACTGTATCGATCTCTACATTGTCATGCTATACAACTTCGCCGAAAAAAGTACTTTGGCAGGATTGTTTGTCTTCCCGCGACAATTTGTCGTGGGAGAAGACGTCCTTATAGTCAATTTTCGCGGTGGGCGACGAGGGTATTCATTATATTTGCCCGGTCATAATGTCGAAACGGATATAATGGGTAGGGCACGTGCGAAGAGGCAGGCGCCGTACTACTTCTCTCTGACTAATGGGGACGTACCTTCCACCACAAACCGCTTACCAATGCAAGAGTGTATAGATGCAGCTTTTGCAACCGGTGATCATGGAGCCGGTGCAAGTGGCTGTAACGATTCAGAGACTTCACACTTCCACAAAGCGGGTTCCACGAAGTCTATTCTCTTTTATCAAAGGTTCCACTTCCAGGCGCTCGTTGTACCTCACTGTGTATGTGACTTTGTGCCGACTTGTGATCATATACATATGATGTCTACAACATGATGAATGCTGAAGAGGCAGAGTCACCATGTGTAGGGACGGAGCAACGGCATCCTATCCTATGATCTTATCCTATGATCTTATCCTATGATCTTATCCTATAACAGTTTATGACACGAATGGCGGTTGGCACGGTTGGCACGAGTGACACGGTTGGAACAACCCAACGAAGCCAAAAAGTGCCACGAGTGGCGCGGTTGGCGTTGGCACAAGCGGACAGGGATAGGGATGCGAAGGGCTGCAATTCTACGGAAAGCCCCCCTGCCATTTTGAAAATGGTAAGGGAGCTAGCCAGAAACAAAGCCGGCCTGGCTGCTCTCTAAAGGGTGCGGACCCTAGTGCGGCTGACCGTCGGAGGGCTGGCCTCTTTCTTGGAACTACCGTGCGGGTCACGCAAATTCTGGCGGACTTACATGACCCCCGCGGAATTCCACGAGAGGAATGCTGCGACAAGGCGGGCGATTTAGCGTGCGGCCTCCGCCCTAGGGTGCTTGGCTGATCCACCGCGCCGCCGCTGTGGGAGAGCGGCGACGGAGGCGGGCCGTGGCTTGGAGGGCGGGTCGGATGCGTGGCAGCTTTGAATCGCGGGTGGCAGAGGAGGGCTGGAGCAAAAGCAACGCGCCTGAAGGGCGCCGGGTTCGTTTGGGGAGGCTACTGAAGCGCAACGCCGTGGAGGGTGTGGCAGATTGGTCGCAGGGCGCCCGAGTGGGGTTCCGAAAGTATGCGCGCAGCATTCGGAGAGAGCGGCAACGCCGCGGAGGAGGTAGCGCTTGAAAACGCAGGGCGCCCGAAGGGCGCCCCGCTCTCGAAGGTCTGATAGGTCCACGAATGGCACGAATGGCGGAGCACATTGAAGCCCCGGATTGGATGCCTGCCATTCGTTCCAACCGTTCCATTCGTGCCATGCCAACCGGCCCCCAGAAACCTATGATCCTATCCTATGAGCCTATCCTATGATCCTATCCTATGATCCTATCCTATGATCCTATCCTATGATCCTATCCTATGATCCTATCCTATGATCCTATCCTATGATCCTATCCTATGGTCCTATCCTATGATCCTATCCTGTGATCCTATCCTGTGATCCTATCCTGTGATCCTATCCTATGATCCTATCCTATGATCCTATCCTATGATCCTATCCTATGATCCTATCCTATGATCCTATCCTATCCTATCTCTTGCTAAGATCAACGCGACAGTATTAAAATCGTTTTCTTAGCATCCATGTCGTTGCTCGTTTTCATGCATTGTTTTGTTGTTCGTTATTTTTGAAATCGCTTTTTTGAAACATGAGCATTAGAAGGTCGCCACAACTAGACTCTACGTCTACATGATATTAAGATGGATTTTTTATAAGTGGGCGCTTTGAGGTCATGGACATGAGGTGTGTTAAAAAGATGCTATATTTGTACTGTTGTGGTATTTGGTAACCTGATTTCGATCTCGAGGGTTATCGTCTTGGTTTTCCTTGTGATCAGCATCAGGCTACCAAATGTAAATACTGCAACCATTTCGACTCGGGGAGTCACGTAAAAGACATAAGACATGACAATGAAGTAGCGCAATTGAAAAATGATGGGTACGAACAACATCAAAGATCAGGTTGCTATTTACTTACATAGATCGTCACTCAGTCTCCAACATGTTTACACCCACTAGATCTATTACAAATCTTGGCATGTGGAGTCGGATGTGAGCTCGATGTTCAAGATCAGATATTGAAAATATGTCGTAAATGTTCTTGGCCTTGGAGGATGATCCCCATCGGAGACGAGGAAGAATAATCGAATTCAAAAAAGAACCTCTTTTACTCTACTTCCGGTTGCTTCTACCTCTGATCTGAGCGGAAGCTGCAATGGATTGCGAAACATACTGCGCCCCTATTGGCGTGATAGAGGAGCACTAGGCTCCGCCTGCCGCCGGTTTGCGAACTGGATAAAGCTGAGGCCGCTCTTTCAGTAGCCCCAGGATACAAAAAAGAAAACTTTTCCTGAAATCTCCAAATCCAAGCCCAAATCAAAACTCATGGGTCGTATCGTTAGACTGTGAATTATGACAGATTTTTACGACTATCGGTCACGATAATTGTTTTCATTACGGAATTCGCAGATGCATAGGTTCATGGTCCCAAAATCTTGATATGTCAGGAATTCTTTTCACTACCATTACCTCCTTGGGAGTTAGCGAGCCTGACCTTTGATTTCTTTTGTCGGCAGGAAGTCAACTCATCAGTACTGTCTTTAGATAGAACGAAGTACAACCTCCTAATGCTAATGCTGGCTTGATCTTTAGTTGTGTATAAAAATCATGTCGACCTTCGACGAGCGAAAGTCGAAAATTCTGGCGGCGATCGACAAATCGCCGAAAGGAAGTTTTGACGCACCTATCCTGGATTTGCTGAACTACATCAACGGTTTGAAGCATTATTGCACAACAAGCAGCTGCTCAGGTAGGATCGCCGTGTTCAAGCACAATCGAAGAACTGAGATCGAGAAAAATGCAAGTACGACTTCGGAGACAGAAAGACATCGAAGAGCGGAAAACCACGCGGGCAGTGACACCGATGTAGTAGCAGATGGTGAGACCACTTCAGATAAGCTTCGTCAAACGGTGTCTTCTCCTGAGGATGGGGAGAATCTGAGCGACCCTGTCGCCGAGTTGGTTACACAGCACCGGACAAGTGCGAATAATGCCGACAAGGGTGGAAACTGGGTATTTGTTGACCACGAACCGGACAAACTTGGCAACACCGAAAAAGTAACGGCCAAGATTTTGGAAAATCTAGAGCACTTAGACGAAGACGACCATGTGGATTTTCTGTTCGAGAGTTTCGTCCTCCACGTCGAAGCAAGAGACTTACAATGCGGTCAGAAATTGTTGTCCCTGGCTTTGCAAACAGGGTACCGAGAAAGTGGATTGTGCGTCAGCACCAAAAACCGCTGCATGGTCCAGATTCGAACCAATGCCTTCGGGATGACAGTCCCTTGTCGGGTTCGAGACTTGATAACGATCAAGACTGGCACGACCCCGACGTGTGGCGAAGAGCACCAGGGGCGACACGGTACTTCCTCTCCAAGGAGTGTCGACGAGGATAAGAATGCTAGAAGTATCCTCAAAGATATGTCCTTCTGCTCCTCTTCCTACAACAAGACGAATCTGATGACCAGGAACTGCGGTTCGTTCAATATCATGGACATGCTTGGTTCCAGTCCGAGCAGTAGCATATCAAAGAATACCGATGAATTACGTGTGCAAGGCTCAGCATCTTCAACAAAGGAAGTGGCTGAGCAAAGGCGGGGGAACCATCAGAACTCTCGTAAAAAGGACAAGCATTGTAATTGTTCACCTATGTTGCACTTCTGGGTGTCTTCCGCCATGGAAAGATTTGCCAAAAACAGGGCCAGAACGGAGAAGTTTTTCGAAACGCTGAGAACGAATGAGAAGGACGGTCTGTGTCTCGAAAACAGACAGCAGCAAGCGCATTGTTCGGGACAAGCAGGCTCACGAAGAGCAGCTCCTTCGCCAGGACAGCAAACACTTGGAGATGGTAAGACTCAGCTTGTCCCACATTTATCTGATGTTGCGAGGGAACAAACTTTTTTTGGAGAGCATTCGCAATTCGATTTGTCCTGTGGCGCCTTAATTTGCCAGAAATCTGAAGCCAAGGCCTTGAAGGATCAGGTTCAAGGATTGGGCTTTTTCGACAAAATATTTGGCGTGAAAAAAGTGTGGATCGCTGCAGAGGGTATAGAAAGGATGCTTGTTGGCCTGAATGCACAGGGAGTGGAGAAAGCCCTCGCCTCATCTTCTGAAGACGCGAATGAGCGAGGCACCTTCTACATTAACAAGGATACAAAAGTTGTGGTTGTCGATGCAAAAGCGAGACGCGAAATGCTAGCGACTTGCTTGAAGACATTAGGGAGTCCGGCCAGGGACGTCGAGGTCCATAGAGGCGATTCCGCCACGCCCCAAACAGGAGGAAAAATCACAACTTCAAGACACATGGACCGACTGAGGAAAGTGCATGCTTTCACGTGGGATAAGGCGAATTTTCGACATGAACTGGATGAGAAAAGTCCTCAATTTTCCGTGTTTTCTTACTTGAAGTATCTTCTAGCACGCCAGGCCCAGGCCGATGCGGGTGCCAGGGAAGCTGGGGTGGGAGAACAGGAACCACGCCGTATAAATAGTTTATCCGCCTTTCTGACTAGTGTGCGAAACAATTGGGTCGAGAAAGAAAATATTCCCGATGATTTTCTTCCAAATTTTCTCTGTGGCCAAGAACTAGGTGGTTGCCCATGGTTCGAAGATTTGCGGTCAGAAGAAGAACGAGAAAAGAATCCAGTGCACTACCAAGTTCAAGGCAGGTTTGCCTTCGTCGGAAATCTCAGTGAGGAGTTTTTAGCTAGGGTGAAAGGCGGTAAAACATTTTGGCTTGCCGTGTGGGCGTTCTTGGTCCGCAGGCATCCAGAAGTGGAGGTTATTGGCATACTAGGCGAGATCAAGAACGACGACTTTCGAAGTCCAAACGGAATTCAGCTCTTTCTTTCTCTTGAAGAGCAGGAAAGTACCGACAATGTTCATCCGGCCTTCAAGATAAACTTTAACCCGAGCACTTCTATTGCCACTTTTTCTAGTTCAACCTCGTCACCACGACATGGAGGTCTTTGCGCTTCCCCAGGTGATAAGGATTTCTTCTGGAATAAGGTAGCCGAAAACGGGGTCTTGTACACCTGGCACGTGCTGAAAACCATGTTCTGCAAAGGCAATATTTCGGAAAAGCTTCGGGTCCGGAGTGATGATCCGCAAACCGGGTACAAGATTGAAAAAGACGAGACTGTGGTGGACTTATTCGCGGGGATCGGGTACTGGACTCTACCTATTCTGAAACAAATGGGAAAGGAAGGGAAAGTTTACGCCTGCGAATGGAATCCGGAATCGATTGAGGGCTTGAGGAGAGGTTATTTTCTGAATTTCCCTACGTCGAACAAAGGGAAACTAGAAATGGACTTGGAGCAACAACATGACCATGAACACGGGCAGCAGCAAGTAAAGCTAGAGCCTAACTCTTCGATCATATCGAGGTTAGAGATATTGGAAGGTGATTGCCGTTTGGTGGCGCCGAAAAAAGTTGCTGATAGAGTGATTCTAGGCTTGCTCCCGTGCACAAAAGACTTCCGGAGAACAGCGGCGGAGGCGCTCAATTGGGACAAGAAGGAGAATGTGAAGAGATTACACATCCACCAGAACCTGACAGCGGCGGAGTTGTCCTCTTATTCGGAGAGAGTCTGCAGTGATTTGTTAGAACTACAAAACGAAATTCGCAACCGGGATTACAAAGGGGATCCGAGTTATTGCAACTTTGATGTCAAAGTCACCCATATAGCAAAGGTGAAATCCTACGCGCCAAAGGTCAACCATTACGTCTTCGATGTGATTTTTGCTCCGAAAAAGAAGCTTTCGTCGAGTTAGTAGATGACACGACAGCAGCAGGTGCAAATATACTGTGCACACGAACATGATACTCAATACTTTGTAGGCCAAATTTGAATTTTATCCTGTATATGTAGTTCCCGTTCCCCTTTCAGAAGACCCTTTCGCCAATTCCCATGAATTTTTTCCACACATGCGCATCATCGACCTCCAGTCGAGAGGGGCTCGACCACTAAACTGGATTATGCTCTATCTGGCCTAATCCGAGCCGTATGTGGCTGTGGCCTGATCTTCAGCCATGTGGATGCTGGGCATAACGGTGCTTTCAAAGGATTCAGCGGGAGACGAAGAGAAATATCATCAACTTATCGTTGACACCAACTTTTTTTCATTTCTGTAACCTAGAATGTTTGGACTCGGTGAATGTCTCTTCTTTTTTGAAAAGAGAGAACGAACAAGAACGAGAACAGAAACCAGGAAAGAACACGTATTCTTATTCTACTAGATCATAGTGCTAGTGCAAGACTGCAAGTGATATTGGTGAACACGGAGAAGCACCAGATAGTGATGAGCCTACACTCGGTCTGCACAAGCCGCCACAGAGAGAACAAGAAGGAGCGCGTGTGAAGAACAAACACGTTTCGCAGATCATTATCCATCGGTTCTAAGTGAGATTAGACATCACAAAAAGCGTGATGTTCTTGCACACCTACCTATAGAACACGCACGAAGAAAAAGAAGACCACGAGCTTGAAGATGATTGTCGAGCCTTTTTTTGAATGACATCGGTCCCTAAGGAGAAGTGGGCATAAAACATGTTCAGGAAAATTATTTTTTTGGATCGATCCTAATCCTGTTCATGCCGTTCATGGTCTGGAGCATCACAATATCAAAAGTAAGCAATGAAATGTGCTTCTGCGGAAGGAAGAATTAGTTTTAGACTTAGAGTTATTTTTTTCGCTGACTTTCTAAAGACTTGAACACGGGCGCACGTATTTGTATTATTTGTACAATTACAATTAGAATTATATCTACTGGATGATGTTTTTTGATGTGAAAGAATAAGACCGTGAGCACGGCCGCATAGTCGAAGATGTTGACTCATCTGAAGTGTAGATAATACACTAGGTTTTTATTCGCCAGTCAAATGTCCCTCGTGTGGAGTGTATTAAGTGAATGAAACAACTGTATTCTGTAACTGATGTAAAGTATTTCGAGATCGAGCCAGATGTCCTCGTTGCAGACACATTTAGTGTAAGTGCAAACCATCCTACTACATGATGATGTACACAACTGGGGCTGTCCTCGTTCGTTCTTCACGACCGCGTCTGCAGTCACAGCTGATGTGCATGTGAACGTGTGCCTTGTTGAATGTGGTCCTGGCGTGAATTCTGACGACTTGGAAGTTTCGTCTATAGTGGATCAGCCTGCGGAGTTGTGACGCGCTTGTCAGCGGATCTCGATTTTCTCGGTTGAGCACGGGCCGCGCGCAGTTTTCAGCGATCGCACGTCGCTCTTACTTCGGAAAGGTCGTGGTGGGAGATGAACAAAGCCCAGAAAATCTAAGGAGCTCAAGCTTTTTTTTGTGACTACGTTTCAGCGATTCAAGCGGCATCACTAGGTTCCGGTGCTCTGCGGGAGAAATAGCAAGAATCGACAAGAGCAAGGCGCTGTGGTTCTCGTTGTGACAGAGCGAGGAAGATGGCGACCTCCTCAACAACCCCCGCCGACTCGCGGGGACTCAGTGCGGCCGATAGCACTGGTACGACCTCGTCTGCTGTTGGACCATGCGAGTCCGCAGAGGTCAGACCTTCGATGAGCCCGACAGGGAGCAGCCTAGGGCTTCCCAGTGTGTCACAGAGCAGCCTGAGTAACAAAAGATCATCAGTCGTACAACGGGCGTCAGTGGTCGTCAGTTTATGACGTGTGTTTATTATTTTTATAATTAGACAGTCCTTTGTTTAATGAAATTGATATCCTGTCTTTGGTCTTCCTCGGTTCATCAACATTATAATTAGACAGTGTGAGTAACTACACCTACAGAGTCAGTGCCAGCACAACTGGCACAACTACTTCTGCATCTGCTCTTGAGAAACCAGATTACATAATCGCTATTACTACACGCACACTAGTATCTTCACGAGGTGGACAATGTTCTTGAAATACAGAACATTTATTGCTATCAACCAAAATAATTAAGAATACATGTCCTTGATTGTGGTTGCGGCCCTCGTCAGGTCCTAACATGTTCGTTTTTGAATTTTTTGGTTTTGGTTTGATACAGTTAGCTTAAGCTTTTCCGCTGGTGCTCTTCTTTCCGTTTCATTTCTCCAGCAGCTAGGGCTTGGTATGCGTAGCGAAAGCTTTCAAGACTATGTGCAGACCGCTGATCCGTTACCCAGTAGAATTAGCAAAAGCGTCAAGGAAAAGTTTGGCTTCCTCAAGAAGGAGACTCAAGGTCGGGTCATGTATCCGCGTGTCACTCAAAAGTTCATCTCTGCAACGGACGACGGAAAGAAAAAACTCTCGTACAACGAAGACAACCTCATAAACACTTACGGCTTGTTGATGTTTCGCTTTGTCTTTTCATCATAGCTTGGCTTTGATTTTGGTTTAGTCCACAAGCAAGTGCAAAGCATTTTCGTGACGAGGTCCATCTACATCTTCTATCAATCATTATCTCAAGAGATCCTCAAGCTTAATCATATTCGAACACTTAAGGGAACATGAACAATCTAGTTGAGGTATTTAAAAGTGAAGAAAAAGGATATGTCCCCTATGTATACAGATAATGGATTTCTTGATGAGATCTATGTCTATCCTCGAGTCTTTTTTGTCTAAAAAGCGCAGCGCTTCGGAAAGTGGATTGTGCAGTGGCTACCCGTATCAATATACTTCCAGTTCCGACGCATGGCGAATATATATTTCTTTTAAGGGTGACCCTGACCGGCGTGAAGATAGCTCGCATGACGCAGTCTGGACTTAATTGTTCAAGCCTTCTTTCCTTTTTTCAAGAAGAGAACAAGAACATCAAGTTGTCAATAAGAATAACAAGAATCATTGTGGTAATGCATGTATCATCAATGTTGTCTTAGCCTCTAAGATCTCATCATCTGCTGCCTGCAGACTATGGAATTTTCACCGAAGATGCCGGCGCCGACTCTAGCGACTTTCTTCATAGTCCTCATTTGGACTGCAGGGAAAGACTTATGCGGTGAAATTGATACACTTTCTTACTTTTCCCACGATTACCCAGTGCAAGTTCTTAGCTTCTCTTTCAAATTACACCCTGCTGCATCACGTAAAGACGTGGAGAATTATCTTGATGATTCGAATCTGTTTGCTTCCTTCCTTCATACTGCCGATACGAGGATTACCAGCGGGAGAAGTCTGACAAGAAGGAGAATCACAGAACAGTGGAAGTGCTTCAGAAAGATAAGACGTGGGGAAAGAAGCGCTGGAAGGACGTGAAAGCAAACGATATAGTGCGCGTTCACAAAGACACGCCCATTCCAGCAGACATGGTGCTGCTAGCAACATCGCATGGCGGTCACTGCTACATTTAAGGGTAGTTTATCACTATCCCGTGTGGACTATGCTGAGTGGATTCCTCCTTGATTTAAAGGAAACAATAAGGGGCAAAGAGGGAAACCCACTTGTTTCGGGATAGTGAAGAACTGCCTTTAATACATAGACACGAAAAATCTGGACGGGGAGACGAATTTAAAATTACGCATGGCGAATACTGACCTAGCATCATTGAAAGAAGATAGCCCCGAGCTCGAGGATCTGTCGGTAATTTGGATTTTCTTCCTTCACTTTTTAGGCTGTTTTAGTTTGCACTTCGTGTTTTTTGTCGATAACAAATTTGGAAGATCAGGCAGCATGAGGATGAGCTAGTGTGTATTCGCTAGCTTGCATCCATCAAGGGTTGGATACGTGCTTTGTAGAGCCACTTCCTCTGTCTAGAAGCTCCCATCTCGATATTCTAGTCCCCTGATCTTTGCAGATTTCCGTGGAGCCTCCGCACGAGAATATGACGATCTTCAAAGGCAGCTTTTCAATAGACAAGCGCAGCGACGTGCCACTAGTACTGGACAACATCCTCTTCCGTGGCTGCACTTTGAGAAACACCGAATGGGTTTTTGGTATTTCGATCACTTTACAACTACGACTTACCAGATTTTTACCATCGATGCATGTTAATGTTTGCTACTAGTCTCAACTAATGTGATTAGTAAAGCCCACCTGATACCCTCGCTATTTAATGAGACGAAGATGATAAGTACCCACTATATTAACCATTCAACATACTAGATTCCAGTATGATAGTCTCGAAGAAGATAATGCGTTTCTACAGGTATGGCGGTGTATGTCGGGAGGGACACGAAATCAATGCTGAATAGTAGAGAAGCGCCAGCGAAAATGCCCAACATGCAGCACCTGTTGAATCAGCTGCTTATCGGCCTGTTCGTTATTCTAGGTGTCGGAGTGATTATCTGTTCAACCTTTGGCATGGTTTGGGAAAGCAGGTAACAAAGTCAGTTTCCTTGCTGCTTCGAACGAATACATTATTTTTCACAACCGACTACTTAGCTGTATAGATGCACTCTATAGGTGAACAAGGTTTAATTGTACGATCGTAGAGGTAGAGCAAGAACAGGAAGAACTTGGATGAACAGCTTAAAATGTTGAAGGAGCATGATCTTTCCATTTCCTGACAAACCTTTCACAGGTATCGCGACGTGATGAAATATCTCCAAGCACTGGATGCAAATGGGGATATAATGATTCTAAAGGGTCGCGAATTCGATACGTCGACGTACGGGTTTGCGATAAAAATCTGCGTTTTCATTATCGTCTTCTCTCACCTGGTTCCGATGAGTCTCTACGTGGCACTCGAAGTGACCAAGCTGATCTTATGACATTGTTCTGAAGAACAACAACGAAGAAGTTAGCATCTTTCTGATAAGCTAAACTGCTCTGTCCTCTGGTGAGAACATACGTGTACAACTAGCATTGAAATAGACTGATGCAGAGTGATGGCATAAGGTAATAAATGTAGAAGTATTTTGGTGGAGGGAGCCGGAAGTGAGATGGACAGAATGGAGGTGACCCCTTCTAATGAACCTCGCGTACTTTGTGTCGACTGACAAGAATATGGTACACGACGACGTAGGTGCCCTTTGCCGCAATAGCGACCTTATGGAGGAACTCGGCCAGGTCGAAATCATCTTCTCCGACAAAACCGGAACGCTCACATGTACTCCATCTGGAACAATGATTTCTACTCTACTGGTGAAGTAAGCAGCAGATCTCAATCTGTGTTTACTTGTCTAGTTGTATGGAGGGTATGTTTTATGAAATATCATCTACATGTTTGATGATGATCTTGTTTATGATCAACATGTCCGCTACTCAAGGAACTGTAGCCGAAACTGCACAGACATGATGATCATATGATTCCTCCAGGTAACAAGATGGAATTTGTGCGAGGTTCCGTCGCTGACAAGGTGTACGGTCCGAGTACCAATGCGGAGCTCGAGGAAGCACGAGCGATGATAAAGAACGACAAGGAACAGCTGGCGAACAGTTTGCTGAACGATATGGAAGCGTATTTTGACGCAATCAAACGACACGACACGGCTGCTCTCGACTATTTCTTGCTTTTGGCGGTATGCCACGCGGTCGTGATTGATCCCGACAGCGGCGAATACCAGGGTAGCTCACCCGATGAGGTAGCGCTGGTGCAGGGTGCAGCGTCTGTCGGCATTCGGCTGACAAAGAGCTTGAACGGCGAGATGGAGGTGGAGCTGCCAGCGGAGTTCACTGGCGGGAACAATCCGCAAAAGCGTGCCTACAAAATCCACGAAGTCCTCGAATTCGACTCTGACAGAAAACGAATGTCAGTCGTGGTGGAAAACAAATTTGAAAAGAAGATGGAAATTCTCACCAAGGGAGCAGACATGACGGTTCTGCCGCTGCTAAACAAACCGATATCGGAGATGAGTACGACGCATCTTCACGAGTTCGCAGGAGAGGGATTGCGAACGCTTATCTGCGCGAAGAAAACCCTCAAAAATCTAAAGCGTATTCAACGACCTTAATAAACAGAAGTCAGAAGACCTTCATTGTGACAAGAAGTGGATACAGATGAATGAGAAATCTATCAAACTTCAACAGTGAATCATTCAAAGTTCCCACCACGCAGCATGACGAGGAATCATGATACTTGTTTCACTTGCCAATGTTTTGCACTTATTCATTTAAGAACTTGCAGTTGCATCTTGTTCATCTTTTCGTTCTCTGTATCAAAATCAATGTGTCTTATGTATGATCACAGCTGACTCGAACGACATGCAAAAAGGCTGTTGGTATGATGGGTGGAAGCAGCGTTTCAACAAGGCCGCGACGTCCATAGAGAATCGGGAGCAAAAGGTTGCTGATGTGGCCGAGGAAGTCGAGAAGGAGCTAAATTATATCGGCATAACAGCTGTCGAGGATATGTTGCAAGACGGCGTGCCGGATGCCATTGCCACTCTGAGGAGTGCGCAGATTCGCATATGGGTTTTGACGGGAGACAAGATGGAGACCGCAGTCGATATCGCCTTCAGCTGCAAGCTACTAGACAAATCCATGACGTTGAAAAAACTCTGCAACTTAACAGACGTATTGCTTTTTTATCGCCGTTTTTTTATGACACGATGTGAAGACCTAATGGTAATTAAGTCTGTGCAGGCAAAATTCCTTCGAATTTTTTAGGATCAATCTTAATCAAGTATCTAAGTCATAAATCTATCGCCTCGGAGATCATGAAACTACATTTTTCTTGTTCTTCGAGGTGAGTGACATCCGAGACGCGCTTCACGATGTGCATGATGCATGCGGTAAGGGTGCCTCTGTCGGGCTAGCGCTCGACGGGTTCACGATTACCACTATCACAGACTCGCACGACTTAGAATTGGCTAAACTGTTTTTCCGAGTGGTTATGAGCGTTGACGCCGTAATGGCATGTCGCGTCGCACCAAAGCAGAAGGCCTTCATTGTGAAAGTCGTCAGACAAAACCTGCCAGAGATAATCACCTTGAGCATCGGGGACGGAGCCAACGATGTCGCGATGATTCAGGAAGCGCATGTTGGTGTTGGAATACGAGGTGTTGAGGGAACGCAAGCTGTCCAAGCTAGCGATTTCGCGATCTCCCAGTTCCGATTCCTAGAGCCGCTAATTTTGGTACCTTCACTGATCTTTTTTTGTACATTTAGCAGATGTAATTTCTTTCTATCTTTCATCTTCGTGGCAAATGGACACCGCGCCTGGCATGCCACAAAAGCCGCAGCTGGCGGGGACTGTGGCGGCCGGGCATACCATAGTCGATCGCAATGACGACCATAGCGCTACACACACAGAGCACAAAGAAATCCGGCGGGATCGTACGCGTCGCCCGGAGCGCATCAAAACAAACAAACAAACAAATGCGAATCCAAATGCTATCGTGCTAATTTATATTTACCTCGCGTGAAACAACTAAAAGAGAAAGTGAAGTCTTTATGTCGTAGTCGTTCATTTGTTATTCTTCGCATCCATTCTGGAAAGTTATTGTACACCACAACCCCGTTCCTCCAGGATCATGGTCGAGGAGCCTACCGACGTGTCGCATCCTTCATGTGCTACTATTTTTACAAAAACATCGCTCTGGTTATGTCAGACATGTACTGGAGCAGTTTCGCTGGGTATTCAGGTTAAGGCTTACCGTAATTGTAATTCACCCTAACAAAACATCATAAGCATCTTTGACCGCTTACCCTTTACAGGGGGAATAAAAATGCGTCAAAGAACAAGAAGATGCTTCTCAAGATGAATACGAGTAAGGTCTAATCAGAGCAGGTTTTGTTTCCGTCGTGGTTCTCCACTGCGTACAACGCGTTTTGGACCTCCTTTCCGTGTATCTCGTGCAATGCGTTTGACTCTGATGTGAGTGGCAAGGTCGCGCGCGCAAATCCGTATCTCTACCAGGCAGGGCCAATGCGAGTATTCTTCAACGCGCGAGTGTTTGGCCAGAGCATTTTCCTAGCCGTTTATCATGGCTGGATATGCTTCGCAATTCCATACTTCGCCTACGGCTCAGCGCCGATGGATGAGACGGGAAAAACCGGAGGCTTCTGGTGGGTCTCAGTTCTCATGTTCACCTGCATCGTGCTAGTCGTAAACTGCCGACTCTTCATCATCACGCCAAGTTGGAGCAGGATTAGCCTTGCGGTATTATAATTCAGCAGTAGTTGATGTTTGGGTTTGCAGGACCAGTTGTAGCTGGACTTGGATTAGGATTACGTATGATCATCGATACGTGGTAGGCGTTGTAGTTTACAGGCTTTGATGAATCTTCAGATGTAGTATATGCTGTTTAATGAAGATGACAACGACATGATCACAATTTCACCCAACAAGAACAAACTCCTTTTACCTCCAACTACTACTTCTGACCCCTACCTCCAACTACTCTATCAGGTTCAAATGCTGAACTTCCTGTTCTACTTTCTCGATCTGATTATAGCGTGTCACACACAGTGGTTTGCGATTGCCTTCCAGTGGCAGGTTTACACAATGCTAGGGTCTATCTATGGGACTGCAGGTGGCTGGATTGTCACAATAGTCACGGTACAACTTCATACTACAACTCTTCAAAAGTGTATCTTATTCGTATTCTTACAAATTGCTGTTTTTGATTTTATGATGCAAGCGCATGCGCAAGCGCATGTGCATCATCCTTTCAAGGTGCGCATCTCATGGTTGTGCGTTTACCACGATTTCGCCAGCACCTAAAACGTCAGCGTCTTGTTCTTGTAGAATTCTATGTTTTTACCCCGATGATGCTCCCCTCAGGTGTTGCTTGCACTACTTCCGGACTTCTTATTGGAGATGTATGCCACTATTGTAAAGCCGAATCCAGTACGGTTGCAGATGTATCACGAGAGGAAGGGCCTTGAATTTGTGGAGTTGAGGCCACAAAAACCCGGAACTACTCCCCTCCTCAAAGCGCTTCCACGGGTCACCCAGCAAGTTAAGGAAGAGCACGTTGAAGTATGCTCTTATTATAACATAGTACTCGATCGGTTTCACATTCGATTTGATGATTGAGTTTGTTTCCCGAAGTGAAAAAAATGTAGATCTAGATTGACGATTATGTGCGGCATGGTGATCCCCATCAACGTCGCGCAGCGTGGTCATTGTCTAAATCAACTTTCGCACAGATGAAGCAACTGAAGCGGCTAAGCCTGAGCTCTACCTCACCGAGAGCAGAATATGAGGGCGCGGGCGGCAATACCGCGGGACATCATGAGGCGCCGAAGCCGCTTTCAAGTGATGACGTTAAGACAATTGTAAAAAATAGCAGAACATATTTCCTCTTTTGTCGTCATTTACACTGTACCTGTAGCAGTTGGACTTTCACTTGGAGCAAGAGCAGCATATAATGAAACAAGGAGGGATGTAGCACCTACACCTAGCAATAGCAAGAGGACAGCGCACCACAAAGCAAGGGAGCCACCGCTATCTCTAAAGACGATGTCCTCACATCAAAGAAGGACATCAAAGAGGTAGAGATGACGGCAATGCCCAGTCAGGGAACGCGCTCCACGGAGCCACGCACAGCCAGCTTGAGCAGCTCGGGTAGCGTTGCGGACGAGAACGTACAATCACCTATTGCTGTCGGGAGCCCTTCCGAGTTTAAATAACGACCGCTGGTTCTTGCGGTTGTCGTTGTCGACATGCGTGTTGTATGAGCGTCGTGACGAGATATCTTATGTAGAAGATAGTAGAACTACAAATAGTACTAGGCCAACGCAGGTCTACTAGCCTCAATATTTTATTCTTTGTATGCCTTTGCGGCTATCCTTTCTATTATTTTCAGGAGGGGAAGTATTTAAGAGCAGAGCGATTATTGATGTTTAAAAGCTCATTGAAAGACAAACTAGATGGTATCGATAGAGATAATAGGCAGTTGATCTTTCGTACGATCCGAATTGAGAAGATCTTTAAATCTAAAATTATAGGCAAGGAGCTCTTAGTCTGATAGAAGTGCGCGTTGATATCAACTTGCTTCACTTTTTGGACTGAGTGATCGGCTTGACGAGCCGAGCCTTCCCCAGTCTTTCCATGGGTCAGGATAGCAGGGTGCCTGCATCTTTTTCCCGAAAATAAACAAATTCAAGAGTAAGGTCCTCATCTCGTTCCTCCCTCGTCTGTTACCATGGATCAAGAATAATAAGCTGGCAACGTGAATTGGATAAATGACGACTCGTGAGATCCTAGAATGAGGAACCATACATGGAGACCCCATCTTCCTGCCTAACCTTGCTTCTGAGCCCCCAGCTTCAGTTAGGCGGTTAGCTTTCGCTTCAGGTTGATTTGGTTCGTCTCCTCCCAATTTCAAAGATCGTTCGAAGTGTTCCACTGCAACTAGGTTGTGTGCGTAAGCCTATAGAGATCAGGATACGGCCTGATCCGTCGTGGCGATAGCCAGATGTTCAAAGAAGGAGAAGAGAGATCAACGAATTTTATCATGGTTGGTGTAGGTTGGGATAATAGGCAGTTGATCTTTCGTACGATCCGAATTGAGAAGATCTTTAAATCTAAAATTATAGGCAAGGAGCTCTTAGTCTGATAGAAGTGCGCGTTGATATCAACTTGCTTCACTTTTTTTTCCCCCCTCCCCCCCAAGTTAGAAATATTAACCGATGCCGGGACGCTGGGAAAGGAATGCGTCCGCAGAGGCAATGAGCTGGTCAAAGAAGAGGCCCTGTAGGTCATTCGAAGACCAGCTCATCTTACTGAAGAAGAAGGTAGCGCCCAACCCTTCCTCGACCGGGATTGAGGCGGTGAGTGAAGTACTCCCAATTTTGGGAGAGGGCGCTGAACTGGCTGAAGGAGTAATACAAGCCTTCTCGGTGGGACCACCACCAGCTGCACAAGACACAGGTCTCGGCTTACCTTTGCAAGGGGAAGACGAAGAAATCGCGAACTTTCAGCAAATGCCCACTTCAAACTCCTCGGGTAGTTCGCTCGTGGACGCCACGAACCAAGCAGTAGAAGTAGCGCTCTTGGATATGCAGGAAGCTCCTCCTCAAGATCTGGAAGAGCAAGCGCAGACGTTGGCAGCACCGACCGGTGCGCCACACGTTTCGTCTTCGTCTGCATCTTCTTCTTCAGGTTCACTAATTCCATTGCTAAGTATAAATGAGAATCAAGTTGGGTCGTCCTCTTCCAGTACTACTTCAACTCCGAGCACATCTTCAACTTTGATAGTAGCGGGAGAAAGAAGTTTCGTCAGACCCGGCAGGAACGTGCAGACGGTTGTGGGGGCAGGCCTCCCACCGCAAGCAAGACGTTTAGGTCCGGGGAATCTTCTTAATTGGAAAGAGACCTTGAAATTCATGAAGAGTGCATGCGAAGGGAACACGGCCTTGATCCCGCCCGGACACCCTCCGAAGCCATTACTGCAGAAGGCAAGTGGGCTGGATGCCTTCATGGCGCAACTAGATAAAGGAGTATCTCCCTTCGACGAGCAATCGAGGCTCGCAGGATCTACACTTAAGGCGTATCGCTTTGCGTTTAGGAAGTATGTCGAGCTCATGTGGGCTCTAGACTTGGATGCCCACCCGAAATTTCTGTCCCCAGCGGCGGCGAGGCTGTTAGCGCAAGCCTTTCAGAAGTGTGGAGATTTCACAAAATCCAAAGCACAATACGCGGAAAATGTGAAGTGTTATGCAGAGCTCATTGTGAGCCTGCAAGCCCAGACGCTAAAGACCTTTTCACAAGTCTTGAGATTGTTCTGGCGAGCTAAGCCCATCACAGTGCAGAGACAGGGAGTTCGGTTCACACATTTGCTAGTGATGATGTTGGCGTGTTCCGAGAAGCCGCTGGCCAAGATAGAGGCCTGTGGAAAACAATACTCAGCAACGAGCTTCCTGCAATTCTGCATCTTCGCATGGTTTTTCATGATGCGGCTAGACGAGGTGTCGACGGCAACAAGGAAGATGCTCCATGGCTGGGTGCGACTAATAGTAGCATCGGCAAAAAATAACAACATCGCGGCAGCCCCGCAAGTAGTAGACTTATGCTGTTGTTGCGACAGGGCGCCAACGCTGGCCTCAAGAATTATCAAATTCTGTCCCAGGTGTTGTTGCAAGGATGATGTGTGTGCGCTTTTTGCTTTTACACAGGCGAGGGTGCTGGCGATTTTGTTGGAAAAACTACTGTTGTTCGCAGGATTAGGACCAGGCCAGCACGGCACGCCAGCACTGGCGCAGCAAGCCCCCATGGGGGAAGAATTGTCTTCAACGTCCTCCACAGCCAACACGCAGAAGGCCAAGGTGAGCAAAGAAGATGAAAAAGTAAAGAAAGAACTTTATCTGCACTCGCTGAGAATTGGTGGAGCCAAATCAGCGGTAGATGCAGGATCGTCCAACGAGGACGTAAGGATCATAGGCCGGTGGGACTCTCTGCAGAGTGCAGAGAGATACATTGGTGATGCGCGTGCGTTGCCGGACTCGGTGGCATTTTCGTGGCCAGTTCGCAAAGCAAAGTTGTTTGCGTCACCCGGTGGTCAGCACGGGTCTTCATCCTCCTGGGAGCTGATGAGTTGAGCTTCCTTCTTCGTTTTTGTACCTTGCGGGGTTAGTAACGGCCCGCTTAAGGTTGATCGGAGTGGTGCTCCTCTTATCCCCCTCCCCCTTTTTATCTACAAGTATGCTAACCCCCTCTGATCGCCTTTGAAGTGAGCGAAGTTTGAGTCTTCTTATCACTGGGGTCAGGCTTTTTTCTTCTTGTTGGGGTTGGTAATCACATAGTTTCTAGTTTAGTCACATATACAACTTACAAGTCTTAGTTAGCATCTAGTCAAATAAGTCAGCCTTAGGCAATTTGATAATAATAGGCACAAGATGGCAGAACAAGAAGCACCACAAGCAGCTGCTTTAGCAGCAATGCAGGCGATGAATGAGAACATGTTGAGGCAAGCCGCGGCTCATGAGAATGAAGGATTGGGAATTGCCACTGACGCACAAATTGCACTGGTAGCGAATGCTTGCGAGAACATTCGCTACAAGTGCACATCCCAGCAATATTTATACGTGCTGCGGCAGCTCGCGTCGAGGACGTGCGACAAGTTGACTCACTCACCATCGGCCCTGAATTTGCATCCCATGGCACTGGTCGCGGCTTTGAGATGTGCTGACATCCTAGAGGACAGGCATGCGAGCGCGATCATGGATGCAGTATCCAGAGCGGTTACAGGGTCTTTTGATCCGAAGTCGGATGAGATGAAGGTCGAGATAAACAGCGTATACGAGATATTCATGAGTACGATGAAGATAAATTTGCAGAATCTGGTGCCTGTGGAAGAGGGTGCTGACTTGCAGCAAAGACAGCTGCGAGCAACCATTGCAACAAACTTTCCTCCGGATTTCGTTCAACAGATCCAGAATGAAAGGAGGAGATTAGCAATGGAGAAAGCCACGAGTAAAGCAGTAGAACGGGCAGTGCAGGACAAGATGAAAGAAGTTAACGACCGAATGAACACGAGACTTAAACAAATGGAGGCTGAAATCAGGAATCTTAGGAGTGCTCGCAGGGAGAGAACTCCACCGAGGCCAGTCCCGAAGGGGAAAGGTAAAGGTGCAGGAGATGCCGGCCCCAAAGAGTGGGTGTGCACGAAGTGGATGCAAGGTTCCTGTTCAGGAGCCACATGCCCAGATGGGAACGCCCATAGGGGCGACCTGAAGAAGCTGGAATTTTTAAATACTAGATATTTGAGTGGAAGGTTGTCGCAGGAGCAGTTGAAGCGTTTGGCTTCATAAAGTTTTCCTTATTTGCACGTTCCCCCCCTGGCCCTAGAAACATCAAATCCTTTAACAACAGTAAACAAGATAGTGCAACACTCAAACATAAGCCAACTGACCGAACATCACCTGAGTATGAGTAACAGATATACTTAGATTGTTCCCACACGAACCCCATCCCGCCAGCAAGGTTACCCAACGAGAAATCTCGGAGCCCATCCTAGAGATTCTCACACAAAAGAAATGTTTCTGCAGAACACAGAAGAGCACGCAACTTTTTCCCAAGTTTTTGTCCCCCCCCCCCCAAAAAAAAAGAGAAGAATACAAGTCTTCTCGCTGCCTTAGGCTCCATGAAGGGCAGGCAATGGCGGAGTGCAACATCCCCGAAAAGTGTTTCTGGGAGATCTCAAATTTTTCACATGCGGCTGTTATAGCATTTAAGCTGTCGTTGCCGGCGGGTCATGCGGGAGTTAAGTCATCCCTTGCTTCCTTGACGCCTGAACCCTCAAGAATCCGAAATTAAAAAAGAAACAATCTACAAACTAAGTTCAAAACTCACAGGTGAGGAATCCAAGTTCCCAGTCGCTGCTTCAAGATGTCCTTTATTGAGATCGAAGTATCCTCGATAAGATATTCACAAGATAGCATAAGCAAGTTCTTTGGGGCAGGTCCTCTTAAAGGCTTATATGTTTTTTCAGCTTTCGATTCTTGTGGAAGTCGCAGACAAGTAGCCGGGCTGGGTATTCAGATTAAAGTTTACGAGCACCAAGGCCTTTATTATACCGTCAATAATAGAACGCTAGCCGGATTGAGAAACCTTAAAGTGAAAAGAAAGTGGAAGTCCCTTAACGTAGTAGCGGAAGTTACTACATATACCCTAGAAAGCTGGCGGCGCACCACATCCAACGGTGGCCGAGATATACAAGTACGTTAGACAACACAACCCAACCCAATCCAAGATGGTATTCGGAGAATACGAAACGCCAGAGGAGCGGCGTTTCCGACGGGAGAACAATATGTTCCCCGGGGATTTCCACGTCACCCCAGAAAAACGAGATCAGATTCGACGACGCGAAGAGCCGCTGTGAGAGATATACCGCTCCGAAAAGACGAGCCGGGAGCGTAATATGAGGGCCAGAGGGCTGGTGTCCTCCAGCGAGTCGGAATCGGACTCACAGTGGAGTCATCCTGTAGCCTTGAAGAAAAAGTTTCCCACGGCGGGCAGCGTACTAGCGCCCGATCACAAAGGACCGTTGGTCAGATTGGCCCCGCCGAGGGAGCTGGACTCGGACCCTGAACTGAGCGAAATCGTCAACGAAGGCGAACCGCAGCGGGAGCAGTCGGTAGAAGCGACGAACCCGCTGTACCAAGCCTTCGCGCAGAATCAGCCGAAAAAGACGAAGAGAAACATGGCTTCCAGCAAATACAGTTTCTTCTCCAAGCCAGACGAAATATCAACCGCGAATGAAGCACAGGCCCACGAGGAGGCTCTAGACGAACTGGCCGATATACAACTGGAGGATGCACCTTGCACCCCGCATCAACCGCGCTTCGATATAAGAGTGACTCCGGAGCAGCTCCGACGAGTCGAATTTCGGCCGTCGGAGTTGCTAAGCGCCGCTGCTCAAAGTTCAACACCAGCTGCAGGAACAGGGCAAGTGCGCCACAGCCTCCGGCGACAGCGGTTGGAACTAGACGAAGGTCTCGACGAGGAGAGCGGCTTTCCTCCGACCGCGGCAAAGCGTCTGTCGAAGGCGCCGGCGTCAGAAGGGCAGGATGATCACGATCAAGATATCGAATCAGACCTGAGTCCCAGTGTGTCGCTACGCATCCCGATTTCGCCAGCGGAGCGCGCGCCGCCGAAAATCATGGACAAGAAGCCTCTGCTGCTCCTGAAGACGTTAAACCACTACAAACCCGAAGCAACGGGTAGGGGAATTCGGCTGGATGAGAGTGACGAAGTGGATTTCGAGCACTCCATGACAGTGGACGATCAAAGAAGTTACGGCGTCCACTCGCTATTGCCAGAATACTTCGTCAATACGATAAATTATAATAAGCGCTCAGAAGTGCAAGATATTGTTGCCGGGTGCCAAGTAATCGGGAACTGGTTGCTGCACATGGCCCAAAACTCCAAGGCAGCAAGCGAGCACCTCAAGGCGAACCTGCCGCAGCACTGCCAAGAGGTGTACAAAGACAAGAGCATCGTGTTCGTGGATGTCTGCTTGCAGAAAGCTGTTCAAAGAGCTGAGTGCTATGATCCAGTGATCAAGCGCAACAGGCAGCAAATTCTCGATTGGACGAGACGCCTCGCAGCCGGAATACCGATTGCAGGCGAGATTTTGCCATGTGGATTTTGGAAACTGCTAGATGTAGAGATCCCGGAGGCGAAGAAAGAGGTTGCCGAAGCTTTAGCTTCGCGAGAACACAGTGTTCCGCATGGAGACCACTGGTGCGAAGAACACCTTGTGGAGGAGCTGTGGAGACAAAAAGAAACAATGATGGAAAAGGAGCTCTGGGAGCCCCTCCTCATCAAAGATTTGACTCCAGTAGGAGCGGCAAAAGCGTTCCCAGTGGTGCAGGCCAACAAGGTAAGAACGTGCATTGATTTTCGCTCGCAGAACAAGCTCCAAACTCAGCATGAAAAAATGCGTCTGTTGGGAAGTCGCGCTGCGCTAGAAATATCATGTGCTTTGGCATCAGATCGGCTGCACTGGAGAAAGCGACCTTTGCTGCTGCAGTCCAGAGACGACACGAAGATAGATGTTCTCACCGAAAAAGAAACTCGGGACAACATCGTCGCTGCAGAGGCGCCGAGCGGTCAAGAATCCGAGCACAGTAGCGCCCTTACTTCCAAGGACTTTCCAGGCTCACTTCCGGAGGACTACGCATTTATACCTCACTCCGGGAAGCGAGACAAGTCCGGGCACTATTATCAGCACGCGACTAAAATTCCCGCACAAAACGCAGCTTTCTTTGCGGTGCCGCGGCGTGTTCCCGACAAAGATCCTCCCGAAGGATCCTTTGCCACAGCCTTCCACCCGAAAGGTTCGCGGAGATGGCTTCTGATCAAGAGCAAAGTTGCTTTGTTCGGAGCGCTCTCCTCGGTCCACGAAGCGGCTAATAGCAGCGAGGTGATCCAACTCATCTGTCATGCGATTCTTTTTGTCATCACCACGATGTATATTGACGACAACCAGATACAGGCCAAGCCAGGCGCCTTAATGGCCCAGCTTGAGCTGGTGGATCTATTCCTACACCTCGCCGGCTGGCAGCAGGCTGAAGAAAAGAAGGACCAGCATCACCGCTTTCAGCGGTCGCTCGTGGTCTTGGGATTAGCTTACACGCTGACCCCGGATGCCAAACTGCTGGTTATCCCAGATCACGCAAAAATCGCGAAGTGCAAGCGAGATGGTCAAACGCTGACATCGCAACTCGAAGCGAAACAAATTTCGCTCGACCTGCTCTTGAGCTTTCGTGGCTTGTATCGTCATTGCGCACAATTGGACAGGGTGAAGCTGTTTTATGCGCGCAGTCAAGATCGTTTTGTCTCGAACTTTGACAAGTTCAAACGAAACACGACGCAGCGAAAGCGGGCATCCAGCGGTGTTCAGCTCATGACGTGGGCGTTGGACTTCATCCGGCCGTTCGAAGTTTCCACTGGCCGGGTAGACAAACAGTTGTCACATGGTTACACTGACGCTGCCGGCGAAGACTTCGAAGGTCTAAATGAAAAATTGCGCCGTGGTCAATTCGAAAATTTGGATGATCATCAGTTGAAAATCGGCGGCTACCTGGCCCATTCCTCAGGCCACTACAAATGGTCACTGCGCATCACCACATTGCCGCGCTTTCTGCGAAATGAAAAAATGCATATTGGCATTTTTGAAGCACTGGCAGCGGCGGTTGGGCAGAAGCTCTGGCTTCACCTACTGCGGGATGACCTGTTGATCCTCCACATGGACAACTTGGGGGATGTCTTTGCGATGGCGGCAAATTCATGCAAATGTCCGGTAGTGCAAGCGATCTCGCATGGCTGCCACCGCTTCCAACAGAAACATCAACTGGACTCGTATATCACTTGGATTTGTACGCGCAGAAACGTCTCTGACCCCTTAACTCGAGCTCACAGAGAGCTCGCACTAGCGAGCTTCTTTGAAGACGCACAAGAACTGTTTGTAGAAGATAATTTCTTGCAAAAAAACCATCGAATCTGGGGCGCCATATCGTCAGCCCAGATCAATTTTTACTAATATGTACATCTCATATCAGATTTCCCTTACGCACATATCCTGTTCAGCCGTCCGCGGACTGACAAAACTCGATTACGATTACCCTGAGAACATGCAACACCACCACACGGCTTTACGCCCTCATTCTTCCCCTCCGTTTATCGGAGCCATACATGGAGACCCCATCTTCCTGCCTAACCTTGCTTCTGAGCCCCCAGCTTCAGTTAGGCGGTTAGCTTTCGCTTCAGGTTGATTTGGTTCGTCTCCTCCCAATTTCAAAGATCGTTCGAAATGTTCCACTGCAACTAGGTTGTGTGCGTAAGCCTATAGAGATCAGGATACGGCCTGATCCGTCGTGGCGATAGCCAGATGTTCAAAGAAGGAGAAGAGAGATCAACGAATTTTATCATGGTTGGTGTAGGTTGGGATAATATGTGTGGACTCTCAACATCTTCTCTGTCTGTCTTTCTGACAGGAGCAATCTCGTCAACTAGAAGTAAACGTAAAGGATATTCGTTTTTTATTTGACATTTTGCTGAGTAAATATTGAACGCGATTGAAACAATATATCACAGACAACTTGATCTAGATAAAGTATTTCTGAGTTGTGAAGTCTCAGAGTCGAAAATGAAAATTTCTATACCTCCTTATTAATGGTGTTCTACGTCTGACTGTTGTAAAAAATGTACTCCGAAGACAATGTCGCTCCGACCTAGTACTAGTAGGTGTAGGTAGCTGCTCTACAACCAGTAATACGGCTTTTTCCATGGATTCCGCTTTTGCAAACATTGTTGTTGTTTGTTCGTTCTTGCCCTTGATCTTGATGTCAAACCAACGAACAATTTTTAGTCTTACTAACCATGAGCATGAATCAGCAAAGAGAAGGTATACAACGAGGACGTAGTTGTATGTAAGTAACTACACTAACACAGGAGGGTCCGTTCGAGCTTGTCAGTAAAAAGGTAAGACTAACAAGACATCGACATTTGTAAAAATCTAATACTATTTGTATTATTCCAGTGTGTGAGGTTTTTCAGCTGGACCGCCATGAAATGACATATTGTTAACCTAAGAAGTAATGATTTATCGCATCAATTCCAATTCATGAAAATGAGCGTTGGGGATGGTTTTCGTAGTCAGGTGTGCGTTTTTGCAAGGTAGTGTCCTCTAATACTAATAGAGCAGTCGTTGTTAGAGTTAGTAGAGAGGTCGCATTCGCATTCGAGAAGTCATCATGAAGGATGATAAACCAACTGTAGTTTGCGAACAAACATTACGTACTGATCTAGAGTAAAAAAAAAGTGATGTTACGAGAGTCAGATCAAGAAACAAAAGGACCATAACATTTAGTCTATTGAACTACCTATTTATAGTAAGTAATTATAGTTATACATGCTAGTTTCGTTCATAATGGCTAGTTATTGAAATGCTGCGCTAACATTTCAATTCTGTACCTGTAGTCTGTCATACAATACAGCATCTATCTGGATAATGGTTTTCGATGTCACATGATCAGCAACATACAGCACGCGTCTGAGTAGTAAAGACATTATCCTGTACTAGTACATGATCAGTATCAGGATCAGCCGATAAGAGGACGATCTTGAGTTCTAGCTACGTACCTCTATGATAAGCAATCGCTAGGTAGATGACGATGCCGTCGTGAAAGAGCATTCTTGCGGTAACTACCAAATTATGCCCGCCAAAAGAACAACAACAAGATACCACGTGTCCGTAGAGGTGGTAGAGTATACACGTGATCTTCATCTCTGCTCATGCTTCTGAAAACCACACACAAGATAGAAAAAGATCGTCATGTTGAGAGCAACTCCAACTTCAGGCTTTTTCAAACGCATGTTTTGGTGAAGACTTTTGGCATCTGCCCAATTCGTTCTTGCCCATTTTGAAGAGAGTGACAGAAATGAATGAATGAAAGAAAAAGAAGCAAATAGACACAGAAGTGGAAAAAAGAAACCATGTCTGTCTATAATCTAGGCGGACAAGCAGGAGCACCTAACCCAACCCAAAAAATAATCTGATTGTGGAACATGAACACAAGGAAGTGGATCCATGATAACTATGTATACTTTCACTTGAACTCTGTATCTACGTGAAACTGGAAGCTTAGTAGTCTTTAGCATACTTTTAATTCTTAGATTAATAAATAGGTAGAGGCACTTGTTAGTCGCAGAATCTTTAACATCTACATCGCCTAAGAGGAAGATCCTCGAGCTCTGTCAGGCTGATACTGGCCTCCAGCAGAGGGTCTGCCTATGAAGATCAGCGCGAGACCGATCAAGTTCAGCAGCGAGCTCCTCGGATTATATTTCATCAATTTGGCCATGGCCAGATGCTCCCGTTCGCGCTCTGTCTAGATCGTCAGCTGGTACGCGAATGCGAAGCACACGACTTCGGCACTGCAGCTGATCGGTGCCATTTTAGTTCGCAGCCATCTTTCCGATAACAGGCACGGGCCCAAAGATGAGTACACCGAAGGTAGAACTAGAAGCTTTGGGTCGGCAGGACAAGAGCCACAGGAAAGGCGGATGCCGGGTGAGCTATGCCACGTCTGACGATCAGGAAGCTGCCCACCACTATCAATTGTATGAGACAAGTATGCAGCAACTCCAGAACGAGCTTGCTCAACTAGACCGACTCGAACATAATCATATTCATAATCTTTATGGACAAGAACTGGCACAACATTCTTTGCCCCCTCCGTAAGTATTCCGACACGACAAGAAGAACCACAACATGCTGCTTTCTTGGCTCCTTCCTATCCTACTCATTGGGCAGCATCTGGAGCTCCATATAATAGTCTTTTGCCTCCATCAGCTGTAGGTAAAGGTTTTGCCACCTCCTCCACAGAGGGCTTTCCTCATTCTCATGTGAGTCAAGAACCTCCCCATGGGTACTACCGACACCATGTAGCTCCACTTCTTGAATCGTGGGAGATATATCCCGAACATCCCCAAACCCAAACGACGCAGCTGATGCCGACCAAAGGCGTTGGTAAGAAAAGCCAAAATGCAGCTTCTTCTGCATCAACGTCTTCCGTAAATCCTACACGACGACCAAAAATGGTATCAAGTTTGGAGTGAAAACGAAAAGTATTTGCATGAAGGTCGGATCAGCATCAGCAGCAGGTAAAAAAAACAAGGGTGAGCATCACCAGGAAAATCCACAAGCGTATAACAACTTTTGGCCACCGCCAGTTGGAGCTGCTCTTGGCAAGAGCAAGCGGCAAAAAACAAGGCAAAAACAAGGGCGTGGCCGAGCAGAATTTTCCCAACAATGCTCCTCACGGATTTTTACCACAGCAACAAGACGCTTCTTCTTTATCTTGGTTTGTAGGACATCAAGGAGTACAAGAACAAGAAGTACAAGGAAAATTTGTAGGACATCAAGACGCACAAGAAGTACAAAGACACTTTCGTCTCCTAGGAAATAACGGACAGCCTCCACATCAGATTGGACTTCGACTTGGATGGAATCCTGATAGTAGGAACGTGGACCAAGAACAATGGAGGTCTGATGTGGGGCTCGAAGACGCATCTGGGCCTGTTGCCTGTCTGACTAGCACTGGTGGTGGCGCGACCAAATCAGCTACTACAACCATTAGTACCTCATCTACTGCTCCTACGTTGTCTTCAAATACAACTTTTAGTACTTCTTCATCTGCTCCTACGCCTAGTACGCGGTCTTCAACTACAACTTTTTCTTTTAGTGCTACTGCTTCTGCAGGTGGAGGAAGAGGAAGTAGTGTTGCCCTACAAAAGACGGCACGTCGGGGAAAGGATAGGTATCGTGAAAAGATGGGAAGTGAGGAAGAAAAGCTTTCTAAGAAGAAAAAAGTGAATCTCTCCAACGGGAAGACCAACGTAAGCAATAAGAAGAAGAAAAAAGTGGGCGCGTTCATCTTACAGGCCTCGTTGAAGAATATGAGATACTATCAGTATCTTGAGCGACAAACGGAGTACTCTTCTGGGTGCCCCAGTGTGGAAGTTCTACGCCAGCGACTTCGCTCTCTGCTGAATAAGGTGGCTTTTCCGCTTCCGTGCGCGCTGTTTAAAAAAATTGTCGAGGTCTTATATTACGCAACCTCCACTTCGGGTTCGGACACAAGTTCTGCGATCACTTCTAGCAGGCATGACGACAGCGCAGTAGTCGGCTACAGCTGTATGGAGTCGACGTTTAGATCGGTTGGTGTAGCTCGTTTGATTCTTCACCAAGCCTTAGAGGATCCGGGAGGGAGATTCGTTGATGCTCAGGCTGATTTGTTGTGTCACTTGGACGAATATAATAGATGTCATCTGGACGAACATCGTAAAAGCCTCTCGGTGTCGAAGATTGAGACGGCGGAAGATAAAGGCGGCAAGGCATCGACGGTCATGGAATTGATTACCCCTATCGTCGTCGACTGTATCCATGGACTACTGAGTACACTGCGTGGAACTTCTGCGCCTTCGGGAATAGAGCTGGACGGACGAAGAGATCATCTGGAGCGTGTTGTCATGCCACCTAATTGGATGGAGGAGCATTGGGATCCTGCACAAGATGCACAAAGCAAACCGCGCGCGTTTCGACAGCTCAAACGAATCACACAACTCGTAGCAAGACTTGTTGCTAGAGTACGCATTAGTGCAGAGACATTCCATAAAGACTTTGCTGCAGTTTTCGTCAAGGAGATTTTGCCGCACGAAGAGGGTAACGATGCGGGCAACCCGACAGCAGCACTCCCGTCTGCGTTAGCAGTAGATGTCTTGATAGAATTTTTTTCCAAACTGTGTCTGGCGTCAGGACAAATGCTAAAGGACGACGCTGCACACGCGCTTCAGGAGGAAAATAGAATTAAACTCCTTGCAAAGGAAAGAGAACTAGAGGATGAAAGCAAGTACGACATGATTGAACGGTAAAAAGTTGAAATTTTACTGCGAGACGGCTAAGCAGGTCCGAGATACGATGAAGCTTCGGCATTCTGTCCCTTCTGGAGACGTGGCAGAGCAGACGAGGTTGCTGAAATTGAGTACCGCCATGGCTTTACTAGCAGAGCGAATTCGGAGAGTGCAGAGATTGAATGCGAAGACGAAGAAATATTCAAACAGAATCCGCCTGAAAATGGAGATGGCTTTGGAGGAATTTAACGCCCTTTGGGGAAATTCAATCTCCTTTTAGGATTATTTCCCTCCTCTGGAGGCGCAGGGTCAGGTGCGGCGCTCGCAAGGTGCTGGCAGGGCCGCTGATGCTGCTGAGGCCACTCATTTTCAAAAGTTTGTTTTTTCTTTTCTAAGATCTTGGCGAACAATGGCATTGAGGCGATGACGATGATGATGGATGAAGGAAGATTTTTTGTCGAAGACAACTAGTAGAACAATTAGAAAAGCGCTGCTACCTTCCCGTGGATGGGCACACGAGTGGTATTACTAGATTGCAGTAGCCTTCCATCGGAGTCGTTTTTGTAGTGCCGTCGCAAGAAGCCTGCACCGAGTTTTACGTCAGTATATGCGAATACTTTCTATTTTACGAGAATGGTCAAGATCGAGTTTGGGAGAGAGAAAAAGAGAGAAGTTCGGAAGTGCTCGGCTAGGCGTGAGTCTGTTCTTGACGAGCTTCGCCTTCGGTAACGCGTTTGTTTTTGCTACCAACGAACGTCTGACGTGCGGATTGCTCGCTCCGACCGAGTGTGCGGTTGGAGGAAAAGCTATCTGCCTTGCGATTCATTAGCAATTTAAATACTTTACTTCGTATTCGTTTGAGCACAGCGTTGTCGAGGCTGCATGCTAGTTTTGAAAACAGAATCCACGACGCACACAAATTATGTAGAACACCAAGAGGAGCAGGAGGAGGACGAACTCAACAATATTAAAATCTGTACCTGCTATTCCATAGTTGCTTCCGGTCGCAACGAGGCCGCCAAGGACTGAGACCTTTCTGGTTGGAAGTTGATCGAGCAAGGGGATTCATTTTTCAGCAATAAATGACGAAGGGTAAGGTATACTATAGGTACTGTTTAGTTGTTCCTGCTCTGGAAATTCGTAGTGCTTCTACGGGGCTGAACGCGAGACCTTCCTCAACAGAACCTGAATGACCACCAAACGAGAGGAACAAAAAGTTGTTGAGGTATGATGACATCATGGCACAGCATTTGGAGGTAACACTTCTAGGACTAGCGAATTCACCAGCAGTGATAATTATCTTACTACGACGAGATTCATTTTCATGAAAGTGAAACTTGCATTGGAACTCGCATTGGTACCCGGTCACGGGCTTTTGAAATTTTTTGAAGTTTTTACACGGATTCATAACTTCTTGGTCATTCACATTCGTATACTCTCTCCCTCTTCTTCTACCCATTCTCGTTGAGAATACACTGACTCTTGATAAATTTGATAATCCAATGACAAGCTCAACCTGTCCGCATGATCAGAGGCCGATGACCCTACCGCAGGTGCAGGCTGCAGCGAGGTCGTTCGTTGCGGAGACTGACGGCGCCTCCTCTGACGACGATGACGACACCGCAAGCGCCGTCTGCGTCGACATCTACGATCGGCCCTCGAACGAACTGCGGGCGCTGCTAGAACAGAGCGATCTGGAGGACGATCTCCGCCGACAGATTGAGTTCGAACTCCAAGAGCGGCAGCATGGGGAGGCGCTCGAGTCGGCCCTGCTAGGAGGTGCGGGGTCGCCACCGGGCCCTTGTCGGCGGCTCAGCCGGACGCTGACAACGAGAACTGACAGCACGACTAAAGGAAATGTTGTTGTGAATGAGGTGGGTGCGGAGAACATCCCAATACTAGCCGCCGAAACATCTAACATACACCTGCATGATGCGGGATCCACCTCTGGTCAGCAGCCTCTTTCCTACATTGACGCGACGGCTCTGCCGAATAATAATAATGCGCGTTCTGTGCTGCATCCCGCGAGCGAGACCAAATCGCGCGGCAAGGATTCCGAAGTAGCTGGTAGTCATGTCGAACCGCTTCCGCCGATCGCGTCGGATCCGAGGACGCCGAATTCTGGAAGCCCAACGAAGCAGCCAGGAGGCGACCAAAGCAGATCCAGGGGAGCGCCGCCGAAGGCTCCGTTCAAACCAACACCGGTTGCAAGTGGAGATTTCTTTATTTCAAGCAGCTCGGTTCCGAAAAGCAAGTCTGCTGTGTCTTCCCGGCGTGCTCCAGATCTTGCTGCAAGGCCTGCATGGGGTGCTTCGCGCGTTGCTCCGCACAGTGCAGGTGGATGCAGCTCTAGACGAGGAGGGGGGTCTGATCAGCAAACGGGCAGTACCAGGGGAGCATGCGGATCGAGCGCATCCTCTTCCGCCGGTGGGAACAGTGGTTCATCTGCTACCGCGGCATCAGCAGGAGCAAGTGGCGCACAAGCTAGTGCGACCCGTCTTCCTCCGGCAACGCGGTCCCGTCCACGCGCGAAGACGTCGGCTTCAATTGTGCGACCCTCAGCAAACAGTGGTCGCCCGAGCTCGGCCTCAAACCGCCACGGCTCTGCAGGTGCGAAAGCAGCAAGCAGCGGTGGTAGGTCCAGCGCAGGCCGAACTTCGACGCCAGGGCCATCAGCTTCCGGCACTACGTCCACGAGGCAGATTGCACCAGGCAGCGCCGGTAAAAGTGGAGGTCCTATTTGTATTTCTGGATCTGGTTCAAGCAAGCTGAATCGCGTCCCTTCTTTGACGAGGACGTCCTCTCAGCGCGCACCTGGTAGTGCGGGTGATGCCTCCTCCGGTGGTCTTGGATCAAAGATAAAACCGTCCGCGTTAGCGGCTTCTTCGCTACGTGTTGATCAATCAGCCAATACGATAGAACTAGAAGAGACGTCTTCTACCAAAAAGATCTCCACCCCTAGTAAAAACAACGCTGGGTCTGCAGCCGAATGCGTAGGAAAGGTCCGTATAAGACCATCTTCAAAGACGGGCGCGGACGGTTCGGAGGCGGCTGGAGGTGACGAAGAGAGTACTACAGCCGAGGAATCTACGAAATCCGAGAATGTCGACTCGTCCGAAGTGGAAGATCATGTAGAACAAGTCCACGCATTGGTTGTAAAGGAAGAGCAGCAGAGCGTTCCTGATGAAGTACCTGAGGAGCTGAGTGGATTTTTGCAAGATGAAGATTCAGATGCTGAAGCGCACAATTATGAGGAAATCGTCGAAGAGTGCATTGACCCGGGTCCTACGCCTCGTGGCAGCAGCAAAGAAGCATCAGGAGCACCCTTGAATGAAGAAGTTTCGGGCGCTGCAGAGGCACCAGATGATGCTGGAGTAATAGAAGTGATTCTGCACGATGATGTCCTTCCTTCGTTCTTTCCGGATATTTGTAGTAGTGCACCGGCTGCGCCCAAAGGACAAGATGGCGTCCAAGAAATTCCCATAATTCGGGAAGACGAAATCGAAAGTCAACGAGCGGCAGAGAAGCAATCAGCACGCAGTGACGCTGACAATACATCACCAGTCAAGGATGGAAAGTCCTCAACACAAGCTTCTGCGGATGCACTGGAACCGCTCCAAGCAGCTGATGAGTCTGGCGCAGGGGTCATTCGCGATGACCCAGCACATAATGTAACGAGCGATGACCACGACGCGCTCCTCCGAAAGTACAGTAGTTCTTCATTCGAACCACCTGGAGCAATTGACACTGACGTCGGAACGTGGCAGGACCGACCACGTGAGAGCCCCAGGTCGCGGCGAGCACGAATAGCTGCATTGCTCGAAGCTGAAAAGCAGCTACAGCACGCCGGATCTTGTGACGACAAGGTGCTGCAACGAGCCCTGAATGGCAATGGCAGTAGTTCCGAGCTGCAAACAAATGATTCTCCTACAATACCTGGCTCAAAAGTTTTGCAAAATTCAGTTTCAATCCCATCCGATGTCAATACTAGCAGCTCATCTGCAGGAACTTCGAGCTCACCTGCAGCTTCGAGCTCTGCGGCAGCTTTGCTGCGCCCCGTCGCCAGTCCGCCACCAAGGGGTTCCCGTAGTATCAGCGAAGATGGCGGCCCAGGGTCGGGGAGCCGTCTGTCGTCCTCCAAGAAGGAACATCTCCAGCATGCTCGGGAGGTCGCAGCTGCAACGGGTGCCTCGGGCGGTGCTAGCAGGAGTTCCAGTGGTGGCGCCGGTGGCAGTTCCTCATCTAGTAGTAGTACGAGAGTAGGCGGCGCCCCTGGTGGATCAGGATCCTTCTCCGGTACTGCCGGTTCGAGGGGAACAAATCGACCAGGCACGCAGCATCGATTGGATGCGATGGATCTGTCGCCTGAACAGGTGGCCGCTGCGACTAGTAGCGACATTGCGAAGCGTTATTGCAACACATTCTTCGGAGTCTTCTCGCATTTCTATCTCGATCGCAAAGACGAGGAACACTTCCCAAGGTTGATGCGCGAGTTGCAGGAAGCATACAGGGAATACCTGAGCGAGAGGGAAGGTAAACCTGTCCGTGGCGGCGCGAAGGTGCAGCGCAGTCTGCAACTCAATGTTTTTCTCGGCTCGGTGGACCAACAGATGGCACATGGGGGCTCGAATATGGGCGGACCCACTGCTGGAGTTGACATTCCTCGAAGTCTCCAAAACGATTACAGCGTACGATACTACAAGGTACAATGACAGAGAACGTAGAACTACTCACTTAGCAGTACAACAAGTTCTTTTTTTACTTTTTACATTATATCTAACCAAGAACTGAAACGATGACCATCGCGATGGACGATATTTTTTGATCAGTTTCAGACAGTACTTCTTCTTTGGCATTGAGCTTGGCGTGGAAGGTTCTGCTCGATCGACTTTGTCACTGGCGGATCCCACTTTTACATACGGTTCCGCATGTAAAAGCTAACAAACTCGAGCCGCACTCCAAAAAATCCTACAACAGGTAATCGAGAATCGACAGGAGGTATACGACATTGTGACAAGGAGTTTGAATCGGAAATCGAAGTGGGAGGAGCTGCGGCATGGGCTGGGCGCAGGTTCCAACTTTATCTGGAACTTGCTTTGGACTTGGTCTCAACCTAAGATCGACTATTCCAAGTTGCTTATATGGCAAAAGGTCAACCACTTTCCCGGCAACAAGCACTTGACGAGGAAGGACCGGCTGAAACGGAATATTGAGAGGTACACGAAGCAGAGTAATCAGATTAAGGATCATAATCCTGGTAGTTCTTTCAAGATGTCTAGAAATCCATCTACCTATAGGTATACCTAGATGACGTGAGCACTCATCGTCCCTTGGAGTCGTCTGACTTCAAGGCCAAGAGTGAAATAGAATTGATATCTCGAGGATGTCGATCGTGCTGATGGTCAGGCTCCAGTAGATGACTTTCTGGAAGTTCTAATCATTGTATCGGCAACCTTTTTCGGATCATGCCACAGTCTTTTATCCTGCCGAAAGAATACGTGGCGTTTTGTCAAGTCTATGGTAGTGTGGACGAGAAGAATCGGGAAACAAAGGAGACAAACAGGCGCATTGACGAGAGGATCGAGTCATCGCGCACAGCACAAATGGCCGCACAGAAAGCGGACGAGGAGGATTTTCAAGAGCAAGGATCGGGATTGCATGACCAAGCTGCACCAACAGTATCTAAGGAGAAGCGGGAGAGGCAGCACATGGAAGAGCGAAGAAAGTTGCTAGAACAAAAGGGAAAATTGAAGCCGAATTATTGGATCATGAAACCGGCTAAAAGTTCACGAGGACGCGGCATCTACGTTCTTGATGATATTGGAGACGTGTCATACGGAGAGCTCAGCGTGATTCAACAGTACTGCTCTTGTTTTTATGACAATCGGGGGAAACGGACGTGAACGACAAGCAAGATTCGATTATTATTCTAGTCATTCATAATCATATTGTTCCACTGTCACTGTGATTAAATATATATAAATATATTCAATACTGTTCTGTCTCTGTCACAAGCAGGTACATATCCAACCCGTTATTGCTGGATGGATTCAAGTGGGACTTGCGGTTGTACGTTCTAGTCACGAGTTTCCAACCAGAGCTTGAGGCTTACGTCTACAAAGAGGGGTTTGCGCGTTTCGCAACAGTCCCTTTCACGATGCAGGACTTTTCTCCCCTGATTCACCTGACCAATACCTCTATCCAAAGACACAACGAGCACAATCAGCGGCACACGCGCGAAACCATGGTTGGCGGAACCAAAATCGATCTTCGAACGCTCCGGAGCAAGCTGCAGTGTCTCAACATCTCGTGGGATACCATTTGGCATAAGATGGTGGATTGCATATTGAAGTCGCTTTGCGTCGCGCACGACCACGTTCCTGCCAACCCGAACGCTTTTGAGATCTTTGGTTACGATCTCATGTTCGATGCGAATCTCAATTGTTGGCTTATCGAGGTGAATGCTAGTCCGAGCCTCGGAGTGGATCACTTGATAGACGAGCAAGTGAAAACGCCGATGATTGACGACACAATCGACCTCGTGCAACCAAAAGCCTTCAACCGAGAGAAGTTGCTGCAGGTAGTACATTACAAGTCTGATGTATCAAAACCTGTTGCCTCTCTACTTGCTTCGCTGAAAGATTATTTATGTTGTTGATCAGTGTCTCACACTCACACTAAAAACAGTTTTAGATGATGACACTAACACTAGTACTAGACTCTTCCTTGTTCGCATGAAGCTGTCTCGGTATCCCTTGTCTAGGTGCTCACACGACGGAGTCGAGAGCTCAAAACGGCGAAGAACCCGGGTCCGCAGCTGGCGGTTGATCTTGCTGCAGTATTGGACAATGATTTAGCGAATGCGGAGCCTCCACTGGGCAATTACCAGCGTATCGCGCCCTCTGATCATTGGAGCCAGATACTCAAGCTGAAAAGTCAGCTTTTTCGTTGAGGAACGACGAACGTCTCTGTAATACAGAGCCAGTAGAAGACGAAGACGAGGCCCAAGAATTACACGACAATTCTTCATCCGGAACACGCACACAGCAATAGCGAATCCCACCAGCTATTAGGTCTACTTAGATTAAATTGTAGCAAAGGAGAAGTTATTCCACAACAAGACCAAAACGACGAGCAGGGTGATATCCATGTAGTTACCGCGTTCATAATGTCATCGGATGACGCTGAGCGCCTTCTTCATATGGTCGAGGCGCGAATGCGCGGAACATTGCTAGCTGCATGCGGAACTGCATCATCTTCTACTAGTACAAGTGCTGCGACCGCGATCCCGCTGCAGCGCTCCAATTTTATTCATGCAAGAGCGGGAGACGGGGCATTGACAGTTTCCACGAGTTGAATAAACGGAGAAACAAAACGAACGAGCCTGTAATTTCTTGTTAGTAGTAACATGAACATGTTGCGCCACAGCTCCTGTGCATATCTAATGACGACCCCGGAGATTCGTGGTGATCCGGTGCTCTTGTTTGTCATGCGCGTCGTTCACATATTTCATATACTACAGTGCTAGAGCTAGTCGACCACGGTCACGGAGAACAACGAAAAACAAAAAATCGTGTGCAAAAAGTACCAAGTTGTGACCGCTCCCACGGGCGAAACATAACGATCAACGTGAAGCTAGAAGGGCCAACAGCTCGCCTTTTTGCAGGACTGAAAGTGATGCTATCGATGTCCATTTGCGGAATGGATGCGCAAGAGTTTCAATGGGAGCATGCTTACGCACAGACCCTTGGACATGCTTGCTCGTCTTTTACGGGTAGAGGTAGAAATTGCTGACGTGGTCGTACAACAGAAGAGAATAAACTTCGTTCGCTATTAATTTAGCTCCTCCACCCTTTGTGTTCATCTGGCACTTAAGTAGTAATATACTATTGTAATTGTTTGAGTCTTTACTGCATGATCGCATGCTGCTCGACAGGCAATGCTGATAGCGTTAGCGCCCCACCTTAGACTTGATATTATATCAGCCCGAATTGATGCTGAGCCGGCCTCATTTCGAAGTGCTGATAGCCTGTATGGGCCTCTCGCTCAATTGTTGTTGGCTTCTTTGTTCTGTTAGATATTTTCCCCTCGTCACTAAACTAGCTTCACTGATCTAGATCTATGATATTTTGACATAACGTTCGTGTCGAGGTGGTCAGTGTTGTCGCAACGAATGGCGATTCATCGGGGGGCACGCTTTTGTCATTCCACCTTGCATTAATTAGCATCTTGTCATGGCTTTCCATGTCGACGTGAAGGACCAGGATTCTAACTTTTTTTTGATTGATTAAGTATGCTAGTGCTGGCCGCTTCACTCTGATAGTCATTTTTGTGGGGGAGAAGAGAACCTTGTTTTTCTCTTGGGAGATGAACTTCGATAAAAATGAGTCCACTGTTTTTTGTGTGATATATAACGGTAAAGCCTGGACCTGGAAATGGTTTTGGTTTTCTCTGTTTTGATCCACCATGCACATGCTTCAAAGTGTTCAAGGGCTTAGATATTGCAATAATAGACTAAGACTTCAACCTCCATTTATTATGTTGAAGGTAGGAGTAGAAGTAGTTGAAGTTCACAGTCGGCCGAAAAAAAGAGAAAGTAGCCTCGCAGTCGGCCAAGGTTCACTGCAAAGCACACAAAGCGACCGACTGGCACGACAGACTTGTCCTGCTCCGAGAGAAAAAGCAAAGTGGATGATAGATATAAACTGACTCAAAAAGTAAATTTCACTGTAGCTTTACTTTACAGTTCATTGCGCCTGCATATGGTTATTAGTTTTTTTCTCCTGAGCAGTCAGTCTGTCGCATTCATCTTCATCTTCTTTTCTAGTTTAATATATCTTTGTGAATTTTCTGGTTTTGGATGCAAGCCTTTGAACAGGAGGAGATATCTTCTTGAATGATCAATATTCCGTCAACAACAACATCAGTATCATTCAATCCACTAGAACATTCCGAATCTACAACTGAAACCAGGATGTCATCGTCGGACGATTTGAGTTTGATGAAGGGTGGCACGCCTTTGCTGGCGTCGCCCTTCGGAGCCGAACTTGAAATCTTCTTCTTTGTCCTGTCAGAGGACGATAGTAGGGTGAACTTCGTCCCGAAGCGGGAGCTCGATCGCTATGCTGACGGGGAAATGCTTGAAAGCGAGATCGCGAGTCGGTGGCGCAGCTTCCGTATCGCGAACGATCTTGCCGACGTCGTTGGGGAGCGACCCCACACTTTCGCTGAGCAGGGCGAAGATACGGGTGAACGGGAAGGAAGGGGAGGTACTAGAGAAAATAGTTTCTAATGTCATACTTCTCATAGTAGATGTACCTTTTTTAGTGTTTATGCCCGTCAGAAGCTTCAGTAATAAAGTTCCCGACTTTTTCCTTCGGGCCCGTTCCGACCATCATCTCGTTCATAGATAATCGGCATTTACCTACACGGGACGAAGCTGCAGTGTCTTTGAAATATGCGCATTTTGACCTACGTTATTGTCTGATGTCGACTGTCGACTGCCTAATATCCTCATTGCTGTTCGAGATCAAAGTTGCTCTCGTACTTACAGCAGGTCGCGCCTCGACTTCTCGATCTCGTTCGGTTTCTCCTCGATATGGAACTCCCGGGACGTCCTTGTATACCATCACGTTGCGGTTCCAGAAGGGTGGCGAAATCCGACTGGTTTGTTCTACTCCTGTGGACTTCTTCACTTGGTACAATGGCCTAAAGCGCCTTCTCGCAGATAGCGCAGCGACGAAGACACGCGCTTTGCGGACCACGAGCGTCCTCAGAAATATAGGCAGAGTGATGGACAACATGGTCGACCAAGAGGACGACACTTCAGCGTCAGAGGACGAGCCAGTACCAAGATTTTGCAATCTAGCTCTCTGCAATGTTCTTTTGCTTGTTCCTTCTTCGACAAACTCCACGGTTGAGATTGTAAAGCGATGGTGAGTTTACTTATATCAAAGAAGAATCTATATAATTGGATTACTTGATTCTTTTGTATTTTTGTTTCCTAGTTAGGTGTGCTCCACCGATATATCAAAGAAGAAGAAAAAGAAGAAGAAGTTCTCAGTAGGTGGACCAAATGCTGTAGTGCGGGATCCTGATCTTGAACTTTCATCAGATTCCTACCGCGCCGGTTTTATCGCTGGCTGATACGATAATGATGGAGAACGCGCAGATCAGAGCTGACTTGCAACGAAAAGAGCAATTGCTAGCGCGCTTGGATGCTCTACGGGGTGATCAGACGACCGCCCGACGGATTCATGAGGAAGAGTACCTTCGTGATGCGGGGGAGGGGGAAATCGATCAAAAGAACAATTCGAGTAGCAGTAGATCAGCCGAAAATCTTCTTTACAAGGATGCTTTACTCGCCGAAGCAGGAGGTGAGAAGATCATTGGTACAGCATCTTCACGTGCGCAAGCACTGATTGCTGCTTTGGAAAAAGAGCATCACGACAAGATCGCACAGATCCAGGCACCCTTGAGGGAGTTTCTCGAGAAGCAAGGGAAGGAAAAGGCCACGACGAGCCGTGCGGCAGCTTTAAGCTCCAGTTCCTACACTACAACAACCTCTTCAGAGGGGGACGAGGAGGAGGAAGCGCATAAAGCAGGACAGTCTGGAAATGGAAGCAACAACTATAGAACTACAACATCGAGTAGCAAAAAAGATCTTCCGTTTACGTACAACGGGAGTTCATCTTCCCCTGGCCCGCCAAGTAGACATATGTATCCCGATCTTACCGGGGCAGCTGCGACCGGAAGAGAATCAAGCCCTCAGGACTCTCAGTCTCCGTCGACATCTTCCGCTAGTGAGGAACAGAGCGAGATGGACGAGGTGGAAGAGCAAGCAGTGATGGAAAAAATCTTAGAGAATATCAAAGCTCGCAAGTTCAGAGAGCAGCAACAAGAACAGCGCCAGTCGGAGGGTGTGGATCTCGACGACATCGTCGGAGGAGCAAGGGCCGCGGCATTGTCCTCGTCAATACATGCGGGACCGACGACAAGCGCGACAGCACCCTCGTCCAAGTCACCTGTAGGTATCCTGAAGAAGAAAAGAGAGGTGACAATAGCAAAAGATGTAGTCGGTCAGGACGAGCTGGATCGCTACCATGATGATGTTGAGTACAACAAGAAGAGCAATAGCACAACGTCTTCAGGCACCTCAGCAGAGGACGAGGACGGCGGACTTTCCAGCAGTCGCATCCCCGGAGATATACCACCAAGCAACTCCTCAATCTACGGTTTACTGTCCGAAGAAAGAAGACTGAAGGAGCAAATGAGTAAGCACATGCAGAAGTACTGCTATCCTTCCGAGAGGTTTCTGCAAGTCGAGGGCGAAGACTCAGTGAGCAGTAGCGAGGATGAAGGAATTGTTCAGCAAGTAGCCAACTCTTCCAAGTGGGCGAGTGCTGCGACAGCAGCCGCAGCAGCAGCGGCAGCAAATAAGAACGCTGCTAGCGTGTTTCCACCACCGGAGAAGGACTCAGACGAACTTGAGTCGAGCGACTCATCCGAGAGCGAGGGAGCGTCAGCCTTCGCCGCTCGAGTAGAAGAGAAATTCAGCTCCAGCTCGAAGCCTAGCAAGCCAGGTCTATCTGCGTTTGCAGATCCTGCGACAAAAAAGGCCGCATTCAGGAAGACTGCTCCATCAGACGAGTTCGTCTATGGAGAGCACGAACCTGGAAGGTAAGGTCTCCATACCGTTTTTCTTATGCATGTCCTTCACTGATTCTGATGTGTGATCTGCGCCGTACTCGTACTCGATGGAGGAGTTGTAGATCGCGATACATTATGGAAATTGCATCTCTACGTGTTATATATTTGAATTTATGAAATCCTAGCACAAACTTGAGCCAAGACTTAGTAACAGTTTCTCGCATATTATAGCATTAGGCACCATCGTGATTCTTTCTTCAGGTTTTCGTTTAAGAAGAGGGCTAGCCAGCATTGCAAATTGGACACTCGCGATTCTGTAGGGGATTCGTCTGCAACAAAAAGCACGATGGCTGGGACGCCGAGCTGCGAGCAGGAAGCAACGTCCATTTTAGCACCAAGGTAAGAAATTGCAGTTGATATATTTATATTCTTAGTGTTCGTCGTCCTTCGTCGTCGTCCATTCGTGCACTTTAATAGCATGATGAGCAACAGCAACAGGAACAGCATGAGCAGCATTTCCTACCTTCATCAATTTTATGCTGCAGAAAAACTAAGAGAAGTCCCAGACTCAAGTCCTTCAACTCCATCTTGTTTTTTTGCCGAAGCCCTCTGCATCGAACAACTTCCCTTACACTCTCAACCAGGTCAAAGTCTTCCATGGGATACTATTCGGAGTTGGGGCGGGAGTTGCTCGCTCCACAAGAAGTGCAAACAGAATTTCCACACGTGTATGACTCCGATAAGCCATCACCCTACGTCGACTACTCGAAAAAAGCTGGACCTTTCAGGCATCTAAAGGAAGCGCCAAAGAGTACTACAATAGTTTTCACTTTGAAGAACAGAAGATGGAATATAATCTACTTAGATACGATCAATCAGCAAGGTCAAGATTATTGTGAAGCTCAAGGATTCATTGCTCACTCGCTTGCATCTCGTTGTAGCTGGTTTGGTCACAAGTAACTTTCCTCAACTACCTACAAGTAACTTGTTTCCTCAACTACTTACAAATAACTTACTTTGACTTTTTTATACGAGTATAAATATCTTTGACTTACAAAGAAATATTATCTATAACACGTTGAATTAGCAATTTGAAATGAGGTGCAAGCATACAACAACATCAACTACAGGTACATCAGTCAGCCCGCAGACAGAAGACGAGGTAGCTCAGATGAGGACGTCGGATGATAAAGTTAAGGCTACTGGCACTGAAGCATCCTCAGCGCCATGCATCCTTGGCCTCCTTTTCAAGGGGAAAAGGGGCGCAAAGAAAAAGATATGCTCAGGGATGCTTCGCGGTAGCTCTAATGAAGACTCTGCTGGAACTTCAGCACCGACAACGCTTTTTCCGGAGTCGTCCTCGTCGGGCGTTGGTACACCTGAGCCGCAGTACAGTCGGATTCTGGCGATTTTGGAGCATCTGTCCGAACTAAATCTGCATCTTTCCAAGAAGCGCGCTGTGTTGCTTAAGGATAGTTTATCACTATCCCGTGTGGACTCCTTCTTGATTTAAAGGGGAATCTAAGGGGCAAAGAGGGCAACCCACTCGACTCGGAATAGTGAAAGCCCGCCTTTAAGTTGCAGCGAGAAAAGACCCTTCTGGAAGAGAAGAAACAGGACGTTCAGCGCGTTGCGGCTGAGGCGGAGAGCATGCTTGATCTCGTCGCCGCAAATACAGGTGCGTCGTCAAGCGATGACGAGGAGTATTTTTGATCGCGAGAAGGCTGTTAGTGGTACTACTTGGAAGTAGTCTCACCCAGTCTAGGATATCGATGTGTATGCTCCCTAGCCCCTGCGAGTAGTACATATAATACCACGAGAAGTGACGGAGATACCATTGGGATCCAATCTCAGGCAACCAAAATTTGCGTTTCGGATGCTTGAAGGCGTGCTTGACGTGTCACGCTTTATATGGTCCCGGTTTTCAAATTCCTCAAGGCTTGGTAATATGTTTTTGAGAAGAACTTAGATTGATTCTATGTTTTACATTGATGAATTGGCATTGAAGGCACCTAGATCTAAAACTAAAAGTTAATGTTAAGGATGTTGTGGTATCCTCTCATCGAAGATGTAGACAATTCTGTGCCAACAGTGGGATCGGATGCCAACAAGGTGGCGTTCTTGTATTGTAAGAAATTTGTTGGGTGGGAGAGAACAAGAATATGTCTACAAAAATTACACTAGTTCGTTCAATTCATTGTGGAGGTGGACATACAAGAAAAGTTATGAGGGAGAGTACTCGAATATGATGTTTGGTTGGTGGTGCTGGTGGTCCAGGATTGATTTACATTCATAAATTAGTTTATGGGCGGGCGCGCGGGAGCTGCTTTATTCTGCGAACAAAGTATTTTTGTAAAAGTGCTTGAGCTTCTTGTTTCGTCAAGTTCTATTGTGATGATAGAAGTTCAACTTCATCAAGGACCAAGAATATATAAGAAACTGGAGGGGACGCGTTGCTGTCTTATCCTCGTGTCAAATATCATGACCAGCTTTGATAATCCAATTTCATCACATGAAGGGGCAAAGAAACCCATTATGGCATAGCAGACGAAGGTAACATCGATCTTCCTTATTCACCTAAACCCTCACCTGACGTTACCACCTTCGAGTTCGGATCTCGAACCCGCCTATCCAGGAGTGCTACGAATAAGGCGATAGTGTGCAACTCGCGGCTTTAAGTGACTGCTATACCACTTTCTCTTTCTGTGATCGTCCGTTAGAACAAGCCCTTGTGGGTCAGCCGGCCTGTCTGTAATAGAGAAATGATTTACCATCGGTGTCCACCGGTGTTGGCATATTCCTTTGTATTTGTTGGAACACCCGAACACGTCCAAGCACAATATGAGGCTCTTGAGAGTAAATGGAATGATTATCGTTGCAATGTAACAGAAAGACGATCAGAACGGACGTGCCGAATGATCACTGACTGTTTAAGGCCCTGAAATGGTATCAAAATGGGTTCAATGTCATTGGGATATCATGAAGGGTCATAGTGCAGTTAAAGATCTGGGAGATCTTGCTGCTAATTCATGTTGGAATTCATTGAGTTCAAACGATGATCATAGGAGGAACTAACAAGAGTTCAAGACAAGGAACGGCATTGATCATGATCAAGGTGACGAGTGAGAGCAGTCATTTGACATTGAAATCAGGTTCGTTCGTTGGATCTTGAGCCAGTAATGACCATTGACCAACACCCCTCCTCAATCGCTAGGTGAGGAAATGACGAAAGTCACAAACGGTCTGGTGTTACCTGCTCTGACCCAGAACCATCACGATTCTCTATATCCACTGACGTCACCACTTGACCAACGACCTAACACCCTAAGAAGATAGAATAGGTAAGCACCGCCACGGAAGCAGAACTTGAACCAGACTCATCATCTTCCGTTTCCGAGTCACTATCATCTTCATCATGGTTACGGCTAATGACTGGATTCTCTATGTGATGTAATAATAATCTGCGTTGAGTAGATGAGCATGAAAGTTTCGTTAGTCCATCAGCTTTCATGAGGTGAGTAGGACAGAAAACTACTTTCTCAGCTGCGTCTCTAACTCGTAAATAACGTAACGCATAGTGTCTACTCTTAGGCTTCGTGTCTTCACTCTTTGCTGTCGAGATTGCAGACTGGTTGTCTATCCACAATATGGCATCATCGAGGGATGGCGATATACCAAACCGCGTTTCCACTAATTGAGTGGGTAAGGGATTGAAGAAATCTGTAAAATCATGCAGCTCGCTCATGACAATAGTGTCCGACGCGGCTATATACTCTGACTCTGCAGTTGAATATGCACGCACGGTTTGTGTATTGCGTTTCCAACAGATTGGAAAGCCCCGATAGTACATAATCGAACCACTGGTCGAGCGCATGCTCTTTATGCAGTTTGCGAATCCTGCATCTGAGAACCAGTTAGTATACGGTAGCTCTCTTCCTTCTGGTAGGAGCTTCTTGTAAATTCCGTTGAATTCTTCCTCACTTTCTGGAGAATAATAGAGTCCTTGGTCTTTTGTCGTAGCTAGATACTTTAATACTTTTCTACAGGCTTTTGCAATTCTTTCTGTAACGGGCTTACTGACATACCGAGCCAATGTCGCCACAGGGACGCAAATATCTGGCCTTGCGGTTGTCGATATCCAAAGCAGTGCGCCAACAATCTCACGCAATGGAAACCCGGCTGCTAGCTTAAGCCCCTCCTCAAGCAAAGCAGACTCGTCGAAATTTGGAGACCACACCGGCTTACCTAATGTTATTTTATACTTCTGTATAGTCTTCTCTATGTACACATTCATCAGGATTTTCACTGAACGTGCTTCCCGACAATAGTGCACAATCGCACCAAGAAAGTCGAACTCTAGCCATTCGAAACCCGTAAGAGAATCGACTCGCTTTGCCATCTCAATAGGTCGGCCAGGGGCGCGACTAAAGATCCGGTCGAGCTCAGACCGTAACTCGTGATAGTCAGGTCCAGTAGCTAAGTTATCATCAACATAGACTGACATCTTCATATACTTTCCTGGGTGCGTTTTGCTCTTTTTCCGCCACAATCCTGGAGCAGAAGGACACGGCTCCCATCCGAGTTCGGACAATAGCACGCAATACTTCTTGAACCAGGCTCGTGGAGCGTCCTTGAGCCCATAGAGAGCTTTCTTAAGCTTGACGATATCCGCTCCATGCTTCTCCGCCCACACTGGTGGAAGACGGCAGAAGACGTCACGATCGAGTTCAGCATTAAGGAACGCAGAATCAAGGTCGAATGGGATGACGAAGTCAGAGTCCGTCGCTGCTGAAACGAGTAAAAGTCTATTCGCAGCATGTGACACTACAGGGGCGTAGGTGTCGATATTCCCCGAACGATCAAGATTCCCGAGCACACAAGCACGAGCTTTGAAAGTTCCATCACGTTTTACCGTGAGAACGATTGCTATAGGCATTACCTGAGAAGAGGTTCGCAGCTCCTCGTCAGTAGCTGGCGCCCAAGTCTCAAAGGCAAGTAGTCTAGCTTCCTCCTTGGTGATAGCTGCACGCCATTTCTCGGCGTCAGGGCTTTTCAAGGCTTGGGAAACTGACAGCATGACATGTGCTTCGAGAAAGGTCTCCCCTTCTTCCAGCTCATGCCCGCCTGCTAGCATGGCAAATTTATGCATGTCTTTTCTTAATGCTTCTAGCTCGGCTTTTGTTCTTCTTTTGCGTTGTCCTGGATTCTTATCCTTGCTCCCTTTAGGTCTTCCTCGGCCTTTCTTCCCCTCCTCAACTTTGCCTGGTTGAGATGGTGGAATGGGTAAGGTCCTCGGATCCCTTGCTTCAGGATTAGAGTCAGGCGACACACGCTCCGATGAGATATTCCCCTCCTCAACGCGTTGCGCGTCAGAGTTGGAATCATCACCGGTCTTTGGATCTTCCTCTTTGTCCAAAGATTCACAGAAAAACTCACCAATGTCATTGTTATCTAGTATCATTTCCATGCCGGTTGGATCGCCTGAGCTGTACTCCGTGCCAGAGAAGCGCGGCTGACAGGCCATACGTTGCAGCGCATGTCTGTGCAGGACGGGACCCAGCGACGGCGTGCCAGACTGCAGGTTTTCCAGCGGGTCATAATCAACATAAATGCCCTTCGACGTAGGCAATAGCCAATCAATGTTCTTGACTAATATCGACTCTCGAAATTTTACGTCTAGTGTGGAATACTCACTCCACTTGAAGCCAGCTTTCGTTCTCCCATCGTTGTGATATGTACCTACTAGCCAACCAGACGAAACTGGACACAGACCGAGAAACACACCACGCCGATAAGGTGACGCAAGCTTTGCTTCTTTCTTGTTGGTGGTGTCTACGACCTGTTCACGAAAGTACACCAAGCAACCAAATCTTCTTAACATACCTAGACCACTTTTCGAGGACTTCTTTCCTATCCTCTTTTCTAGTATCTCGACAGGACTCATTCCATCACGTTCTGGCATTTTTGCATAACGATGCGGTAAGCGATTCCAACAATCTCCGGCATACTGTAAGCAGTAACACCAAAGACGTCGGTCGACTTTGACCAACATGGTACGTACAGCACCGAAAATGGTCCGCATGAAACGTTCGCAAGTTCCGTTCATTTCTGGGTTGTAAGGAACTCCAGGAATTTCCGAAACCAGTAGCGATTGCATGACTTTGGTCATATGGTCACTACTTAGGACGGGTTCGTTATCTCTACGGATGAACCACACCACCTTGTCGTCGAGTGACAATGAGTAGTCCTGGCGAATGCCTTTTATTACTTCTTCAATCACCTCTACGCAGTCCGACTTGAGGCAAAGAGGACGAACGAAACACATTTTAATCGAATCACAAATAATGACTAAAGCACATCTTTTGCTTCTTATAGATACTGGTCTAATACCAACTGCGAAATCAATTGCAAGTGTTTTCAATGGAGAAGGTATATGTCCAGGGGGTCTCACTTTTGCATGAGAGCGTCTTTGACCTTTGGTTCGATCACATTCTGGACAAGATACACTAAGGCCATCAACGTGAAAGTGACCAAGTCTACGATGTATGTCTAATCTTGAAGCTTGTGAATGAAGTCTAGCTTCTTCTATACTAGTGCATACTATATCCTCCTCAGTTTCATTTTCTTCTTTGCTAAACATGTCACAGCCTAGAATAGGTAACTGCATCTGGGGGCAATTTGTTATGGGTAGAGAGCGGCCGGAGCGAGTATTGTACAACGTTCCGCCACTTTCTGTGAAATTCATTTGCCAACCCTTTTCATGACAGTTTCCTTCACCTAACCACGGTATAATGCGATCTATGGCTTTTGGTAAGTGTTCAAAGTGTACGCCATATTTTAATCCTAGTTTGTTTTCTTTTAGTCTACCTAGGTTCCCACTTCGCTTTCCAGCAGTGCCACTAATATGACAAAGCCGGTGGCTAATTTTCTTGAAATCGGAACGATGGCTAGACAAATACTTATTTGCACAACTGTCAACAAGTGAAACTGTTTTGCTTTGATTTGCACTAAGATAGCAACCTGAGTGATTGTCAATCATATAGCTTTCATCCCTAAGCAGTTCACTTCTATATTCTTTATTCTCAAAGTTTTCTTCCAAGTTCAGCGAACATTTTCCATCCTCATTTTGGAAATCTTCTTCCAATTCTTCTTCATCTTGGGACTGTCCATCTCGTCTCCCATATCCATTCCATTCCGGATTGGTTTCGACTCAGCGTTGTGGTTGTTGTCCACCCCATTGCTGCTGTGGGTTACCGTTGTCGAATCCTTTTCCTCCACTTTGTTGCGGTGGATAGTTGTTCTGGTGCCACGGAGGGATAGTGTTACCTTGCGGCCAACAGTTGTATGAATTGTTGAAGAAGTTGCTGCCCATGGCTTTGTTAGGTTGGTAGCTTTGACTCATCGGGTTTAGCCAGCATTTGTGCGCCTTATGTCCATATTTGTGACAATAGTTGCACTGGATGCCCTCATTAGGATTTGAGTTCTTAGCACCTTTACCTTTGCCATTTCCTTTGTTCTTCTTACTACTAGAACTACTACTACTACTCTTTCCACTTCCTTTTGTTGCGTAGACCTCGTTCTTGATTTCTTTGCGAATCTTCTTGCGAAGTCGTTTGATCGTTGTTTTCTTGAGAGCGGCAAACGCGTTACCATCGTCATCACTCTCATCTTGACGTTTACGCTTCTTGGTTTTGTTATTGTTCTGGTTTTCATCATCGGAATCTTCGACAGCTGGAAAAGCTTTGCCGAAAGATGGATTCTCGATCTTGTACTCACCAGAGTCAATCAAACTTTGAAGCCGTTTCGTGAGTCTGTCACCGATTTGGACGAACGTTAGATGTTCATCTTCTTGCATCCTCTCGATTGTCTGTCGAAATGCTTTGGAAAACATTTTTGGCAGAATGTCGAGGATTGCTCCGTTTTGTTGATCAGCAACAGCCACACCAACTTCCGGCGGGTATACGGTCGGAGATTGGTTCATGACATCTCTAACCTTCGCCAAGAATGTTGGAACGTCTGGAGGAGAATCACTGTTCGTGAAATGCATCCCTTCCAACGCTTTAGCAGAGATTCGCTGCTCTGTGCGGTCATTTTGACTGAAACCAGCGTCACGGAGGTTTGTTACCACTTCACCAGCGTTCATTACAGTGGTATCCTGATCCTTCATATGTGCTGCGGCTGCACCTTTGAGCGACTTGATGATCACGTTCTTCAAATCTCGCCAATTCTGCTGGAGCTTGCGGTCGTTGTTGTTGGGTTGGTTCGGAATCCCTGCCGCATTGCCGTTCAGCACGTTGTTGAAGTATTGGACTAGGTCCAGGCGGTCCGCTTCTTGCGTTACCGCTCGAAGCCAGTCACGCCAGTCAGATTTCTGTCCCAGTTTGGGTGAAATCTCTCCAAGACTCATATCGGGCATTTTGTGGCGCAAATAATGCGACTTTGTTTTCTCTACTTCTACAAAGTATTGACTAGCAATTTCTTTAATAAGGTAAGGCTCAAGGGCTTGAAACAGTGTTGGAACACCCGAACACGTCCAAGCGCAATATGAGGCTCTTGAGAGTAAATGGAATGATTATCGTTGCAATGTAACAGAAAGACGATCAGAACGGACGTGCCGAATGATCACTGACTGTTTAAGGCCCTGAAATGGTATCAAAATGGGTTCAATGTCATTGGGATATCATGAAGGGTCATAGTGCAGTTAAAGATCTGGGAGATCTTGCTGCTAATTCATGTTGGAATTCATTGAGTTCAAACGATGATCATAGGAGGAACTAACAAGAGTTCAAGACAAGGAACGGCATTGATCATGATCAAGGTGACGAGTGAGAGCAGTCATTTGACATTGAAATCAGGTTCATTCGTTGGATCTTGAGCCAGTAATGACCATTGACCAACAGTATTCATCCCACCGCAAGGCAGGACCCTAATTTTAAGTTCGATCGGTACAAGAGGAAGAGCAGAATCTGTATTGCTGCCACCTGTGCGTAGTTCTATAATGCGTATCGCTGTAGAAGTCGGTATGCATGTCTGCCTCAGACGTGACGTACGAGTCCAGCGAACGATTCCGGAGTCTGCTAAGACGCAGCATTCTCGAGTTTTGCCCCTTTTCAAACGAATGTCCTACATACATGATGCTTTAGGTCGTTTCACATTTATCCTATCTCTATTTGCTTTTGCGCATCGTTTTGAGTTTCAGTGCCTCACTGCCTTCAATTGTCTCGCCTGACTTCTTGCAGCAGGTATATAAGTTAGAAATTCAATTATATATAGTACATCTACTTGCAACCAGGGTCCGTCCATCCGTCGACAAACATCATGATCCTCACTGGCAGAAAATAGCATGCTTCATATCCGCTCGTTGAGTATCTATTGCGTGGTTTATCAAGCAGACCCGTTCCATTGGAAAATCGTCTTCGGGAACGGAGCCGAATGAAAAAGCAGAGGTCGAAAGGAGACAGTAACAGAATGAGCAAAGATCCTTTCGGCGGGTCGAGCAGCGCTGATGTTTCTCCAAGAAGTAGCGCACCTTCCACAGTGCAAATTGACAGCGGTCCGGCGTCGTCGCGGGGCCGCGGAGAGGGCCCAACTTCTGGACCTGAGTCCGAAGATTATGCCTGCTGCTCTCGATATATTTCATTCGAATGATTGTTGTATCCTGTAGCTCTAGCTGCACATCTGCATCTGGTTCTCAAAAATGTGAGAGCTTCATAGCATTACTAGTAGTTAACCTAACCACGTAACCTAACCACATTCATCCTCTATCTTTGCTCTCATGTCAACAGTTTTCAATGGTCAAATAACAATAAGGAGCCTGTTGAGTCTCACTTCTAATACGACGTTCAACGGGTTTTAGACGAGATGCGGCGTGGACCAGGAAGCAAGCTAGCCCCACTGAAATCGGTTATCTTATGGCATGATTGTTCCATAGAAGCAAGATGGTAATTGTACTGTTTTCTAGAAGTAGCTGCATTCAGATTCAATTTCAAAGAATTAATACAATTCAACTTACACAAACAGAAACACAACATCATCTTTTCCGATTCATTGTTTGTATCTATTAGTCAAATCACACAAGGAACTGCAAGCGGCTCACATGTGTTTTGCTTATTGATCACATCGTTGGCCTATGCGACCACAACTGGGTATCGATAAAGAAGAAGGAAGCTGGACCGCAAATAGCCAGACTTGACATCAAGCGTGCTAGTAAAGCCATCTCCACTCATCTAAAAAGAGATGACCAAGACGTTGATGGAAAGGAGCGGCTGCAGACCAAGTTGGAACAATTAGAAAAAGAAATTCAAACCCTGACTTCTTCCTCGGGATCTGCTGCGCGGCTAACAACTGAACAACAGAAGGCTTCAGAAATGACGAAGCTGGACGTGACCGAGGCCAGCTCAAGCGCCAGAACCTCGAAGGGGCTCGGTGGCCTTGCAAATGGAGGGCCTTCGAGAGCCTCCAAGGGACCTGGAGGCGCAAGAGCATTTGGCTCGTTAAAAAGCGTAGTTAAGGCTAGTTTTTTCTGATAGTTTTCGTTCAGTTCATCCAGCGTAAAAATCAATCTGTATTCTGATTTTTTTTTCCCTACGACTACGTACGAGTAGTCATTGAAATAGTTAAAGATGATTGATCTACTCGCCACATGATAGATCACCCAGACTCAGCATGTCGAGGGCGATCAATTTCAAACTCTAGGGCCGCTAATGTAAACACCACCTTCTCTGAGGCCGCGTTACCGCCAGAATCCGACACCGGATTAGGAAAGAGTACTTCATCAAAAGGTCAGCCTTCTAGTGGGAAATCGATGAAAGGGCCTGGCAGTAAGGGTCCCGGAGCGATGTCTAGCAGTTCGAATGTCTCCAGTTCGGACGCCGAGTTTGCAGGACGAATCAAAAAAGGTATATTCATTGCGCGGACCATTTTTTTCTTCATACTTGGATTTGTTGTCGTTTCTTTCTCGTCGTTCTCTTGCTTCTAGGCCACTTGTTCTTAGAAATAATATGTGCCCTATTGTCGTTGATTCAGGCTCAAAGCCAAACTAGCGAGGATGCTGGATTATCATGATCATAGACCTCGCCATATTCACACATTGCACAGGTCGCGGAAATGTCGACTCATTTACATCAGAGTTGCGAAGTGGTAATACCAAAGCTGTCCGAGATAGTTCTGCTTTCGAGAGCGCCATGGAGGTACAAGAACTACTCAGCTCTTAGAGTCTAGACTATATTCATCTGTCGGTTGGATTATATACATTACAGGTAAAAATGTTGTAAGTATTTGAAACTTCTGATTAACATCACCTAAGTAGTATTTTCGATGAGTGTGCTGGTTATGAAAATGAACACTGTAATATCATAGAATCGACGATGTCGTTTTTTTTATTCCTTTCAGTTTCAGTCTGCGGATGAGACCGCTCCTGCAGCGAAGGCGGAGGAGGAGGAGGGCGCTTGGAGAGGGTCAGAAAGGGACAGAGATAGCGCTGGTAGCATTTTACGTGAGCCCAGAACCTTCGCCGAACAGCCTGAAAATCCTTCAACGGAAACAGCGTTAAAGGATGGAATAGAGGACGGGGTGCAACGTGTGCCATCTGCCGTGGCTTTCGCAGTGAACGACTCAAAAAGTACTAGGTCTGCTCGAAATAGAACACCACAGGAAGAAAAGGAGCATGAGAAAAACATCAAGCTGCTTCGAGACACTTACTATACGAGAGCTGTAGATCGTGCAGAAGCATCTCTTCTGTATCTGACGGACGATAAGGACCGCATGGTGGAGGTCCAGAACGACTATTTTTAAGGCGCCATGGTTTCTCTTTCTCACAATTGATTCTGAACTAAGAAACTACCGTGGGGTGTTCTGTCTTTGTGTTTGTCGGAAGAAGGGATGATTGCATGGACACGACAGCGAGTCACAAAGAACTCAAGCCCCGGGATATTAATGGAAAGTAAGTGCTTCTCTCTAAGATTTAGCTGCAGAAGAAGAAGATGATGCCCAACAAGATGAACCACGAGAACAAGAACGGGAAATGGATTTATGCAAGAGCTCGATCCTGAGCAGGTTGCAAGAGATCCAGAACAGGTTGGAGACCGTTACAGAGCAGGTTCGGCAAGACGCGGGAGAGGCGTACTTTATGCAACGGCTGCTCGCGGACAGAATGGATGAAAAACAGCGCTTCCAAAACTTCCTAGAAGAAGCAGTCTTGCCAAAAATAATCAGAATAGCGCAGGAGGCCGAGGAGGGAGCAAATGCAGTAAAGGCGCCGCATTACATGGGGAAAACACATCATCAGCAACACGAGCAAGGGGCTTCGCACGTCAGAACAGAGTCTGAGGAACGACACCGGAAGCCGCTTAGGACAACGAAGAAGACTGAGGCTTTACGTCTAAAACATGAGCGGGAGAAACGCGCAGAGCAGGAGAGGAGCGTATCGCCTTTATCGAATGGAGGAAGACGCGCTGGCAGTGCCGACGGAAGAGGTGAGCACGACTTCGACTTTTACCTTGAGAATCTGTTTATTCCCTACCTTGCGCGGAAGTAGATCGTTTTTACTCATCGGTCTGTTTTATCCAAGCATCTGCAATTGTCCTCGATGCAAATCGATTAGCTAATTTTGTGGTTGTTGTTTCAGTCGAAAATAGCATTTGGTTTCTTGAGGTTCCTGCCTGTGCAGACACACGACGTGTTCATGACGATCCTGTCCATGTCTATCTTCTCCTTTTTACAACTCTCTCACGACAGACCGGAGCCGGTCAGCGAGTCCAGTCCGAAAACAGACTGTATGCAAGCAGACAGCGGCTGTTTCAGCTTATAAAGAAGCAGTTATGCGAGATAGAGAGCGACGACGGCTAGAAAGCGAGGAGAAGTTCAAGCAACTTCCGAAACAAGCGCAACTTGAAAAACTGGCACAGCAAGAGGAGCGACAACTACGACGGGGGCGAGAACGGTAAAATCCAAAATATAGGTTTGCACTAATCAAAATCGATGACACTCTACTTACCTCTCTGATAATTTTAGATGAAGATGCTATGGATTCTCATTGATTGCTAGGGTGACTCTGTTGTTGTGGATGGTGATTTAATGCTTTGGTCCAAACGTTTCTCGTGTTGTTCAAGACCCTTGGAGCACATGGCCTTTTTTCAACAGGTCTGTTGAGCGATCAGCGCGTCCTCCAGATACCATCGCCATCGGTGCTGACGGATATAACAGGAATCAAGCGCTAGAGGAGCTCGAGCGGGCTCGATCAAGGGAACAACAGCCGAGTCCGTTTTCACGGAGAGTCGAGCGGATGATCAGGGGGCAGCAGCAAGAGCACGTGAACCGGATGATGAAGCCTTCCGGTTACGTGCGCTTCGATGTGATGAACCAGGAATTTTTACGTGAGGGACAGGCCGCTTTCGAGCCGGAGCTGGTCCGTTATGGTTACAGTGTCGAAGAGGCGCTAGCTTCACCGGACGGGGACGCGAAGAAAGAGAGTTCGGGTCGTGAGGATGCCGATGCTGCTCTGTCCGAGAGTGGAACCCCTGTCTCAGAGCCTTTGTCACGCTCCCGGTCCAGGGAAGGAGGAGAAAAAAGTGGAAGTGAAGTAGAAATTGAAGGTGGTGGGAACAAAAAGCCGCGTTCCTTCCTGAGATCTAGTTCACCACCCGGCATGAAAAATTTCATAGGAGTCAACAAAGAGCGGATTCTCGCGCAGCAGGCGAAACTAAAAACTAAGCCACCTGTTCAAACGGTGCAAGTTCCGATGAACAGTAGTGGAGCAGGCGCTTCTGCAGCTAGCGGAAGCCTGACGCGTCCGCCGGATGGCAGCAGAAAGCGAGGCTTCAATTCGGCGATCGGTAGGCGGCTGGAGCATCACAGTGTTCATGTTGACCATGTGGCGGAGAAAACGGAGACCTCCGCCGAAAGACACGCTGTTCACGCACTTCGAGGGCCGCATACGCATCACTACGCATTTCACAAGAACAAGGAATCAGGAAAGGCATCCGAAAGAAGTGGCGCGTGCGCTCTACGTCACGGCCCGCGGACCCAGATCGCGTTCGGGATGGGACGGACGCCCTCTGAACACAAAGAAAGCGGGAACGCCGAAACGAAGAAAGAGTGGCGCCTGAAGGTGGACGATTCCGAGAAGCCAGCATTCGTTGACCGGCTCTACAGGAAAAGAAGGGAAGGCTTCTCCCTGCCAAAAGACGTTGCACCGAAAGACGTTGCTGCCGAGGCGCATTTTCTCGAGAAAACTGCAGCGAGCACACAGAAGCGAAAGTCTCACTGGCAGCGCGTGCAGGAAGCGGAGGCTGCCGCAGACGAGGGGGAAAGGAAGGTAGAACGGCAGCCCGCGTTCGTACATCGTGATCAGTTTCAGGGGCCTGGGATGTCCACCATTAAGATCTGTACGTAGTTTTGCTTTTTCGGAGGTGCGCCTTCTACTAACCGTTTTGCCCTTGTTTATCTTTATTGCGTTCGCATCTTGTACTTTATTGCGCTCGCCTCAGCCTCATCAGGAGCAGGGCCAGTTGGTACAAACAGCAATACCAACTGGAAAAATCGGAATTCTCTGCAGTACAGCAAAGGGAAAAGTTAGTACCGCTACAACATTGATTTATTTTCTAACATAATGGCAAACGAACAGAAGAGAAAAAGCTTCCACCAGCGAAAGCTAGTTGCGGAGCAAGAAGAGTACAAGAGGCGAGTGGAACGTCAACAGCCAAACTTTGTTCACGAAGAGGCGAAGTCACCGAAGGCAACGATGACGGAATCGATGAAGCGGAAAAGAAAAAGCTACTTCTACCAACGAGAAGATCAACATGCAGATGTCACAATGCGAGCAGAGGAGCAAGAGGCTGACAGCAAGGAACAAAGGACGTCGGCTATTGCAATGCACCCAGAAAGTCAAGGACGGCCACAGTCCTCGCCCTCCTCCTCTATCGCGAGGCCTTCCCGATTTTCGACAGCCGTTTTGCCCAACGCAAAGCAGAGTCCAATGGAATCTCAGACTGAATATTTGTCAGAGCTGGTCGCTCGTGACGATTTTGTTCCGCTCGCTAGCTACGACGATGAATCTTTACACGTAGACGATGAAGTGTCCGACCATGCTGATGCAGCGACGAAAAATCCTTCATCGACGAAAAGTCCTTCATTAAGAGTTGGCGGTGCGCCTGCTGCTGAGAATGATTCCGATCCATTTGAAGAAGACATGTTTGGTTCACACATCTTGAAAGTACGAAATAGCAGTACCGGACGGGCGGGTGGAGATACGAGCTTTCGCAGTACCGAACAAGATCAGGTGAATGAGCGGGGTCGTCGTCGTGGTAACTCGATGACAGTGAGGGACAGCGCGAATACTAAAAAGCCGAAAGGCAAAGTGTTATGAAACCATAATTTTTTTGTTCGTAGCCTCGTAATCGTATTCATTTTCAACGATAAAGGGCGCTTTCTTTGTTTCTTTCTAGCAAACTACAAAGCAAGGCTATCCCTATCATTGAGTAGCATTCAACAAACAGGCCAAGCTCCTTCCTTATATATTGAAAATGAAGACGAATACATTTTCTCGTTGATGATCTCCTTGCTTCATCGTTAACGATGGCTATGGCTATGCTCGGACTACATGGCGAGTCAAAAGATGAAGATAGTTCGTCTTCAACATCGAAATACGAATATGACGACCCACGGGATGGCGCAGGCCCATCTTCCGCCTCGCCGTCTATCTTGCGGACCAGTAAGAGCGCGACTGTTAGCAAAGGTCGGAGTGTCTCGGCACGAACGGAAGGTCGTGAGCGGGGGGTTTCGGTCTCGTTTGCGCCCCCTTACAGAGGCAGTGCTATCAATGCGCCTCGAACTTCGTCTGGACCTGAGCCTGACGCGAAGAAGCCAGCACCAAAAAAGTTATCCGAATATATGGAAGAGCAGGGGCTCGAATATCTCACTGCCGCTTCGCAAGGCGGCGGCGGTAAGCAGAAACGAAAAAGTCAAGCACAAACAACTTCACAGCGGGATGAAACCGGAGATGGTCAAGGCGGCTCAACACGGTCATCGAGCAAACAGGGGACGTCAAACAGATTGTCACGTAGCGGGCAGCACGGCTTTCCCGGTGCGGTTACAGTGGACAGGAACGGGTCGAATCGCTTCACCGACGCACTGCTACAGAAGCATCCGAAGAACGTGATGGACCCATTCACGAAAGCACTGAAAAACGTAGAGACGCAGCTTCAGGGAAGGGTCCAGGAGAATCACGACGCGACGCATGACTACAAGCGACTGGCGCACCAGTCGCGGCTGAGTGAATGGGAGCACGTTGACCGCATTGCCGCGCACAGGGAGAGCGTTTCGCGGGCCAAGGACACACGGCTGGAACACCGGCAGAGTCCCGTGGAAGGTAGTCACAAGTCGGTGCGCCAGTCCAGTCTGCTTGAGAAAATGACCGCTGCTGGAGTAATCTCTTCAGGACAAGGATCACAGGATCATGTGAAAAATGAACAAGATGGTGTTGATGTAGTTGACTCACCGGCGGTCAAGCGACCTTCCTCACCGAATGGTCGAATCTCAGCTAGCATTCCAGCCTCTGCTGTGGCGCGGTCTTCTAGTGCGGCCCGACGTAGCGCGCCGATTTCGGCGGGAAACCCGGGCGACGCAAAGGCACTTCTCTACTATCCTGGCGAGGGCGGGAATGATGCAGCCTATCCATCAGCAAGTCGCTGGAATATTAACGCGACAACTAGTACAAGTACGAGTATGACAACAAAAAAATCATCTGCATCTTCAACCACAGCCGCGTTTTTGCCGGGCGGCGCCAGCGCACATACGTCAGGCAATGCAGCCTTTTCCTTTCGAATTGAACAAGCATCTTTTTCTAGAAGACCTGATACTGAAGGACGTGAGCCGTTGGCTGCCTCCAACAATGGCAATGGAGAAGTAGTTTACCAACTTTCTACAGGGAAACACCCTAACGAAGAAGTAGAGTCGCGACAAGGTGGGGCTGTTTCGAGTTCCACGAAAACGCACCGAGTGCCGCGTCGTCGTACTCGCGCTGAACCGCAGACGTTGAGCACGTCTTAGCGACGAAGATAGAGAATCTGTAGCAGTAGCTGTAGATCAAAATGATCTTATTATCCGAATACTACAACAAAAACGAATATCTCATCAATTGCAACAAGAGACTCGTCAGAAAGATCTTTTCGAAGATTAGCAGCAACACGGCTCAACATGAATGTAAGTGCCACATAATACAAACAAGTTAATAAATTTACTTCTATTACTCGTACCAAATTATTTGATCTAGCAAAAGACATAGACGATTGCAATTCATAAACGAAACAGGATGCAACATTCGTAGCCTCGTAAAATTCAAAGAATGGTAAATAACGGATACGAAGATTATAATAGTCTGCAAAGCTAAATGGACGGAAAAAAAACACATGAAGTAGATAAACAATCATATGCTTATCTTACGTGAAAATAACAGAATCCAACCTATCATGATTACCAAATTTTCAAAAAGTATGAACCTGCATAGAAATGGGACCTAGCTCCCTCCGGACAGTTTACATAGTCCAGAACGTGCTCCAGGAAACTCATGTTAGATTCACAACCTACACGAAGCTAATGTATCCAGATTAATCTTCTTGCAAATTATAGCTTCAGGTTCCCGCTGTACTATGCTGTAATTTTGTGCTTGGTATTCATGTTCAGAGCAACTAAACAAGCAAGCGACGGAAGCAAGTATTCGTATTGTGTCAAGAGTTCTTGTTGCATTCTCAAATACGTTTGAAACACACAAGCCGATCACTCAGATGTGGAGCTTTTTTTGGCTGCGAACAAAAAATGAATTCTGCATTTTCTAAAGATTGTTCGTGCTTAAAGAAACGCTTAGCTTCGATTTCGATCGAAAAGGAATAAAACGAAAATGCAACGACCCTATCGCATCCACAAAAGCAATATTAAAGGGAAAGGATAGATGGCACTGATGCTCGCGGACTATATCATTCTTTGAGCATCATGAAGTAGATGAAGATCTTTTACATATGTTGAAGAATTGAGACATATTTATTTATTCTTCAACCACGTTGAGGTTGAGTTTTGGCTTCTCATCTAACGGCTATGTATGGCTATGACCGATAGTACAAACAAAATACCAGTATATATAACACTGCTCAATCCCAGTCGTGAAAATCTTGTTGTAGACCTAATCCTCGAACCACTACCACGCTAAACTTTTAAGTAACCCTTTTTTTAACATCTAGTACACTTTCTTCACCTAGAGCTTTGTGGTAAATAAACACAAAAGCAAAACGAGAAAATGGGTATAAAAGGTTTGATGCCGTTTATTAGGGAGAACGCTCCCAAAGCAGTGACGGAGACTTCGCAGGCCAACTACAATGGTCGCGTCTTGGCTATTGATGCGAGTACCTGCCTGTATCAGTTCATGGTCGCCATTCGAACTGGCACAGGGTCAGACTACCAAAGTCTGACTAACGAACGCGGCGAAACGACCTCGCATCTTGCCGGTTTCATGAGCCGAACACTAAAATTGCTGGAAGCCGGTGCAAAGCCAGTCTACGTTTTCGATGGAAAGCCCCCGAGTACTCTACTGCTCCAATTAAGTAGACAAGTATTTTTTCTGATTCAGGTGCAGACGGAGAAGAAGAAGATATTATCATCCCAAAGAAAAATGACGTCTCAACCTACCTTATCAAGACTTGGTAACTATATGTATAAGTAACGAAGCATCACCTTCAAGGACAATAGACGTCGATCATTGTCATTTCTTCACCCACAACATCAACAGGTCTGAAGAGCGGTGAGTTGGCGAACCGAAAGGCTCGCAAAGAACAGGCGATTGAGGATTACGAGAAAGCTAAGGAGGACGGCGATGCAGAGAAGATGCAGAAGATGGCGGATCGGTCGGTCTCGGTCACCAAGGACATGCAGGAAGCAACGAAGAAGCTCCTTCGGATGATGGCCATCCCTGTGATCGAAGCACCATGCGAAGCTGAGGCCACATGCGCGCACTTCTCGAAGACCGGTGTGGCTTTTGCAGCAGCGACAGAAGATGCGGATGCACTCTGCTTCGGTGCCTCGAAACTCATTCGAAACCTCTTCACTATGTTAGCTTGTTGATCGTGATAACAATCATTTTTCCATGTTGCAAGACCACCACGATGACGATGTTGAACTGATGCAAATATTAACACGCATGATGTAAATCTAAATGTACTCGTAGTACCATGTAGTTACATTCACAACGAGGACAATGACAATAATTAGGTTTAAGATTGGAGTTGCGTGTGGTCCTAATAATGTCATTGTCATCCTCTAACTCCTCAACGGACCCGAAGAAGCGACCGACGTTGGAGGTTGATCTGGCGCGCCTGCTGGAGCAACTGGACATTGACATGGACAAGTTCATCGACTTCTGTATTCTCAGTGGTTCCGATTACACCGACACGATTCAGAAAGTCGGAAGCATCACCGCATTCCAGCTGATCAAGAACCACAAGGACATCGAAACCGTGCTGGCCCAAGCGGTCGACAAAGCGCGGGTGCCAGAAAACTTTCCCTATCAGGAGGCTCGCGAACTCTTCAAGAGGCACGAGGTGACTGACGTGAATGCAGTAGATGCGGCAACGGGCAAGAAGAAGTGTGATTTCAAGGATTACTTCGCGAAGAAGCCGAAACCAGATACCGCTGGTCTGCTCAAATTTCTCGTCGAGGAAAACCAATTTAGCGAGGAACGAGTCAAGAAACAAGTTGAAAAACTGGAAAATTATGAAGAATATCGAAATCGAAAATCTAATTGAAAGAATACCGAAAATCTTAGATTTTAAATCCAAGTGAAAGATGCTTGTCAAGTAGAGAGAGATGTTTCAGTTTCGTCTTGCCGATGTTAACGTACGGCCATTTGAGACGCAATAATGTTGTGAGACAAAATTGAAAATTATTTTTCACGACCACTGGTAGGTTCTGGTTCTCGTTCTCGTCTGAGCATTGATTGTACTAATATTCTGATTTACTTCGCTACGGCAGCTAGTGTCTTTTTCTCTTTTCATAAACAAAGCCCCTTCCTCTAATGTCAGCTACTGAGCCAGGGCATGCAGGTGAGCTTTGAATCCTTCTTCACGCTTGAGGCGCCGGCCATTGCGTCAAAGGACAAGTTCAATCCGTTTAAAAGCAAGGACGGAAAGAAAAGGCGGGACGTGACCGCAAATCTAAGCAAGGCAGCGGCCCCGGGTGGCGCAGCCAAGAAGCGAAAGGGCGCTTTGACTGCAGATAAGATCGAGAAAAAAGAGCAAGAAGACAAGGAAAACAACTCATCGAATGCAGCAGCTTTGCCGAGTGCACTCGGCTGAAGAAGATTCTGACCAGAGAACAATTAATTTTAGACAAAGGAAAAGAGGAAGAGCAACACGCCTCATGCTCAAGTATACCGTTGTTCACTGTTCTTGTGGTGGTTGTAAAAGCATCGAGGTAAGAGAAGTTGTGCTATCTCGTTTTCAACAAGTGCAAGAAGGTCCATTGAATACAAGATGACAACATGATTATGGATGCGAAGTGTAAGAGAAACGAATCTCTTACACCTTATACCATAGGAAAGCGTGATCACGCGACTCCCCACCTTCACGAGATTCTCCAGAAGTAAGAATGATCTTTACAAAAACCCTTCCTCTTCGACGCAGGATTACTCTTGTTACCTCAAAAAAAATGTTCTCCCTCAACAGCAGCGGGGTTAATGAGGTGTTTCGGGAAAGATCTCATGATGATGTAACATAGTCATAGATCTTGGCACACGTTGTTGGACACTGTCGGAGTTAGAGACGACTCTTTACAACGTCGCTACCAGCAAGTGAAATACTAGTGTGGATCTATCATGTTGCGAAGATGCAGTAGTAGTAACGAAGAAGACAAGCGCAAGTTCCTCGTGGCAGATCTTCATAACGAGTGGTGGATCAGAGGACGAGGCCTTCTAGTTCCGAAATATCTACCGCTTCCGCGTCAACAAGTAACAAGTAGATACAGTACCGTAGACGAAGATGTTGAGTGATATTTCTTCAGCCATTCTCTCCCTTCGCTTTCGGGTGAAGAAAAATTTTCCGGCAAGATCAACAGGAAGTCAAGAGCAGAAGAAGTCGAAGAATGACACGACCCCCTCGACGTCCTCTGCGAACCTTGAACTGACGACGGCTAATATTGTGGAGGTTCGCCGAATCTAGTCACGCGGTATCAAGCTTAAGACTACAGATTCAGCTGTTTTACAAAGCACAAACCTCCGGGCAGATCGAGTTGATAATATCTTGAGTTGTCACGATCGCGTCGTGTAGTTCACCGCAAGTAGAGGTTGAACGTGAATGCTGAGGCATCACCAGGCCAAGAAGGTATAGGTAGTAGATATCTGAAAATTATAATTCAGGCCTGAAATTTATTCACATCATCGATCATGTTCATGATCAAGCTTATGCTGCTTCACTGCTGCAGCTGCTTGCTAGGTAGGACTTCATAGTGATAGTTCATAATGTGGAGACTCTAAAACGCGACTATGAAGACGGTTGTAGCGAAAATGGCGGCACACATGCCACGAGCCCAGTTCCTGAAAGGTGCTGCAGCTTCTGTTGGAGCGAGAAAAAAGGCAGCAAAAGATGAGAAAAATAGAGTTACGAACTACTTTCTGCTTCTGTATCTGATGCCGTGCCGCGAGAGGCTGAGGCAGCACGTGATGAACCCAAAAGTACACCTGGTACACAATTACGTAAGTAGTACCTCTCAAATCGTTCATCTGTAAAGTAGGGGTTCTAGTACCCGGACAGCGTTTACCGAAGCTTGTACATTGTTGATGTGAAGACCACCTAATCTTCTAAGCTAAAGCAGAATTTTTCACCACCACGACACGAAGGTAACAGCATCAGTCAGAATGGGGAAAAGCGGCTCCAATCTACCGCATCTTCAATCTCAAGTAGCGGTGCAAGTTCTGCTGGTGCTAGTGGAGGAGGTTCTAATGGGAGTAGAGCTGCTTCAAACTTTGCCGACCCTGCGGATGATGCCGATGCTCATCCTACAACTACAACTAATTGTAATATTGATACTAGAACTAGTGCACATTCAGCAGGAAATTCAGGAGAACGAGGAGTCGATGCCCTACAAATAGAGCAAATGCAGACTGATTTGCTGTCGGAATTTCAAGAATTCGGGAACATTTTTAGGAAGTGGGTAGTCTCACAAGTGAGCTCTGGGATGCAATCGATCGCTTTAGGTCACTTTATGGTCAAGAAGTTGTATGAGGATGACCCCTGAAGGATCAAGATACACTCAGTCACACTCAGAGTGACTCATGTCCTTGTTCAACAAAAGCCGTTTTCGTAATTTGAGAGTGTTTGTTCTTCAGATACGCTCGTATTCACGGTTTGTTGGAACTGACCCGCTTTGATTTTTTGAACTACATCGTGAAAGTGGGCATACTTACCACCACCAACATCAACAACACTAACATATTTACGACGACGTAGTACTAATCTATCATTATAGAGCCCTCTCCCAAAGTCAAACTCAAGTGATAGTGAACTCGACGTCGAGTTGTCATAGAATCGATGTTCTAATTCTATTCAGGAGAAGGAGGAGAGAAAAAAAAGGGAGCACTCATGTTCCTTAACGGCTGAAACGAAGAGGGAGCAGACGGAGTCGCGCGCCCTAGCAGCTGAGAAAAAGAGGGACCAGCCGCGGGTCGCAGCTGCTGAAAAAAGCATTGAGCAGCAGCGCAGTGTTCTTACGACTGAAAAAAAGAGCGAGCAGACGCGCGCCGCCGCTGCTGCCGCTGCTAAGCGCAGTAGCTCAAAAAAAAGAAACAGGAGTGCCGTTGGTGTACGGGCAGACTTCAGGGTTTTTCGCTCGCAACTAGCATCGATCTGGGAGAGGTCCAACGCCAACTGGTTGGTAAACCTAACCGCGCTGAGATGTGAGAGGCGGGTTCCTTTCGTTGGCACCTACTGTGCCGCATTTTCTAGATATTTTGCGGTCCCATACGTCGATCCTTTTGCAGATCTTGTCGAAATACTAAACAGGTCTCGCTCTCGTAGAGCTGATAAGCAAAGTCATTCAACAACATCGTCGAAGAAAACGAAGACCGTGTCGTCGAGAGCCGTTTCACATCAGGACAGCCACTCTTCAAGGTCGATGGATGAGGGCCAGCAAAGATATGTTTACCAGGAGGAGGATCAAGAAGATTCCCCGGCGACGCCTCCTCGAAATGGCAAAGAGAGGAGTATGGAACAACATCTCGTTCATGATACGCAACACCACGACCACATTACTACAACAACTGAAGATTTCGAAGTAGACATCAGGGACAAGAAGAGAAGCCCCAAAGACAGAAAGTCACCAGTGGCTCCTACTTTATTGTCGGTGTCGGACAAGGTACGATCGTCTTGCAGCAAAGGTAGGGGAGACAATGCAGACACGGATGAATCTCGCTGCTTCTCAGGACCGTTTTGCACAGCATGGTCGTGGCTCGATTATAACATTCGAAATGCTTACGCGGCTCTTTTTTCCTCTAGCTGCAGTGAGGACTTGGCCAACGAAAAGATAGAGGGGGAACAAGTCGATTTTTGCGAGCAAAATAGCGCAGAAGCAACATCGTCAGGTTTGTATCGTATTCTGCAAACAACATGGATGCTCCTCCCGAAGGAAACGTACGCCGAGTCTGAGAACATCACTTTTGACTCTCCCAGAGCAATTGGAAGGTTTCTCGTCTTCGTCGTGCTACCCAGCTGTCTCGGAATGTATGAAACAAGGAAGCACTAGTACAACTCAACATATTAAGTACCTTAGTAAACACTCATTCAACATCAACAGACGAAAAACTTACATTTTGAAGCACAAACACGGCATAAAAATGAGGAATACTCGTTCACGTTCATTTAGAGGTCTTCCTTGGTGGACTTGATCTAGTACAGCTTTTGCTGATACATACCTAAGATAGACAAAGCTGAAATATGATTTATGAACGGAGTATTTCTACTCTTTGACTGTCGTGGCCAAATTCCAAACAGTATCTCTCTTTCTTCATGCTTGAATCTTCGGGGGTACCGTGGTTTTCGTCATCGTGGACAAATTGAATTTATTCACGCCGTCGTCGCTTCTGGAACAAAGCACAGTTATGAATAGAAGAGACGCAGAGTACACATTCGCATAAGTGCACGGAGTACTAGGCGAAGGCCAACAACCGAGTAATTATGTAGGCACCCCCAAACGATGAAGAGCCTCGTTTTAACAAATAAATCTCTATCAAAATAACATTTCGTTTAGGGTTATTAAAGCTTTGATTTTGTAACAAGAAGAATAACAATCTCTATCAGAATGAATGAATCACTTTAAACAAACATTAAATTGGTCTTTCGTAACCCTAACCTTTGAGAAAGTGACACGCTGGATGTATCACGTATCTACTCCCTCTATGTCTTGCTCAGGAATATCAGCCTCCAAGAACAAGATCAATATTTATATATTATATTTTTTATGCTGTCCAACATCAACAAATAGATCTGCTCGCTCCTCTGATGCCGCCCACCTTCCTCTCTTACTTCAGGAACAGGTTTAGTAGTGATGTACCTCAATTCATATGAAGTCTAACAATTTTACTAACACGAGCCTGCGTGAGCCAAAGAAGATACAGACATTTCTGGATGATGGTTTAGACGATGTTGGAACGTTTGAAGATGTCACGCAAAGAGGGGGAAAAGGCGATCCACTTCGAGAAGCAAAGACACTTCACGCTTTTTCTTCGATGGTCTCTATTGTTATTATGCTAGCCTACTGGACCGTGGAAGAGATACAACTAAATAATTCCAGACAAGAACAAGAAGCCTCCTGCACGTCAATGTCATTGCCGGACCCAACATGAAGCGAGAACGACGATCTTACTGCCTCTCTCACTCAGAGGACAACATTCATTCTCGTTGTCCCATGTTATGAAACTGAAGCTATGTTGTGTAAGTGTATGACATCACATATCCTGGTGCCCTGATGATTTTTCTTAGGATATTTCTACTCGAAAAACTGAAATAAGCGAGTTACTGACTGAAAATAAGGGAGACACGACTGAAACGAAAGAACAGGAATGTAGTCAAGACTCTCTTACTTCAGTCACAGCAACACGCATATTTCACGAAAAGTTAAATAAGCGAGATACTGACTGAAAATAAGGGCGACACTGAAACGAAAGAAGAGGAATGTAGTCAAGACTCTCTTACTTCAGTCAGTAACTAACTCGCTTATTTCAGTTTTTCGAGTACGTCTAAATCGCAACTGCGACTATTTGACTAGGTGTATCTGTTTCTGTAGGTTGCAGTAGAAGTAGTAGCTTTAAGAATACCAACATTCAAGAATGATCAACAACGATGCTTTTGCTTGGTGAGAAACTTGTCCTATTTCTTTGGACAACATAATCATGACCATGCGCAACATACATGAAGCAACTGCATTACTAGAGCTCGTTTTTACGACATGCTACCTATAGGTATAGGGTCGGAGGCTACATCACATGATCGTCATCCTCAGACGTCAAGGTAATTTCAACACGTCTGTCTTTCCACGCTTGCCAGAATCGAGAGAAAGAATCGGCGGTAGCACTGCTAAGAAGGTTTGAGTATGTTTTGAGAAAATGGCTCAAAAGTTAGAAACATTTCGCGTCCTCGTTTCTATAGCTATTGCCGCGCAGGCAGAAAAAGAACAATGACGAAATTGCAATAAATTTGAAATTTTTCAGGATCGTACCGACATAGACGTGCTCTTCAAAAAGGTGAAGCGTTGCAGTTCAGCTATGTCAAATAGACGACATCAATCATTATGACAGGGCGCTGAAGGGGAAGGGCGAAGCGAACCTTCTTGTGAAAAGATGCGTAGCAGCACAAGCCTTTCTTCGCCGGTTGGCTTAAAGTTTTTTGGGTCGAAAGGTGTTTTTTTCGGCCTACTTGCAGTGCACCGCGCGGTAGTAGCTTCCGTTGGCACCGCGGGAAAAAACCCGCTGTCTTGGAAAGAGGAGCACGCCAAAGCATGGCGCGAGGAAACCAGAAACAAGGCAGCTACGCTAGTTCAGCGTCTAGAAAAAGACGTAGCACAGGCAAACGCAGCCTTAAAGGAACAGAAACGGGTGAAGGCTGCCTTAGCGCCACTCGTTGATGCGGCCGTTGCGAATGTCGCTAAAGCAAAAGCGGTACTCGATGCGAGCAAAAAAGTGGCTGCTGAGAGCGTTGAGACTGCGTATCCATCGTTCTTCATTTACGGAATTCAATAAATATGTATCTGAAGTTTTTGAATTTGTGGTGTAGTACCACTGGTCCTGGTGGAACCAACTATAGCAGCCAGCACTTGTTGTAAGTCGAGGATGTGGTCGTCGAGATTCATCAAGATGAAGACAAGAAAACTTATTCTTATGTACAACTTCAACTATGAGTACAACCTTTGTTCCATGGAAGGAGCGTCTCATCTCGGTCTCGTCTTATATCATGACTTTGCAACGCAATCTCAACAGATCTGCGAAAGCAAAAGCCAAGGCGGAGGCTACTATCAAGAGCCTGCGTGCTTCGGGAGACGCCTATCTAGCGGATTTGGAGGCTGACCGCGAAGCTGCTCTAGCCAGTGCTAAAAAAGTCACTGCGCCACCGCAAACCGAAGCCTCTGCGTACGAGAAGTACCTTCAGTCCATGGTGAACCGCGGGGTTGACGTTTCCAGCGCCTACGCGGGCATGGCTGTGCACACCATGACGGACGGAAAGGCACTCCTGCGGAAGGCCAGGTTGGCGGCGGAGCGTGCCAGCAAACGGGAAGTTCCAAACCCAGAAGGCACCATGGCTTGGGCACATGCGGCACTGGCCTCTGCCAACGAGAAGAAGCAACATGCACAGCGTTACTATGACGTTGCGGGTGCAGTTTCACAGTCACTTCCCGCATGGCAACAGAAAGCAGAGAATGAGCGCTAGTCGTGTAGCTGCCAACTGAGAATGAGTTGAGCGCTGGGTTTTTTTTTCCAAACAATCTTTCTACTACCATTAGGTATAGGTGTTGCCGAAAAGGACTCTTTTCAACATCGAAGAGGACGAGGTCAACATTTTTTTGATCAATTCGTCGACCTTTTGTCCGATAAGTGGCTGGATTCATCCCGATTTTGTGTACGCGTTCTTGTTCAGACTGCGCATGACATCTGATGAAATGTTTGAGAAGTGAGCAAAAAAGCGCAAGCGGTCGGCCAACAACATTTTTGAGCTATCAGGCAAGGGAGCCCTCCGTCCTGGACGTCACAGAGAGCAGCGACTTGCATGTGCATGGGCAGGAGTGACAGAGTAGAAACAAAAGAGTTGTTCTTTGGACGAGAATTGAGTGCTGAGCGCAACAAGATCCCTACAGGCTTTTGTCTGTGTACTGAAGACTATGGAGACCAGCGAAAATCAAAAATGCCCTTTCGAAAATAAGAGACGAAGAATCCAAAGTTCTATTATCCACCAGCCTCGTCCAATGTCCATGTACCTTACGATACGATTTCAGGCCAGGATCTTCCTGACCATGTTTTTCCTAGCATTGAAAGTAGAATAGCTCTAGGTGAGAGCTTCGTCGATCGAAAAAAAACATGTCTGCAGGACGCGGTGGCCCGGGTGGGCCAGCGGCGGGAGCAGCGGCGGCAAGCCTTGCAACCAACCCCTACGCACAAAGTGTCGGGCGTGGTAAAACTAAAAATACAAATACTCAATACGAAACAAGATAATGATTGTGATCATGACATGAGATTATGGATACATAATTTTGATCTAGTCTACTGGCTCGGAAACACGCGACTGATAGAGAAATTAGCCCGTGGTGTTTGACGTTCAGTCTCAATAGAACAGCTCAAAAGAAGGTACTTACATCAACTTCAACATTATATGAAGTAAGAACACGATAAGGATTACACACACACGCGCATCATTTTCACTACTAGATTACGCGGCCTCAGCGGCAAGAGGCGCAGCAGGGAAGGCAAAGGCAGGCATGATAGAGCTGAAGCTTTATGTCCAGGAGAATCCGACGAGTGTAAGAGTTGCCTTGTTGTGCTCAGCAGCACTCCTAGCGCTTTTTTCGTTCATCGGAATCATTAGCGTGTTCGCACTCTTCAACCCACAACAGTACTTTTCCCTTCATCTTTTTCTATCCCTATTTTCTCAAATAACTTTGATAACAGATGAGGTTAACCACGTTTATTAAGTGTTAACATGTTCATCATGATGTTGTTCCTCATTCGGATGAGTAGTGCTGTGGGGTTATCGTTAGATTCCTCGTGATTGAAGGCGAATGAGCCTCACACATCATCGCGCGGCGAACAAATGTCAAATCTTCAATGCTGATTGTGATTTCTTCGCATGCTGGTTCTACTTGTGGATTCAGCATCCTTGATTACCTTCTTCTTCATGCATAACAGGTTACTGATCAACCTCTACAACCTCCTATTTGCAATTGTGGTGATAATATTGGAAGGAAAGGAGGGCTGGTGTGGCGGTCTACAGAGACGGCTATACGAGAAGGCAGCCTTTTTGTCGAACGGTTGCGGAAAGGGGGGCTTCATATTATACGTCGGAACGATGATTTTTTGTGTCGATTTGGAGACAGCGAGTACCTTCTGGGCAGTGATGTACGTCTTGCTAGGTATTAAAGCCACTCGCTCGATCTTGGTACAGTGGTATTTGAGCTTGAGGTGCTAATGGATGGATTCTTTAGTAGGTGATCATCGTCTAGTTTTTAGTACTGATTCTCAGATTTACATATTTATACATAGAACTCTGTACTGCTTAGCCCTTATGTAAAACATGATCAGATCTGGTCGATTCCGTAGTAGTACTATGGTGCTTCGAAAGATATAAATATATATGTTCCAGGGCTCAGGGCGGGAGGCCCCCTCCCCGATCTAACTTTTTGAAGGGGGGGGGGGCTCCCCGCCCCGGCCCCTCTTTTCGAGGGGCTGCCGGGGGGGAAGGCCTCAAAGCGCCCACTTCTGACCCCTTCCCGCTTCTTGCATGTACGCTACAGACCTGGCAAAGGTGGCAAAGGCTGGGCCCTCTTGTCGTGTTGCGTGTGCCCAACCCTACGCCAAGGGGGCGGGGCCCGGACTTTGCCACCTTTGCCAGGTCTGTAGGGTACACGCAACAAGGCAGCGGGGCCCTGCCTTTGCCCCCTTTGCCAGGTCTGTAGGGTACACGCAACAAGGCAGCGGGGCCCTGCCTTTGCCCCCTTTGCCGGGTCGGTGGATACATGCAACAAGGCAGCGGGGCCCGGCCTTTGCCAGGTCTGTCGGGTACATGCAACAAGCCAGCGGGGCCCTGCCTTTGCCAGGTCTGTAGGGTACATGCAAGAAGCGGGAAGGGGTCAGAAGTGGGCGCTTTGAGGCCTTCCCGCCCGGCAGCCCCTCGACAGGCCTGGCCAATAGGGTGGCAAGGCTGGACCCCTCTGGCGTGGTCCACCCCAGATCCATCCACAGGGGGGGGGGGAGGGGGCCTCCCTCCCTGGTACATATATGAAAAAATATCATCTCCACGACCTCCACCGCCACGTCAGAGATGTGACGAAACCGATATTCACCGTACAGGTATAATGTTCTGCGGTTTGGGTCTAATTCAAATCCAGCAGAGTTCATGTCCCGGATGTTGCCGTGGGGACGGGCATAGGCGATTCAATGACGACCAAGATACAGCAGCAGGACCGGGCCCAGTACAGCTGGACAGAGCGAACGCGCTCACTGCCAATCGTGCAAGTGACCATAGACTGCCAAATGCAGTCTGACGCACATAAACATCGTAAAAAATCATTTTCCGTTGCCCTTCCCCTATCCTTCATAATTTCCCATGCATATCAAAACCACCCTATTATGATTACTTAATTCAGAGTATCCCGCATCCGCATTTTTGTTCGGAGCCATAAGTGTTGAAAATATTTTTGATTTGTAGTTCTTTTGAAAATTATGGTCCTCGACATCAACATCATCAAGGAGGAGGCCTTCTATACATTTACATGATGATGCTTATGCTCGAATGAATACTTTCGATAACAACATGTAAATGTATCAACATCAGTCTCGTTTACGTTTGTTGACAATGTCATATTCCGATGGACATCTCTGCTTCCATCTTCAATCTCGGCCCATACGAACCCCTCCTGTGCGGCCTCCTCCTTTCCTCTGATGGATCACTTGTTACCGCCTGCATGCTCAGGACGAACAGTGAATCGAGTACATGAAGATTAACATCATCAACTACGTCAGGCTTCCTGTAGTACTCGAAGCTAGTGATAATTCGTGGCGGTTGCAGCCTTTTGTTTTTAAGTTGCCGTACCGAGCGAGAGCGCGTGTGCTACAGGTGCTCCGCTTTGACGACCGACGATCAACGATCATTTCATAAATATATGAGAAGCAGACTTCTTCTTCTATTTCTATCGAGATTGGAAGTTCAATCAGACGCAACGGCCTTCTGTCTCTCCCGTTTTTTCAACCCTTTCCCCTGTCTATATTTTTCTGGTGAGAGCAGGTAGAGATCTAAGTAGTGACTCAACGCGACAATGCAAGTCGACATGCAACTATTTGCCGTCTGCAAAAAATGTGGAGCAATCTTCAGATAAAAATTGGCTATGACTTGAAGCTAGTACGGAAAAACCACTCAATACTAAGCTTAAATTATGCCTTGAGTGTGAGTCAGTGTGTCAAACTAAAATCCCTGAAAAGCTTTTCTACTCCACCTAATGATACTCGCGGATTGACATGTTGAGCCCACCTCCTTCAGACAGAAACAGCAAGGTAAATGCATGAATGTGCCTTAGAAATTTAGAGAGGTGGCGTTGGCGACACTAATTTAGTTCTGCTCTATATAATCACTTTAGGTTTAGGTGTAGCTTTGCTGCTGCAGTGAGGGACTCTTTATCATGTTGTTCACGTGCCTATCGCTATCGATTTTCCCGAAATGGCATCAGTAGATGCAAGGGTGGAACATGTATTATTATCTTTCTGGTTTCATCGTTTTTGGTTTTGCTTGACGGAACAACAAAATCAAAACCACACGCTGATCATTGTTGATAGACGTACATCGAACGTAATGATAATGGCGTGTTTTTTCTAGAAAAACTCGACGCCACCGACATTATGACTTACAAGTTGTAGTTGCACCAGTTGTACACGTTCGATATAGATATGTAATTCCTTACTAATTGTTGTAGATGTAGAAGCAGGAGTTCGTCCTCGACAGATCAAATTGGGAGCGTGCGATAGATAAAAATCACGCGACGAGAGAGATGCGACCAAGAAAGGATGCGGCATGTTCCTGCGTTGCTCGTTGCAGCTTGGCAAGTGAACGACGACGGCGACGGCCTTCGGCAAATCATAACGTTGTGGTGTACAGTCGTCTCCAAATCATCTCTGGGCATGTGGTAAACGACGCGAGCATCGTACAGGAACAGAGTAGGCCTCCAGGAGCACCCGAAGCAGTCGTCTTCTCGACAGCTCTTGATACCCTCTACACTGATTCTAACCTTGCTGGTTACGGCGAAGCAACAAAGCGCTCATCGTCAACAACATTAGGACCAGGATCAGGTTCCTCGACTACTACCTGCTCGTCGTCTTCTGCCAACCTTTTTCCTGATGTTGTGCCGATTTTCACTGAGCTTGCACAACGCGGCGTCCACATATACCTTGGCTTTGAGGATTTCTCGGTAAGGAAGAATACAGAGCCTGCTTCACCTGAACGCACTTTCGCACGAAAAGGGGACAGTTCTCACGCAGGACGAAAGGGACGACACGCGAAAGCGAAAGAACCAGGACCACCTCAGCGCGCAACTAGTGGAGGTAAACCCAGAGCAAAAAAACGCGATGCTGTGTCTTCTTACACTAGAAACATAAGATCCGACTGGGAGGTTCAAGAATTTGGCTTGTGGACCCACGCAGAGCAAAACGCGCTTCTAGAGGTTCTGCATTCGAACGAAAACTACACGTCGCTTCGCCAAATCCTAGGACTACTGGTGACGGCGGATGTGCTACGCTACGTTAAGGGCTTGCTGATGATGAAAAATGTTGATCTTGCAAGTAGAGCTGGGGGACGGGGTGAAGCAACGAAGACGTTGCTGCCTGCTTACACGCATTTTCTGTTGGGTAAAATTGCAGATATGACTCGGCTCGGTCGTACTACTGGAGGTCGCGGCGGGCAACATCTGACCTTGCCAGTGCCGCTAGATCGAGATAGAGACAACGCTGAAGACGAACAGTACACGGCTGACGATGTTGGAAACTTCAAAGAAAATATGACAGGACGCGGGAAAAAATTGGACCTTTCCGCGGATCTGATGGTTGTATCAAGCAATTTGATGCATTTGAAGGAAGTGAAGGACTTGATTTCTCCGCGAGTTCTCTGCGTGCAAGCTCGACAAGCCATGGGCGCAAAGGGTCTTACACCGGCGGCCGTTCTAGCGCCGGTGCGCTACGGCAGTCCGATCCTTTCAGGTCAGTTTTTGCCCCGATCCGACTTCCTTCCTGCTCGGTTGCGGTGGTACGAAGATTTCGTGGTTCGGAGACTCGAAACAGAACTACAGAAGTTGACAGAAAAGCAAAAGGCGAATCCTGACGCGAGGACCCTCGCGAGAAGCGAAGAGGCACCACCCACTACGACTACCAGCGCATTGCATTTTGCAGCTCCACCACCTCCTACACCGATACCTTTAGAAGAGCAAGGGAGCGTGACAGGAGGCCTCGCAAGTTCCCCTTGGAACAAGCGTCGCAGGCAGCTTGTTTCAGTCGACCCTCTAGGTGCTACCAAACTAGCATTGGAAATCGCTCGTACTGCGCTGCGGCTGTGCAAATTTTATCACCGGCGTTCGGTGCCGGTCTTTGCGCCAGTGCTGAGGGATGACCCCTTTGCTTTCGCTGTCGCTGCAGATCTCTTGCGGGAAATCGGCCGCATCGGAGTGCATGTCGACATATCTTTCATAGCGAAGCTCGAAGACGAGCTGACAACGAGTACACGGCAAACCTCTAGTATGCTTATGGATAACACACAAGCACCAGTAGGAGTAACACGAGATGATCCGAGTCTCGAACCCCATCCGCAGAAGTGGAGACTTCGTGACGTGGTTGTGTTCATTGGGATCGCACCGAATGGCTTGCGTAAGTGGACGCTCGCTGAAAATCTGAGGCGATCGCTAGCCGCCAGGAGTGTTCGACTTGTCGCTGTTTTTGAGGACGAACAGGTTCTTGCAGGAGTAATTTCATCTGCTGAGAAGTCCAACCAAATTCAAACTGTTCGTGATGGGCCAGGTGGAATATCTTCTGCGCAAGCGGGAGCTACATCAGAGCGATCACAATCGCCACCACGTAGGCCGAGCGAAACGACGGTGCGTGTAGTCATGCGCGCTTTCGAAGGGGATTTGTCTCCTCTTGAAGGCGGAGGATATAGTGAAGATGACACGTTTGCTGACATCATGTTGACTCGGGACGACAACATAGGTAAGACTATTTCCACGACGTCTCCTTCAAGCTCGTCAACATTACCTACAGTTTCAACGGCCAATCTGCTTCCACGCCCTTCTTCGTCTTCTGGGCCAGCAAATATCGCTGGTGAAGTCACTTTTCTTAGGACCACGTGGGATGCCCGTGTGATTCTTCTTCATGTAGGAATAGACGGCGAGCGAGCTAGACGGGGGAGCGTACTTCTTGGCCAACATTGGGACGAAGAGGAACGGGGCGCCTTTGATTCTCCGCGAGTTGTGAGATTCAAAAAGAAATTGAGGGTACTAGGTTAAAGGTGCTTTTGTTACCGTTTGTTATGGCTCTCCTAAGGGGGACGGACATAACAAACGGGATAAACGAACACCAAAAACCTACCTCTAAAGAAACAAGACGCCTCTTTCCATTTTTCTGATTCCGAGAGAACTGAAACTGATAATGTCCTGGGCGCAGATCAAGATGAACAGTCAACTTTCCGACTAGTTCCAGCTTATCATCCAGATTTTGACGGCGCGATTTTTACGGAAGCAGACGTGCAGGACGCAGTGGCCGATCTTTCCGACGGTATCGCTCGGAAGTATTGGTCTGATCGGCGGATGGTGGCTTCCGCAAGTACAAGCAACAGTACAAAAAGCCCTACCTCCACCTGCTCACCTGCTCCGGGAGGATCGAGTCCGCTACTATTGGTTTGTGTCCTGCGTGCGGGGTTCTTTGTTCATGCAGATGTCTATCGAATGTTAAAGTTCGAATGTCTCGATAGTGTGCGGACAGCGGCAAGTACAGATCGAGACTCCACAGACCTGAAAAACGATTTTGACATTACGGCTGACTGGGTCCGTGTTAGTACGTACAACAAACAAAGTATCAAAGCTGGAATTGAGGGTTCTCAGAGCAGTTTCTTGATGGATCTCTCTGCTGAAAATTCGAATCTTCAGGATCGCGATGTGGTTTTGCTTGATGACAGCATCGGCCGTGGCCGCAGCATGCGCTTGCTCACTGACCTCTTCAAACCCCGAGGCGTCAAAACCTGCTTTTGTGCGGCTCTCCTGACACCTGTCATGGATGACCAGGCACGTCAACAGAGCCTGTCTTCATCTTCTCGACCTATGATGTTGCTCGGCTCTCCGCCTGCTCCACCCTTGTTTGCGCGACAGTTGCCACGTTCCCTTGGGCCCGATCCTTTTTCCCGCATTGGGGGCTACGGCAACGATGCGGTAACAAAGTACCGCAGTCTTCCATTCATCGGGCTTCTCCAGGAACAGAGACGCGATGCAATTTGGTCCGAAGACACCATCTCAGGTGGAATAGACTACCGACTTTTTGCGCATCCAGCTTCGGCTGAGTTTATTGCTCTCCGCGGCAAGTGCAGTATAGCTCGCGGCCAGCTGCACTCATGAAACTGTAAAATGTCCTTTTGATCGTGTCTGGCAAGAAAGACGCAAGAATCTTTAGAAATTGTAGGTTGTGCTTTTATTCACTAGAACATGAATACCAGTAGATCCGTACTAGAAGTCATACATTTTTTCACATAAGTAATATTTGATTTTGAGACACACAAGAGCAAATCCGAGCATGACCTCTTCAGGTTGTTGCCTGACTGTTATAATTGATCGTCCATGTTCTTCATTCCTTTTCCCGGTGATTTTCATCCCTCTTCTTCTACTCACGATACGCCACGTTGAAAGAGTCACGTTTTTTTCCATTTGACGTCTTGGTTCCATGGAGAGGGTCGAAGTCTTATGAGAAGAACGCTATCTTCCTCTTCGTCTTCCTCTTCCATGGATTTGGTCCTCTGACAATTTATCAGCCACAAACATAATCGTGGCGGATGGCATTTGATACATCACATGAAAAGGTAAGTTCTCCTTGGAAAACGAAAATGATGTTGTTCTCTTGCTTGATCCGAGCGCGTGCTCAGGCTGTCTACAGAGGTATAACAACAATAAAGCGCCAGAATTTGTTGACTGAAAGTCAAGGTCACATACCAAGTTAAAAGATCCTTTTTGACAACTGCATGAGGATGAACGAATCAATATCAAAACAATCGAATATAGATCATTGACTCATCATGGGTTCATCCTGTGAATCAATCGGTCCACGCGGCGCCCATCTCCAAATCAAACTACTTACTCATGTGTTGAGTTGTAAGTCATGTGCTACGTGTTGGTACGTCCTTTTTTTTCAGTCTCTTTCTCTCCGTTGTTGCGGATTTGTCGCTCAAGAATTATGCTAACACTATCACATTACTTAAGACAATGAATGGCAATGCTGTGTCTGGTTCGCTGTTATCCCCAGCTCTACGTGGAATGCAAACTACCAATAGATCAACTTTGACTCCGCTTTGATCATAATTATCATGTCCTTCGGCTCGGTCCACTTAAAGATCATAAAGATAAACTAGAAAATCTCCTTTTACGAGTACCACTATCTAAGCCAGGAACAAGACCGCACGGCGTTGGAGCAGGAAAGACAATATCAATACGCCGCCTCAAAATATCTTTCATCCATATCAAGTTGGTTCCTTTTAGGCAGAGGATCCTGAAACTTGCTACAAGTTCGTTGTACCTCTGGCCGCTCGTCTAGGTGTCAGTACTCTCGTATTGAGTCGAATGTCGTCGAGGCAGCGACTTGCTTCAAATCTCTTGTAAACAAAAGGCAACGCGCCGTGTCATCTGCCCATCAATCTTCAGATGCCCCCGCCTTTCCACTTCCTTGGCTTATTCGTATTCCCCTACCTCGTGGTTCTTGTGGATGTCCATGAAAATGAAGATTCAGTAAGCTTTATCCAAAATCTTCCCATATCCACGATAAGTCGTGAGCTTCCACGTGCGCTGACCGACTTGTGCACAGCGAGGACTTAAACAAAAACGGTACTTGTACGCGGCGAACATTTTCAATTACTTACTCAACATCATGATCATCAATTCCAACCAAATCAACTACTAACCACATCTTTCTATTTCATTTTGAGGCCTCGGGAGACTAAGTCAATGAATTCTTTGTTGGTGTAGGTGTAGCAATATGATTATTACAAAAAATGAAGCAAGGCGCCGAATAAGCTGCACAGCGATTTCATCACGCAGTAATTCCCCGAGGTGAAACTCAAGTTATATTATGCGCAGAGGCATGGCCATGGATGATGTTGTTCTATGACTTCTTTTTGACTCCATCGTAATTGGTAGCTCAAGCCTCGTAACATGGAAGTTTTGACCTAGTGGTCCTAGTCTTGTACAGTGAGCAAGTTAATATTCGTAGCACGATAAGTAAAAGTAATCAGGTTTGAAGAGATTGTCGAGTCATTTTTTCTTGATTGAGAATTCGTAGGTCTCTGTCTATGTCCTGCAGCTGCACATTTTTTGACGTAAAACATGTTTCGACCTTTTCAGTCATGTACTCACTTCCTTGACGATGCCAACATTTACACTATACGTACACATAGTTGTCATGGTAATGATCTACTTCATTGGCAAAACCGTGACAGATGCCCATTATTGATACCGCTTTTATTCGAACGAGGCGTAGATTAGTTGTATATGTATTTGTAACAAGGAAGTTCTAGATATTCATTTTCGTGCAAGACTGCCTGTTCGCTGACGACCGATCCTGCACTTGATGTCGACGTGACACGTACGCTAGCACTGAACGCGCTCGGGGCAGAAGTCTGATATTGAATGTACGACCAGCAGCTACGTAGAAGTTGTTCTCTCTTGCGTCGACGATACAAAGAGAGCGTTTGGTTGTTTCTTAGACCGAGAAACTCGCAAATCTTGGACTAGATCAACTCCTTCTTAAGCCAACGATCCATTTGCCTGGTGCGTTTGAGCGGCTGTTGTTAGACCGAGAAACTCGCAAATCTTGGACTAGATCAACTCCCTCTTAAGCCAACGATCCATTCGCCTGGGGCGTTTGAGCGGCTGTTGGAAAGGCACTGAAGAGCGCGTCGGATTAGTTGTAGCAGAGAGTCGGCGAGCTCTAAGAGGTAGGATGAATCATTACGCAGCTGGTCACCAAAGGGCGACGCCGTCGTCATCGAGCAGCTTTGCAATGCCGACGCGACTGAACAAAACAGAGGGAAATAAATCCACGGCAAGTCCTCTGGCGGGTCTTAGCGCTGGAGGCATGCAGCAGAATCTGCTGTCTATGACGTCAGGAGGTGAACGGCTTTCGCAGGGTGTGCAGTTGAATATGGGATGTCGTCCGCTTGAACTGAACTACCGGAAACTCAATCGCATAGCAGAGGGCACTTACGGTGTGGTTTTTCGGGGTCAAAGTCTTGACCATACACAGGAGGTGGTGGCATTGAAGCAGCTGAAAGTCGTGAAAAGTCCAACGCAAGGATTTCCGTTGCAGGCTCTTCGCGAAATCTCTATCTTGAGCGATTTGAATCACCCGAACATTGTTCGGGTGCACGAGGTCGTGGTAGTCGGCGGTAAGAACAAGGGATCTGGTTCTTCAGGTGCGCCAGCAAAGGACCAGCATCAACATCAACCTTCGACGTCTTCTGGCAGCAAACACGAACAAGCGCCCAAGGCTAGCGCAGTAGACCCGTGCCAGCCTCTTTCCTATTGTCTGGTGATGGAGTACTTGGAGCATGAAGTGCACAACCTATTGGCCATACACCAGTTCAAGATGTACGAAATCAAGAACCTAGTAGAGCAATTGATGAACGCCATTGCCTACCTGCACAAGAACTTCATTGTCCACCGCGACATCAAAACGAGCAATTTGTTGTACTCAAACCGTGGTGGGGTGCTCAAATTGTGTGACTTCGGACTGGCGCGCCGTTTCGGCGAGCCGATTTTCCGGCGTGGCGAGCAAGACGACGACGATCCGCACGTGCAGGTAGCCTCTACTTCTGGTGCGGACAAGGCTACTTCTAGTGGCAACTCAGCTCTTAGTGTCCGAGCCAGAAGAGAGGCAAAATCGGTCCGGTACACGACACCAGTGTGTACTCTATGGTACCGGCCACCGGAGTTGCTACTTGGGGCGAAGGTGTACGACCCTCGCGCTGTGGATGTATGGTCAGCAGGATGTGTGGTTGGCGAGCTGATTAAGCGTGCGCCAATTTTTCCGGCGTCCACAGAAGAGCAGCAAATACGAAACGTCTTTCGGGTAGCAGGAAAGCCGGACTTAACCACTACCTGGTGGAAGCGATTCTACAAGCAGCGGGTTCTCTGTGGACGCGATCCATCCTCGAAGAACAGTAAGTCCTCGAGTCGTTCAAAAAAATGGCCTCCCAACATTGCTGCGGTCACAGAGTGGTATCCGACTGTAGGCTGGAAGCGCTTTCTCTGTACTCCAGCGGCACAAGGTGGATCATCTTCGGCGGGAAGAGGACATGTTGTGGATGCGGATGACCCCGATCGCTTTTTCGGCAATGGCAGTGGTGCTGGAAGTAGCTCCACGAGCTTGAGTGCAGCGACATTAAGTAGCGCGCTTGGTGGAGGTGGACAGCAATATCTGGGCACGCAGTTGCAACTCGAACGTGCGCTAGGCATTACGGCTGATGACACGCGAGCCGTGGAGCGGTTGGTCGACTTCGTTAGCAGAGTCTGCGAGATTAATCCTGACTCACGCTTAACGGCGTCGCAATCATTGCAAAGTTCGTTTCTACGCGAGGGTCGCATAATGAAAAGCTTCATGATGCCCACCTTCCCGGAGACCAATGCAGTACGACGCCAACACGGGCCGGGCGCAGGTGCGGGCGCTGGAAACAACAATGCTACTCATAACAAGCAAGGGGGTAACTTGTTAGCGCAAAACAATCTCTCAGGAGAGAGGAGTGCCCTAGCAAATCGTGCCGCTGAAGCCCTGAAGCGCACGCGGGAAGAACTATCAGCATCTCATGCTGGAAATCCTGCTTCGGGTACCAGCGGCAGCGGAGACTTTCACGGGCCTTCCGGGTTGTCCCACCGGGGACGGTCGGGAGACATGGCAGAGCCGCCTTTCAAGAGGCATGTCGGGGCTGGATTTCGCGGGCGCTGAGATCAGAGTCGTCGACTGTTATCGCTAGTGGTGGTCTGCATCAGTCTCCGTCGCGCTCGCTGGCCAAAAATTTCCTCGCCTGAACATGTGTTGTCGACCCGCCTTTTCCCCGGATAAATCAATCGCAACAGTAGAACAACCCCTAGTAGTGTATCTCGACGAGCGCCTATATCGATTTTATCAAGCATCCCTTTCTACAAGGCGAATAAAGTGAAATCCCGCAATGATGTTGTCACTAAAACACGTTACTCCCTGCCTTTTCGCACTTTTCTATGAAGAGTAGTGCGAAGTATAATTTAGATGTTGTACCTTGTTGCAGAGTTTCTCATGTGTACCCACGCAAACAAAGAACTGCGCAAGAAGAAGGACATGCTGATGTTATTAACATTCCGTATTTGGAAGCGGCAACTCACCAACCGACTCTCTCGAACTCAGTCGTGTATCGATCATTTGCTCTTATCATGTTCATGCGCAGAGCATCCGCTTCGAGATGCAAGTCATGCTCTTTTGCTTCCGACATTCGCTTTCCCTTTCGTTCGGTACTAGCATTATCTGTCAAACTCGCACGAATAGACGTTGGCATACCTTCATCAAGCTGTCCAAATACGGGATGCCAACATGATTCAAGGAATCCGACGTCCAACCGTCCGAAAAATCTGTCGTCTATCCCTTGCTCTTTGTATTCGGTAAGACGGGTCATTGTCCCTCGCTCTCGGCATTCAATTCAAGGACCGGCCATGCAATTCTTGCTCGAGCTCCTCTTTCCCCAACGGGTGCAGTTTCATTCTGTCTCTCGCGCCATGCATCCTTCTTTTAACCTTCCAACGGTGTAGGTGTAAGAAAAGTATGCAAATGTATTATAATCATTATTAATGATCAAGTCGTGAACGTGATCGTGAAGGAAAGAACCAACATCATCAAAACACGAATGCATTCCCTTTCCTCTTACTTGCTCTTCAATAGAAGGTTAGAGTACAAGTACTGGAAAAGTTCTTCGAGAAGAGCAAGGAACAAGAATCTACTACGTAAACTTACAACATTATATCGTTCATCCCTATCGCTATCCTTTTCCTTGCAATAGTATTGACACTACCACTACGTTTCCGTACACGAACAAGCAAAAGGAAAGACAATGACAAGGCCTGGTCGCAGCAGAGCGTTCACTTCTGGTAGGATGTTGCTCCTGGTTTCGGGGAGTAGCATCGCAACCTTTTGCCTTGCTTCAAGGAGACGGACTCGGCGTCGCGAAAACGAACTTCTTCGATCGTCCGCGATGATTGAAGAACACGACGAGCTAGAGCAGAAAGACTCCGAAGCAACCAAGTCAGGGAACCAGGAGGAGTCCAATATCAACCCCCGTGCCCGTGCTGAAGCAGCATCAACGTCTCAAACTGAACCTACCCTGAGTTCGAGTCTTACAGCGGCGGAGGAGGAGCAACTGTTTGATCAGCTGAAGGCGCTGACGCGACTAACGGCGACATCTTCAAGTATCGCTAAGAAGGCTGAGGAAACCTCCAATGGGAGTCGTCACCACGAGGACCAGGTGGGCAAAAAAGAGTGCAAGACGTGTCCCGAGGATCCTGAAGGAACCTTGAACACACTTCAGGAAGTAATGAACAGCGGCCGTGGCGACGATCAAGCGACGTCGAGCGTCCCCATGGCGCTTCTGCAGGACAACCTGGCACATGGTTACACCTATGGGGCGGGATGTGCCCTGAAAGACGGGAAGGCATGTGGCTGCGGCATGCCGTGGGTACTCTATCTCTAGTGCCTATCCTACAGCTACAGCAACTAACAAGGTAAAAATTTAATTTACGGTGTCCTCCAGATCTACCTAGATACATTAATAGTCTTATATTAGAGTAGTTTATAGACGCTGGGCACGCTGGGCTACGCTGGGTGGCTGGGCGGCCTCGCTGGGCACGCTGGGCGGCAACGCGGGGCACACTGGGCGGCAACGCTGGGCACGCTGGGCGGGCGCATGGATGGCGCTTAGCGGACTTGAGGGCCACACATTGGGCGTGCCGAGCCTCCGCGGCCGGTGGATTTACTTGCGCCGCGGGGACGCGGTGCAGCGCGTCCTCCCCGTGAGGACAAAAAAAGGCGGCACGCCGCCCTCATTCAAGGTTCAGAACAGCGCTGGCGCAGTGCTGCGCCAGTTTGCGCAGCAGCGGGCTGCGCGGCATCTGCTCTGTTCAGGCTTGCACTGCGTCGCGCTGCACTGCGCTGCGCGATGCGTGCAATGCTGCGCCGCTCCTGTGCACAACGGTAAGCTCGCCGCCGTCGTTGGCCTCGCCCTACGCTAGACTAGCGCCGCCGGTGGGGTTCTCAAGCGGGCGCCCGAAGGGCGCCCCGCAATTGGAGACGCCCAGCGTCACGCTGGGCGCAGAATTCGGCAGATCTGGCAGATTTGGGTCGCCCAGCGACCCAGTGTGCCCAGCGTGCCCGGCCCAGCCATGCTGGGAACCCTTATAAACTGTTCTATTATATATCTAAATCTTCCAGTTATTTTTGGCGCGACATAAAACAAACAGTAGATCTTAATAACAACAAAGGAGAAGATCCAAGGAACGTCATTGTGAAAACCATCTTCCGATTGCGTCTTCCATCGATGACAGTTTCGCGAATGTTCCACTTCGATTGCTGGTGACGGCAAAGGCGGTGTGGTGTCCTTCCTAGTATCTTTGTGGCGGCACGCAGTGACGTCCACAGTGAGTTCTTCTTTCATTCTACTTGGTGGTACGGCGACGAGAGAAGCAACCTCAAGTGAAAGCGAGGCCGATCGAGTTCAAATCATGGGCTATTGCAGATTGCGGGATTGGGTATGGACGTGGCCGGTTTTCGCGTTGGCTCTGCTTGCATGGGTGGCGCAGCGCTACCTGTTTCAGCCACACGTGGCAGTGCAACAAATGCTCGAAAAGCGTGCGATTAGTTCGACTACAGTATCCCAGAGTGGCGATTATGAATCCGCCTGAATTTTTCACCCTAGCATTTTATAGGCTAAGTAGATGAAGATTGAAGAAGTGTTCGTATTCCTCCAAAAGCGCAATCAGCTCTCTCTGTCAACCCTAGGTCGTACCCCTTCGAACAATAACTAACAGTGATCAGAAGTTAGTACTAGTGGTGGTCGTCATCGTCTCCGTTCACTATTGCTGTCGGCGCTTCATCTTTTGATTTTCTAAGAATGTACCGCTGCACCCGAGACATCAGAGGACGATCCCGTTGGTTTCACAGCGTATGGCGCGCTATTGCACGCTTCAGCGCGCGATGGTACCCACCGTTACGGTAGCAGCGAGAACTCACATTCCGAACAAGTAGATCATGAGGTTGCTACTGACTATGGCAGCGACGATGAGACGATGAAGAATTTTAATCGTGGGAGCAATATAGAAGGTACTACACCTGGAACAAACGGATCTCGACGTGAGTTGAAGAAGAATTCAACGCGCAATGATCAGAAGCCAGACGAATTAGAACCACATGGAGCCTTGATGCCTGTCATAGGTGGCGGCCGAATGCAGTTTTACGCTGATCCTGTCGGACCTGAACTTCTGGATCTAGTCGTACCAGACATGCACCAAAACAACAAGCGAGGACCAGCAGCAGGGGTCAAAAATAAAGGAAATGCCTCGCCTTTGGATCAACCATCTTCATTAATGCCGGGCGGACGAGAGTTTCTTTCGTCTACTTCATCAACATCCGCTGCAATTTTTATTAAGACTGCGAGAAATCCATATCCATCTTCACGGGCATCTTGGTCCCGTTTTTCGACGGAAGAGGGGGCCCAAGATGCTGCTGAAGATGGGTTTCTGTTCGTTCTAAGTTTCGTCGCGAACTCCAACGTGTTTCAGTAGAGGATCCTTCCTCATCCTCGAGCGGCGACGAGCAAGGGAGCAGCTTGTTGGCACACGAGTCTGACCGAGAAGGAATGATGGGCAGTTCCTCTGTGAACTTGACATCATCAGGCTCGGCAGGCACCGATCCGTCACCAATGTTGCAGCATGTTTCGCCTTCGACAGGACGAAGCGGATACTACGCGGTAGGCCCGGGCGTTCGTCTTTTGCAGTCCGCACAAAAAGAACAAAGGACGAGCCAGCAACTGGAAATGAAGCCTTCCACTTTACCTATGGGCTACACGAGATCGAATTCGTCTCCTACAACAGGAGGTCTGGGGCTAGATGAGTTTCTGGAGGGCGATGGTCACTCCCATCAGGATCATACAACAAACTACAATAATCAAGAATACGACGGACACGGAGTTGGAGTTGCGATAACTTCTACGAGGAATGGTGGTCGTGTGTTGACCTCCTCTTTTTCGCGTGCAATAAGAAGTCCAACGCTGGATGAGGCTGAAGATCAGTATCCCAAGATGATCTCCATCTCGAATGATAGTACTAGAAGCCCCAACAAGAATCGCAGGACTAGTGCCAGTCCTCCTTTTTCATCAAGCAAGAACAGTCCTCCTTTTTCATCCAGTAAGAACGCGGCTGTGCCAGCACCACGAATAGGAATGATACGTCAACTTCACCATGATGATAACCAGCTGGACGAGGTGGAAAACTTCGAAAGCGAGAGGCCTGTTGACCTCGTTGGCCGGTTTTTCTACGACATGGACCCTAGCCCGAGCGACGACAACCTAGCAAGAGCACATTTAGCTTCAAGCGGACGGGGAGGAGATCAGAAGTCCTGGGAAGCACGAAAGTCGATCGATTATGTGGAGTACATATTGCACTCCAGTAGCAGCAGCAGTGGCGAAGAGGAGGGCCGCGACGACACAAACACCTCCTCCCTGACCGCAGCGGCAGAGTACTTTGCAATTGACACACCATCAGTGAGTAAGCAAGGACATCCCACACGAGGGCAGAATGCGACGTCGAGTGGGCACGGTAAAGATCAGCAGAAGAACAGCGGCAATAGAATAGACGAGGTAGTACGTCAAGAAGTAGGAAAAGAACGACGTGAAGCACTTCCACAGCCAATGCAAGACCACGAAGATAATCGGACTTTCATATTCGAAGATAGTCAAGAGGACATTGATCAGCAGCGGATGATCATCACGGAAGAACACGATATAGATGTCACGCAATTCCTCGACCACCAACACCTACCTTTTTTCTCTCCCATGGAACCACGAGATGCAGAAGCGACCCTACTTCTCGGTAGCACTGGGGAGGCATCCTAAGGAGGTCATACAACGCTTCTTCAGGAATGATTAAGCTCCAGCGTGGAGCAGATTCCTGCTTTTTCTGGGAGAGATGAATTGGACGAGCTAAAACGAGAACAAATAAGTAAAAGGAAATTCAAATACTTGAACTTCTATTTTTGAGAACTTGATCATACTTCAAGGTAAACTCAAAGACTACGAATACGGTCTTAACATTCTAGAGTTGTAGAACGTCGACGTGGAAATATTGATGTCTATGTATGTCATTGAATTTGAATGTGCTGCGTTGTTGCATCAAAGAGACGAGCTACACGCCAACTACCGTCTGCACAGAAAACGTAGGGGCTAGAACAGAAACGTAAATAGAAAACCTTTCACATATTTTTCATTTGGATAGGTGACTCATGCTCATCGGTAAACTCTCGACACAGGCCAACCATAATGGATGCGGAGCTCAATCACATTTATCTATCAGAGACTACTAGCACTACAAGATGATGACCCTATTACAATGTCATAAAAACGCCATGCGAAAAGCGCGACAAGCTATAATTCTAATGATGAATATGATTTTAAGCCATTCTATTTCTAGAAGCAAGATTCTCCGTGAGCGTAATAATTCCATGACCATAAAGCTTCTGGATCAATCCCCGCTTATTTATATATCAGATGTAAAGACACCCGTTTCCGCTACTGGTAGTAACGGTACTAGTAAGCGCGTTTATTTCCACATCCACGACCACGACCAAGTCCACAACCTTTATAAAATATTACAGAAGGTGGAGGTGCACGTGCAGATGAAGGCCTGAGAGTTCGCTATTTTAGCGTCAGCAAGTGATGAAGCAAATGCTTGCTCGACGAAGGCACTAAGATCAGAACAACTGAGAAGATCGAACGGCTCCACTTTTGAGCCTGAACAATGCGGGATCGCGTTCCTGTGTGTCATCTTGTTTCATTAATTCTTTTGCAGTTCTCAGTCTTCCTTAGAAGTCATCTCTCAAAGCAGAAAAGCTACACATTTACATGAGGCCATCGATCATCCAGAGTTCGTTATTCAACGTAGCACGTTGCCTTTATAGCACCAGAAGTTCGCGGCTTCGGAAGCGCCATCGACAAGGTGCTTATCTTCATCAGCATTTGACCTTTAGTGAATGCTGCTTTGCGAATGCACAGGCTGGTAAATTCGTAGTTTCCGTTCTTTTTCGCAGTTGTTCTTGAATTCCATCTTAGTCTTCGCTCGTGTTCATGTCCAACAGCGACATTAACATTTTCACTTTCTTAACTTGATGTGAGTCTATACCATTACCAATACCACGTGCAATCTTCAACTTGTGAGTGCATCTTCTGCCACGATTACAAAGAGCATTGAACAGAAGTTAGACAAACGCCGGAAGTGACGCCAACCATGGGAGAGCGCTACTTCGTGAACGTCGGCTCGTGGGCCATTGAGGAGGACGATTTGACGGAATTGATGACCGACATTGTGCAGGATCGAAATGAGCGTGACAAGATGATGCGTTTTATTTTTCTGGAAGACCGGCAGCGGGCCCTCGTATCCTACTTGTTGAAGCGCAAGCTTGCAAGGGATGCGATTGCCCTGGAGAGGTGGCTCGACAGGCGTTTAGTCGCTGAAGATAGTGATGGGGGTAGTGCCGATAACACCATGTTCGTGAGTGGTCCCACTCCTGGTCATCTAACCCGAGTTTTAGAACTTATTGGGGAATTCTATAAAGCCCGGAGCTTAATATCTTCGACATCAGCTTCCAGTTTATGTCATGCTGGAGCAGTTGTAGACGGGGAATCTGCAGTAGAAGAACCAACAGCTTCCTCATCCTCTGCGAGGCCACAGGTGGGTAGTGCTCTTGAGTCTTACACAAGATGTGTGGAAGGTGCACCGTTTTCTGAGATGATTCGGATCGAGCGTACGAGCTGGGGCAAGCCGTTTCTTGGGTACCCGCGTCTGAAGCACACCAATTTTAATTTCAACGTGAGCCATGAAGGGGCCTTCGTCGCGGCTGCCAGTGACTACTTTGCGCTCGTAGGCGTCGACGTAGGGGCGCCAAAATCAGCTCGCGCGCAGCGCACGCCCACTAGAAAGATGAACCCTACCACTTCATCTGCAGCTTCTTCTACTAAACGAGAAGATGCACCAAACGGCGTGGCCTCTTCAACGGTGGAGTTAACGACGTCTATGGAAGATCTCGAACAGCTGCAGAGGGATTTCGTAGGGTGTTTGACAGCACGCGAATGGGGCTTAGTACAAAAAGCGACACTCTCGTCGGACACCATGAGGCAGACGGCTGACACGGAAACATACAACTGCTTTTTGCGTTTGTGGAGCCTCAAGGAAAGCTTCGTGAAAGCGCGTGGGGACGGCCTTGGTTTCGATCTGAGTAAATGCGAGTTCCACATAGATACAGATGAAGAGGGGCCAACATGGGAGAAGATTCGGCTGTCGTTGGCATGCAGTGTTGCAACAGCGGACAATGGGCCACTGCCCATTAATGACGAACACCTGGAGGGAAGAAAGGAGTTCCCGCCGAAGGACACCGGCACCGTTCTCCGTGCTTCTGCTTCCGTTAAAACGGGTTCCAAAACAAGTGACTCATTCCTCCCACAGACCGACTGGAAGTTTCGGCAATCCATCTTGATGTCAGGCTCGCAAAAGCACTGGATATCCGTTGCACAGGGGCCGCTTCATACTGTTCAGGAGGACAGTAAACAAGATATTGCTGGCAAGAGCATCAAGTCATGTTTTGTCCACACTTCTTTCACTGCTGAGCACTGGCGGAAAGTCCTTGCCTTATCACCGCCGCCGTTTGTGGAGCTCAACGTTGCTGAGCTCATCGAGTCTGCCATCCCAGCGCACATGTAAAGCGAGTTTCAGTGTCGAAGGACATGAAATACTATAATGTCTCGCCCCCATTCCAATGCCTCGCTTTTCACCTACCCCTCATGCGATCGATATTTCCTCATATTCGCTGCAAAGGCGATTGTAGTTCTTGAAAAGAAGATTGTGATTGTCTATACCCAATTATAGAGACGCAGACGTCGCTGTCGCAGCTCATATGCACCCAATTGTTGTTGTACGTTTCCGTGCCATTATCCGTTCTGGAAACGAAAAAGTTGCTTCTGTGTTCATCGCTCTCCGCTTCCGAAGCTTGAATGAAGCGCACCATGCTTTTGTATAGTCATTTAAGACCTGCACTTTTCATTTTCGGCATACCATTGACGATGAGGCAATGGTTTACGGCTTTCTTTTCTGTTTCGCTTTTCGGTCACTTGCAATCATAGAGAGTTGTTGTATGAAGATTGGTGGCAGAACGTCTGTCCTGCAGCGGGCGGCGTCGTATGATTCATTTCAGTTGTGACTTTTAATACTCACTCGGATCATGAAGAACATGCAGCATGCGAACGCTTACTTCGCCGCAGCTTCGTGTACTTGTGGTTGTGGAGTGAAAGAAGAAGCGCAATGCCTCTGTCTCAGCACTGGTCATGTAAATAAATGCACGAAGATATTTTTCTTTTCTTACCCATGTGAATTCTTAGGACATGCACTTGGTGAGACTGAGAGGACAAACCATAGAGAAAGAAAAACTCCCCACTTATATTCATTTTTCTATTCGTACATACTCATAGTGATAATCCAACATCTACATCATGATCTAGTACTTACAAATACATGAATGTCCGCATACTTCAAGTGGTAGCGTGACGAGCAGCACGGTGTCTTCAGTATCTTCAACATCTCAGAGTGTGGCAAAAGTGAAAGTGAAACGACTAAGAAAATATATTTTAGAGTAGTTTATAGACGCTGGGCGGCTGGGCTACGCTGGGTGGCTGGGCGGCCTCGCTGGGCACGCTGGGCGGCAACGCGGGGCACGCTGGGCGGCAACGCTGGGCACGCTGGGCGGGCGCTTGGATAGCGCTTAGCGGACTTGAGGGCCACACATTGGGCATGCCGAGCCTGCGCGGCCGATGGATTTACTTGCGCCGCGGGGACGCGGGGCAGCGCGTCCCGCGAGGACAGACAAAGGCGGCGCGCCGCCCTCAAGGTTCAGGGCAGCGCTGGCGCAGTGCTGCGCCAGTTTGCGCAGTAGCGGGCTGTGCGGCGCCTGCTCTGTTCAGGCTTGCACTCCGTCGCGCTGCACTGCGCTACTCGGTGCGTGCAATGCTGCGCCGCTCTTGTGCACAGCGGTAAACTCGCCGGCGTCGTTGGCTTTGGCCTACGCTAGACTAGCACTGCTGGTGGGGTTCTCAAGCGGGCGCCCGAAGGGCGCCCCGCAATTGGAGACGCCCAGCGTGACGCTGGGCGCAGGTTTCGGAAGATCTGGCACATTTGGGTCGCCCAGCGACCCAGTGTGCCCAGCGTCCCCAGCCCAGCCATGTTGGGAACCCTTAACCTTATAAACTTTTCTAATATTTATATTCATTGGCATCGTAGACGTGGCTGAACGCTGCTCTTGATCCGTTGCGAAGATGCTTGGGCGTGGACCGCAACAGCGTGCTAGCACTTTGCTGCAGCCACGCGTGGGTCTTCCTCAGATGAACAGGGCTACGGCACAGATGAATGCCGGTCGAAACGTTGATAGTCTTGGGGCCTCGCATCAAGGTAGAAACGTACCTCAACAGCCTGATCGCTCGCGCGCTAAGAACCATGCTGCTGCCGTTCCAGCAACGTCGGCAAACAGAGATGTTAAGACTTGCGCAAATTAATCTTGTTTTTTGGTGGAAGCATTCTGATTGCGAGAATCGGGTCGTGCTTTGGAGGACAACGACCCAAAAACTTTACAATTATTTAGGTTCACTAGTACTACTGCTTAATTCCGTAGTACTCGTTGTGCCGCCGCTCCTTCCACTGCCGCTGACGGGTGGAAATAAGTACTAGTTACCGGACCACGACTGTCCTCCAGAAAGACGAGGGAACAAAGTCTTCTATTCACATTTCTAATGTTCTTAGACGAACTGGAGCTCGAACCACGCGACAAGAAACAGGTAGTCGCAGTTCGAACAGAGCGACAAAGACTATGTCCTCTGAAAGCCGAACGGAAGACGATACAAGCTCTCTCAGTGAATCGGAATGTTCAAAGCCTGGCGTTGAGGCAACGACGAGTGGCCTAGACGAGGCTGCGACAGAGGACGAGACGGAGGGTGAGGTAAGATTGCAGAAGATTTGTGCTTTGTAGTTATGCCGTGTTACTTATACTTATAGATACTCATAAATACTACAAGATAAGCATATACTAATACTTTCTTAGTTTCTGTAGTATTTTCGCACTCTCACCTGTGATAGCCATAGCGTATTGCAACACTTTTTCTTGATGCTTATGGTCATAGATTTTATGAACATCTTCATTTCCTCCATGTCCATTTTTTGATGGTATTGATAGCATTTGGTGTTGTTATTGGTAACAAAACGAAATCGATCGTATTTGTATTTGCTACCAGACTGAAAGCGAGGCATCTGCTGCCCTCGATGCTCGGAGACGTGCGCTGAGTGACGAGCCGGGTACTAGCTGTAGGACGAACAAATCGCTGTCGACGTCGAAGCAAACGAGCCGCTTAATGGACATGGACTCTTCTGTTGATGGCCATAGGCGCCATGAAGGCGAGGATGACAATATCGGCGAAGAGTCAAACCTTCTTGCCGAGGATACGTCATCAAAAAGATGCTGCTCTTGGAGTAAAGAGAAATCTTCGACAATGTCGAAAGAAGACGTTGCTCATAAGAAAAATGCTGGAGGGGGAGTCCAACGAGAAGAATTGGAGGTGGAGGCGGTGCATCCCACTCCTTGTTCGTCTCCGGAGCAGACGAGTAAAAGTAAGACCAGTTCTAGGGTTGGATTCTTCTCCTGTTGCATAGGTAGGAACCGAGAGAAGGTCGCGTTGAAGTCCTCCGCAGTACGAGGAACCGAGATTGATGAAGAGGATCTGATTGGAGCCGCTTTTTCGACGCCATCGCACAACTTCAATAAGAAATTACGAGATCATCAACCAGATCAAGATTCACCCGGTGGTGCCACAACAACTACAACAGCTACTTCCGGAACATCTTCTCCATCGCCTTCTAACAACAGCAACCGTGACAATACGGCTAGGTCGTTGAACCGCCTAGACAGTGATGTTGAGCCAGATACTCTACTTGGGGACCGTGATCTCTCTGCCATTCGCAAAAACGTAAAGGATCGTGCTGCGAAAAAGCGGAAAGGATCGGGCTGCTGCGGCCGACGAGTATTGTGTCCTGAGTTCGTCTTAGTCCTAGCGGTCGCGTTGGCGACGGTTGTCGTGTTTGCGTACTTCATTTATGTCACACATAACGAAGTCCGAAAACGTCAACAACCGCAACTATCTCTACAACGTGCAGCTGAAGCAGCACAAGGACGAGTAGGAGGAGACAGAGATGGAGGAGAGGGACGCGATCCTATCCATCAGCAAAATCCCGGAGGTGGTAAATCTCCATCTGACGGAGCCGCAGAAAGAAGCAGGAGCAGCGCAAGGTCTGATGCAAGCAGAGCCCCAGGTCCGATCACCACTGGTATGGATTACACGGGGACGAGAATACTGAACCAAAGTGATCCCACCGGCGCAGGGTCCGCTTCAAGTGGCACACGCTTTATGGCGCCACGTGGCGCAAGTGACGGAGACAGGGAGAGTCACGCTGGGGCTGCAAGGGCTGGCTGACAAGAGTAGGCGACCTACACGAAATTGGAGGCCGAGCTAGATTTTATCATGAAACAAGCAAAAAAAATCGCGCAATGGCAAACTCTATCTCAACTCAACGAATGCAAGCGCCGTCGACAGCAGGAAAGGACATGCTGATGCTAAACAAAAACATCAGGACTAGTAAAAATAGCACGATACTAGCTTAGGCATATTTTTAGAAGTAATTAGAATCTTCATAAAACTAGAGTACAAGTAGTAACGCAAAAGATACATTTTTATCAGTACTCTTCCTCTTCGATATCTTCGTTGACATTATTTAAATCATGAAGCACTCTTCCCTGTACGTAGCAGTAGCTTCCTAGGAACCAAAAAGTAAATAATACTTTCCCTATTTTTTCATGAAGAAGATAATCAAACATCTATTAATGACTTCTTCAGATCGAGTTAAGCCAAATCCTTGACCATGGATCTCGTCTCTAAATTGCAAACCTAGTAATAGCTTCATCAGAACTTCAACTACACCTCGAGAGTATACAGGTCGTTGGGATGATGAAGTAGCATTGAAAAAAAATGAGATAATCAATATCGTCAACATGCGACTTGCTGCTGGAGGAGAATCACCGCACTATCTATGTATTAAATTCTCTTATGTACTATGTATATCTATATAGCTGGAGAAGATGGTGAAGCTGGGGGCAATGTCGAAGTGTAGTTATCTTTTTGACATTGCTGCGCAACACATTGGCATCGGTGATGTGTTGGATCTTTTGTTTTCGTCGAGATTTCGTTCGGTATTTATCCATATTAGAAATAGGTTGGAGGTCGACGCTCGATGACGATCAACATAATGGCGAGATAAACGTCCACAGCATATAGATAGTTGCATAGTGATAGCAACACCACCGGTTCTTCATTCTGATATTTTAGATTACACAGCAGGCATCCACACGAAGATCATGCGAAGACTTTTCCACCAGCCCATCAGATTCAGACGAGGGTGAATGACCGGTTTTCGATCGCTATAACGTATCTTCTTCTTGATTATCAAATGAAAAGGAACTACAGCGACTATCATCGATCATGTGTCTCTTTTCTACTCAGGTTTCATTTTCAATGCTCGATACCGTTCAATTCATGTTTGAAATGCCAAGCTCGTTGTTAGTTGTGTGTTAGATAGTGTAACTTGAAGACAAAAATCATTATCGGTAATCGTCCGTTACCGTTTCACCTTCAACCATAGTCAGGATATCTAATCTGTCTCACTTTGCCAATTGTCTGCAGAACACTTCGTGATCTACTTGCGCGTGAATCTGATCCCAGGCTCGTGGATGATGCAGTGACGCTGAGTCGACGAGAGAAACATGTTTAGCGTTAGCCACAGAGAACGTGAAGGACAAAAGAAGGGAGAGAAAAGCATTTTAGACAAGAGTAGCTAAAAAGGTAACGCACTTGCACACAAGTGATTTTTCATTTTTGTGACACGTCTACCTAGTTGACGTGGCAAAGATCACAATGACGTTGGAGAATTCAAATTGCAAATTATACGAACACAAAAAAAAAGAAGCATGTTGGGGGCAATCAGATTAAACGACGGAGGCTCTTACCGTCGGTTTTTGCCAGGAGGAGGCCCTCTATCAAATGCGAACGCAGAAGCGAATGCCGAGGACACTTCTTGGCGGAATCCAGGTGTCCGACTGGTATTCACTTCTGGCGGTAGTTCATGTTCATCGTCCCCTTCCACAGCTCGTCCGCGAGTACTACAGCAATGTCGTCTTCTCGATTCCACCAGAAGTGACCGTTACATGAGGACATGTTCAACAAGTACTAGACGATGGAGAACCTTTTACACATCAAGCAAGCCTCCTTCATCGCCGCCAGTTTCCGACGATGAACGTGGAAAGTCCTAGTCGTCAGCATCCGCACAACCGCAGGAAGAAGATGACAAGAAAAACGATCAGAGAGAACCACCTCTCGGAGGTAAAAATCAACTTCGAAGATGGCGGCTGAGTTGGAGCGACAAAGAAGCGATCGCTAAATTGTTGGTTATCGCGTATCCAACCTGTGACCCGTATCAGGTGACAAAAACGAAGCTGGTCCTTCTGGCACAGGATCTGTCAGAAACTCTGCCGGAAAGCGAAGGCTTCCCTGCAGTCGATTTGCAGCAAGGTTATGGCACTCCTACTTCACAAATTGTATTCTGACCGACACCAAGACGAAGAGAAGCAGAAGTACAGTAGAAATTATAGGAATAACAGCAGGTTCATCACGCAGTAAGAGCTCATGTAGTGATGAAAGAAGAAAGCTTTTGCACGACTTGCTCCTGGTCTAAAATGATGCATCCGCGCATCCAGGGTCGTGTGGACAGCATGGGTTGGGTGCAATAACAAACCGACTGCATGATACCATTTTCAACGAATTGGTAATGCACTGGCGCACAGCGTACCAAGAGAGCTGAGATGATATCGCGTTTCGACACCTCACAAAGAGCCCGTTTGCTTATGGGAAAGCACTATTGGTACTGAGAATTCATGTTTTTCCATGCTTTTGATCGCGAATAGACGATCACGGCGATAATGTTAAGTAAGTACTCGATGTTGACGTATATATCACGTAGGTCTTGGCCTTGCTGATGTTAGTTTCAGGCACAGGCACGGTTGTCTCTCTTGTCCCTACTCTAACCTCGAGAAGAGAGCTGTGGCGGTAAGCGTAATGAGACGACAAGGCGTGCTGGCATCCCTACCAGCGCTGGAGGGGCTGAGATGAGCTTCTCCCAGCGTTATCGCCGGAAAGAATCCGGGGAGAGAGACGGCCACGCTGCAAATGGGGGCGCAAGCAGACTTTATCAGCAACAGCAGCCGAGCGTTCCGAGTGCCGGACCTTCTGACAAGGCTGTCCACTTTGCTCTCCGCTGTTTAGGTTTAAGCGTCACTTGCCGCGATACGCAAGAAATGAAGCAAAAGTGGAAAGAAGCACTGCGGAAGATGCATCCAGATAGAGCAAACATTCTTGTTGAAAATGACAGCACTGGCAAAGAGCCAACTACAAATAGTGATCATCCTGAAAGAACAAAAACTGAAACAAAATCACATAGTATCTATGAGCCGAGAAGACTTTGAGCGAAAAATACAAATGATAAATGCTGCGAAGGACCTGCTGGAAGAGCGTTTTGGAAAGTTTTAGATTCCACAAGTGCAATTCCAATGGTAGAAGTTATAAAGGTGTTGACGAAGTCGTCCGCGTCTTGTAATATGAAAAATTGGCAAGAATTTCTTCATCACCCTATCGTGTGAACATTGATTACCGCACCTTGATTCATCGAATGAATTTGAGTAGTCAGCTTCTTAGTGGTAATGTGTCGTGATCTGTTAGTCGGTCGCGCAAGCTCGTCGAATGAAGACTGACTCTCGTTTGTACGCTTCCGTTTCTATCAGATTGGATTTCTGTAAGGTAGCAATGCCAAGGAAACTCAAGCGAGGGCTTCACAGAAAACGCAACTGAGGCGCGTATTGTGCGATATGTCAAGAATAGTTACAGAGTTTGATATCAGTGACATCAACGAAGAGAGCACGACGCAGATCAACATTGACACCTCCCATGCCGATGTCCCTTCCCGTGTTGCAGTTGCAATTGTTCGTTTTCCGTTTCTTTCGATTCGATGCGAAAATTGAATGACAACAGACTATGTAGTTTCTTTCTTGTCGCTGCTGCCTGCACGGCTGCGTTGCTGAAAATTATCCATCTCCGATTGTATTGGTATTGCGCTCGTCGTCTTGGTCTTCTCGGGTTCGCAAAATGTCTACGGCTGGAATGGTTGCGACGCCGCGCCTAAAGATGACACGCTATCTGGCAATCTGTCTGGCTCTCCTCGCACCGACTTCGCTGTCGTCAAAAGCTGGCGGTAGTGCGGCGCCGGGCTCTGGTGGCAGCAGTAGTGTTGAAGACGCAGATAGTGGTCTTCCGGAGGACTGCAAAAGGGTCACTTTTCAAGATGGCTCCGATCAAAAGCGCTATGTAAGCAAGGAGAGGATGAAGGAATGTGAAGCGCTTCGTTTAGCCCAGCAGCAAAAACACGCCGAAAAAGCAGAAAAGTCTGGAGGAAAAAGTGCTTCTGTTGAACCCGAGGAGACGGTAAAAAATGCTGGTGATCCATCAGTCGAGAAGCAAGATGAAGACAAAAAGGCAACAGGCGAAGATGGAAATGCAGCAGGTCAGACAGCAAGTGCTGATCCGTCATCTTCGGAGGAGACAGGTGGAAGTGCCGAAAAGGAAAAGCTCGAGAGCCCGGAAGGACAGGCAACAAAGCAACAGACGTCGCCCGAAGATAAAGAGTCACCAAAAATGTTGCCTCCAGGGCGCACACCACTACGCGGCACCGAGGCGGAGGAGGTAGAAGGCTTGCGTGCACCTGTGTGGGAGGCTGCCCTGTTCGAGGACATGACTACAGGCAGGGGCTTCGATCACGCGCATCGGTTCAAGGTGTTGCAGGAACGCGTGCATGAGCTGTCAATAGACGTCCACAAGAGTTTCCTCACCGTTGCCTTCATCATGTCCGTGGCAGCGCGAGTTGATCGAGTCATCGTGCGCATTCCTGACGGTTACGGACTAGTCTTTCCAGACATTTCGAAGGGCGGTGAGGAGGACGAGAGCGAGAAATCGAAGGAATATCCAAGAAGGGATGGAGCCTCTGGCGTAGAAGCAGTGCCTGAAGATGGAGGTGACAATAAAAACAGTGGAGATCATGAAAGTAGTGGCGAAGCACGAGCGCGACCAGAACTGCAAGCAAAAGTAATTATAGACGCTTACAAAAAGTGCAGCATTCACACTGTGGAGGAGATGCGAGCCGAGATGCGAAATTACGCAACAGAAATTGCTCAACTGGAGGGGGAAGAGGTTGCAAAGGCGATGGCAACACCACCAGCGGAGGAGGGTGCAAAGCCAGAAAGTGGAGATGCCATTGCCGCGAGCTCAGCAGCTGAGTCAGAGTCAAAAACAGCATCTAAGGAAGAGAACGAAGGAGACTCTTCGCCTAGCGGCGGAGAACCAGATCAGAAGAAGCCGACCATCCAGAGTGAATCAGAAAAGAGTACTACAGCATCAGTGCTGCTCCAGAGAATTACAAAGATCCAAGGACTTTCAGCACAGGCACCTCACGCTATCCCAGTCACGAATCCGGCTACTGGCCCGTTATCGGCACAGAAAAAAGATGAAACCTTGGATCTCGAGGTGGCAGCTCCAATAAAACCAAACGGTGGCGTAGATGAAGCTACTGCTAACGGATCTTCATCAGAGCAGGATGAGGAGGAGGTAATGCGATGGGTCCCTGTTGCGCCGCTGCCCATTGCGGAGTGCCACGTGAAGCGGTCTCCCGCTTCCTCGAAAGATGGCGCAGCTGGAGGAGGCGCGATAATACTCGATCTACGACTAGCCTCGCCTATTTGTCCCTTTCGACCGGAGATTTTGAAATCAAAAACTCCAGAGGCGGACGCAGAAAACGCAGAAATACAGGCAGATGCTGAGAAAGCGGAGAGTCCAGATTACGAGAAATCCGAAAACAATGTTCCTTGCGTGGAACCATCACGCATCAGTGTGAAGAAACACATAACAAAGCAGGGAGAGGAGGCAATCAAGAAACTGAATGGAAAAGTAGAAGGCCCACAACACGAGGAAAAAGTCGAGGACGAGGAGCAGGACACTTCTTCTTTTTCTTCTATCTCTAAGGAAGAAGTAAAGTCGCATGATCAGTCTTCGTCTCCATCTCCATCTCAGCATACTCCTACCGGAGACGACGACGAGGACACAAATGTTCTTGACAGAGACGAAATAGAACTAGAAGCAAGAGCGCAGGAAGAAATAGATAGCGCGCTTTTTGCTGTCGAGGTGAATATCCGCAGACGGTTCGCGATCGAGTTTGCATTAGATCTGTCGAAGGCGACGCCACCGGCAGAGATGGAAAGCATGGACCAAAATCGAGACTTTCGTGTGACCGTAGTAACGGAAAATCCTCGTAGTGGGTACGATAAGAAGAGCAGTAAAGTAGAACGAGAAGCGCTTCCGCTGCCGACTGAAGTCGTAACGTCAACTATCCACCAGCGTGGGCCGCTTCCTCTGTTTGAGCTACCACCTTCTGTACCAGAGAAGAAATCGGAAGAGGAAGAAGCAAACACTGAAGAATCAAAAGACGCGGGAAATACAAATATGGCCGATGGTACATCCAGCACCAGTGGCGACACGCTGACGACGGAAGGCGATGCAAAGAGTACAGGTGAAGAAAATGGGGTCGCGGCTCCCGACGACGAGAACAAGGCAAAGACCCAAGGCGATGTAGTAGAGGGAGAACAAAATCAGGCGGGCCAATCACAGGATGATCACTCGTCTTTTTCGAAGTCGGCTTTTCGTCGCCAAAAAATACGACATGATAGTGATAAAACCGTCCAGGCCATCATGCGGTACATGAAACGGCATGATCCAGCTGACCCGGACTGCGCTTATTCACAGTGGGCTGAGTGGCCCTGCAATACTGAGTGCGGTGGCGGCATCCGCGTCCGAACCAGGAAGCAGCTGCTTTTTGGTTGTCCTACATCGGAAATGCTCGAAGAGTTCGTGCCGTGTAACACATATCCTTGCCCCGCCAGCTTGCTCGGTTGCGCGGTTACAGCTATAGGAGGAGCGCCAGCTCCACTTTCTGGTCCTACAGATCAAGAAAATCCGATGGAAGCATCTTCTTCAACATCTGTCACTGACTTTGAGGACAAAACTAGCGGTGGAAGCTCTGAAATACGTTCAGCGAGCGTTGAAGAAAAATCTGGTCGTAAAACAAGTGTGGACAACAGCGCGCACACAGATACTTCTGCAGAGTCGTTTCTTCAAATCAACAAAGCAGAGGATGCTAAAGAGCAGAGGGCGGCGACCGTGAAGACGGCGAGCCAGGAGTCGCCTAGCGTTGACGGGAAAGCTGAGCAAATTGCGTCATCAAGTCCTCCCGATGAGGGGCAAACCGGATCTTCCAATTCAAAATCAAAATCGAGACAGAAAGGAGAACAAGAAGATACCAGCCCTTCACCATCGACTTCTGCAGCGACTAGTAGCGCCCCAGGCGCAAAGACAACGAGCAATGGCGGCGAAGAACATCTACCCCTTTGTAGTGCGGCAAACGGCCTGAAAGGCGTGCGCGGATACCGTAATCAAATGAAAGGTCCAAACTGTCCTGACTATATGGATTTTGGTTTCGAACGCCAGGAGCCTTGTACTGGCCCCGCGTGGAAGGGAACGAATGGAGTAGAACCTGATTCGCATGGAGCTGGCCCCTCATCCGAGATACGAAGTCGTGGTACCACTGACAAGCGCTTTGACGGGAAGGGCTGCGTTTATGCAGTTGACCAAGACCATGAACCAGTGTGGACACCGGTGGGAAGTTGCTCGGAGCTGTGCGGTTCTGGAATACAGTACTTTTTTCGCCCACTCGCTTACAAAAGACCTGGACAAAAGTGCGATCCGATCGTCGAAAAATATGGTCCTACTATCTACTTCTGTAAATGAAACCCTTTTAATACCATGGGTGAAGTTTTCTGTTGCAGATGATTTTTCTGCGCAAGTAAGTTCATTTGCGATTGCATTTTAGCAGCTTTCTCCGTGTTGCTTCAGTAGACAGTGACAAAAGGAATCCTGTTTTTGTTGACCCTGAGTTATGTCAGTTTCAGTTGGTGCGCCGGCACTGCCTCCACAAGATGAAAAGCTCATCCTCATGTGCTTGATATCTTCTAGTTGTCTTCGGCTTCTGTTAGAAAGTCGCTCGTTTCACACACACACACACACACTTACATGCACACCTCATTCTCCTACAACAGAGCGATGTATTGGCGTTGCGTCAGGAATGTACGGCGACAGGCACCGATGTACGCGGGAGTTGATGGCCTTGACACAACGCGGTGGTAGCCGTGCTAACTATCTTTACGATTTAGAGCTTCCAAAGAGCGTTGGACCAAATGCAATTTCGTCTCCTCGGGTGTTGGACTCTGTGACCCTTGTTTTCGCGGTGAAGCGGCCAGGCAGTATTTTAGAGGTGCATCTGCCACCGGGCTATTCCTTCCTGCGTCGAATGGACCTGTTCGAGGACCGCGAGACGGGCAGTAACTGTCCACGAGAAATGATTCGGAATCATAACCTCCCTGTTCGTCGCATTCCCAGTCACGCTGGCCGTTGTCGGATCGAGGGCACAAAGTTGCGCTTAGAGTTCCTCAAGAAGGGAGCGATGCAGCAGAGCGAGACAAGGAAAGACCTAATACCAGATGCTGATCAATCTCAACCACAAGTCTTGGCTGAGCTGCAAAGTTCGTCTGAAGAAGCAGCAACGCTTAATACTGCAGTAGATGATCCATCTACTCCTACAGAAGCAGCTGGACAACTTATAAACGGACATGATGATGGAAAACAAGAAGGACAGGCACCTCAATCTCCGACACGGGAAGGCGATACCACGGTACCACGACCAGCGATATCCACAGTAGAGGAGGAGTTTTTACTGCCACTGGCGTCTGCTCCGCGGAGCATTTGCGCTCCCGCACGCGGTACGAAGTGGTGGAGGGAGAATCGGAATTCACCCCTTTGCAAGAAGGTACGCGACCGTCACATGTATCATTTAGAGCTTGCTGTCTACTCTCCGACGAAGTGCGATACCGGCTTCCACCCTCACACCGAGTATATAGGGTCGCATCTGGTACAGCATAGATGCCGCGACGATCCCGGCTGGTGGACAGTCAAAATTCGGCGCTCAGCGGCAGAGGAAGGGGCATGGGAGTTACTGCACACAAAAGCTCTACAAAAAGTGAGTAGACCATTGTCGGCAATCAGTGGGTACAGGCATGACCCAGCAGTAACACCAGACTCTGCCCCTTTCTTTTGATTTTGTATTTGTAATGAAGCTAATGCTGAGGTTTGTTGGTCGTGACGCGGCGGCTAGTTGTACTCTTACAAACACATCACACGGATGAAGAACAACAACAAGAAGGAGACTGTAGCACTCAACGTCAACAGTAATGGAAATAAATGCATTCAAAACGATCTTCGACGCGGATTCTTCTACTTCATCTGCTGGTAAAGTGTTTTCTATCTTCAATGCGCGGCTGGGGCCGCCGCCCCCGCCGCGTCCTTCCTAGCGCCTTGTAGACACACTAAAGAGACGAGACAACATCATCCGCAAAAAAGTAGATGTAGATTGTAGAAGAACATGATGATTCGACGCACTTTTATCCGCTCTACGATGAGCAAACAGAGCTGAGCCTGAGACACAGATGTAGAAGATGAGTGTACCGAAATTGAGGGAAAGAGACTTGGTAGACAAAAATGTTGTTGCTAAAATGACTGACACTGAGTAAATTGAAATGCAAGAAGAGGGAAGAGTCCTACGTGGTCGCAAGGGATTCGAATAGCGTAGATTTGAAAAGGCAACGCGAAAAGACAAAAAATCTGTTTGATGTCCGCGTCAAAGTCAATGTCTTAGTCTTTATCGTCGTCCGCGTCTCGGACCTCGGGTCTCAATTTCATCAAGCCAATCATAATTATTGACGTGCGGCCCGCTCTGACGCACCCATGAAATAATTTTTCTCAGACGCAACCTCTCACCCTCACGCGGTGAGAAGTCTAAACATGACTTTAATGCATCAACGAACATATGCATTTGAACGAACCGTTAATGAGCTGAACTACTATGAAAGATGAGCGAATCTTAAGACCCCGCCCGCCTCCGGACGCGTAACATGTATTTATCCGCCGACGCTCAAGTACTTGCCCGAATAAAAGAATCCAGCCGCCGCCGAAAAGAAAATCAATTTGGCCCTCCGAAACTCCGCAGTGCTAGCAAAAGGCCGACTTCTGTTGTCCGGAAGACGCCTTTACTTTTGATATCCGAGAATAAAGAAATTCGACGTTCCTCGGCTCTTTTGAGTACCTTGAGTCGAGCAGGAAACGAACGCCGAAGTAGGCCTAGCACACGCCCACGCCGTGGTGTTGGAGACCAATTATATAGCAGCCCCGCGCCTTCCACTTCAAATTCAATAGTATCATCCGCTCTTGGACGGGTCGGTCGAGCTGCAGTTGGAGGCTCCCTCCATCAGAGTATCAAAACGTCGAGTCTTGGTCCTCTGCTTGGGCCTCCGTCGATATCGTCTTTTCGGGGCGTTGGTCCGGTTATCGATAGTGATGAAGCTGCTGAGTTACATTATCCTCGACGCCCGCCGCCTACACCGTCGCCGCGAGACGTAGAGTCCTCCTCTAGTCGAACCCCCCGGGTGTCTAGCTTTACTGCACCAGTCGGTGGCCATACAACAGCTGGCACCGGAAGAGGGGTTGATCGCCTGTCTAGGACTACTGCTGACGACATCCAGGCCACCTCTTCACTGTCCCCCTGCCTCCGCTCGTCTCCGGTACTAGGGTCTCGCTTGCGGCGTCCGACTCCTGTAGATGTATTAAGCGCGCGCGGACAGGCGCTCATCGACGACAGCATTGCAGACTCCTCCTTCACTTCGAGTCGGCAATTGCTTCGTGATAGACGTGACCGTGAGGGCGCTGCACAATCAGCACAAGGTGGAAGGCTTCGACACCCATTTTCCTCATCCAAAGTGACACCGCTCCAGAGTTTTCGCTCTCTGCGAAAGTTACCGACTCCAGATCCGTCATCCTCTTCGCCTGCTGCCGACTCATATGTCGTCGCCACTAAATCTTTACCAGCCAGAATTCGGCGTGAGCACAGGCACAGAAGACGAGGCCTATCTGATGACGTAAATAAGGACGAGCCGACGTCGCTAGTCCAAGTCGTGACGAACTTTTTCTCTGGCATTTTTCAACCTGGGACTGAAGCAGAATGTGCTAGTCCTACTAGTGCGTCTGCGGGTGCTACAAACAGAACACACATCACTGCCTCACGTTCAGGGTCAGGAGCGAAAGGTAGAGGAAAGAGAAGTATCTCACCTGTGGCGCCACACCAATACCAAGAAGATACCTCTAAGAAAAACACGACTAAGAACGTCAAGGATAAGCGGACGAGAGAACTGCATCCGCAATCTTTAAGAAATCACTACAGAAACGAGACGGAACCTGCTGGCAGGGGTCAAAGAGTAGCGGCATCCTCACCGACTTTTGATGTGGCTTTTTGCCGCTCGACATCTAGACCTCGTAAACTCAGAGCAAAAGGCATATCGCCACAGGTTGTTGCTTCATCGTCTGCCTCTTCTAGGAGTGTGAGTCCGACCTTTAGTTCTGCATCAAAGGCTAAGACCAAAACGGAATCAAGTACAAGTATAAGTAAAGCGGAGCCGGGTCCCCCACTTTCAGAGCACGCACTTGCGCCTCGACGACGTGCAAAAAGCCCGTCTGCGAAGACAAAAAGCTGGAACAACTGTCGCAATAACGGGCAACAGACATCAACTCTTCATGATCAGTCTGACTTCGGCAGGACCAGGGGCACCTCGAAAAATAGTACTAGTAGCAAACAAGTAAACTTCGTAGATGTAGATCTAGCAAACTTACGCCAGCAACCGCAGACGATGGAAGTTGTTCCAGCGGTTTCCTCGTCTCCACAGATAGACTCTGTCTCTGGTGGAGGCGTGAAGCGACTGAGCAGGACAACGTCACTCCACCGACTGACGCCAGCAGATCCAGATGCGCCTGTGGTGAACACGGGCGAAGTTGCCGTCGTTATCCCGACTACGACCGGTATCAAGGCTGGAGTTGAGCAATGTCTAGCAGGTGCAGGTCATGTAGCCGTAAATGCTCAGGTAATTGGTATGCGCGCTGCCAGGACCAAGGGCACAACACCTGACGAGCGGGAAGTCACGCATAGTGGGTCGACAACAACCACAGCGCTGACGTCCATGTCGTCTTCATCAAGTAGTGCTAGCGCTCCGACTTCGGCTGTGTCGCCTCTTATCGTTCCTCCACACGCGGATTTGAAGCCGACGCCGACTGATGCTGCTCAGGCAGCGCAAGCCGAAATCGTTCACCAAGTCGAAGCGCGTTTGGTTTCTGACGACAATAGAGTCAAAGACCACCCTGACGCACCGCCAATTCCGATTCCAACTAGTAGTGTTGCTCGCGATACTGATCCGTCCGAAACTCATCCGACCTCAGCAGAAGCGTGCAACATCCGCGTTCACAACACAGACCAACTGCAAGCGGCGGCGGTTTTGCCAGCGCTGTCAGAAGATTTTGCCAGCACTTCTCATCGAGCCGCTGGCGGAAGCAAATGCTCCAGCGGCGGTTCGACGCGGTCTAACCGGAAAAGCAAAAGGGGTCCCGCGATTCTGCCTAAGGAGGCAACAGCACGCGAGTTCGCAGAGGACAGCACCACACCTGGCTTCACAGGCGGCGTGGAGGGCAACCGTAAAGGTAGTAAAGCGAAAGCTTCATCTTCAAGCGCCACAGGCAGACATGATAGATCCTTCCAAAGACCGACAAGCTCTAGCGCTTCGCGAAGACTCATGTCTAAATCACCGTCTCCGACAACATCTTCCGCGAAATCGCTTGTAGGAGTTTCATCGACGTCTGGTGCGCCGTCAAAAATCGCTGCCAGTGGAAGTTCTCGAACAGTTGTTATTTCCAAAATGCAGGAAGCGGGGGGTGGAAGTAGCTCGGTTAGAATAAGGAACGAGCAGAATGTTCATGTTGGCACTAGCGGCACAACTCCTAGTGCGAATAAAGGCTCAACGTCATCAACCTCGTTGCTGGCAAACAACGCAGGTGGAGTAGCTACCAGCTCAAGCACAGGCAACTTGCAACGACACGCATCCCCAACGTCCCCTACGAAGCATTCCGCGCTTGGTGGTGGCGCGACTTCTACTAGTAAGAAGAAAACACTGATGCTAGCGGAACGCAGCACACGATTCGGCGTTGGCCTCGACAAAGCAATTTCATCTGGGAACAACGTCAGTAACGGAAAACAAGGTGTAACTTCTTCTTTTGGAAGCGGCATTTCGAGTGGCAACACAGCTGGCAATTCCATCGTTGCTACCTCGGGGGGAGGTAGCGGTGGTCGGGTTTTGTCCTCATCCTCAACATCCAAGCAAATTAGCAGTACCAGCAAAGGAGCTCCAGGTCCAGATAGCGCCTCCTCGAGTGTGGATCGTACGATCTCTCAGTGTATCGCAACGCTTTTACCCGTTATCGATCCTGGAGGCACGGACCGTCTTCGATTCGAGCAAATGAAAACTGCCTTGGAATACATCTTCTTCAACCTCCCCTGTCTCGAGGGCAAGCGTCCACGCACAGCCTGGTACGAGGAGTCCTTTCTGAACTTCGCTTCCCACAATCGAGAACGCATGCTGCAGCAGCAAAAGAGTAAAGCTGGAGCGTCCACGACCTCAATGTCAACGAAAACGAAATCAAGTAGTGCAGCCCAGGGCGTCGGAGAATCCTCGACAGCAGCAACAGGTGGTAATGCCAACGGCAAATTTTTCGCAAGCGGACGCAGCTCTGCTGGTGGAGGCATGGATCCCGCAGAGAAAGACGACGCCTCTGGTCATTGGATTAGAGCTAGGAAAGATTTAGGGGAGATTGCGCGACAATTTGTTCGTTTTGCTTTGCAGGTGGCGAGTGCCAAAGTGCCAAAGCCAGAACAGGGGAGTTGTAATCGTGAACAGCGAGTGCAGTCCAGAGATATGGAGAACAAACCAAAAAGGAGTTGTGCAGGAGGAGCTCCAAAACAAAATGACCGCGTTACTCCTCAAGGTGATGAAAATCTCGAGCCACAACATCATGTTCAGCGTGTTGATGAGCCAAAAACGCATGGAATGAGGCAGGCGCATGAAGCCGACAACGCAGAGTGTGGAGCAGCACTACAGTTTAACACTTCTGGCAGTCCTAATGCAAAAAAGAAAACCGCAAATGGAGACAGTACTGGAGGAGCATCTTTGGCCGAGAATGTGCGATCAACATCTGCCCCAGTCGTGCCCGCCGAAGAAACGATCGCAAAGCGAGATGGCCCTAGGAGAAAAGACGTTCCTGAGCAAAAGGCGCAACAACCTGTAAATCGAGGCCAGGCTGCGGCTTTCTCTTCGTCTTCTACAGTGCGATCCAATGCGGCTACAACCAGGGGTAAACGCGCCTTGCAGCTGCCCTCCTCAGGTCGGCACGGTCAGGTGAAGACCGCAGGAACAACGGCCGGCGCATCGAAGAGGCGCGCGCGGGAAACGAGCAAGTCCCCTGGGAAACAGCGCATCCAGTGCCCCCGAGACCCACCCCGGCCGCATAGTCCGCCAGTTCCCGAAATGCGAAGGCAAGAGAACAAGATGATAAGGCTCACAAGAAGAACTTACCGGAACAACAACTCTCACTAAATATACTTATGTTTATCCCGGCGCTAACGCAGTACGTGTTACTTATCAAGAATGAAAGAGGTTGATGTTCATAACTTGAAGACACAGACAAGAGCAGAAGAAGTGATTGCGAAAAGAGAAAGGAGCTTAAGAAAATAACACTTGCACAACCACAACCACAAGGATAAACTACTATAAAGGACAGCGCTAACGATGCACAATGACGCATGTGGAGGCGCGCGCGCTGTCGTGGATGAGGAGCAACTGACGTCGCAAGTCCAGGACATCATAGTAAATGCACTGAAGAGCGAAGTTGAGCAGAACGGAGCGGCTGCGGCGGAACAACGGGATCGAAAAGCGAGGAACCAAAATCATGTACGAGGCGGAACAACTACACCACGACGAGTTGAGACGCGGCCGCGTGGCGCTGTAGCTACTGGCGGACAGAACACTGGTCGTGGCGCTGCAGAAGGAGAACCGAGTCCAAATAAACGGACGCGGCCGGTGCCAGGTGAGAGAGCGCGCAATGGTGCGACCATGGGAGGCACGAGGACACCAGCGGCGCCGCCACCTCCTGCAGGCGTCATGAAAAAAAGTCCACGCCAGACGCCCCGCAACTTGCCCGGAGGAGGAAAGCACGCTGGCGCGGGGAAAGCAAAACTCGTAGTGAACGCGGAACCGCGTCCCATTGTGGGTGGACAAGGAAATCCAGGCGACGACCTCGAAGTCGCGAATTTTCGACCACCGGACCGGCGCAAACAATCGCCTCGTGCCGGACCCGACGGTCTGAGAACAAATCTCACTGCCGAGTTGTTCCAAGGCATAGTGGATGACTCGGATGTGGACGCTGAGATGCTGCCGCACCACAAGGCGGCGGCCAACCGACAATTCTCCGGCATCGAGATCATCGATCAGCCACGCGAGCCAAGCAAGCAGAGGCTGCAGCAGGCACACCTAGACCAAAGTGCAGCAAATCACGCTGGCGTAGAAGAGCAGGGACAACGACAGCGAGCACCAAGAGAAAAACAGAAAACAGGCGCAAATGGAGCAGCGATACGTGGCCGAGCGAATCCTGCAACGACTGGCGGGATTATGAAAAAAACCAAGCGCAACGAGACGACCAAGAATCTGGAGCGTGAAAAGCTCTTGCCTGGGGCGGGAGGAGAGCATCGTGCTCAAGGCCAGCTTGACGTAGCCACTGAAGACTTCGAGCCGAAGGCAGCACCCAGACGTCGGTCTTGTTCGGATCCAACTGTGCCACATCCAAAGCAGCATCGCCGCACGGTGCAAATCATGGAGCGGGTCTCGGAGCGCGACGCTGAGCAGTCGCCCTTCCAGGACGAAGGTGGTGTACACCAAGAAGAAAGAGCCGAGGAAGAGAATGCTGCAGCACGTGCAACCGGCACTGGCTTCCCAGACGCAGCGAAAAAAGCGCCGAAACTGAGTGTGGTAATCGAAGCTGCACAGCGGGGAAGGAATCGGACAACGACCGGTGACCAAGGCCGCTCGACAAAGCAAGGTGGGAACACGCTTCGTGGATCTTTAACTGGGCGCGAGACGGTACAGCATGGCGTGAGGCCTAGCACCTCCGATTCAAACGACGACGAACACAACGCGGCAGCTCCGCGAGCGACAGATTTACCTCGGGTTCGACGGACAACCGCGGTTGGTGTGGACGGGAGACCGTCTATGCGCCGCATGCGCCGTAGCCGCAGCACACAAGTGTTGATCTACAATCGAAAGTCCATTTGTATCAACTCCGAAATTGTCATTCCCTCGTTCGAGAACAGCGGTCAGATTTTTGGTGACTACGAGTTCGACCGATCCCGGGCGTCGAAGCTCGGTGCGGGGGCTTTCGGCAAAGTTTGCATAGTGCGCAGCAAGCGTTCGGGTTTCAAACGGGCATGCAAGAAGGTTGAGATGGCCTCACGACAGGACCATGAGTTGATCTCTCTTGAAATCGAAGCCATGAAATCGCTGGACCATCCTAACGTGTGCCGGCTCTATCGCTGCTATTACGAAGGCGGCGCGGGCGCAGGAAACCCCGCTTCCGGGGGCGGGAAGCTCAATGGCGGCGGCGGAGTTGCTGCGCCACGTCCTAGCGTAGCGGCGGCTAGTGGGCAGCCGGCGTGTGGATCGTCTGTTTCTTTGGTAATGGAGCTGTGCACCGAAGGCACCCTTCAGGATGCGATTAATAAGGCCTTGGACGACTCCTCTCGTAGACGAAAGAAGCTCATGCTGGCTGGGGGAGAGCAGCACGCAGGTGGCCGCGGTGGGGCGCTGGCGATGGGTCATCATCTGACCACGCCACGAGGAGCACCTGACGCGAAAGGGCAGCTGCGGCCGTCGCCACGTGGCGCAGCCGCGGGTGGCGCTGGTACGGCAGCAGCGAACCGACGTGCAGGTAATACCGGAGCCGTCATGCCAAGTCCTCGAGGAGTTGGTACGGGTGCTCCGCAGCAGCAGCGAGAGCGACAAGCGTCACCGACACCAGCCGTACTCAACCCCGCAAAAACCGTGCCTCCGTGTCTTCCATTTCATCAAGCGACGAACTACTTGAAGCAGATTCTTTCCGCTCTTGCGTATTGTCACTCCCGAGGACTGATTCATCGCGACATCAAGCCTGAAAACGTGCTCATTTCTGCGGGGATCGTGAAGATTATTGATTTTGGTCTCGCGGATTTTCTCGATCGCATCGAAGCTGCCAGCGTGAAGGCGCGGTGCGGCACCTGCCACTACATGGCGCCAGAAGTCCATGCCGCTACTTGCACGTACTCGGAGCAAAGCGATGTCTTCGCGGTTGGCGTTCTCCTCTACGTGATGCTAGCAGGCAAGCATCCGTTCTACGAACCGGGCCGTGACGACTACAAGGGTTGTAGAAGCAAAATCATGTACACGGACCCGGATTGGCGCCGGTTGCAGCTTGCTGGTGGAGCCGAAGTATCGGGTCTAGTGCCACTCGACGAGGGGGATAACAATCTAACGCGAATGAAGACGATTCGGAGAGATGGAAAGTACCACTCGAGAGTTAAATTTTTCCTATGTGCATGCATGTTGCTGCCTATTTATTTGTGTTTCATTTTATTCTATAACAGAGTAGTTTATAGCTATAGCACGCCCACGCGTGGCGCATCCTATAACAGAGTAGTTCTTTATAGCACGCGCGGCGCATGGAGCGCAGATCCATAATGGACGCAAGAAGCGCCCCCTTTAGCTCCATGTAACGCCATGCGATCCATGCACTCCATGCCATGCGAGCTGTGAAACCTTAGGGATTCTTCTGCTATAAATCCACTTTGCCCACCTCCGCGGATGAAGTGGCAGGCAGTAGATCCACTTGCTTCAAGAGAAGCCTGCGCCTCTGCTTGTTGTCCTTCTCGTGGCGTATCTAGTGGCACTCGTCATCATTACAAACACTGCGAAGCTCATACTCCTCGATGATCATTGGATAAAATGGAAGAAATAAATCTTAAAATGCTCGACGGCAGGCATCTTTGCTCGCGCTTGTTGGAGAAGGAACCGCAAAAGCGATTGTCCGCGCGACAGGCGATGGCATACCCTTTCGTGCGTCTCTATCTAGCTGATAGTACGTCCTCCTTTTCGGCCGGCACATCGGGAGAAGACATGCTCCAGATCTTGCAAGAGCAGGCTTTTCGCGCTCTCTTCCTTTTCGCTCGCCTGGACCGGCTTTCGCAGGCGACGCTCAGATTAGTGGCGAAGGAGCTCGATGAGCCCCACATATCACCGGAGTTTCGTGCGCTCTTCTCCCGCATGGATGGGGACGGCGACGGACTCATCAACCGGACTGAACTGATTGAGCAGGCTGCTGCGTGGGATCCCAAGGACGTGAAGCTTCTCGCAGCCGCATTAGCCACTTCCTCGGCAGCGTCCTCCGCAGCGAACGGCGATCGAGGAGGAGCCACGGCGCGCGCTGAATCGCACCTCAGCTACCGCGACCTGCTTGCGGCATTGTGGTTAATGCCTCTGGTCGTAGCTGAAAGACCCGATGGGGACAACGAAAACGGGATAAAACTTGCTGCTGGTTGTAATGTCGTGACGCCAAAAGATACAGTTGGAACCGGAAGCGCGCTGCTAGCGGACATTTTCCCAAGGTTTGCGCTTGGACAGGACAGTGGGATCACGAGGGCGTCGCTGAGGTATACACTTGCGCCCTCGCAGTGTCATGCCAAGACACGAGCGACGGGCCTCAACGGTTTCGAGCGCGTCACGTCAGAGGAGCTAGATGCAATTTTTGCGTTTTACGCCTCTACCTCTTCTGCGGACCACCCCGACGAAAGGAGAAGGAGTCATGCTAGTCCAGAAAGTATTTCGTATGAACAGTATCGTGCAGGCTTTCGAAAACTACAACGGCAATATGCAGCAGAGTCAGCGCGAATGTCCTTGACCTCGACAATTGGTGGCGTTTGAACTCCGTGCACGTGCGCGTGGAGTGATACTTTTTTTTGGTTTTTTCTGGTTTTGTAACAGATGAGTCGCATGATTCTTTTGCTTTCCCTCAGAAAAGTCGAATATTGAACATAGTTCACTATAAGTAATCGGACGACCACGACGAGGACGACGAGGTTACTAGCAAGTTTTCTTCTTCATTCCTTCAAAACATCTAAGGGCCAGCTCTCGCACATTCCAGGAGCTTACTCTGTGGTCTGTACAAAAAAGCCAAGTGCATGATAGATTGACTAACTACTTATGTCTTTTAGCAAACAGTTGCAGTTCATCCTGTGTTGAAGGTTTTCCTATCGTAAGTATTTTCGATAAGTAATTACAACTTGAACTAAGTTCATGTGAACTTACTTACTTTAATACATATTTTAGTCCTACGTCCTTCTCCGTCGTGTTTTTTATATTTACAAGAAACCGGGGTCGCCCCTTGGGCGACCCCTCCTTGATAGCAGCACAGTCACAGGCACAGAGTAGAACAAACATAAGAGAAAGCAAAAAAAAAAGCGACTGAGGCACGGAGCGCCCGCCCCTTGGCCTTGGCGGCTGCCGTCGAGATGATGGAGAAGAACAAAGACCGAAGCAACCCACGGAACCCAGGACCCTGGCGCGCGGAATCAATTAGGCACGCCACGCCAATGAGACAGGCCCGGCGGACATTCATGCGTGCGCGGGGGCGGGCCGGAGGTGTTGCCAATGCCGTAAGGTGCGCCCGACGTCGGTGAGCCCTCCCAAGCCCGCGCGCCCTGCTCGTCTTGTTCGCTGGTCCCGCTCAGCTTGCCGGGGCCAGCTTTGGCCGCTCAAGCCTCTCCGGTTTGGGCTGCCCGCGTTCTCGCCTGGGGCTAGCTGACTGCCCTCGGCTTTGTTGTTTGGCTCAACGAGCGGGGGCTGCCCATCGATCCCGCCTCGGCCCCCAAAGTGCCCCACGACCTCCCCAAACGCAGCACGACCGACCTCCCCAAACACAGCGCGACCTCCCAAACACAGCGCGACCCCTTAAGCACCGCACGGCCCCAAGCTACAACGTGGCCACGCAGTCGCAGCGCGTCCCCCAAGCAACACACGAAGCACCAAAGACACCACGGCCCCCCAAACTTATTAACACACCACGACCACCAAGAAGACACAGCGCGACCCTCCAGGCAACCCACTATCTACGGCCCCCAGCAGACAATACGAGCACGAGCATAGGGGCACAGCATGACCCCCCGCGCAAATTACTACAGACCGCCAGCCCCCAAAAGACAAAGGAAGCAACCCCGCAGACAACACGCAGCCCCTGGGCTATGACATGACCCGCCCCCTAAACAAAAGAGCAAAACCGCAAGAGGCACCGCGACCCCCTTGCGGCACCCCCTGACCCCAAACCCCCAAAGGCACTGCATAGCAAACCATAAAACTGAGCACGGCCCCAAAGGCACGGCGTGACCCCCGGGCACAGTCAGCATAGACCCACAAAGGGACACATGGCCGGACGTGAGGCATGACAACCAAGACGCACCAGCACGACCGCCAAAGAGACAGCGCGACGAACTTCCAAAACAACACAGCACCCCCAAAACAGCACGGACCCCAAAACACAGCAAGACCCCGAAGGGCACAGCACTACCACCCCGAACACACCGCGGCGACGAGGACGACTAAGACACCTCACGACCCCAAAGGACCACCGTGACCCCCCGACGCTGTAACTTATGGAGACCTCTCGCCCCTACATCATAAGGCCCCGCATGACCGCGCACCATCCAAAGCGCAGCCGCCTGGCCACGCACCAAAACGCAGCACGACGGACCCCAGAAGCACAGCGCCAAGCCTACCAAGGCCCACCATGACCCCCCTCAACTCATTGCGACCAAATGGACGCAGCACGCGGCGACACCACTGAAAAAAGGAAGCCAAGCCACAAAAGGAGAAGCAAAAGCCTGGCCCCCATTTTATTAAAGGCACAGCGTGACCTCCTCCAAAACAAAGAGCAGCGCGCAGCCCCCAAGGCACCACGATCCCACACCCATACGGAAGACAGACCGTGGCCCTTGAAACACACCACGCGCACCCTGACGCCGCGCGGCCTTCTTAACTCACTGCAAAACACAGCCCGCCCCGCTGCCGTAGCTGCAGCATCCGCATGCCTTCCGAAACATTGCTTGCCTGCCCCCCTGGGAACGAATTGGCCCCCCCTGCACCCACAGGCAGCAGCCACCACCCCCCGAGCACCACCCAAGCAAGACGCCAAGCACAAAGTGACCCACGAGAAACAGACCACAACGACGACCCTCCAACGCATCGCCATCGACTCCCAAAAAAACGCCACGGCGTGACCTGCCTGCAGCATCTACATGACCGCAAAGGGATTCGGCTGCCTCCTCACCGCGCAGCCTCGAGAAACAACATAACCCCAAGGCAAGCACTGCCGCCAGCATGGACGCCAAGGCCCTCACTCGGTGACCCCCAAGTCGCATCGCGATCCTTGAAGACCACCGCGGCCAGATATTCACAACCACACAACGCGCGCCCCCAAGGCGAAACATGGACGGCGACCCCCTGAACACACCACGACGACCACCAAAGCGCGCCGAGCTTCCCCTGACGCTGACACACCACGACCCGCCAAGCATGCCGCAGCCACTCAGACACAGCGGGGCCCCTTAGTAGAAACGCGGCCGCCTGAGGGCACTGCGTTCGCGTTGCGCTTAAAACATCACGCGGCCCCTCAAGACCTGCATGACTGTGAGCACGCGCCGCGGCCGTGCATCCCTCCAAGCTCCTCGCGGCGCGATCTTCCTCCAGCGAGCCACCCACGCACCCCCCCCCTCCGCACTTCGCGACCCTTCAAAACTGCAGGAATACGCACGGCCTCTGCAGAATAGTGAGAGGCTGCCCACGGCCACGGCGCCGCAAGCACAGCGCAGCTTAATGGACACCACTGCCCCCGCCAGACCCCCCCGACACAACGCGGACAGCGCCCAAGATGCGACGCAACCCAACAGGCAGCGCGCGACCTCCTAAAGCGCCGCAGCGCAACGAACCCCCCAAGCGTTGCACAGTCCAAAAAACAAAGCCGGACCCCCTGAGCAGGCACAGCGTGAACCTTTGGGCATTATGTAGCAAGCCCCCCAAGCACAGCACAACCCCCCGACACCCAAGGGGCACCGCGCGACCCCCCAAGCATGAGGTGACCCCAGACACCACATGACCTGCCAGGCACGCCATGACCCTCCAGACACACAAACGAACCCAACCCCCGGCAGGCACGTGCCACGACTAAAAAGGCACGCCGCGACTCCTTAAACGCCGAGCGACCCCCGCAAAAACGCCACGAATGACCACCCCAGACACACCACACCCCCCCGAACACAGATCGACGCCGCGACCTCTAGCCGCGCTCTGGCTCCCCGACGCATGCAAGGACCCCCCCGCGACAACGTGACCAATATGGCGCAGAAAGGCGCCCCAAGCGCGGAGCGACCCCCCTAGCACACCACGAACCCCAAACACTGACCGACGCCCCGACCTCTAACTAAACGCGCCACGGCCTTCCAAAATTGCCACGGCTTAGCCTCCCCACGTAACATGGCCCCTGGGGCGCAGCTTGGCCAAAGCCAAACCTCCCGGAGCAGCACGAGCACACCCCCGAAAAAGACACAACCAGACCCCCCAACCAAGCACCGCATGGCCGCGCCCCTCTCTAACACCACACGGCTGGACCTCTGGGGCACCGTATGAGCAAGCCCCAAAGCTACAGCAAGGCCCCACAAAGACAAAGCAAACACGCCACCGCCCCGGAAAGATGGGGAGCAGCGTGGACCCCCGAAAAAACGGGCACAGCGCGAACCCGAAAGCCCAGCGCCTTGGGCTGTTTCTCTTTCTCATATGGATGCAGCCAGCGCCTTCAAAATAAGAGCAAGAAGACCCACCGCGCGGGGCTTAAAATCAAGAAGCCCGCGGAGCTTGGGAAGGCGCTCCCCATCGGCTGCCGGGCTTTCTTGGGGTTTTCTTCTCAGACAGAGAGACACGACGGGGCCAGCCTCTAAGGCTGGCACTTTTTGCAGCTTCTTCCTCGCGTTGTCGGTTGCGACCGGGCGCAGGGGGACCGAGGGGGTTGCCCGGGCGGGAGTTGGGCGCCGCGTTTCTATCTTGGTGAGATTGCCCGCCCGCGGACTCCTCCAGCCGCACTCCCCTCGAGGGGTGTCCAGATCCGCGAGGAGCTAGCCGCGCGCCTACAGCTATGGCCTCCCACCCGCGTGGCTGGCTTCGGCTTTGCGCCACGAAAATCATCAAGCAGGCGGGAAGTTGTGAAGGCGTTGCCAGCAGGTTGGCCCCCCTTCCCCTTAAGATACCTCGCTCGCAGCCTCCGCACGCACACTCCCAGGGGGGAGCTGCGAAACGCTAGCCCCCTACTGTGGTGCCGGTTTTTCTCCAGTTTTCGCCGAGGTTCTCAAGCGTCGCCGCGCCTGATCTGGCGCGGAAGTTGGACAGGGGTCGCCCGCCCCCCTGCCCCCGCCTCCCCTTCTTCCCCCGACCATCCCTCAAAACACCCGGCTGAGACTCTTTGGACCATTTGGACAGGCGCAGGGGTTGGACAGTGGTGGCCCCCCTCCCCCCTCTTGAAAATATCGAAGGCAGTGGAAGTAGTTCGCGGAGTCTGAGTCTCAAGCACGGGGTGGAGCTCTTTGAAGTTTGCTCCTCTTGCAGGGTTGTCGCGAGTGATTGTAGAGTGTCGGGGGGGAATGTGTCGGGGGGAGTAGCGCCTGGGACTTGCGGCCGGGTTTAGGAGAAGTGGCGTCAAGCTTGCGGTCTTGCGAAGAGGGTCGCGCAGGGGTTGGACAGGCACAGGGGTTGGACAGGGGTCGGACAGGGGTTGGACCGGGGTTGGACAGGGGTTGGCCCCCCCTACCCCCCCCCGACCCCCCCCCCCTTCTCCCCCCGATAATCCCTCGAAAAACCTCTCCGAAATCTTTTGACCATTATAACTTTTTTAATATGATCCAGGGCTCAGGGTTACGGTGCCGCCCCCCCTTGCGCAGGGGGGGCACCGGTAGCCCCGGACCCTTTCGGGAGCCATCTGCCGGGGGTGGAAGGCCTCAAAAGGGGTCCAGGGGGCCTTCTCCGCTCTCTTCCAGCTGCCTGGCTGTACCCTGCAGACCTCCGACGAAGGTGGAAGGCTTCAGAAGGGGCCCAAGGGACCGCCTCCGCTCCCTTTCAGCTGCCTCCCTGTGCTCTACATGCCTCCGATATGCTTCGCCGCCGCAGCAGTGCGCCGGGCTTGGGAGGCCTCCGAAGGCGGCAAAAGGCGAGGGGCTGGACCCCCTGGGCCGTGCGGCCTGTACCCTCCGGACCCTTGGTCATCGGCTTGCTTTCTCTTGAGACCGTGGCCGCCTTCGGCGGCCTTTTACCCCGACGACCTCCAGCCTCCGAGGGTCAGCAGAGGCCAGGAGGTCCCTGAGAAACATGAACACAGGCGCAAGGGGACGCCCGCGGCCAGTTTTGACGCCTTCCACCACTGGAATCCGCTAAAATCAGCGCGGAAAAGAGCGCGCGAGCGCCACCACAGACCACACCACAGGGGGGGGCGTGCAGCCCTAAGACATGGATAAGCTGTAGCTGGTCGAAAGGTGGGGCGATTTTGCATGGGTTTAAAATGAAAAGAAGAAATCCGGCTCTTGTGATGAAGATGACGATGATTCCCGATGGGAACGAGGGCCCACGTAGTTGCTCAAGTAGCTCCTGACGCAGTCCTGGCGGCTATCTTCTCCCACACGCGCTTCAGCTTCAGGATTTTTAGTAATTCTTGTACTTCATCTCATTTCTTCTTTAGACGGCTGCCATTCGGTCTCTACGGTGATCATGAAGGATCATAACAGAGATGCACACATGACATCCTCTTGCGGAGAAACGTGGCGGTATTCGCGGCATTGCTTGTGATATTCATATTTTTGGTTCCTCTTGATAATCAATTCATATTAATTTTTTACTGATTACTTTTACTACAACTTGTGAGAATTATATATAAATATATTAAATCAATATGGAAATTGCGACTACGGAAGCCACGCCATGGATGATGTCGATGTGTGTATTTTTTATAGAGAACGGAAAATGAACATGACCAAGGCAGGCTATCTAAAGCTCCGAGCTTTTGGAGAACGCAGATGCTGCTGAATCACAGTAATCTAAGTGCAGAGTTCGTGTATCTATTCGATGCATCATGAGTATGACATTTTTGGTCGAAACGCACTTGCTCTTGCGTATGCGCCTGTCCGTTGTTGCTACTCTGTCTGCGAAAGTCTGAGGAGAGAATCTGAGGTTAGTTTGTTCCCTCTGTTGCGATTTTTGAGAGACTATTGAAC